ACTCCGTTTAGGCGCAGCCAAGTCCGCCATGTATGCCCAGCAGGCGCCAGCTGCGCCGCGTCACGACAGCGCCCCGTTCAACAGGCCGCGTCGGGAAGCGTTACAACATACAAAGGATGGGGGGGGGAGGGAGGCACACCACCGCGGGTGGAAGAGGCAAAGCATACAGAGGAACTCAGACTCCCCGCGTTGCCCGTCCCGTCCCGAGACCGCACCAGATAAGCGTCAGACGCGGGGCATTATGAATGAGTAATAGACCCCGGGGGCTACGCACTAGCAAACCCAGAAACAATCTGTCGTAGCAATCCCCTGTTGGCGCATCACAGCAGTAGTCGAGGCAAGAAAGAGAAGACGGGCATGTGGGTGCTTAAATTGGTTTTGTGTTTTGGGGGAAACCGACGAAAAAGATAAAAATTGAGAGGGGGCTAGTGTATACCACTCACAGAGGGAGAGGGAAGGGAGAACGGGAACATACTATCCTGCGAGTGCGTGACTCATGAGTGCCCAGGTCTGTGCGTAGGGTTTTTGATTATATGGGTACAAAGCAGGGGGGGATCTAGAGAGCGGGGGGAGGCGGCTGCACCATCGTTCGTCGCTAGAAAGATTCTTTTAATTATTTTTCTGGGTGGGAGAGCGGCGCCGGACTTCGTTTGGGGGGGGATAACTTTGTGGGTCATTGTCTAGTTGTGGAGAGAAAAAAAAGGCGCGAGGCCCACCGGGAATTAGGGAAAGGAGGAAGGAAAACAACAGAGAAAAGGAGGGATCACGTACTTTTTATTTTTTTCTTTTTTTTTGCAAACACAAGATGGCCACAGACGAACACACGAGAAGAAGGGGGGCGCGAAGACATCCTCTTCTGAGAGGGAGGCCTCCGCGGCGGTGAGTGAAGAAAGTGGTAGAAGAAACGGGGAGGTATAGAAATGTATGGAAGGGGAGAAAAAATAAAAGAAAGAGGCAGAAATCACCGCTAGTAGTACTACCTCATAAGCAATCAAAAAAAAGAGGTGAGTAGGGGGATGGAAAAAAAAAAGAGTTCTTCTTCTGCCATCACTAGGTAAGTACGGCAAGCAAAACGGCGGATGTATTGGTGTTGTAGACTGCATCCTCCTTTTGTTTAATCCCCCTACTCCATTGTTTTGTTGTTCTATCTTCGTGTAATAATTATAATATTCATTCTTCTCAACAGACGGGGGGGGGGGGGGGGGGTTCTTTCTTTTTGTGAGGATTGTTTGTGACTTGGGATCTTGAGAAAGGGGGATTTTGAGTCGAGGATAAGAACCCTCTTGTATAGCTAGGTATGAAAGACATTATGTGTGTGTGTGTTGTATCCATGTATGGTTGTTGATATCTCCTCCCGTTACATGCCCTTGTATGATGTGCCTTTTTCTGTATGGTGTGGGAATTATTTCTTCACATAGTTGTGACTTGTAATTTTCAGGGTTCAAGGATGAGATATGGACTTTGTCGTGTCTGTTGTCTCTGCCATTCAATGCTCGTGATGAAGGGGATTTTGGTAGTCCTTGATGATACTTTACATGAAATGCGATGATCAAAGGTTAGCTTTCCATGTGCTACTTCGCATGTCTGATGAAAAATCATAATGGCAAGTGAAAAAGAGAGAAGGGGGCGGAATATGTTGGGAGAGATGTTGACATGATTTAAGATCCAAGTTGAGTAACACCAGGCTAATGGAAGATGAAATGAACAAAGGAAGAGAGAAGAAAAAAAAAATACAATATCCTCCTAAAAATACCAATGCCGAATTCCTCCAAGGGAAAAAAAGAAAATCGCTCAAAAAGAGCAAAAGCCCATCCATTTCCAAACACCCAAATGATTCGTCAATGAAAAGCAGCAAAGAAAACACCAAGGAAACCCAAAGAAGAAGAAAAAAAAAAAAGGGGGGGGGGGGGGGGGGGGGGGGGGGGGGGGTGCCTCCAAGAGAACCAATGCAACACACACAAAAATGCATGACTGGCCATCTGTTACCACCAAACCCCCCATCTATCAAGTGATAAACACCTTCTTGAGCAGCTGATCAAAGTAGACATCCCCTGTAATGGGATCCTTGACCATGTTTGGCATCAAGCCCGCCTTCATGGCGCAGTCGTCCAGCCTCTTCCTGCCGTACACCCTTCCATTGGGCAGCAGGAACAAGTCGTGCTCGACATGGCTCTTGGTATGATGCGCGTACGGAACGTTGCGCGCCAAGTCGTTGAGCTCCGTCGAACAGATGGGACACACGCCGTGGCCCAGCGTGGACGAGCTGCCCTCGGCGCTGGGCTCGTCTCGTCGCGACGAGTGGCACGCCGGCGTCTTGAGGGCCGACAGGCCTGACGACAGCGCAACGTGCAGCAGCGGCACCGGCGGCAGGGCCAGGAGGCTGTTGTGCGCGCTGGTGAAGAGGTCCGCCAGCTCGTTCCACCGCGAGGGCCGGTACAGGTGCGAGTAGAGGCCCGCGGTGACGCCGTGCGGCGGGATGGCCAGCAGGCCGCACGCCTGCTTGACCTCGACCGGGTGCGTGTTCCAGTAGGGCATGAGGTACTTTTTCGCGTGGGCAATGGCCTCGACGAGCTTTTGCGTGCGGATGAGCTCAATGTACTGCTGCAGCCGGAGCATGAACTCGAGTTTGCTCTGTACGTCGGATGGGGTCAGTCGATGAGATGCTTCTTAACACGCAAGAGATAAAAAGACGGGCAGCGGTTTTTTAGAAAAGTTACGCACCTCCATCTTGCGCAGCTCCTTTTTGTTCTCGGTGCACCACGCCAGCGCCTCGGTAACGCTGCCCTTGAGCAACGCCTCCCTGATGCGACTCATGCCGACAAACGTATCCACGTCCACCAGGTCGCCCATGCCCTTCTCGCTCGCCAGCTCCCGCGCGCTCTCCGTGTAGCCATGCCGCCACAGGTAGTCGGCCAGCAGCCGGTCCAGCCGCTTCCTGCTCCAGGCCTCGTACTTGACGTCGTCGACGCTGCGCATCGAGTACAGCTCGTCGAGGTGCGCGATCCGCGCCGCCGTCTGCTCGTGCAGCCGCGCCTCCTCCTCGGCGCAGGATTCCAGCTTGCGCTTCACGCCCCGCATGCGGCTGATCATGGCGTCGAGGCTCTTGAGCACGTCCTGCTGCGAGGCCCGGCCCGAGAGCGCCGCCGTGGCCGAGTCCTTGAGCAGCGACTTGAGCGACGAGGTGTCCTTTTCGATGGCGAAGTGGGCGGCGCGGAAGTTTTTGCGGAGGAGCTCGTGGGGGAGGCGTAGGAGGGGTTGGTCCTGTTGAGCGGAAAGAGGAGGAGAGTTGTTAGCAAATCAGACAAGTTGACGATATCAGTCTTAGAGCAACAGAGGAGGAAGCAATGAGGAGCGTACCAAGAGCAAGTGGTCGCTATGCTTGATGGCCGAATTCTCGTGGTCCGCCATACTTGACGCCGACGGACTCCGAGTGCTGAATTGTCGTGTTTCAGTGTGAATCTGCGTATTTGAATCTCTTTTGTCAAGAAAGCCAAGCGTAGCGATGGCGAGTGGTGTTGTTGAGAGTGGCAACAAGAGGAGAAGCCGGGGTTTGGGAGTCGAGGCGAGGACGGCATCGTCTGGGGTTGTGGCTTATCGATATGGAGTGATGCAATGTCACTGCCCGAAAATGGCTAGATTGCAGGGTAGCTTATATTGCGAGATGCTGCTATAAGACGACGACGCATCATGCTCTTTTATCAATTTATTGCCAGTATTCAGTTGAAATTGAATGATGCGGTGCTCTATAGCTTGTTGAGTAGTAAAAGCATCGTTGACATTCATGTGCCTGGTCTGCTGTCCAGTTCCACAAGCACAAGCCAAACAGCACTAGCAACACCATCACCACCACCATGATCCTTATCGCATCAGTAATAAGGGGTAATCATCAACAAGTTAATATAAATGCTGACTCGAATCCAAGAATCAATGCTCACAGAGAGACATACAGATAGCCATCGTATCCAATCCCCTATTCATAAATCACCATATCCCCGAAACAACAACATGCCCAAACAGCACACTCCAACATACCACTCGGACGTCACATCAACCATCACAACCTCCGCCTCACGGGACTCATCTTTCTCTGAAAAGACCCCGGACCAGGCGTAACCACCGTGTAGTTGCACGTCGGGCAATACGTCATCGTATTCGGCGTCGCAGGATACCAATCCCTCCCATACGTCCCATTGAGCACCACGTCGCCCACCACGTCGCCGCTCTCCAGCCTGATCCACGTCTCGGCCTCCCACCGCTCGGCCCTCAAGCTCCTCAGATCGAGCCTCACCTGCCGCGAGCCGCGGATCCAATTGCCGTACCCCCCGTACCCGGAATGCTGTCCAAAGCACAGGTTGACGCCTTGCCCTGCCACCGTCATGCCGGGCACCAGCCGGTCCCAGCGGTAGCACCACGTCGCGCCGTGGTCGTGCCCGGAAAACACCGCCATGAGCCCCGGCGTCGACGCAATGGCCTGCATAAAGGGCACGTCCTGCCCGCCGTAGCCGCACGAGCCGTCGTTGCGCCCGTCGGCGCACCAGCCCTGCGCCTGCTGGGCCACGGGATAGTCGTCGTTGATGCCCGGCTGCCGGTGCCTGTCGACGCTGGCCTGCTGCCCGCGCTCCGTCTGCAGCGCCTGCGACGCCTCCGTCGGGATGTGGACAAACGCCAGCGACGGGATCGTCCGGCCGGCCCTGGCCACGAAGCGCTGGCTCGTCTGCCGGAACCAGGCGACGACGCCGGCGTCCACCCAGTCCGGCTGCCCGACCTGGCTGCCGTCGGGGTGCCGCTCCTGGAAGTAGAAGCCGCCCCGGCTGTCAAAGAACCAGAGCAGCAGCTCGGGCGAGCACTGCAGCTCGTCGCTGCACCCGGCCGCGTACACGGGCAGATAGTAGTTGGACACGCCCGCCGCCCGGCCGGGCACCATGCTGCGCGTCCGGGCGTTGGGCCACCGCCGCTCCCGCGCCAGGATGCCCGCGCCCGAGATGTTGAAGCTGTGGTCGTGGTTCCCGTACGTCGACGCCCAGGTGAGGCCTCGCTGCACCAGCGGCTGGACAATCTGGTCGACGTAGAGCGTGCTGTTTTCGAGAAACGTGTTCTCGCCCGTGATGAGGTCGCCGTTGAGCACGACGAGCCCCGGTGACTCGCGGTCGAGCACCTTGTTGATGACCTTGACCGAGTTGATGTCCTGCTGAGGGCCCCATGTATCCCACGCATCTACCAGCTCGTGTGAACATAACCTCTCATTAGCAAGACTCAAGTCCCTTGTTACGCAGAGTGTCTAGTAGATGCATGAAACTCACTCTCGCCAAAATGGAGATCCTCAAAGATGGACACCTGAAAGGTCCCGTTTGTCGTGAAACTCAGCGGCCTCGTAAACGCATCGGCGTGTCCCATCTGAGCCTGCTTCGGCAAGGGACTCTGCCCCGAGGGCGTCGCCAGCGCAAACAATACCAGTAACATGTCCAACATGATGCTTCTCTCTTTCTCTCTTTCTCTCTTGCTCCCTCTTTCTCTCTCTTTCTGTTTTCTAGTGCTTCTTGAACTTGTTGTCGATATATCAGTCGCTTAAAAGAAACGAGCATAGAACAACAACAACAACAACTCTCGGTTCTAACTGAAGCTCTCAGATCTCGCAACGACGTGCCTGATAAGAACCAAAGCTGCAAACCAAAGGTACCTTGGCTGACCTACATGTATACAGCTCGAGCCTGCCATTTCAATCCAGCCCCCAAGATCAACAACAAATCAGTCTCCTGGTCACCAAGCCATACCCTCATCAGAAGGGACCTTCCTGAATGAAACAATTCACTACCTACCTACCTAGGTATATATCTCATATGCAAAAAAAAAAACTGCAACTACCTTACAATGGGTAGCATCTGCCACGTCGGAGATGGAGATAAAAGATGCAGCTCGGCAGGTGCGCCGAGTGTCAAATCACCCGACCAAACGCATCGTCTGCCGCCCAAACTGTGATCTGCCACAATCATGTGAATATGCACTCAGGAACAAAAAAAAAGGGGGGGGTTCCAGATGAAAGAGTGTAGATGATCAGTTGAGTTGTGGTTACATTTTGTAGAGAAAGGGTTGGTGGACATGTGAACTGCATCCAGTCCCGTCCAAGGAATGCAGAACGTGCTTTGTCCGTCTTGAGCCAGGGATCAGCAGCAGGCTTAATTACATGTAAGGTACAGGTAATGTTATGCGAACTAAGGTAGTCGGTTGAATCACTGTTAAGCATTTACCGGCGTTTGGACGAGAATTGCATCAAGAACCAGGTACCTCATCATCTAGGCGCTCTAATAGCTTTGTTGCCGTAGCAGTGCGAGCAGCTTCATCGAATCGTCATGCCAATCAGGCTCTATTCCATACAGATATGTGTAATAATACAGAAGTAACGCATCAGGCGGCTACTACCAGAGCAGCATCGGCTCAGTCAATGGCATGCATCTCGCTCAGTCCTTCTTCTCCTTGTCGGCAATCTCCTTTGCCTTGCGGCCCTTGTCCTCCAGCACCTTTTGGATATCCGCCATCGTCTCCTTGAGCAGCTTCTCGCCGTCCTCCTTGTGGTTCTGCGCGATCCGGCCCATCTCCTCCAGCTTGCTCAGGATCTCGCTGCCCTGCGGGATCTTGTCCAGGTTCAGGTACTTGTCCAGCGCTGCCCATCCACTGCCGCTGCCCTTGTCGCCTCCGACCTTCTCTTTGGCCTGCTTGACGTAGTCCTCCAAGCCGCCCAAGTCGCCAGACTTGGCCGCGTCTCGAACCTTGGTAAACAGCTCGCTGATGTTGCCCTTCTTCAGGGCGTCCCCATTCTTCTCCAGCAGCTCCTTGAGCTTGGGGTTCTTGTCAAGATACGGCTTGGCCTCCTCAAGACCCTTCTTCCAGGCCTCGTCGCCCAGCTTCTGCACCTGCTGCACCTTCTCATCAATCAGCTCCCTCGCCTTGGCAAGGCTCGAGGCACTGAATCCGCCGGCGAAAATGTCCCTGACCTGTTTCCAAGTCTCGTCCACCTGCTTCTTCGCCTCGGGACCATACTGCTCGCCCATCTGCTTCAGCTGGTCAATGTTGCCGCCGAGCTTCTCCTTGAGCTGGGGATGGTTGTCAATGATATCCGACAGCGCATCGCCCGTCAGGTTCGCAAGCTTCTTGGCCAAGTCGGCGAGGACATCCCACGCCCGGGACGCCGCCTCGAGGCTCAGGCCCGCCTTGGCAACGTCCTGGAACTGCTTGTACGCATCGCTCACCAGCTTGTCCGCCTCGTCGCCGTGCTGCTTCCGCACCGTCTCCCAGTCCTTGAAGGCGGCGTCGACGTAGGCCCGGCCGCCCGGTATCCAGGCAACGTACGAGTAGGCAAACTGCTTGATGGAGTCGACCGCCTGGTCCGGGCTGGGCGTGGCGGCCTGCAGCTTCTTGGCCGCCTCCTGGTACTTCTTCTCTGCTTCTTTCACGGCCTTGTTCAGTTTGCTTGCGGTTCGGCCGGCGGGCGTGAAGGAGTAGATGCCGTAGAAGAGGCCTGCGCCGGCAATGCCGCCAATGATGCCGGCTCCGAGCGAGCTGCTGGGCGGTGCGTTGGCGGTTGACGATGAGGAGGAGGTGGTGGATTGGAGGCGGATCTGGCGCTTGGGGGCTCGTAGAGCGACTCTTCCCTGGGAGAGGGACAGTCTGGTTGCTGCTCTTGAGGAAATCATGGTGATGAAGGTAGAGTGAGTTTGTGTCCGAAGGAAAGGTGGACTTGCGGTTGATCAAAGAAATGACCCGTGATGGTAGCAAAGGATCAAATGGTTCTGTGTAGTGGACGAGTGATGATGGCCTCGGTAGATGACTGAGAGAATATGAGAAGAGGAATTGGCAAAGAGGAGGAGTAGAGGGAGAGTTGATTGATGACTGGATAGATTGAATGCAAATGTGATGATGCCTCTGCAACAATTCACTGCAGGAAGCGCCAATATATAGGCAGGCAGGTACCTTCCTTAACCACCCCAGAGCCCAGATCTCAGATCGAATCGGAATGTCCACAGCCAAAACAAGTCCAATTCACCTGCCCCCAAGTTCTCCCCGACGTCAGTGCAACTTGCCCACAAACCCAACCCAAATTATGCCATCGTGACGCAATTTTATTTTCCCGCCCTTACCCATCGATTTTATGGTCCAGGCAGGCGCAAACAGCAGAAGCAACAACAAACTTGAACTCGGCTTGATCCCCCATGACGTCAATGACGATTACAGTATACTAGATTCAAGCCAAGCCAAGCTCGGAGCTCTTGATTAAAAAAAAAACGGGCTCGAAATATCCACTCTGACGAGCCTCACCTTGGTTGCGTTCCTTGTTCCGGAAGGAAAACGGGGAAAAACAAAAAGGGAACTATGACTTGCATGACACGAACAAGCTTAATTTGGTAATCGAGATACTACTACATACTCCCCCAAAGTCCAAGCCTGAGGGGATACCGTACAACAACATCAGTTGCCTTGTGCTTCAAATACGAAAAACCAACAGGGGCCAACATAGAACTCAGTGCAGCATCATAATCCTTGTATTTCAAACTCGGGCTAACATGTACATCAAGATGGATACGGATAGGTACCTATCTGAAGCCAAGGGGCGTATCGACACTCTTCTCTCCGCATCGTCGGGTCGAACCTCAGTCTACCTCTACCTAAGCCTATATTCACAGGTATTATCGCTAGAAATACTGCAAGTGTCCATCTACGCTCGCTGGCGCACATCCTTTATAAAAAAAAAAAAAAAAAGGAGAAAGAAAAAAGAAAAGGGGAAAAGAATCGCAAGGCAGTAGAGTAAACACTAAAGAAACCAATCTGTGGCAATAAAAAAAGGGGGGAGCTTCGCGAGCCGCCTTGTCGGGTTCAAATTGCTATAAGCATCTCCCCATACTCGCGTCCTTGACGCGGTGTAATTCACTCCCCTGCTCGCCTGGCTATGCACCAAGTCCTAAATGCTGCAACAACGCCGGATAATGTAAATATGCTCCCACGAGATCCACGCCGCGATCTATAACCTGAACCGCGCGCCAAGTATATAAAAGCCAAAGCAGGCGAGCCAGCCGCTCCCAGCAGCCCGGCTCTTCTTCATTAGGGAATCTGACTGATTCGTTCACGCAATCATTGTCCTTCTCTCTCCCTCGCCCTCGACGACTGCGTAGCCATCAGGCGCCGTTCAAGTCAAGACCAGTATAACAAATGTTCTGAGCACCGTCGCGCCGGTTAGTTGTCGTGAAAAAAGGTGCCCCCCTGGAGCGGTGCTGTTGATGGACCGGCGTCCACCATGTTCGTATCATGAGGCGTGTTGTCTCGACTGCTGTAACCGGCCATTGACACGTCGCCGCCTCGGTAGTCAAATGCCATGGCGCTCATCGGCCGGCTAGGGTCGTCTTCCAGAACGCGCTGCTGGAGCGAAAACGGGCGATCGTAGAGCACATCCTCCGGAGGTGAGAATGACCAAACCTATCCTCTTGTCAGTATACCAGCCAAAAAAAAAAAAAAAAAAAAAAAAAAAAAAAAAAAGAGAGTAGCTGTTGCTTTCGTCGTCTTACCTCCATGACCGTGCGGCCCTGCCTCAAAGCCAAAGCAACGCACTTCTCCTCCTCAAAGGCGACTCGCCAGACCGCCTCGCCCTGCGCAATCAGCTCGCGCACCAGGTGGCCCGTCTTGAGGTCCCAAATCTTGACTCTGCCGTCGCTTCCTCCGCTGACAACTCGCGTGTCGTCAAACTGCAGGCTCGTGACGCTGTTGTCGTGGGCAGCCAAGCGGTGGATGGGGCACATCTTCTCCAGGGACCACACCCTGACCGAGCCGTCGGAGCCTCCCGTCACCAGGGTATCGCCCCGCATCTGCAGCTGCCCGACAAGAGACGTATGGCCCTGAAGAATGGCAAGGCATTCTCTGTGAGGGGAGCAGTCAGCAATCATGTTTCCAACCAGCAGGCGAGCACGCGCTACTTACCCAGTCTTGGGGTCCCAGACTCGAACGTTAGTATCCAGGCTCCCAGTCACCACCCTCTTGCCGTCAAAGGCAATAGCATAGATCTGGCTAAAGTGGCCCTGCAGCGTCTGCAGGCACCGGCCCTCCGAAATGCTCCATACTCTGGCAAACGTATCGTAGCTTCCGGACACGACAATGTCACCCTTGATCTCCAGGCACCGTACGCTAGACTGGTGTCCAACAAGGACGTTCTTGCATAAGCCGGTGCGGATGTCCCATATCCGCAGCGTGGTGTCTCTCGAGCCGGAAATGGCGGTATTAGCATCGGCCATCTTCAGGCATCGAACGGTAGATGTATGGCCTCGCAGGGTGTGAAGACAGGCGCTGCCACAAGATTAGTACGACAAGCCACACACGGATGCTTGAGCTCAAGGGGAAACCGCAACTTACCCAGTCTTCAAGTCCCACACGCGCACATCCCGATCGCAGCCACCGCTGACCATGGTGTCTCCCCAGGGCACCATGGCCCAGACCCCCATCACATGGCCCTGCAGGGTCCTCTGCGAGTTGCCATCCGTGTCAAAGACGTGAATCTTGGCGTTATCGAGAGCGACGATAATGTACTTTGGCGTCAGATGCAAACTGGTAACCACGCCTCCTTCCTGTGTGATGTTGCGGGTGATGCTTGTGCCGCCAGACCTCCACGCTGCCTCGACCAGATACTTTTGTTTAAAGTGCGACTTGTATGAGCGTATCTTGGGCCTCATGCTCTCGAAGCCCATGGAACTTGAGCCGTGTGAGGTAAAGGGGAAGTCTCCGGGGAGGCTGGTGGACATTTCGCTGTCCGTGTCAAAGGCGTAGGCCGAGGATCTCGACGTCGTGATGGGTGCCGAGGGCGACACTTCTGACAGGCGACGACCATAATCGTGTTTCTCGCAAAGGTTCTTCCACGTCATGTCGTCGCTCAGGAGATCCCGCCACCGCTTCGACACTTGCGACGCGCGCGCAAGGACTTTGGGGTCGTCGATAAACGACAATATCTAGAGTGACGCTGTTAGTGGAGTGGCCACAAAATGTAAGGCTGCGTCTTGGGTGGTGCAAGTCCCGTACTCTTAAGCATAGCTCGTCTGGAAGACTTGTAAACGGGTCCTTCTTCAACAACGGGCTGACAAATTGGTGAACAAAGCTCAGCTGCTGGCTGGTGCAGAGATTCAACAAGTCGGCCAGAATCCTCGTTCGCTGAGGACCGGAAGAGTTCTGAAAGTGCTGTCGGACCTTGGCAAGGAAGAAGTCTTCGTCGTCGGCGGCATCGCTCCAGTCGGGCTGGCAGTGGGCAGGTCCAGGAGATGCCGCTGGGGTTGGCGGATCGGGCGCCGAGCCCGTCAGCTGCTGATCAAAGTCGGCGGCGGGCGTGGGCATGTTTGGCGTCGGCGGCCCTCTGAGCTGGCGCTGCTGCTGCGGCAGCTTCTCGACTCTCTGGTGCAACAAAGGGTTGTTGGTATTGAGCGTCAGCTCCTCGCTGAGCAGACTCCCCCTCCTCTCGGAAAAGCTCATGGGTCTTTTGTAGCCAGCCATGGCGTGAATGTGTATATCCGAGGTGTCGTAGCGTCACGAATGTTGTCGTTCGAAGTTGCCTCAAGAAGATCTCTGGATGCTGGCGAATCGGAGTCGATCAGCCACGAATTTGGCTCTGGAGGCCGCGGGAAACAAGGCCTCGGAGGCTGTCTTGCACGCGACGAGGCGGATAATGGAGCAGAATGAAGCCCCAAGCCTGGTCTAGCCTGGCAACCGGCGAACGTCAGCTTATACGTGTAACGACGACTTTGGCTGCACTGCAGATATGCGTTGGAATGAACTGTGCTGGAGGATAGAATTATTGGCGTCTTGGGGATGTGAATATTGAAGGATGCATTATTGGCACAAGGGGTCCAAAGGTGGCACACTGAGCGATGAGGGGATGCTGAAAGGGGAGTGAGGGTTCAAAGGGCAGTGGCGGTATTACTCGGCACGAATGGGAAGTGGAAGACAGGGACAAGATCAAGACGCTGAGAGGGCGGAGAGAGAGAGCATACCGGCAAATCAGGACATGGGCCAGCCTCTCCTAAACGGTGCTGCGAGAGGCGGAACCGGAGGACCCAAACGCCCAGCGGCCTTTGGACAAACGAGTGGAAGCCGCCGATTGAACAAGGGCAGGGCGAATGATGGAGCCCCCGAAGACGTGTCGCGCGTTTCTGAGCGACTCCCTGGCGATGCGAATGCGGTCTGGATGACGGTACTGGTAGTAGCTGAGCCGAGCCTGTTTGGATCCAAGTCTCAAAGGGATGCGAGGGATGGAGCAGCTAGGTAGACGGGCCTTTGCGTGGTTCGATGAGCGGCGACCGCCTTGGGGAGAAAGAAAAAAAGGGATTGCGTTGCTTTGGTTGCCCAGTCCCTGGTTCCTGATCTGCTCGGCAGGTCCCTCGTCTGGCGCTGGGATCTTTTGACTATGGGCAAGAGCTGGGGGGAAAGAAAGCGATGCGCGCGCTGCGATGCTGGATTTCGTTTCGGAGCGTTGGAGGTTCGTCGTCAGGGTTTCGGCAGGAGACGAGGCCTGAGGGTTTGGGGGGGTTGGTTGGCAGGACAGGATTTGCGTTGGTGGCTTCTCTCGTCAGGGTCAAGGTCGAAAAGGCCGGAGATGGGCGATCAGAGGCAATCGGTCAGGTCAGCGAGGTGAGCGGGAGGGCGAATAAGGTAGAACAGATTGGAGGGCCAAGTACACAGCAGGTATTTACCTACTGTACGGCTACGACGCAAGAGGCAGAGGCAAGGCGGCTGGGGGTGACTTTGGCGGCGCTCAGACCCCAGGTTACCGCCGCGTACTGCGCTGTAGTGGCCCAGGAGCGAAGAATGGGCGGTACAGCCGCGGCGCGGGCGTTCCGCACGTCCCGCGGCGTACCGCGGAGCACATGGGCGACGTACAGTACCGTCAGGGCACCTGGTACTGGACACCGGCCCATGTAGCCGGCGGCGGGTGTGGGGCAGCGCATGGGCACTGGGAGCGTTGGCGCCAGGCGTGGGTTCCAGGTGTCTGACGCTTGCTAGCAGCACTTGGACTACCTGGGCTACTATACGGAGGATAGTACTACTGGAGGTACTTAGGTAGGTAGTGGTGCGAGATAGTGCGCTGGGTATCGATGCGGCATCGCCCGCCCGGCGCCGGTACGCCTGACTCTAACAGCCGCCAGCATTGCAACGGGCACCCGCACCCCATCCATGGCATGCGCGCGAAGGCGGTACGAAGGAGCGACATCAGGGCAGTTTGACTCGAGGCTTCATTTTACAGCCCGAGCACCTCAACTCCGAGCTTGTTCGCCAGAGCACCTGTGACTTGTCATGCTGAAACGATGCGACAAGAAGCGGCGCCTGACTGGCCCTCGCTGGCACCCTTTCGGCTCAGCAGGGGCACCTCTTTGTAGAATCTCAGGTACTCCGCATCTACTTTTGGTAGTACTAGGTACTGTCTGCTGTGGGAGAAGAACACCCGTTTCAACGAAACGGAGTACCCGACGATGGACGGGACACGCAACATAGGAGGATCCAGTGCTGCTTCTTCCGTGCATCCGACTCCACGCATTGCCAGGTCGCTTCCTCTGCATCTTCTCCTCATCGGGCCTCTACAGGAGGAGCTCGTGCCGTCGTCAGGTACCTACAGAACCCGCTGCAAGCCCCAAGTACCTTGCATCGGGCTGGTCACCAGACGTCGGTTCTGTATGACCACGCAGAGGTAGCAGCGACAGAAGCAGCACAGTCTATAAGGTGCCTATTACTTAAGTACCTACCTTACCTCTACAGCATCTACGATTCATTCTCCTCTGCTTTTTCTCTGCCGCTTAAACCGCGCGCTGTTTCGACAGCTGTACAATGCATGTTCCGAGTACGTACATACATACCTAACCTCGCCTTGCCTTACCTCACCCACAAGGGACTTGCAGGGTCCAAAAGCACATGATATTCGTGCACTTTTGCGTTGTGATGATGTGTATGCTCGTCACTGGCTTGCGAACATGTAATGCTGCATAACTCCGACTGATACATCACACACACAAAAAAAAAAAGGGTCGCCTAAGTACTAGGTAGTAATATCAATGTAGATACAACTCTTGTCGACGGTCGCACGGAGCGTAAACAAGCAGGGCGAAGAAAGGCTTAGAAAGAGGACTCCTCGCATTGGGTGCAACGAGCGCTTCCCGATTTTTGGCGCCTATGGCAAAACAAGAAGGGAGGATGCATGGTCCACGGAACAACGACGGGTGTAACACTTCTTTAAATCATCGCGGAAGAACCAGGTTTGAGCAGAAGGCTGAATCTAGGCCGATTGTGTTATTGAAGGGGGCAGGCCGGGCTTTACATACTTGCGTTCATCGCCATCCATTGGTCCTTTGTCGTGATGCCGCACACCAACCTTTGAACCCCACGACTATAATAATAATAATGGGTATCACAACCACTGGCACCTGCAACTGACCAGGCCGCCAAGTAGCTATTGCGGAGTCTCAACGCGATTCGCTCTGCCTCGGGTTGTGATACCTCACATGCCGTTTACACGAACGCTTGAGAAGCTCGTCGGGCATGCATCTCACGCACGCAGACACGAGGCACGTACTATAATGCCCGACACACGATACGATGATACTAATACCTACCTGCTTTTACCTACCTACATAAGGTACACGCATCGGTGGCCTCATCTGACCACTCCGTCCTGCGTCTACCGCGGCCCATTGTCCATTGTCGTGCTGGGGGCAATACATGTGTCACATGTAGATGTGCCCAATTTTGGATACTACTACTAGTAGTAATACAAGTCGTCTCCCTTGTTGAAGATTTCTGAGTTGGTTACCTAAGGTAGGCATACAAATGGGTGATTTGGCGGGTGCCTAGGCTGGTATGTTTCGAGTTGCACCTGGATCTTCTTCTTTCCTTGAAACGCTACCACTGTGATACATGCCTTACTCAGAGAACATGAAGGTGTGCGCAGCAGGCGAGACACAGTCGAGGTGCTGCGGTTCGGAGGAGAAATACTAAATACCTGGGCAAGGCGGGGGATGCGTCTTCCCGCACAGTAGAGTACCTACCTTACCTCACCTTACCTCAGGTGTACGAGCATGTCTTATTCTTTGGGCGATGCCACCCACGCTCAGGAAGACTTGATTTCCCCGATTCAATTCCAGCGCGGCCTCGTTTCACCTGAGCATGTCCATCCCGCTACAGGTCAGAATCACATTCATTCCCTGTTCAAGGCATGTTGGCCGCTGCAAGAGACTAAAGACTAGCCCCGGGAATCAAAATCGTCCAGCATCCATCACACAGCAAATCGGCACCACAAACAGCAGCCCCATCAAACGAGGGACCCATATCAACCACCTATTCATATACAAAATATTAGAGAAAGAAAAGCAGACCGCAGCGGCGCCATCTGAACGATGAAGCAGGTGGTAGTATTGGACCCATTCTGCAGGGGTCCTTCCTTTCATCCCATCATTGTTTCATGTTCATCGTCATCTTCTCTCACCTCGCCCTTTTTTATCCCGCGCTCTCTCTCCATACATATCTCCAGTTTCAAAGACTGCCATTGCAAATCTTCAGCCGCCTAAGAATAGAAGTGACATGAAACAAACTCTGATGCTCGCGGGTGTTTTGTCATAGTTGAATCCCCCCCCCCTGTTCGTGACGCTCGTGGCGCATCGTGTGGGAATGACCGAATATCTCAACTCTGTCGCAAGCTACGTCATTTTTGGCGAGATACGGCATGCGGACTGTCCCAGATGCATCGAATGGCTTGGCTCACTCACTACCCAAGTACTCAAGTTGGCGACCTATGTATATGCCTAGGTACGACTCTGGTATGGGGTTGATAGTCAGCTCGAATTGAGCCGGACCCAGTTGGGTTGGACTTGATGGGGCAAGGTATCGAGTTGAGCTCGTGTGTGTTTTGCAGGGCGTGGTCTACCTTGATCTGGGAATAGCTACGTCGTGGCTGGCTCACTCTGCTCAGATCGAGTCTCAACGTCCATGTGGCCAGATGCAAGCCCTCGTAGTCCTGTTTGAGACGTTTCGCGGTAGTAGTACATAACACTGGTGACTGCTGCCTGTCCAAGCGACCAACATCTGTCATTTATCCCCGTGTCCATTGCTTTTGACTCAGGGGACAGATCTGTTGAAGCTTTTGTCTCTGTCAAACCACGCCTTTCTACTATGATTATATCAACGCTGCGCTTGACCCGTCATCCCCAGCAACTAGATATCCCGCTTTACAGCACACGGCTCTATACCCATTCGCAAACCAGTCTTACATCTGCGTGTGTAGATCATTCCGCATCGTTCGCAGCAGCGCTGCTTTTGGAAAACAAAGAAGAGATATAATATAGAAAACAGAAACCGGAAACCCCCCCCCCCCCCCTTTGGAGCATCTTCTTTAAGCACTCCGTACCTCATAGCAACAAGTACCTACTCCCTGACATGACATGAAAGCGGCAAAGCGTCTAATGGCCCAACTGGGCAACAAGAGGAATCATCATGCCCACGACCGTGGCCAAGGTGTCTCGCATCTGCGGCCCCTTTGGCTTTCGTTGGTGTGCCGAGCTTGCATCCGAGTAGCCGTTGATGCCCGAACCGTGGTCGTGGCCATGCGCGCCGCCGTCCTCTTGCATGGCTTGCATCGCAACGTATCTGACAAATCGTTAGTAAACCCCATTCGCTGGGTTTCAACATGATCAAAGATGAAAAAGAAAAAACCCACAAAAAGGTCCCCCCTGAAAAGAGCAGCAACATGCCCGTCCACCACTGCCCTGAATATCCCTTCAGGTGGTCCCCGCCCAGAAGCGTGATCATGATCCACGTCGTCAGGGCACCCACAGGGGCTGCAAGGCTGAAAATCACCAGGTGGCCTCGCGCCGCCCGCTTCGACAGCCCCTGCTTGAGCAGAATCGACGTCAGGCCAAACGCAGCCGGGGCCTTGTGGATCATGATGGCAATGAAAATGACAAAGCCCAGGCGCATGTTGGACGAAGTGGCAGACGCCCCCATGGCAATGCCGTCGGCTGCGGCGTGAATGACGAGTCCGGTGGTCGTCGCCAGGCTGCGGGCTCGTCGAGGGGTCGGCGCTAGGGAGTTTAAGAAGCCGTCCGCTTCTTCGTCGATGGATGCCGTGTCGCCTCCTGCGAGGTCGTCGAGGCTGATGTGGCGAGTTTCTGGCGTTGACCGCAGGCTCTCGGTGGCATGCCTGGGGAGTCTGTCAATGAGGAACATGAGGATGAAGCCTGCGATCATGGAGAAGCCAATCTCCATTGTCGGTACTTCGTGAACATGGGGGTGCTCTCCGCCATCTGATTCGTCTCCGTGCTCCTCGTGTTCCTCGTGCTCCGAAGTGGTCTCGGATGAGCCCTGCGGCAGGTCTTCGTCCTCGTTTTGCCGTTTCGTAACCTCGTAACTCTCTGTAATCTCGATCCGCGGTGGAATGCCGGGCAGTTCGTCTGCTCGTATCGCATGAAGAGGGACTGTGGTGTGTACAACGGGAAAGGCCTTGACGATGTCTCTGGGCTCAACGCCGAGGGCCCATGGCGATCTTCGCATCAAACTCCGTGCTTTGTGAAGGTGAGAGGCTTCTGCAGGGGTAACCGCAGTTTCGATGCCCTCGGGGATAATGACGACGAGAGACGTGCCGACCAGCACCCCGACTCCAATACTCGATATCAATCGGAGCTGTGATTGTGAAAGCGTCATCGATAGGGGCAAGGCTCCGGCCATGAATGAACTGTTGAGAGCGCCTATGCATCAGCCGTGTGTCTTGACATGATCGATCGGTAGAGGTGCAGCATACGCCACTGCCATGACAATCTAGGATCAGCACTGTTAGCACATTCACACAGCTTAGAGTCCACATGGCATTGAGCAGAAAGACATACGCATAGGCCAACGAGCAAGAGGAGGCCACCCATGGTGAATCTCGAGTCGGCGCAAACTCGACGTGTGCGTAGGAATAAGGGGGGGGGGGAAGAGGTTCGCCTGTTATCACCGGCTCATCTGCGCATTGTGGCCTCGCGGACCAGCGCTCGCTTCCCTCTGTGAAACGGCAGGGAGTGAGAGGATCGGCTCGGAAATCGTCGACGGTCGGGCGAGACGCGAGGATGCGGAACAGAGGCGACGTAGCAGCAGCAAGATTGTGGTCTGTTGGAAATCCGGGCTTGCGATTTGCTTTGAGTGCACAAGAAGCGGTTTGATTGGCTGGGATGCTCCAATTCGTGTCCCCTAAAAAAAAATCGCCGGTTGAGCAGAGCAAAGCCACTCAGGGGGCCCACCTGCCCTGGGGGGTTCGCCAGCAGGGGTTCGCCTGTATGATTGATTGAAGCGTTGGATATTGATGCAGATGTTCAAATGTTGCAACTGTTTGTTTGTATCTGCATTGATTTGTTTGCATCTTTGGGCTACATTCTGAGCTTCTGTGGACTACAGATAACGTCGAAATTAACGTCGTATCATGGGAAATCATTTACCATAACGTCTCCCGTCACCAACGAGCTGGCTTAGACGACGGCACCTGGCCAATCTTCCCATCTACTACTACCTTAAGGTAGGTACTCAGAGGACTTGTAGAGAGCTATTATACTCCTCTTATTTCCTTCTATCCAGACTTCAACGCGCGGAAACGATGAACAGACAATGTTAGAGATGTCGTCCTTATACAAAGCAAGAGAAATGCCATATCATAAGAACTAACTAGCACATCGCCCATCTCCGGAAATTCAATAAGCGTGAATGAGGCACAATGTTTCAGTACTCAGAGTCCATGTCTTCCAACTTCCTTTTCCATCTACCCCATCTCGTAACAGCTTGAATTGACAACTGTCATCTTTCTTAAAAACAAACCAGACTCCTTCTAGATGGCTTTCGGAATATCCGCCTCCAAGTCTCTTGACCCAACTTTCAGATCAATCCTCCCATATGTAGACGCGGCTCCACAGATCACGAAGCTGGAGATGATAATACCCCACAGAAGATGACTCTTCACAAAGTTTACCTTAATTTATACCTTAATCAAAGCCAAAACTGACACAGCCCTCGTGCTCTCGTATGATGCCCGATACTCCCCGATCGGACGCTCCCCGATGCATGTCTTGTTTACAAGCAACTTGTATCTCATGCAAGCGGGAGCACGACGATAAGTAGGTATCTAACAACCTACCTATCAACGAGTCACCTATGAATCCACCATCCGCCAATAAGGAGCGTGAATAGGCGCTTTTAGAGGAGCCGTTTATACGAGGGAATCTCCGCGTCTTTCGATCCGTCTCTGCATGCGCTAGCCGTGATCCATGCCAGTTGCACCATCCTTTTCCCCATCTCATGGACCAACTTGCCGTCCTGCATTGCCCCCGCCTATTACTATCACTCTTCCATCATTCATGGATGGCTTGTCCTTGTGACCGCCTCCAGCGAATCCGGCATTACCAAGTTTTCTGTTACGTTGAAGATATTACGGCCACAGCGCAATAAGTCTGCAACACCAAGCCACCGTAAGGACCATCCTCCTGCTTGGTAATTGTGTCCCGGTGAGCTGAATGGGGTAATATCGCCATATGTCGAGAACCCACGCTAACACTGTTCATATCCCGAATTGCCGTCAGCTTGGGTAGCAGGAGATCCGATTGGATGTAAGGAAACATCAACTGCCGGCTTCCACCAGTATTAATATGAGCATCCGTCCCTGAAGAGGACCGGTTGTCCATCTTTGAACCGTCCGGCCATTGAGACAGCATCTGTTGGCTACCTTACTTACCAATCATTGTTTCAGCTGTCACACAGCATGGCAACCACCACTACCACCGAGACCCTTCACTCCACAGATGGGATCATCCTCCAAGCTTTGCCGCCAAAGGCAGTCTTGAAGGGCAGCAATGACTCCGAGAGGCCTTTTGCGAATGCCCCGATTCTCGAGCCTGCGAGGTCGAGCAACGATCCTTCGCCCCCCGAAGACGCCTTTGAGGCAAAGGTGAAATGGAACTCGCCGCCCATCAACAAGTACCGTGTCCTGTCGACGTTCTGGTCCTTTTTTGTTCTGGGCATGAATGATGGTTCCTACGGTGTAAGTCCAGGAACCCATGAACCCAGCTGTACGAAGCCGTGGCAAGATGCTGATCATTCCCATAGGCTTTGGTTCCTCAAGTATGACACTCTTTTCATCTTGGTCAATCATAGACGAGACTACTAAATCTTCCAGTTTGAATCTTACTACAACCTGACCTACACCGTCGTCTCGCTCATCTTCCTCTCCCCCTTCGCGGGCTATACCATGGCCGCGCTGGCCAACAGCGCAATTCATATTCGCTTCGGCCAACGAGGCGTGGGCATAATCGCGCCGCTGTTCCGCCTCATCCCCTATCTCGTCATCACCTTTCACCCGCCGTACCCCGTCCTCGTCGTCATGTACATCCTCGTCGGTTTCGGCAATGGCATTGTAGACGCCGCGTGGTGCGCTTGGATCGGCAACATGGCCAACTCGCATGAAGTGTCGGGCGTCTTGCAGGCGTGCTATGCTCTGGGGGCGACGGTGGCTCCCCTTATCACCACGGCTATTAGTTCGCATAGCCGTGGCGGTTGGTGGACGTTTTACTACATCATGGTAAGGGGACCCTCATCAGCTAGTATGTATCTATACGAATGCTTACATGACATGATCCTGCAGGTCAGCGTCTCGGCACTCGAACTCGGTGCCGGCACCACCACCTTCTGGACGCAGACAGGCGCCGTGTACCTGAGCGAGAACCCGCACCAGAAAGCCGGCGAGAAGGCCACCTCGGGACGGACACGGGAGGCGCTCAAGAGCAAGCTGACCTGGTTCTTCTCCCTCTTCATCTTCCTGTACGTCGGCACTGAGGTCTCGATCGGTGGCTGGATCGTCGTCTTCATGACAAAGGTCCGCAACGCCTCCACGTTTGCCGGCAGTGCCACGGCGACGGGCTTCTGGGGCGGCATGACCGTGGGCCGTCTTGTGCTGGGCTTTGTCACCTCCCGGATCGGTGGCTTCCGGGCCATGCTCCTGTACCTCGGGCTGGCCATTGCCATTGAGCTTGTCTTTTGGCTTGTGCCCAACATGGTTGTGACTGCTGTGGCGTCTGCACTGCTGGGCATGATCTTGGGTACGTTTCCCAGGTCTTTCGCATGACAAAAATGGTCGTGTTATGTTGTATGCTGGCTGACACAATGACAGGCCCCATCTTTCCCACGGCAGTGGTGCTCATGACGACGGTCCTCCCTCGCTCCCTCCACATCAGCGCCATTGGCTTTGCAACAGCCATTGGAGGCTCTGGTTCGGCTGCCTTGCCGTTTGCGGTCGGGGCCATTGCGCAGGCAAAGGGTGTCAAGACGCTGCAGCCCATTATCCTCGCGTGCTGTGTCGTGATGCTGATTGTGTGGCTGTTTTTGCAGCGGCATCGACCAAAGGACAAGGAGGTGGGCGTCAACTTGGCGGTGTTCAAGCGGTTGCGTGAGCGGGCCAAGGAGATGCTCAACTGACCTGAAGCGACTGGATTTGGGTATGAAAATCTGCTCACAAGTGGCATTGCAAGATTGACCGATATCAAGTAGTCTTGTTGCTTGGGTATATAAGGTACATCATGTATGGTTGCGTCTCGTGCATTACCTAGACAAGAGGCTGGGGATGTGAAAAAGCCAAGTGACTTCTCTTGTTCTCTTTCTTGTTTGTATCCTTCAACATATCGGGTTTGATAAATTATTGTCCAGATAATCATCTTGTCACCTATATGACATTCTTCTGAATGATCGATCTATTTGTGTTCTGTAAGAGCAGCTCGAAAAGTTCACAGTTGTCTGTACTCGTACATGCGCCAGGGGACATGGCTTGGTTCGACCCGCTTTTGCCGTCAGCCACTTGGGGCTGGTGCCTGACCTGCGGCGACAGAAAAAGGCGGCAGCCCTCAGATTCTAGACCTACAGCAGTAGGATTACACGCATATAGACTGCGGTTAAAGAGGCGCCTCAGAAGCTCACTATCGGGGTCCCTATTTTGCCCTTGTGTGTGCTTGTTCTTTCATTGTGTCTTTTCTTTTCCATCATCTCTTACCCAGTCGACGTCAACTCCCAGCAGTAGAGTCGCAATCTCAACCTCAACCTCAACACCTACTTCCATCAAACTTCAAAGAAGCGACATCGCGAGTTGCAAGTTGAGCAGCGCAAGCTTTGGCTGAGGCAGCCTCAGCTCGCAGATGATGAACCATGAACCCTGAGCCGGCGTCTCCCAAGAGGCGGCACATTCTTTCATCCATCAACCCGCAGCAGTCGTCAGACAAGGAGCAAAGAGAGGCGACGACACCGCGAGATGACGTCAAGCCAGCAGCCTCTGCCGATGGCGACGATGCGAATGCGGATGCGACAAGGCCGCGGCGGTCTCGCCTGAGGCTCAAGGGCGAGAAGAAGCGCCGTCATCGCTCTCGCAGCGATGAGCGCGACGCTGAATCCGGGCGTCATCGGCATCACCATCATCACCGGCATCGCCATCGCCGGCGACGAGAGCGCTCTCCCACGCCGCCTAATCCCTATGATCCGCCGCCTCTGGATCCAGATGCTGCGTTTCGCGAGTCGCTCTTTGACGCCATGGCCGATGACGAGGGCGCCGCGTATTGGGAAGGGGTCTACGGCCAGCCCATCCACGTCTACTCAGACGAGAAAGTCGGGCCGATGGGCGAGCTTGAGAAGATGACGGACGAAGAGTACGCGGCGTATGTTCGTCAAAAGATGTGGGAGAAGACGAATGCCGGTTTACTGGAAGAGAGGGCGAGGCGCGAGGAGGAGCGCAAGAGGAAGAAGGAAGAAGAGCAGCAGCGAAGTAAAGAGGAGCGAAAGAATCGCAAGCTGCGGGATGAAATGGAGGCCAGTCTGCGCAGGGCCGAGGAACGACGGCGGTCACGGCGATGGGCCGATGCATGGGACGCGTACACGAAGGCGTGGGCTGCCTGGGATGGTTCCCTGGAGAAGCTTGCCTGGCCGGTGCTGAGCGGGCAGCGGAAGGATGTCACTGAGGAGGCTGTTCGGGAGTTTTTCTTGCATGGCATTGGCTTGGAGGAGGTTGGGGAGCAGCAGTTTGCTGCCAAGCTCAAGGAGGAGCGTGTGCGTTGGCATCCCGACAAGATGCAGCAGAGACTGGGCGGACAGGGAGGCAGCGATGTCCTCAAAGATGTGACGGCCATCTTCCAGATGGTGGATAAGCTTTGGGGGCAAATGAGGAAAAAGACTTGAAGCCCTGAATCGACTGAGATGCTTGACACGCAACTGTTCATCACTCGCCTTTGGGCCCTCGATTGAGGCAAGCTCCTCAGCTCACGAACGGCAGCACCTACAGAGCATGAAAGCATTTGGCATAGATAACAAGGTAACATCAAGACTTGACACTGGACCAGGATCGTCGACTAATGCATCTTTAGACCGTTCTTATATCAAGACTTGCCGCGCTCAATGACTGTATACTCATACATAATTGAAGGGACCAAGGCGTGCCACGTTCTGCTCCCGCGAGTTTTAAGGGTATTCCAGCGGCCATCCGTGTTCACAATCCGCAACCAAGCCCGAGTACCCGTCACCCATTCCCGTCCCATGCTACCAAAAGTTTTCGCCTCGTGACGTCCCATTAGAGAAACCAGTTACGAACAGGATTGAATGAAAACCGCCTCACATGTTAGCGAGAACAGCGGCACCGCCGAGCAGCGCACCCATGGCCATGAAGCCCGTCTGCATCGGCGCAGCAGCATCGTCGTGGTCCGACGAGGCGGCGGCAGCAGCCTTGCTGGTCTCGCTGGCGAGCGAGGCGCTGAGCTTGGAGATGTCGGCGCTGACGGAGGACGCGGCGGCGCCGGTGGCCGTGGCGGCGACGCTGCTGAGAGAGCTGAAGAGGGGTGCGGCCTCGGAGGTGAGGCTGGCAATGACCTTTGAGGGCTTGTCGGAGTCGAAGATGGAGTCGATGGCGGAGTTGACGGCGTGGCCCTTGGACTTGCCCTCGTCCCAGTTGGAGTGGACGTTGTCGACAAAGGAGGAGACCTTGCCGGCGGCGCCGGTGATGAAGGTTGAGATGTCGTCGAAGAGGCCTGGTTCGGGGGCGGGAGAGGGGGCTGGGGAGGGGGCTGGGGAGGCCTGTGCATTTTGGTTTTGTTAGCTTGGGGTCATGTTTGGATCTGCTTTTGAGGTGATGGTTGGGAATATGGGAGGATCGAGTGATGAGGTTGATTGATTTATTGAGTGAGTGAGTGAGTGAGTGGATGGATGTGTGTAAGTCATACCTGAACAAGGGCGGCAGCGGCAAAGATGGCAAAGCTGGAGAACTTCATGGTGGATGTTTGTTTAGAAGGTTGTTTGAGGCTTGGTATGAGATGGAGTTGTTGATTGTCGAGAGGGATGATGCTGCTAGTCTTGATGTGACTGGTCGATCAGATGTGATACTCGGGAGAAGAAGAAGAAGAAGGAGAAGGAGAAGGGAAAAGACACGAAAGGGCGGAATGGAAAGGCTGCAGAGTTATATACCACACACTCCCTCTCACTCTCACACACTCTCCCTCCCTTTGAGACTCGTTGGAGTGACACACAGCTGGTACATTGTCCACTGAGACAAACATGCAACCCAATCAGTGAACATTTTTAAATCGAATTTAAAAAATAACATAAAATAAAAATGAATAAATAAATGCCCGGGCTGCCTCACTTGGGAAGGGGGCGCGGTCGAACTGGGGGTAACGGGACCGGATGTAACACACACACACACACACGCCAACGGGAAGAAAAAAAGCAGTGCATATGTGCGCGCATGTGGCTGAGATTCGGGGGAGGGGCCATGAGGATCTCGAGGTACTTCTGACGTTGGTACTGGGGGGGGGGGGACTCGCGTTGCTTTGAGATGTTGCCCTTGCGGGAAAGGCCAACGCCAGATAAGGTACCTCTGGGGGTCCTTGAATTTTGGAAGTGGAGGGTTTTGACTTGCTTGGGGCAGTTTCTTTTAATACGTGGGGAGCTGTGGTGGTTGATGGGAGTGAGGTATGAGGACGTGTAATGTTGTTGTTTGAGGATATTGCCTTTTTCGAGGCCGCTGTTGGGGTCGCGAACCTTTTCTGTTTTATTATTACTGAAGCTAGGTATAGACGGTACTTTGAAAAAGGGCCTTTATTACTACTTTGTGCATCTTCTGCCTCTGATTCCGCAAGATCTGGTAGGTTTTAAACGAGCTGGGGATAGATTTGATGTTACTGCTTGCTACTGCTACTGCAGGGCCCCAGCGAAATCCTCCGAGCAGGCAGAATCGTGTAGTACTTTTTTAGAGGGAGATTTAATACGATTTGGGGGGAGGGGAGGAGTGTGGCTCATGCGAGGGGATCAAGTGTTTGGCAGTGCTGGCACAAGATGCCAAGTCTTTTGATAATACGGGGGGGAGTCTTCCCTTCGCAGTACGTAGTCTTGATTTCTCTTCCTTGGTTCAGGTATGGACGGGAATTTGATCATGGTGGGCTTGCGTGGACGGACTGGAGGGTGCGCTGTGCGGGAGGCGGTTGGTGACGGAGGGAGGACCAACGAGGACAAACATAAGATACATGTGAAGCAGTCAGGATATTCTTCTAGGTAAGGTAGACGGAAGAAAGATGGGAGAAAGTATTACATAGGAGAGAGGGAGAGAGAGGGGGAGGGGGACAGTTTTGCTGGAGGAGGATGATGCCCAAGTGAGTTGCTACCTACAGATGATACCAATTGCTGAGCAGTCGATCAGAGGAATTAGAACATCCCTGCCGGTACAGTAATATCGTTGCATGCATGAGGCCGGTACATGACGCTCAAGTACTCTTACTACTACTACTACCGGGCTGACCCTTGGGACCGGGGTAGGCGAGGGAGGAGAGGCTTTGGGGCGGGAAAGATGACAGGACAGGGGGGGTTGGAGAAGGCTAGATGCAGGATGGGAATGGCTGTTCTTCTCTTGCACCAGCCACCGCCACAGACTCGACTTCGAGTATGAGCTCTTCTGTAGGTATACAGGTAGTAGTAGTGCATACTCTGGTACCAGGTAGTACCAATCAAGAGATGATTCGTGTTGATGCAACTTGTCCTGGGTAGGTACTATTACTATCAGTTTCATAGCCCGTTTGTGGTTGTTGCTTCTTGTCTTGTACATAGGATGCAGACCCAGCGGCTATTCACAGAAAAAACATCCACGGCAAGACGCATTTTTTGCCAGCGCAGCAACTAAGCAAGCAAGCAAGCAGCCGCCGCAGGATTCAGAATCCTTCTTTTTCGCATGCCCAACGAATATTAACAGCGGATGCAAAAGCAGGGGCGCGGCTTGGGCGGCACAAGGGGGGAGGATTCAAGTTTCGTTGTCTGGGTGTCTCGGAGTGCAACGGCTTTGTTCTGGCGTCATTTTTGCCTTGTGAATTGGGAGAATGGGCTGGATGGGGGTTTTCAAATTGGGGCGAGGCTGATTGTTCATTTTAAGGAGGATCTTTGTTTGGGGGAGGAAATAGAATGCTACAGAGGTGCAGGGCTGCGCTTTTGATGCTGCTAGTATGAAGGTCGAAGTTCTGGGGGTTTGAGAGGTTTGGTAAGGCTGATTACATGTACTGTTGATTGACGGATGAGCCTGTCATGGGAATAATCCTTGGTCTCGTCTATCTACCTAAGAAAAGATGGATGACTTTTGAGGTGAATGGAATTCCAGGATCAACATACCCAAACTATTGATAATACGTCACGGTTCTGCAAGTCCAGCGCCTGTCAAATGCACCGAATTCGTTCCCTGGCCGGAGCATTTCTCTGATGAATGATTGAATGCCCAGACGTTATTACAGCCCAACCCCCCCTGTTCAATGGGGCTGTTGCAGCTGCAGGGGATCGTGACAGTAAGCCGGAAAGCGGCGATCTTGGGGGTGAGGTGACGGCTGTGTCTCGAGTACGGTACCCGTATGTGCAGATGTACTTGTATACTACCTAGGTAGGTACTATATGCCGTTGGATGGCGTCTTCTCTCGCCGAGACAAAGAAAATAAAAGTCCCCAGCCGTCATGGGCGGAAAATATAGGAAAGAAAAGGGGGGAAATTGCACGAGTTTCTTTTCTTGTGCGAAGAGGCAATGACCTGTTGGTGCTACCATCTAGGTACCTAGCATGTATTCTCCTCTGTGGGAGATGATAAAAACTCCCCCGTACAACCACATTCACTTCGTACTACCTAGGTAGAAGGTACTAGACAGACGGGGGACAAGAACAAGAACAAGAACAAGAACTCAAACATGTTTAGGCGTGGCGAGAAGGGCTTAGCATTCCTGCGTGTCACCGACAAGAGACTGAGACAAGGCGGCAACTCTTGTCATACGGCCAAGGAGAAGAGCAGGAGAGTTGAGAGCAGGATTTCTGGGCATCCATCCCTTGTGGCTCTTTTGTTTGTGATACTCACCGCTCTAATAACTGTACGTACCTGCTGTATGTGAATATAGTAGTAACCAGAGATGTAGGTACCTACCTACATACAATAAGAAAGTGATAGTACCTACCTGTTGTTTCTCGGCCTCCGTCATACCACACTTTTGCCAAGCCATTGATTCTCTCGTAGAGACTGTAATACATATTTCCCTTGCTTCATTGCGCCGCTACTTACACCCGATACCACGCCATCCAAGGTATCTAGTGTACATGTAGGTATTTTCACCAGCATCGCCGTCTTCCTTCTCCATCGGGCAGAATCCATCTGCAAAGGGTCCTGGTCCCATCTAGTACATCGGAAACGTCAATCAAAAAAGCCATATCTTGTCAATTCATGTACGGTAATCTACCTACAGTACTATCACCACCATGTCATTGCCCAGCCTCGTCGTTTTCTAGAATAACAGCTCAATATGCATATCTATCTAATGTAAAACTAGCCCTTCCCATCATCACTTCTCTTCTACTTGCATCAGCACTTTGTTCATAATAGCTCAGAGAAAAAAAGACATCACGCAGCCTTTGACCAATACTCAATCATACTTGTCATTTACCCTCCATCATTCAAAAAGCCCCGTCAAGTCGAAACCCGGCATCATCATCATCATCATCATCTCCTGGGCATCCTTCCTTTCCGCCCCAATCATCCATGCGATGCTCCTGCATGTGCAGCTGTCCGATCGACAGACGGAGCCCCATCATCCCTGCGAATCACGTAATATCGTACCGGTACTTTGGTCCAAGGTACATATAGACAACTACCTAGGTGCCTAAGGTACCCTGCCTGCCTTAATCTTAGCGAAGCTCGAAAGCCAAGATGCTCCGCTGCGGGACGTGGAGCAGCAGCAGCAGCAGCAGCACTTTAGGTACCTAGGTAGGTAGGTATCGTGACCGTTAGAGACTGAACGCCGCCCCGCCTCGTCATCATAGGTACACTAGAACGACGCTCTGATACAGCCAACATTCCATATTGCAAGTCTCCCGTCTTGAACGCGTGTACAATTTGCCTCGCATCAAGTAGACTCGTAACCCAGACAGGCATTCATATATACACAGGACATACACAGTCAATGCAGCAAAGAATATAAAGATCAATAAAAAGAGGTCAATGGCGAGCAATTGGCCGCGTAACGCCCCTCTACTATACGAGCAGCATACAGACATACTATACCCAAGGTAACCCAAACTCAAAGCCACTTGACAGCCTGCCAAACGTCCTGTACATCTCCAAACGCCCCCCCCTTTTGAGCAACGCAAAGGAAAACAAGCAAAAAAGAAAAGAAGAGAGAAAAACCATCCGATTCAGACCTCGCGATACGGCGAAATGCCCTTCTTCAGCTCCGCCACAATCTCGGCAGCCTCGTCAGCGCTGCGAGCCTCAAAGTCGTAGCGTTTGCTCTCTGTGGCTTTGTACACGACGAGCTATTTTTGGTGTTCCCTGTTAGCCTCTCCTCTCCAACGCAAAATACTAACACAACTTGTACACCGGAAACGAGGCTGAGCTCGCCACGCACGACGACCTAATCCACATCCACTGCAGGAAGCCGTCACAAGCAGACATGTACAAGGAAAAGAAGAGAGAAATCATGCCCCGTGTGTCAACTCACCTTGACGTTGGTGGGATGCTTTCGAGGCACCTTACACCCGATTACGTTGCTAAAGTGCACCGTCGTCGTCTTGCCCCCTTCCTGCACCGCCTTGCCCCCCGACGACGGCACAATGTGAATGTACTCGCCGTCAATCACCAACACCCGCTCGCTCATGCCCACGATGCGCATCGGCTGCTTGCGCCAGACCGTGTACCGCTTGTAGTTGGCACTGGGCAGCTCGTCCGGCTGCATCACCTCGCGCGCCAGCGGGTGCGAGCCCGGCGTGTAGCCCCCCTTCTTGTGCCCCTTGCGCGGCGGCGGCCCGTCCAGCATCGGCACCGTCTTGGGCGACGACGTGCCCGGCGAGCCAGTAATCGCCAGCGGGCCGTCCGTCGCAAACCGGCGGCGGTACAGCTCCAGGTCCGTCACGTTGCCAATCGACGACACCGGCCGGTCCAGCATGACGAGGGCCCCCGACCCCGGCAGCTTCAAGACATGGTTTGCCTTGTCCAGGTGTCTCTTGCGGCACACCTGGTCCAGCACCTCGGCAAAGTACATGTCGGTGGTGATGTCAAGTGTCACCATCTGGCCTGCCGCCACATCCGACGACATGATGTAGATGCGCAGCAGCTTCTGCTGGCCCCGCATTGCGTTGGACACGTTTGTCCGCGTCTGGGGAGCGTCCGCCAACAGCACGTTGGGCCGGTACGCAGTCGTCAGGATCGGGTTCGGACGGGGATGCACAGAAGGCGGCGGAGAGAGCATGCCACTGCCACTGCCACTGGCATTGGCACCGGCACCGGCACCGGCACTCGCGTGTTCGCTCTTTTCGGGCGTTCCCTCTTCGGCAATCGTGTCGTGAGTCGGCTGCGCTTCCTCTTCCTCCTCGTCTTCCTGTGGCGTCTGCTTCTGGTTGGCTTCGTACTCTGCCTCTGTAGCTTCCACAATAGCAAACTCGTCGTAGACTTTTGAATTGGACCTCGTCCGTCCGCCGCCCCTCAGGTGAGCGTTGTTGACTGTGGTGGCCGACGTAAGGGGCTTTGTCCTGTCAAAGGGCGGGAAGTCGTCGTCCACCTCGCCGCCCTCTTCCACCATCACCAGCGTATACCAGTTGATGTTGCGCTTCTTCGGAGGAATCGGCGGCTCTCTCTTCTCCTCGTTGTACTTGTACAGCGATAGCCCTATCAGGTCGGCAATGGTGACGGCCCTCTCCACTCCTTGACCGGTTTGCACGCGGGGGCGGATGAGCACTTCCAGATACTTGCTAGGCGTCTTGGAGAATGCGGCGTAGATGCGGACGGAAATGGCCCCCTGCGTTCCCTCCCCGTTGAGGTGAGCAAACTTTTGAAACGGCACGCTCGACTTGAACCGCTTGGCCTTGAGCGCCGCGGAGAGCAGGCTCTGGGGCTGGACGACGCTGAGGGGCCGGATAGTGCTCATCGGGCGTGGCGGCGGCAGCGCGTTGAAGACTGACAGAGGCGGGTGTGCCGAGTTGCGGATCGTAGACTGCCTCATGAAATTCCTCGGGGGCGTGCCCACTACTTGCCGCGTGGGAGAGGCGGTGATGGGATTGTTCTCCACGACATCGAGGATCGAGGCCTCGTCGATGCTCGCCACGTACTCTCCCGAAATGTCTGAGCCCTCGTCAGAGTCATCGTCATCCTCGTCTTCCTCGCGAAGCAGCGAAGGGTCACCGGGCTGCACGCCCTGCGAGGGCTCCTCGTTGATCTTGTCCTGCATCCTCATTGCCCTTGTTGCTGCGCGCGCGGCCTCCCGGTGCCTGTATGCCGCTGGCACGTCGAACTCGTTCTCGGACGATACTTCGCTGCTAGTCACCGTGTCTCGTCTTGGTCGTCCAGGCAATATGTTGAGCGACGACTGGGAGCCCCGCCGGGGGGCTCGAGGGGAGACGTTCATGGGCTGAAGATGCGAGGCCTGACCGGGTGAGGATCCCGCGCGGTGCCGTACGGGCATCTTGGCAAACTTTATCTGCTGCGCCGCGCGATGTTCCGACTCGTCCTCGCTCTCGTCGCTAAAGTCGCTGCTGTCGTCCTCCTCCATCTGCTCGCGGCGCCGGCGCCTCTTGGTTGCCGCCCCCGGGCCCATTGTGTCGGCGCCGCCGCCCGTCAGCATGCCGCCATCTTCGAAGCGGTCTTCCAGCGTCAGGCCAGCCTGTCGGGGAGCCTGGAAGTATTCTGAGGCGATGGCCGTGGGGATCGGCGGCGAATGGGTGCGCTTGACGTGTGACGAGTTTGGCCGCCAGCCAGCGGACTTGAAGGGGACGGTGTTGATGCTGCTGTCGTTGACGGAGATGAGGCGCTCGCCTACGCCGTCGGCGATTTCGTTGAGGTAGCCGGTGCGAAGCTGGTACGTGACGAGCCTGGGGCATCAGTTAGCTGGCGAGGGACGTTCTGCGCATTGGCAAGCCGTGGAGGTTGGCGGGCTCACTCCTCAATCTGGATGAGAGACATGGCGAGGGATGCGGCTGTGGAAACAGCTGGCGAGCAATCGAGCCCGATGCGAGCTGGAGACGCGTTGTAGGGCTTGGACGTGATGCTAAGAGTGTGCCATGAGCGCTCACATGGTTGCTCGGCACAGCTGGTGGGAGGTTTGACGCCTTGACTGCTTCGCTTTGGTTGTGCAAGGCGGAGGAGGGTTCCGTTGAGATTGAGATTGGAGGTCAACAGCTTAATAACGTAGCTGCGTGGGGTAGCGTCTAGAGGACCCTTAGCGCTGTTATGTCGGGGCCTGGAGAGCCGATGCCGATGCTGCGAGATTGGGGGGGGGCATCCAAGGTTCTGTATCGGGATGAGCACGCGCATGGATTGACTGTCTTTCAACGAGAGAGAGCACCATGTAGCAAGTCGTACACTCTCTTACAAGCAAGCTGCCGAATCTACAAGCTGAACAGCTCTGTGGTGACATGGATCTCGAAGACGAGTGACTGAGCTGAGTTGCCTGGATCCTGCTGCTGTTGCTGCTGCAGCAGTTGGCCATGCACTAAAAATCCCCTGTAGCTGTCCCTGAACACGATCCACCTTCACGTCACACCCTCCAGCCCAACTTTTCTCCTGCAACTCTCTTAACAACCAGGCAACTTTGAATCGCCCTCCACGACGCCACTCTTGGAGATTATCCTCATCATTCCATTTCTTCCTGCCACCAATATGGGTCTCGTCGATTATTCCGACTCGGAATCAGACGCCGAAATCGAAGCGCCGGCCCAGCCCGTCGTCACCAAGGCTCCTCCCAAGAAACCTGCCTTCCAGAAGGTCGTCGACCGAGCGAACCCGGGCAAAATCACCATCAACCTCCCCCAAGTCGCCTCTTCTGCCGGCGAAGGCGCACCAAACGGCGACGAACCGCCGGCGAAACGCGCGCGCACAGGCGGTGGCGGCCTCTTTTCCGGCTTCAATTCGTTTCTCCCACCGCCAAAGAACACGGGCAAGGCGACGACGCTGAGCAAACCCGCCGGCAGCAGCCAGACTCGACCAGGCATCAATCTCAAGACCAGTGCGGAAAGGGGCTTCAGCCGCGAAGAAGATGCCTCGAGCGCGTCCAGCGGCGCAGACGGCGCTGCGCCTGGAGGGTTGAACTTGCCACCACCTAAACGGCCGGCGGAGCCCTCGATACCGGACACAATGAAGCCTGCTGAAGAGGTCAAGCTGGTGGGCAAACCACTAATGTTCAAACCCCTGTCGGTTGCTCGGAATACGAAAAAGAAGACGACAAAGAGCACGGCGACACCCGCTTCCGCCACATCGACATCAAAGTCACCAGCCTCGATACAAGCGACGACCTCGGCGGCAGGGCCAGAGCCAGAGTCAGCTCCCGCTCCAGCGCCGCCTCCGAAAAAGACATCACTCTTCTCATTACACGTGGAAGAACCGTCGGAACTAGCGCCGACAGAAGGAAGGGGCACTTATGAACCACTCTTTGAGACTGGGGAAGCGACGGATCTGTATGGCGCGAATGGCCTCGACGAGTACTCGCAGCATGTCAACAGCGGCCATATGCCTGCCACCGTAGCGACATCATCCAACGCGACAGAGTCGCTGGACAGCGTTGCCGATGATTTGAACCTTTCCGCAGCGGCGAGAAGAGAATTGTTTGGGCGGGGAGGCAGTGGACAGACGGCGAAGAAACTCATCAACTTCAACATGGATCAAGAGTATCAGCACAACGAAGAGCTCAGAGCTGCCGGCGACCAGCAGATTCACAATCCCGTCCGCGCCATACACGGCGGCAAGCACAGCCTCCGCCAGCTGGTACAGAATGTTTCCAACCAGCGGGAGGCGTTGGAGGAGAGCTTTGCAAAGGGCAGAAGCAATCGCCGAGAAGCTTCGAGCCGTTACGGGTGGTGACGAAACTTCAGCAGCGTTGCCTATTCCAAGTCACTTTGGAGACATTCAAGCCTTTATGCGACATGAAGACGTTGTGTATTTTCCTCTTACGTGCGAAGTAATCATCGCCAGAATACCCCCTCCCCCCCCTTTTTCCCCCAGAAGAACGCCGATTCACCTCGCTGTGCCCAGACCAAAGTAGAAAGTTATAAATATAACAGGGGAATGAAGAAGAAGAAGAAGAAGAAGAAGTAGAAGTTGCCAAATCATGATACCACGCCGCCTTGATAACGAAGATTCAAAAGGTTTCCACCGCAGCGGTCTTGCCTATATTCAGCCCGTTGCCGCCCATGAGGAAACCCCATTCGCCGCGCGTCACTGGCGATATGTCGTCGTATCCGTGAGGCGTCATGGGCCCTATTGCGGGCGAGTGCGGCTGCAAGTCCGTGTTTGTGCTTGGGCTGAGCATCTGGTCGATGGTGAAGCGGGTGTTCCACATGGAGGCCACGGATCGATCGACCGGCCGTGCTGTGTGGGCTTCCTCTTCGGGCTCCTCGATCTTTGGTACCTCGGGTGGCTTCTTGTCCGGTTCAACAGGGGATCTGGACTTTGGCGAGAAATCAGTCTGCAGCTTCAGCGGGGGCCCGATTCTCCGAGGCGTGGGCGGTCGAGAGAACTTGACGGCTGTCATGGCGACGTTTACAATGCCGTCGTCGAGGATCGTGCTCGAGGGACTGAGGCTGCCGTCCTCCCAGTCGTCGACGAGGAAGCGGTTCTTTGGCGGCAGATGCAGCACAAACGGCGGCTTCGGGGGCCTGTCCGCCGCCGCCGCCGCAGACGACGACGATGATGATGATGACGGCATGCCTGTGATGCCGCCGACGAGCTCGGGCCCGCCGTACGCGCGGCGATACATGCGGTCGAGGTCGCCGATGGCGGAGGCGCTGACGCCGAGCCAGTCGTAGGAGCGAAGGAGGTCGGCGCGGGTGACCTTGCCGCCGTTGTTGGCGAGGACGTAGCGGCGCAGCTCGTCGACGGCGTCCTCGAGGCGCAGCGGGGAGTTTGACTTGGAGTAGCTGGAGAGGGCGCTCTTGATGCTGTAGAGGCGGTCGAGGGTGAGGAGGCTGAGGCCGTCGGAGGAGAAGAGGACTTCGTTTTGGACGACGGAGCTGTGGTAGAGCTGGGTGGTGAGGTCGCGGGTGCTGGGGCTCGTGAGGGGGACGAGCCATCCGCTCCTGGAATGGGGGGGTAAAGTTAGTGGTCAACGTTGTGTGTTCTTTTTGCTTTGTTCATACCAAGGAGGATGGATGAATGAGAGTGATCAGGGAAGGGGGGTGGGATATGTCCTGGGGCTTACCCGACGCCAAACTTGTTGCCCGCCTTGATGAGGGTGCTCTTGAGGATCTTGTCGGTCCGCGGGGACAAGTCTCCTGAGTGAAAGCAGCGAAGACTACCCGTGCTGCTGCTGTTGTTAGATGCAGTCGATCCGTTGCTCTCCGTCGTAGTCAGCGACGATGTCGTCGTCGTCGTCGACGGCGTCATTGGCGGAGGCGACGACGGAAACGCCGGCGAAAGCGGCCACCAGAACCTCGGGCTGGACGCCGGTTCCGTCGAAGGATATGTCGACGAAGGCGGGCCGGCGGCACTGCGCGGGCTGCTGCCCACGACGTGCTGCGACGCGGACCGCATGAGGTGCTTGAGACTTGAAAAGGCGAGCCGCCGGGCGGGACTGCTGCTGCTGCTGCTGCTGCCGCCGGTGAGAGGAGGAGGCGGGGAGTCTGGGGTGCCGGGCGTGGAGCAGGACTGCTGTTGTTGCTGCTGCTGCTGCTGCTGCTGTGGAGAGAATGGAGGAGAAGAAGAGGAGGAGGAGGAGGAGGAGGAGATGGGCGAGTTGAGCAGCTGGTAGTCGCGCTTGACGATGATGAGGGTTAGGTGGATTGACTTGCGGGCGAGGCGGCCGGAGGTGTATTCCAGGACGGGGAGGAGATGAGGCGCGATGTGGTGGGCGTCGAGGAGGGAGGGGCCGGCCTCGAGGGGGGAGGAGATGCGTTCCCTGAGGGCCATGGCTGCGGTATCTCGGACGAAATGTCGAGGCAGGAATATGAAAGGCGGGATGTCAAGACAGAGGATGTCAAGACGGGCTCTCACAGGCAGAAAGGGGTCGGACAACAACAACGACAGTCAGTATATGACAGAAGCGAAGGAGTGAAATCGTCGGTCCCCCCCAGATGTCGCTTTTCTTCTCTCCTGTGCCTTGTCGTTGCTGGATCATTTACCCTCTCCTCCTGGGTGAATGACGCATGTGCAGTGTTGATGCTGCTGTCTGACTTTGTCTGCTTCTTGCTACTGCCGCCGCCGTCCGGGACCGAACGTCGTGGAGAAGAAGGGGAGGGGGGAAAAAAAGAGAGGAGCCCGGCAGGACGGGACAGCTGGGGGGCGAGGGTGTAAGATATATATCAAAAACACACAGCTCCCACTAATACGACGACGACAAACACCAAGAATAACATGAAACATGCCCACAGGCCGAGTTTGTAAACAAAGGAAAAGTGACGACGCCCCGCAGTACTATCAGAAGGCAAATCTGTGGAAACAAGACTGATGATGACGAGCTGCTCGGAAACGGAGCCAAGAAAGCTTGCCCCTGCGTCTTGGGAGCTATTTTTGACTCTGGAGAGTGCATGTGGTGGTGGTGGTGGTTTTCGGTATGAAGTGAGGGAATGAGATGCATTGCGCTAAGAAGAGGTCCCCCCCCCCCCCCCCCCCGGGCTCATGCAGTTCAAGGGCCGGGCGCGTAAAGGGGAGACCAAGAGCACATGGGAGTATGTATGGAGTAGCAGGTAATATGCACGTATATGGAGTACTGCCTTATTAGTGCTTGCTGCTGGTAATACCTTGTTTACGAAACCACGGCAATGATTCTATGGAACGGGATAGTATTGATTACTGGTGGTTTGGACAAGCCAAGGATGGGGCATGGAGGAGGAAGAGGAAGAGGAGGAGGAAGAGGAGGAGGAAGAGGAGGAGGAAGAGGAGGTTGCATGGGACACATGTGGGCAGGGCCCCCTTGTGGTTCCGGGGCGTCAGTCAGCCAGCCCTATCGTGAGAGTTTCCACCGCCATGCAGCGGATAGTATTGTGAAACTTGTCTTGTTGTTGTTGGTTGGGAGTTGGGAGGATGAGAAGCTGAGCAGCAAGCTGTTGCAGATGGGAGGGATGTTGGATTGGAAGTGAAAGGGGGGAAGAAGGAGAAGAAGGTTGACCAACGAGAGTGTGCATCGTTGAATGTCCAACCAGCTGCTGTCGTGCACGATTTTCTTCATACACATGTCGTGCAACAACAACAAAGCAAACAAAAGCCGGGGGGATGAATGAATTCTTTTTTTTTTTTCTTGACTTGTTTTCCTTTGATGCTTGTTGTATTGTTTTTTTCTTTTTCTGGGGCGTCACATAGGCGACAAAAAAGAACCCCCCTGTCGAGAGAGGGTGCTTCCAGGGGTGGTAAACTGGCGGGGGAGGAGAGGGGTTTGATTCGCTGGGCGGGTGCTGTGACGAAAGAGGGTCGGCGGCTAAAGAATCGAATGGGGAGGAATTGATGCTCGGGTTTATTTATAACGACAAGATGGTGGTGGGTGTGATTGATTGGTTAGAAGGAGGGGGATAATCCTTGTTTGGTGTTGGCGATTTGGTGGGGAGAATCTCTGTCTGTGTGTGTGTGTAAGTGGACTGACTGTGTGAGTGTGAGGGTTCCCCTGTTGACGATGGTGATGATGTGATGTGATGCTACGGGGAGAAGAAGAGAAAACAAGGGGAGAAGATGCATGGATGTATCCTGCTTGAAGGGGGAACATGGTGACGATGCTATTTATATGGCTTGATGCATCGGTGCCTTGATCGAATGGCACCCACACCCTTTTTTTTCCAGCTTCTTCGCTGTCGCCTTCTGTTCTTCTCAGAGACCCCCTTGTTCGATAAACCCTTGCGGGAGACTAATATTGTGGGAGAAGGATGCAGTGGAGATGCTGTGCTGTCCCTGCATAAGTCTCTTTTTTTTGGTCTATCTTGTATCGGCAAAGGGTTCGGTGGTGGTTTGGATGCGGCTGAAAGAGTGCGTGGTAGTAGTCATAGCGTGTGATGAGGTGGGTGATGGTGTGAGGGTGTGAGGGATGGGCTGGTGAGTGGATGGAGGAGCGGAAAGTTGGTGGAGGTGGTGTTTCAGTTGGCGATGGAGATGATGATTCATGGCATGGAGTGGGAGATTGAGTTTCGGTGATGTTTCGCTGATGATTATGTTTTATAGGGTATGTGTTGATAATGTGTTGGCGTGGTGACGGTCAAATGTCAGATTGGCACTCTATCCTCAACAAGAGACGTTGTGTTCAGCAAGCATCAGTCAATTTCATCTAGCAAGACAACTCGCTCTTTATGTACGAGAACAAACAAACTCGGTCTAGAACAAAAGAAAAAAAAAATCCATAGCATATACTCTGCAAACCCTAGATCAGATACAAATCCTTGTGCTCAGCCTTGATCAAATCAGCCCCCTTCTCGCCAACCATGTACACCGAGTTCTGGATCCGGCAGTCCGGAATCACAGGCATGATCGAGGCATCAATCACGCGCAGCTTCTTGACCCCGTGCACCTTGAGAGCCGGGTCGACGACGCCCTGCTCAATCGTCTTGCCCAGCCGGGCGCTGCCGCAGGGGTGGAACGCCGTCTGGCACCGGTCCAGCACGGCGCGCCTCATCTCGGCGTCGTCGTCGAGCGGCATGTCCCAGGGGTACTCGTCCACGACGAGGTCCTTGAAGCCCTCGCCCTTGGTGAGCAGGTCGTAGCTGAAGCGGATGCCCTCGCGCATGGCGATGATGTCGAGCTCGCTCTCGAAAAAGTTGAGGTTGATGTTGGGCTGGTCCATGTGGTTGGCGCTGTTGAGCGTCACCTCGCCCGGCTTGGAGATTGGCCGCACCAGGTCGACGACGACGGTCGTGTGCGCGCCCTCTTTCGGCGTCGGGAAGTGCCACTGGAAGGCGCTGCCAAACATGGCGACAAAGTCCAGCTCAAAGTGCGGCTGGCCGTCCGGGCACAGCGGGTCCTTGCCGCCGTTGGCCGCCACGGCCTTGCTGTAGACGGGGTCCTTGGCCAGGTACCGGTCGATGCGCGGGAAGCCGACCATCTCGAGGAAGCCGGAGCCGAGCGGGCCCGAGTGGTCCCTTGCGTAGGCGGCGCGGGCCGCGGCGTTGGCCGCCGTCTTGCGCAGGACGACGTCGTCCATGCCGAAGCCGTCCTTGACGCGGACGACAAAGGGAACCGCCGGGTGGTCAATCAGGTTCTGGCCGACGTGGCGCGAGTCGACGATGCAGTCGATGTTGTGCTTGGCCAGCTCCCTCGCGGGCCCGATGCCGCTGAGCATCAGCAGCTTGGGGCTCTCGTACACGCCCTGCGACAGAATCACCTCGCGGTCGGCGTAGAAGCTGAGCTCGGTGCCGTCGGCCTGGGTCACGGTGACGCCCCTGCAGACGCGGTCGGCGTAGTCGACCAGCAGCCGCTTCGAGTGCACGCCCGTGACGACGGTGATGTTGGGCTTGTTCTTGAGGAAGAGGAAGCTGCCGCTGCGCTGGCCCTTGTAGATGCTGTCGGCGCAGTGGTACAGGCCGAGCATGTCGCCGTCGTAGATGTTCTCCGTCAGGGGCTCGCCCATGGACGTCCACGCCTTGGTCAGGGCGTCGCGGAAGGGCGCCAGCTCCGGCAGCAGCTCGGCGTGGGACACGTGGATGGGGCCGCCGCCGGAGCCAATCTTGGCCAGGTCCGGGTCGTACAGGCCCTCGTCGTCGTGGTAGGTGACGCTCTTGCGCAGGTACGGCACCAGGGGGTCCCACGTCCACTCGTCGCCGCCGTACTCGGCCCACATGTCAAAGGTCGCCTTGCAGCCGGGGATCCAGGTGAAGTAGTTGAGCGACGAGCTGCCGCCCAGGATCTTGCCGCGCGTGTTTGGCTTCTCGATGCGCTCGTAGTCGTCGCGCTTGACAATGGTCGTCTTGTAGGCCCAGTCGTGCTTGCTGCCGCGCAGGTTCATGGCGTTGGACGGCGTCATGATCTCCTCGAGCTGCTCCGGGTTGGCCACGCCGGCCTCGAGGACGAGGATGCGGACGTTGGGGTTCTCGGCGAGGCGGCCGGCGACGGTGTTGCCGGCAGTGCCGCCGCCGACGACGATGAAGTCGAAGCGGTCTCCCGAGTTGATGGGGACAGTGATGGCCATGTTGGTGGTGGTGATTTAATCCGTTTGGTTGGTGTGTTGAAGAAGAATCAACAAGCGGCTGTTTCTGTACCAGATCGATACGATGTGAAGTCTCTTGCTGCTGGAAACAACTGGATGGTGTTGTGGCTTGGTGTTTTTGTGTACAGAGAGAGGAGTTGGATGTGATGGATGGTGATGGTTAATCTGGAGATGGATGATTGTGAGTATGATTCTGATGCTGATGCTGCTGCTGCTGCTGATTGATGCGGAGCTGTGAGTGATGATGGAAACCGAACCTGTCCATCTCGTCCATCTTATATCTTTTCAAACTCCTCATAACTCCTCTCGAATATCAACCGTCATCATCACCATCACCACCACCACCATCATCACGGATCTCGGCGTCGAGGCATCCCAAACCGGCTCCGGCATCTCCTATGCGAGGCTCCACGGGCGCCATCCTGAAAGTCCCGAAGCACCAGAAAAGAAGTTGACACTAGCAACTCTGTGTGCCCGATGATGTGAGTTTTGAAATGAAAGGCTGGTGAAGCAATTCCAAACAAGAAGCCGAACTTGTCCAGAGAGAAACGGGGAAACCATGCAGGGCTGCTGCTGCTGCTGCTGCTGCTGCTGCTCCACCACGAGGCTGAGGGCGCCCGTATCTCGGCATTCAAGCCACAGCCGACCCGCCTTTTGCCTCCATTGGCCCATTAATTGCCAATCTGCGTCACTCCCGGTCATTCTTGTCGCTCTCATTGGTGCATTATCCCTGTCCATCTTCACGGCGGTTCGGCATCCGAGTCGGTGGAGTCTCCCGGCAACTCCTTCGCCAGCCAATCAGCATCTCTTGTAGCCTCAGCTGAGTGGCTGCACCGGCATCTCCATCAGCTGTACAACTGCTGTTTCTACTATCACATTTGTGTGCATACCGAACTCCCGAGTCAGAGACTTGACTGCCGACAAGAGATGCGGGTTTTTTTTATTTGAATTTTTCCTTGGATCTGAGCTGCATAAGGCTGAGGTTACGAAGAATGATATCACGGATCGCCCGGAACAAACGGCGCTCTGGCTTGCGCAGCCTCGCACGATATCATCTTGACGTTCTTGATTGGAGGATTTGCGGAAGTTTCCGCCTCTCCCTCGCGTCACCGGCATTGCTCAGTGCAAGGAAAGGATAGATAAGACAGGTTGATACATGTGCTTTCTCTTGAATTACTGGAATCTGGAGGTTTCGGGTCTGGCGTGGGAGCCGAGAGACGGTCGAGCCGGGCCTGTCTGTCGAAGGGGCCCGAGACGGTTTCGGATAGAACTCGGGGTCGGGCGCCGGGCATCGGGGAGGCGCCATTGATTTTGACGAAGCTGTGATGCAGGATGTACGGTGTTTGCTATCATGATCACAGAATTCGTGGAGCGTGGAGACTGATGACGGAGCGAGCCGCTGGAGGAGCATCAGTGCGCAACGGACGGAGCGTTAAGATGGTGTCTCGTCTATATCAGTCTGTTCTTCCCGGAGCTCATTAACACCTGAACGACTTTGTCTGTACATCACCGTCGTTCTCCGCTCAAGCTCATACTTGACTTACTGCTCTAGAACATAACTCTGTACAATGGCTTCTTATTACACCGGCGCCGAGGGTAGGCCTCCTCTTGACTATTCCCACCTGAGCCCCTGAATCATCATGTTCATTGACTGATCCGATTCACCCCTAGGATGCCCGTATCCCAATCCTACCACCAGCGTGCAGCTACGCAACGGCTCAGGGGGCGGCCTCGTGCTTCTCCAAGACACCCAACTGATTGAGACACTGGCTCACTTTAACCGTGAAAGAATCCCCGAACGGTAAGGAGAGCACAACAACTCCAATCAACTAGCTAGCTTGCTAACTTGAAGTCTCTCGTCTCAGTGTTGTCCATGCCAAAGCTGCTGGGTAAGCCTCCTCTAGCCCTTCATAACGACAAAGAAATTGATTCCAACGCCCTCATCAACAGTGCTTACGGCGAGTTTGAGTGTACGCACGACTGCACGGACATCACCTCCGCCAGCTTCCTCAGCAACGTTGGCAAAAAGTCAGACGTGCTGCTACGCATCTCGACGGTTGGCCCTGAGCGAGGCTCTGCCGATACCACGCGAGACGTCCATGGCTGGGGCATGAAGATTTACACGGACGAGGGCAACCAGGACTTTGTCTGCAACAATATTGTGAGGCGTTGTTCATATGATGCGTGGTGCCGTGCTTGACTGGCTAACGTCTTGATAGCCCGTCTTTTTCGTCCGGGATCCCATCAAGTTTCCCTCGTTGAACCGCTCTCATAAGCGCCATCCCCAGACAAACCTGAGCGACTCGGACATGGTACGTAGCCCCTGAGCATCTCAGTTATCAGAGCCATTCGCTGATCTGCATGTCTTTCTAGTTTTGGGAGTAAGTGCTCATCGTAAAGCACCGTCCTGCATTGAGCCTAACAATTGTCATTACAGCTTCCATCTAGGCAACCCTGAAGGCATCCACGCCCTCATGCACCTCTTCAACGACCGCGGAACGCCCGCCTCTCTCCGCAACATCAACGCCTACAGCGGCCACACATACAAGTTTACCAAAGAGGTACACAAACCCCTCTCTGCCAAAAAGTCTTCTACTCACACACAAGCAAAGCAGCTGACAATATGATATATAAAGGACGGCACATTCAAGTACATCAAGCTCCACATCAAGGCCCAAACCGGCGTCAAGAACTTCACCGCCGACGTCGCCACCAAGACGGCCGGCGAGAACCCGGATTATCTGACGCAGGACCTCTTCGAGGCCATTGAGCAGGGCAACTTCCCCAAGTGGGACGTCTTCGTGCAGGTCATGGATCCCAAGGAGGCGGAGACGTACCGGTGGAACATCTTTGACATGACAAAAGTGTGGCCGCACAGGGACTTTCCGCTGCGGCAGATTGGCGTCTTGACGCTGAATCGAAATGTGAGCCTTTCCTTCTTATAACCCCAATGTTCATCTATACTTTGTTGTGGGATATGGTGTCTAATGGAGTTCTTTTGCCAGCCCCAAAACTACTTTACCGACATCGAGCAGGCTGCTTTCTCGCCCTCCACCATGGTCCCCGGCATCGCCCCTTCAGCCGATCCCAGTATGTCAACCCCCCCTTCCCCCCCCCCTCCATCTCATCATACCCATCCATCTCCCTGCTAACACAAACGACTCTTTGTCTCTTCCCCCCCAAAAAAGTGCTGCAAGCCCGCATGTTCGCCTACCCCGACGCAGCGCGATACCGCCTCGGCGTAAACTACCAGCAGCTGCCCACGAACCGCAGCAAGGCCCCCGTCTACACGCCCTTCCAGCGCGACGGCTTCATGAACTTTTCCGACAACTACGGCGCCGACCCCAACTACGTCAACTCGTCGCTCAAGCCCACGCCGCTCAAAGCCGGCGGCGGCGGCGGCGGCGGCAGTACGATTACGGAGCACGAGAGGTGGGTTGGTGAGGTGAGCAGCTTCACGAGCGAGGTTGGGCCCGAGGACTTTGAGCAGGCGACTGCGCTTTGGCGCGTGCTTGGGGGTCAGGAGGGCCATCAGGAGAGGTTTGTTGGGAATGTGGCGGGGCATTTGTCAAGGGCGAAGAATGCGACGATTCGGAGTCGAGTCTATGGTGAGTGTTGAGTGGTGATGCTCTTTGTGATGGCCTGGATGCTAATGATGTTCTGATGTTTAGAGTACTTTTCCCATGTGGACAAGGAGCTTGGGAGTCGTCTTCGCGAAGTTACTGAGGCCAAGGTTGCTGCGTAAATCCACATTGACGTTTCTGCTTCGGAATGAATTGATCACGTTGGATGGTTCAAGGTCTTGGCTCTGGACTGAAGTAGGTGTCTCCTGTTAGAAGAAGGACTCTAGACACGGCTTAATGCTCAATGATACGAATCGAGAGGAACAAGAAGACACGCAGACAAAGATGAGACAACGTAACCTGGTATCTAGGCCTTAGCCAGACATCGCCATCATCTCTTCCCTCCTGCATCCCAGCTAAAAGCATAGCTTCTCAGCTTCATCACTGCCGACTTTCTCAAAGCTCACACCCCTGACCAGTCCACTTTCAAAAACAAAACCAACACCATGGTCTGCTTCACCAGTCGAGCGCACATTGCACAAGATCCCTGCGGTTGCGCTCTCCTACCTGGCCCTTGTGAAGAAGCCGATACAAGTTATTGACTCTTTGTTGATAGCTCTCAATCCGCCTCGGCCGGGGCCAACTCCGCACCTCCAGAAAACAAGTTGCATCTCCGTGCATTATGAGCCCATAAGCGCCCTTATACAGACACATTGCCCACAGAAAGGGGTTCCTGCGAATCTATCAGAAGAGCTTGGGAGGACGGGTAGGGGGTGAATTTTGACCACTTGGGACTCACAGCAAGCCTACGCAAAACCAGAACCTAGGGATGAAGAGATCCCATCTGCTGCTGGATTCTTTCGCCTTTCGCGGCTTTCTCGCGCTGAGCAGCTCGAGAGTCTCTTGCATGGCTAGTAAATCCCGCGAGAGGTCGTCGTGAAGAACCTTGAGGCGCCATTGCTCCCTCGTCCTGCTCGGAGCGTTCGAGCCTAGGTCTTGTCCCATCTCTACGGCTACGACTATGAGAACATGTCAACGTCTCTCTCGCTGTGTCTGCTGAGGGGGAAAATACTTGCCATACGTACTTGTGGAAGGGGTCTTGTGTTGAGAATCGAAAATCTCATGGATAGACTTGGATCGCTCCTCGGCATGCACCCGCCGTAAGACGTCCAGGTACTCGTTGAGGTTCACCTGTGCCGAGCGCCGGTGAACTTCGTAATCGTCCCGTAGCTCGCTATCGACTTCATCATCTGTCTGGCATCGGGACAAGATGTCGTGTAGCCTTTCAGGATACCGAGGCCCTCTCACTTCAGAACCAGCGGGCCTGTCGTCGTGATATCCTGGGTGTTGTCCGGGACGAAGCACAATGTCCTCGCATGCCGTTGAAACGTCAGCTGACATGTCGTGGCAGTTGGGGAGGATAAGGATGATCAATTATGCAGAAGAGCTCCAGACAGGATGATTTGAACAGAACAGAACAGAACAAACGGGGGATAACGTGCTGCGAATCGATGTCTTTCAAAGATGTTGCGACCATCTAGACGGATCGCCACAGAGATTCGTCACAATCGTATCGGGTACCAGCAACGGAATCCAAGCCAGCAGTCAATTGGACCAGAATCAAGCCGCCACGTCAACTGCAGGAAATGCTTCGGGAGGGTGTGGCAGGGGAGATCATTGGAGGAGACGGGCAGCCATATGCACAGCCAACAGCCGGACATTGTTGCGACACGGCTGCATGACAGTCAGGCGTCCCCTCCCCCCTCACTTGAAAGCCGCCCAGGATTGTAGGCCGCCCAGGCTTGTGACGGCCAGAATCTTGGGCAAGAAATAAAAATCTGGTTTTCTGCTCGCGTGAGACTCTTACCAAGACCAATTCCCCCCTATTGAGACAGAGTATATCGAGAATAGCCATCATCAAGAGAAAATTTCTTGGGAAAGCTTCTTTGAGATGGTCAAGAGAAGCCTGGCCGTAGACGCCATGTCTGATTCCTCTGTATCAGCCGAGAAGAAGAGCCTCGTGGTCCATCTGCAAGTATGGCACTACCGAGCTTCCGAAGGGCGAAGCATTGATGCCAACAATGCCTTTGCCAACCTCTTCCGCGGCACAGCAGACTGGGAGGTTGTCCAGACAGAGTTTCATGCCGTCGCAGGCCTCAACTCGCACGATCGATATGTCCCCGTCGAGGTGAGTCGATTTATACCCTCTTTTTTTCAAAACACCCCTGCCCTCACACTCAGGTTCCTAGAGTGCCATGTAAACTGACTCTCTCTCTCTCTCGCGTCTTCATCATCAACAGGTGCGCTTCCGCCACAAGGCCCTGGAGTACGACCACCCGGGCGAAGCTGCCATGGCTGCCGTCCGAAGGCTCTTCTTCAAGACGGCGCCTCAGTTCGTCTACCAGTTCTGCATCAAGAACAAGAGCACTCCCCACAATCTCAACATCTTTCCCGTCGACGTTCCGAAGAGCTTCAAGTCGCGGTACACGCATGTGTATGGACTCAATCCGCTCAATATCCGCATCAACACCTTTCTCCTTCCCGAGCGGATGCGAACGGCCGAGGGCGAGGACGAGGTGCAGAAGTGGTAAGCAACGATACGAAAACTCTCTTCTTCGTCTTCTTTCTGCATTTTCAGTTTTCCATCTTGTCTACTTTGTTGGATCCGGCATCTGGGGCGGGCTTTGTCACTAACCCTGGCGTACACATGGCCCCCAGGTTGCGAGCTGCAGGCAACGACGACACTGCCGACGACGTCTTGGGAACTTTGGCCGCCGCCGTCAGCATCTACCTCATCTACCTTCACAGACGAGGCACAGGAAAAGGGCGAGTCAGTGACCCGGCCGATGCCCAGATCGGATTGGCAAATGAGTACATTTCCAAGCTGTATTTGCCAGAAGAGCTCTCCGAATTGCGAGCACTGTTGCGAAAGGTCTGTCTTTGCTCAGCCGTGACCCCCCCCTTTTTTTTCTCCTCCTCAAACACCACATATTGCGAAACGGCATACGCTGACTGCAGCCCCCGATTCGATTTCGGGGACAAAAGGTACGCTTAAACGACAACAACAACGCCGCTCAGCTGGAAGCTCCCGCCATGAGTGTGCAAGTGGCCTTGAACGGCGCTGGCCAACTTTTGACGGAGTACGAGCGTCTAGCTGACCTCGTCAAGAGCAGATCGAAGAGGCTAGAAGAGGACCGAGGTGAGTTTCGTCTTCTTCTTCGTCTTCTTGGTCCCATGATTATGGATTTTTGTCCTTCTTGACGACCCCAAGTATCAGCAACTTCTTCTTTCATTGTATCTGGTTTCGGACACTCACAAAAGAGCAGCTCTCTCCTGCCAGGATCTGCATGAGCTGGTGCAAGACGCCCACACAGTGACACTCCATGTGTCCAGACTGAACCAGGCAGTGCGACCCGTCATCGAGATGCTTGAAAAAGACTACAAGGACACCATGGCGGATGCCAAAAGCTTCACAGAGGCGGTTGGCATCGTGGGCTATACCGGCCTGACCCTCCGCTACATGACGGGCCGCTCAACCGAGGACGATGCCAGATACCGCATGTGGGTTGCAAGAGGCGCAGAGGCCATGCAAAAGAAGAGGCGTGTCAAGGACTGTAAGTACTTGCCCCGTCCTCATGCTTTCTCTTCATGACAGACATATTGCCTGCCCCCCTCGAAGATCATATAAGCTGACGATTGTGTATGTATCTATCTGTGTACTAGTTGACATTGAGATGAAGAAGCTGGTCAGAGACGTCCAGCAAGCTCAGGGCGCCATCTCCGAGGTGTTTTGCGCCCAGGTCATGAATCTCCAGCTGGACGAGGTTCTGCCGGAGCACGAGAGGCGGAGGATCCTCGCAACGCTGGGCGTCGACATGGAGGCCGTTTCGGACCCCGTTTACAGCCAGGAGCTGATTCGACACCGCATCAGGACGTTTCTCTCACAGGACGGCATTCTGCGGGACAGCATGGAGCAAGTGCTGAAGGACATGGGATTTGTGCGGGAGTGAAGACGCGGGGTTGGTTGTGTCAAGTGAGTGTGAGAATCTTTGCTGAACAAGCTCAAGTTCAAGTTGTTGTTGAGCCTCTTTTGAGCTTTGATGCCCGTGAAGGAAGTTTTGAGGGTCAGGTAATACGCAGTACGTACCGGAGGGGCAGGGAACACCCTCCCCCGCTGACCAAGCGACGACTGCTGATTGGCCGGTCTAAACTCGGGAAGCTCTCGGATCGGACGAAGCGGGTCGGGCAACGTCCCTCCCCCACCCTGACGTCACATCATAAGGTACTGTATGTACTGTAAGCTTCAGAATGCGAGGAACTGCCTTGAACACACACCCAAAGGCCGAGCGTCTATCAAGGCGGGCAACGCCTAAATCCTCACTATCAACCATCGTATGTAGATAAATAGTTCAAGCTTAGGTATCTCTTCCAATCCTCTTATTTAACTGAGGCTCTTATTGCATCGACCTAGAAGGCAAGGCATGGATGCAGCAGCCGGCCGCTTCACGGCAAGTCTCTCGCGTCTTCAAAGCCAGAGACTCGTTGGCCTCAACCACAGCTACAGTCGCCATCATCGTCTCTCTGTAATACCTCAGCTTCAGTCTTACTATCACTCTCACTTTCAGGCTCGCTCTCAACTTCACACTCGAGCAGCACGCCGCTCTTCATTCTCACTCCCCTCCACTTATAGACCACCCCTATCCCCTCTCGCTCCATCAACACCAACATCACCAACATCACCACGCACCACCAAGCCCTTCACCACAACAATGAACGTCCCCCAGCCCGTCCAAGCCCCCCTCACCAAATCCGCAACCTTCCTCGTCCTCACCATCGCCAACCCCTCCTCCCCCTCCTCCCTCAAAACCATCCGCTCCGCCCTCGCCAGCATCCACGACCTCTCCAAGAACGTCTCCATCCGGGACCTCAACTCCAACTTCAGCGTCACCGTCGGCATCGGCTCCGCAGCATGGGACCTCCTCATCCCCCCCTCATCATCATCACACCTCCCCAAGCCATCCGAGCTCCATCCCTTCCGCCCCGTCCACGGCCAGCGCCACTCCGCACCCGCCACCCCCGGCGACCTGCTCTTCCACATCCGCTCCGACAGGCGCGACATCTGCTTCGAGTTCGAAAGCCAGCTCCTCCGCCTCCTCGGCGCCTCCGTCACCGTCGAGGACGACACCCAAGGCTTCCGCTACTTTGACGCCCGCGACCTCCTCGGCTTCGTCGACGGCACCGCCAACCCCTCCGCCGCCGCCCTCCCCGAAGCGGTCCTCATCGCCGAACAAGACGACCACAAGGCCTGCGTGGGCGGCAGCTACGTCGTCGTCCAGAAATACATCCACGACATGCCCTCGTGGCGCGCCCTCTCGACCTCCGACCAGGAAGCCATCATCGGCCGTACAAAGGCCGACAACGTCGAGCTCGACGACCAGGCCCCCGGCGCGCAGCAGCCGCACAAGACGCTCGCCACCATCGAGGACGAGCACGGCAACGAGCACGGCATCTTGCGCGACAACATGCCCTTTGGCTCGCCCGGGTCCGGCGTCTTTGGCACTTACTTCATCGGCTACTCGCGGAGGCTCTGGGTCGTGGAGAAGATGCTCGAGCGCATGTTTGTCGGGGATCCGCCGGGGAAGCACGATCGCATCCTGGACTTTTCGACGGCCGTCACGGGCGGCACGTTTTATGTTCCGCCGGGGTGGGTTTTGGGCGAGTTGGACGAGGATTGAGAACTGTTGCGTGATGTGATGTTGAGTCGGCTGAGAGGGAGAGTTGGATGTCCCAAGTTGGCGCTTTGCGCTTGTTGGTATGAACAAAAGGTCCAGCGCTTCGATATGGTCATGCTCCTGAAGATATGTCAATGACCCATCACCACTCCTGCAAGTCGTCATATCTGCAGTATCTGCCCAGCCTTGACATCTTCACCGCAGTGGTCGTAGAACCAGTATAACAGACGAAAATAAAAAAGAAGAACCCATTGATTGAACATTGCTCTGTACCAGTCTATTTGCCATGTTGCGAAAAACCACACCTTGCCCTATTTCGAGATCCGTGACTGCTGTTCTACGACAGCTGGACCTTGTCTGCCCTTCGTCTGGTGCCATGTCCAGCTCCCAACCCCCCGGCCAGACATAGCCCCTTTGCTTATGCATTTCTATCGGTGCTTGTTATTGCAATATATGACTCCTCGTGATGGAGCGTCTCCGAGGGGGGAGAGCAAGTAGCACCGCGAGGAATGTGAATGACCAGAAAAAAAAAGTAAAAAGAAAAAAGTAAAAAAGAAAGACACCCTGGAAAAATCAAATGCAACAAGTGCTCAAACAAGAGGCTGGTGAACATCAGCCCAAACTCCCCCTTAAACTCCATAGTTGCTTCTATCATATCAATCAGAACTCATCATTCGATTCTCATCCGAGGCAGCAGGCAAGCTATATTGCATTTGCTTCATCCAGCTCGCCAATCTGCTGCACTCCGAGATCGGGCTGGCCGTCGAGCGCATCTGATGAGATGCAGGAGCCTTCCCAGTCTAATAGATTCATGTCAGGCTCGTGAAGACAAACAAACAAGAGTATAGGTCAACGATTTAAAGGGGTTGGGGGTTTGCTAGCATACCAGAACCGTCATCCTCTACCTCATCCACAACGTATTTTCGCAAAGAGCCCAGCACATCTGTCCCAATCATGTTAGCACATCGGTCTCAACGCAGGCGCCGCCTCTCATCACGGATATGTGGTCGGAGGATGTAAATGCTTACCGTCCTGCAGCGTCTTAAACTCCACACTGTTGTCGTCATCGGGATCCGGCTCTCGATTGTAATACGTAGAGCATTTGGCAACTACCCGGATCACGGCGCTCGCAGACTCTCGCCCAATGAGCTTGCGGCGACTTATGTGCTCTTGCCGGAGATACTGCAAACACGAAATCCCCAGTCTTTGGATGATGGTCTGTGAGCCCTCTCTTTCCTGTGACCTTTGCGAATCGTCGTCCGGGCTGTCCGCGGCAGGGCCAAAGAGTTCCCTGTCCAGAAAGCATTCGGTATCAAACCTCACCTCGCCATCGGGAAATACGAGAAGATGAGGCACCCAATCCGCCAGCGTCTCAAGGCTACAGACCTCTGCCGTCTGAGCCATTTCGCCGTCACTTCTCTTCAGATTCAGCGCTGTCTGAAAGTGTTCCAGAAACGCCTTGGCTTCATCTGTGCTCTGTAGGCCTCCGGCCTGCGCAGCAATGTGGCGCATCAGAGACTGCATGTGGCCGGCCGAGGGCGTGTGTTCCAGATAGGTGGTGGCGCCTCGCAGGTATGGATCCATCGGTTCTGTCGTGTCTCCCCGAATTCTTCTCCGCAGAGTGTTGAACACCCTCTGGTCCATTTGGTTCGACAATGCTGTCAGGCGGCCAAGAATGCCGTGAGTGGCCTCCAGGGCTTGATCGATGCCCAGTAGCTTTTCCACAAAGATGCTGGCCAGCTGGCGCTCTGGGTGGCTGTGGATCAGAAACACTTCCTCCGATGTCCAGGGAAACGGTGGCTCGAAGAAGCGCAATCGGTCCTCCGCTGCGTCGACAATGCTTTGCGCGTCCACGGTGGGATCAAGCTGGGAGATGAGGTAGTTGATGAGGTTCAGAATCGACACGTACGACGGGGGTCTGTTAACCGCCCGCCGGTAGATGCTGTGCAACATCTTCGCGTAGTTTGGTGGCAGCTCCATGGACACGTCGGCCGCAACGATGCGCAGGAGCTTGAGCAGATAATCGTTGGCTAGCATGTGGGCCGCCTCTCGCGGCCCCAACTTGGCAAACTCGAGCATCATGCCAAACACTTCGTCCCAAGAGCGGAGATGAAACTGGAAGTGTTGCCAAATATAGTCGAAGGAGCACATCACTCCGGTCAAGACGTACGCCTTTGGTGAAAGCTCGTCGTGGCCCAGAGAATTGGACGTAGAGCCGCCTTCCCCGTCGTCTGGAGTGGCATCATCGGAGCTTCTGGGTCCATCGTAGAGCTGAGGCGTCTCGGCGGCAATTTTACCCAACACAATCGCCGTGGTGGCTCCAGCAAAGGCACGAATCTTGGCCTCCGGATTGCGCTGCACCAGGCCCCTAAACGCCTCATGACGCGTATTGAAGTAGCTGAAGAACGCAAGCGCGCAGCCTCCACAGTCAACAACAGCTGCTCTGATAAGGCTCGAGAATGACTCAAAATTCGGCGTCCCTTGCTGTCGACTCACGAGTTGGTCAAGGTGGCCGAGAGCCATCTCCATCGCTAGGTCTTTGAATGCATGGGGTGGCATTGCTGTTGTATCCTTGTCGGACAGTTGGGGCGTTTGTTCCTGCTGCTGGCCTGTACCGTCATGACTGATGCTGTTCTGGAGGAGCCCTGCGTGCTTGAAGCAATGTTGCACAAACTCGGCGTGACTGGCATCATATAGGCAGTGTCGCTTAAGAATGACGGTGTTATCATTCAGTATATGCTCCCGAAGCTGAGGGTCGGTGTCAATCTGGAAAGGGATAGTGTTCTCCGGGGAAGACAGCATCGATTGCTGTTCCGCGAGGAGGGATGAAGAGCGTTGATAAAAGAGCATGTAGGCGCTGTACGTCTTGTCAGTCGGCTGCCGGTCGGAAAAGTGTGGGCTGCTTTGCTGAATCGGGCCGCCAAACGTGCTTGCTGCCATCTGACGCGGGTCCCAGGGCGTTACGGTATCGTCGTTGAACTCTACCCAGCTGGGGCAGTCTGTAGTCGACGTGCGCTCTCGTATGTAGGAATAGTAATGGCCCGATTCCGCCGTGCCAGAGTGGACGAGGACGCCAACTAGCTCAAACACGTCAGGCGACTCCGCGTCCTTTGTTGGATCGCTGAGATAGTCGATTGTGTACGGGCGCATGTTGATGCTTGGCGGGAATACGAAATGGTCGTTCACTTTGCACCGTTGCTGAGTACGGATGTTGAAGTCGAACCGTTTCAGATGGAATATCAGATTGTCAGGCAAATCTTTCAAGCATGTCCTGCCGATCGCCAAAGTCAGAACATTCTACTTCTCGTACAACACCTTTCTCCTTCCTGCTAGTACTTACCTCTTGACAGCATCAACATGTTGGTCGCAAGATGAGCACTTGTACTTGTTATCTGCAGAGTTCATTCATTTGTTAGCGAAGACAAGCCACCAGAAGTTGTTATATTGCTTCAACTTACCGCCTTCCAAGACTTCCCCATCAACGTAAGCCTGGAGGCTTTCATGGAGCGTCTTCTTTCCGTTGATATCGCACTGGATCGCCGAAAATGGCTCAAGCCGCTCAGACACATGCTCACACTCCTTCGACTTGATCTGCTGGACGAGCTGTCCACCATAGATCGACCGTAGCTTCTTCCTTTCGCCTTCCGTCATGACTTGACTTTCCAGCCGATCAAACAGCAGGCTATAGAACTCTTCCACGTCCATCTGGTTGTGGATGTCTATCATGGCGTCTTCGTACGTCTTGATGGAGCTGACCAAATCTGTAGGGTCGACACTTCGGCGATAGCTTTCCTGCATGAATGCAAAGAGTTTTTGCATATGGAACAGCAATTGTTGAGAATGGCCTGGATCTTGTACGTTGAATTCAAGCACAAATTGGCGGAACCGAGTGTTCATGAAGAGCTGAGTGAGGAGTGAGTTGAGATAGCACGTGTTTGAGAGGTTCTGTAGGCCCACGTAGCCGTGCGACCTTATGGCTTGGTTGCGGTTGAAATTGTAGGGCAAATCGTATATATACGGATCGAGGCCATCATCCTCGTCTGGAAAATAGGGGACGAGGGAATTGAGGTTCTGCAGAATCGCCCAAAATCGATTCGGGTAGTCTTTTGTGAAGGCGAAGATTGCTTCGTACAGCCTGGCGCGCGTGTCCGTCCTCAACACCACCCTCGGCACAGGCTGCGTTGACTCGACTCGGCGTCGCGGGAAAAGGTGGCTCTGGAATAAGATCTCGGCAAGATCATCGGGCAGGGCTGGAGAGGCTGGCAGAGTGCTATCCAGCTGCAGGCACCGGAGCAGAAGAGTTGATAGACCAGCTGCAGCATGATCCTGCGACTCCGGCTGGTCCAACCGCTCAGTCGAGGTGTGGTTCAGGAGGAGTTCACAGATCTGTCTGGCGAAAGCGGTGATATCAACCTCGGAAGGCTCGATGAGGCTCATCCTGCAGAATAAGTACTCAAGGCCGTCGAGCAATTCCTGGCACCGGCTTTGGTTGCCGATTGTCTCTGGGAGAAGAGCCAAAGCTGTCGACCAAAAGTAGCGCGTCAGCGGATACGCCAATCCTGAGGCATGCCCTTCTTCTGTAGATGTGGATTCAAGACCGTTGAGAGGGCGCTCTTCTGATTCCGCTGCTGTCCTAATCATGTTCACAACACGCCTTCTGACCTCTGGGCGAGAGTCCCAAAGAATCAAGTCGTGGAGGACGTTTCCGAACGACGAATGATCTGCAACGCTCTCCATGAAGGCGCGCTGTGATAGACAGAGACGCAATATAGCTGACAACGTGTTTTCGATCAAAGGCAGTGCAGCTTCATCTTCCCTCGCCATCCCTGCGTCTGCCAATATGTGAATGAGGCGGCCGGCGCTTGGGTACGCAAGAGATGTCTCCGCCGATGGCTGAATGATGGATAAGAGGGTTACAAAAGTCTGCATTAAAGCCCCCATGAGCTGGATGCTTAATTTGGGGCTGACTTGATGCAGAAAGTTTTCGTCAGAAAGGGCCTGCACGACTAAAGAAAAACTTGAGCTCAAAACCTCCTCGTTTGAAATACGGGAAAATCCATGAACGTCGCCAGCAGCTTCATCATTGGCTGGCCCTTTGGAGCGAATGGGCTCAAGGTACTTGGAAAGCGCGCCAATCGCATAGAGGGTTTTGTAAGGCTGTCCGGGAGGGAAAAGATCGGTGTACACGGTGCTTTGGCTCTCCAACAAGTCGATGATGTGGCCGTCGACGGGGAGATCGACGAGAAGGCGATAGACCTCACTCGCGATCTTGTCTTCCATACCGAGATAGCTCCACAGCTCTTGGAAACGCGACAGAATTCGAATCTCCAGCGGCGATGCACCATGCTGGATCCGAGTAGAGTTGTTGCTCGAAGTGTCGTTCTCCTGTTTAACAACCAGCACTATGCCATCTTCGACCTGCAGACTCTCCAGAGTCTGGGCCATCTGGTCCATTGAGGGGAGGAATTGCCGCCCTTTGTAGATGATGCGAAAGTTGCTGAAACCGGTCTCGTGCCGCAAGTTGGATATCAGAGAAGCGGCCGTGTTGAGCTTGCCGATGCGCAACGGCTTCACTTCTGCGCTTGGGCCCCCGTCAAAAGTCTGGTACTTGAGCGGCGCAAGGTCGCCTTCCGTCTGATATAGCTGATCCTGGAAGTATGGTCGGAAATCGGGAGCGCTCAGAGCGGGACTCGCACAATGGCCTTGGACAAAGACCCTAAGGAGCTGCAGTGTTCGGGTGAAGATGCGTTCTTGCTCCTGTATCTCGTCTTCAGTTGCAACAATCACCATCGGCTCGTCTTCGCCGCTTGAGGTTCCATCGCTTGACGCCTTGATCCTGCTCGCGCAGGCGCTCAGCTGGTTGAGGCAGCGCTCGACAAACGCAGAGTGAACCCGACGAGCCCGATCAAACGAATATGTCGTGATGGCCTGGCTCTCTAGGTAGACGCCCACGGCCAAGCTGCGAATCCCATCTTCGGCAATCTCGGCGTTGTCAACGTCCATGGTGAATCGCCAAAGTTGGTCGACGCCGTTTTCCTTGAGAAACGTCTCGTCATCGAGCGCGCAATCGACATCGGGATTATTGACTGCAGAGGCAACTACTTTCTTAATGCAGTTAAGCAATCCCCTACAGAAGCAGGAAGACGGTAGGTCGGGAAGATAGCGGGAAAAGCAGAGCCGCAGAAATGGATTCTCAAACGCCATACCATGGGTAAAATCGATGAAGATGTCCCAAGCCGAATTCCTATCCTCTTCACAGAGACTAGCCGGCCCAACGAGCAGATCCCAAAGCTTCCGGCCCAAGTCTTCGGGTATTGCGTCGGGCCGGAGGCGGATGAGGTTTGCAATGAAGTCTTTCCTTGGATGATTGACCTGCCCGAAGAACACTGGACGTATACCAGTAGTCCTTGTCGATTGAATGGCATGCTCCAGCTCTTCCACTAGCAGCCTCACCAAGTCATGCTTCTCAATGAGGAAGTTCATCTCATCAGCCATATTTGGGCGGATGGTGATGGTCAAGCAACATAGGCTCCCCAGGGTTGTTGGCGATTTTGCTGCAATGTCTTCGATACAGCTTGCATATAATTCCTGACGACCCTCGCTGTCCGGGCCGTAGAAGAGCAAGCTTTTGAGCTTTTCCGTGGCTGCTTTGATTTGCGCATCTGGAAGGTACATTTGGAAAGTAGACGACTGTAGAAATGCTTCCCTCAGCAATCTTAAACAGAGGCCGTATGGAAGGAAGCCGAGAGTGATGCCCTCCGTCTTGCATCGCATCATCAGCTCGTGGTGGACGACGCCCCAGTAATTCTTCAGCGTCTGGTTGAAATCGGCCATCGGAAGAGCCTGGAACTTTTCACAAAGAAGGAGCAGCGTGGGATAATCAAACAGGTTCGTGATGGATGTCGCCATCTTGGCAACGGCTTTCTCTATCCGCGGGTCCTGACTCTCAGTGAGGCGCTGCCAAAGACGATCGGTATGGTCCTTGTCGTACAGCTTGGTAACAACCAGGTATCCAATAATGTTGGCGCTCTCATTAATGAGCTCCGGGTGGCAATTGGGCCCGAGGATGTAGTCTACCAAGCCTGTCTGCAGGAGATGGTGACCCAGGTGATCGGTGAAGTGCTGATTTGGGCTTGCGCTAGGGGCACCGAAACGCTTCCAAGCGCCGACCAGTTCGTTGCACATGGTGGTCGCCGCCATCACCCGCAGCTGCAGCTGGCTGGATCGAATCAGCCTCCCAAGGATGTCCGCCTTCCATTCCCAGGTGATGGCATCGACTGTCCGGGGTCCCACCAGTTCAGGGTACTTTGCTCGATGTTCTCTGAGCAGCGGAATGGTTTCGTCGTTGTCATACTGGAGGCATAAACGGAGCATATCCGACAATGCCAGGATCTGCAAAGAAACACCATCGCTGCTCAATGTTCCGACGTGCTTCTCAATAATCTCTGTCAGGAGCGACGACAAGAAGGTCCAAGTACGGTAGGCCGCGCTCAGATGTGGAGCAAAGTCCGAGGCACCCTGCGTGCGGGCAAGGAGAGCCCGCGAGGTCTCGTACAGACAATCCGTGAGCACCTGTGTTATAGGCGTGAGGATGTTGACGAGGTTCGGGACTGTCCGCACGACTTCGGCTAGGCTTGTCGCAAGGGTACAGAGAGACTCAAAGCCTCCTCCGGTGAAGGCATACAGCCCGTTTGCGAAGCACATGGCGAGGTGTGGTCGATCTACCCCAGTGATATCAGCCAAGACGGAGTCGCTCACCGGACCAAACTGTATCAATTGGTGCAACTGTCGAAGATAGCCGGGAGAAATCAATAGCGGACCAGCAGGATTCCGCGACGGCCCGCCGGATTGCCATTCGCTGACGGAATGGAAGTCGACGATGATGAGCTGTGCCGTGAGCGCAGCGAAGGAGTGCGAAAACAGGAGCGCCAATCTCTGGAGGGCCGACACCCTCGGACGAACTGAGGAAGGGGAGCTGGGCGTTGCGAGTTAGCTGACATTTTTCCAGAACTGAGACAAGGGGAAGTGGGCAAGATAGGATGTATGCGTACTTTTCATCCGCGATGATCGCGGAAACACCGAGAAAAGTCTGCCAGAAGGCTACATTGCTATGAACCGACTCGAGGACCTCAGCTGGGCTTGCCGTCTTTGCAAACGCGACAAATAGGTCCACCCATAACCGAAGCTGGTCGTAGATGTCTGCTTCTGTCTCCACGAGAAGATCTGTGCAAGCTCATGATTAGCCTTCTCAAAGGTGATATTGCGAGGCAACGTGCAATAACTGACCGTCTAACAGAAATTGGCGCAGGCGGTTCACGGTCTCAGCCACTGGCTTATCAGTTTCATGGTACGGGAAGCGTGCGGTGGGATCTGCCAGCGGAGTAGCGTCATTGGTGATCCCCGGGCTGGGTCTGTCGGACTTGGGTTCGACGACCGTCTCGTCCGGCATATCCTGGTCTCCGGGGAACAGGTCTTCGGTAGGCGGGCTGAGGGAGGCACGCCATGCTGGGGGCGGCGTTTCTAGGTCTGCGTCGGAAGGGGGATCAGCTTCCTCGACGCTCTTCTTGGCCTTGTCCTCTTCAGGCGTCGGCACTCGTGGTGCAGATGGAGAGATGGAGCGCACGGCGGATGGAGAATATACGAAGGGCTCGCGGGCAGGACGGGTGGGTGAGGCTGTGGAGGCCCTCGACGACTGGTTCCTCAGGTTGATGGTGACTCGGTTCGACAGAGGAGGATCGGGGGGGATGGTGGGCGAGTCGACGGTCTGAGGCGGGGTGCGAGGCTCGTTGGAGTCCGGGCTGGGCTTGGCGGTCCCGTCCAGAGGAGGAGGCATGGCGTTGACGGTGGTGTAGTAGGGGCTGGAGCTGGAGTCTGACAGGTAGACACCCGTCTCGGCCGAGGCTGAAGGCGAGCCCGAGGCTGAGACGGATGTGCGCCGGCGCTTGCGGGACGAGACGTCGCTGTCGTCGAAGGGATTCAGGCGGGTCGAGCTTGGCTCAGGAGAGGCCTTGGGACCTGCAACGTCGGACATGGCCGGAACCAAACTCATCGGGCCGGGGATGGAGAGCGTGAGCGCACGAGGCCTGCAAGCCCACAGACGTCGGGGCGACGCGAGGGCCGTCTGGGCGGCTGCTATGGAAAATTAACATGTGAGAGTTGGGGCGAGGCGAGAGGGCGTGATAAGCATAGGGCCAGCGGCGCGGTCACTGGGCTGACAGAGGCTGCAGCGCGAGGCGCCGTGGTGAAGAGATGCAGCGACGAGGGCTCTGGGGGGCCAGACCGATGCCTAGAGATGCTGGGGAGGACGAGGAGAAAAAAGGTGATGCAGCTCGCGATGAAGTCAGAATTGGCGTTGGAGGGACGCGGTGCTTGGGTGGAACTTGGGCGAGGGGTAGCTCAATTGATATCATACCTTACCTTGCCTCGAGCTTTAGCTGACCTAAGGCAAGGTAACCTTGCTTGCTGCTTGTGCTTGCACTGACTTGACTGGCTACTAAGGTACCTAGTAATGGAGAAAGGTACCTAGGTAGTAGCTTGCTTGCTTCAGCGGGTTTGCTTCGGTGGTCACCCGCCTGGCTGCCGGCCACACGCAGTGCCACAAGGACGGCTGAGGGCAACCTGAAGTCACCAGTACCCAAGCGTGGGAGACAACTGTGGAAGACGACGGGACGTGGAACCCGGGCGAGCCCATCAAAGAATCACAACTGCCAGCCTTCGGGGTGATGGGGAAGCGGGGAGGGCCAAAGTGGAAGGCTAATGCGCCTGAGTGGTCTCGGCCGGCGTGAGGTGTTAGCGCAGTACTCGTACTTGTACCTGCGTCCCGAGATCTGGATCGGGTTCTCCAGTGACGGTGAAGCCAACAAGAGCAAGGATCAGGCGGGTGAAGTGAAGCTATTCCTGCTGCAGTGAAGGACCAGAGGATGAAGGGAGAAAGATGAAGTGCCAAGGAGTCGTGGGCTTTAGGTATCTGTTCCTTTTCCCAGCCAGAGCAGAAACTACCAGAGAGCCACCAATCACTCAAGGTACTGGGTACCTACTTGGTGCGTTTGTGGAGTTTCCCAGGCGAATTGTGCTTCTTCCCAGGGACATGAGAACCTACAGTTTGTACGCCTAGTACTGATTTTTGCACGTCAACCATACTCGTCAAGCCCCTTGTGCGCTTTTAATCTGTCATTTATTTTCCCTTTGATTTTTCGATTTCTTACATTTATCAATTCTCCAAATTAGGACACTGAGAAACGCTGAAAAGTGCTTCCATGTGTGAGTTCGGGGCACCGCTAGCGGATGCAGCACATTAAGTTCATTGCGAGCTCCCTACAGGTAGTACTACTAGTACCTCTATCTGGACGTACTGCGGCCATGGCCGACATTTCATCCAGGCAGTGTGCAAACCAATTGAACAACTTTTGTGATCAAAACAAGATAAGAATCTGCCTTGTCCGTGTCTTTGCAAGCATCATGTTGTATTTCCCCCGTTGGCGCAGCCCTGCAGCAGCTGCTGTACGAAAGTACACGGTACGTCTTACTTTGTACCCTCCGATGCACTCAGCACGGGCATGTTTTTGACAGCAAAACTGGAGCCAGCAATCAAGTGAAGTGAGCCTGTGTAAAACCGAACTAGTAATAATTCCGCAAGGCTTGCCCAACATGCTGACTTACTAAGCAGGTACTACTAGGTACCTAGGTATGGACGTGTGTCGAACGGCATCATAGGTATGTACCTCTGTACATCAGTGACCTTTGAGATCAGACGTCAAGGAATCACCTAGCTCCAAGAAAAGTCCTTTCAATGCCACGGCGTTTGTTTTTGTGTGGGAAATCAAACATCTTTGGTTGTATTCGCAGGCGTGGTGCTCGGAGGAGGTTCGCCGAGAGACCTTGGAGGCAGTAAGGAAGAGGTACGTACCGACTAGCCTCGCTCAGTGAGAATTTCGAGCCGGGCGTCATCTGCAAGATTCAGGTACTACTACTACCTACCTTACCTTCCCTAGAGCTGTCTCAGCATCATTTTTATCGTCAAACTCCTTTCACCCCTATTATTTGGAACTCTCAATTCAGGATCGCAACCGCAATCTCATAGCGGTATCGTCTAACTCAGTAACCTGCTTGGAGCGCGTCAATTACCAACCATGGCAGCGCCCTCGTCGAAAAAACGGCTTGTCCACCATCTCGACACGCCCTTCTCTACCTCGTCGTGGTGCGTCCGGTCCTCAGCGGGCAGATTCAGCGTACCTATGCGTGACTAGATGGCTGATTTCTGCAGGCCTGTAATCTCACTAGATGATCAAGACTCCATCCTGGAACTTCTCTGCCAGTATGCGTATCCCCCCCTGTTCGCTCTCGCTTCCAACAAAACACATTTTCTTCTGTGCCATCAATCTCGTCGCAGCTCGAGACAAGTCATTGTGCTAACAGATGATACCAAAGCCTCCTGAGCCCTATTGGGCAGCACCGCAGACTGCACATCAAACCTTCCAAAGGAAAGAGAGCCGCCAGGCGAGAGAAGAAGACCAAGATGCAGCTGGATGAACCCTCAGGCTCCGTTAAGATACAGCCTCCGCCAGTCCCAGAGCTCAGCGCCAGCGTGGACGTCGGCTTCAACTCCATTACGGAGAAGCTCGGGTCGCTCACGCAGCCATCCGACGGGACGGCTCACTCCGACAAGCGTTATTCCATGATTTTTGTCGCCAGGGGCAGCCAGTCACCGGCCTTCAACCACCACTTCCCGCAGATGGTCGCGGCTGCGTCCCGATATCTGCCGGACAAGGAGAAGATACGGCTCGTCGGCTTCTCCAAGCCGTGTTCTGAGAGGCTTGGCAGCGTCCTTGGCATACCGAGAGTCTCGTCGGTGGCTATTTCGGCACATGCGCCGGGGGCAGACGCCCTGTTTGCTCTTGTCCAAAACACGGTGAGCCCAGTTGAGTCGCCGTGGCTTGACGAGGCGGCTTGTGCAACGTACAAGCCAACTCGGATCGGGTCCGTGGAAACAACAATTGGAACCAAACGCGTGAAATCAGAGAAGGAGTAGATTTCTCTGACCGATGCCAAAGTCATCAAGACACCATTCCATAGTTGGATCTACAATATAATAGCATAGCGGCGAGAGGTATATTGTGGAGCGATATACATTATCACAAGGAAGCGTAACTGGAGCATTATAGGTAGCATAGCAGCTTCTCTACCAGACATCATATTCAATGTGCAAATGAAACCATGTACGACGTCCATCTCGGATATGAAGAGCCTCTCGATGTTGATACTCGTGTGCAAGACGAGAGCAGAAATGAAAGCAGTCATGGCTGGATTCATGACCATCTGCAAGGCAACTTGTATCTCGCAGAGCAAATGAAGAAGATCGTAAGGTAGACACCTTGGCATTGAAAACAAGTCCTGCACTGTCATTCCATCTCACGTGCTCAGGAAAAGCAGCTGTCGTCTCATCTCTTCCCTCTGGAGGCAGCTGCCATCGCTCCTCCTGCCTTGCACCAATTCACCTTTTCTCACCTTCCTCCTTGTCCCTCAGGTTCATTCACTCTCTTTCACATTCCTCTCACATTCCCACCACCTACCTTAGTAGATTGTCAGCCTCGCCGACTACGTCTTCCTCCTATCTGTAGAGAAATCTCTCTGCCTGGTTCAGTTCCTCATCTCCACCATCTCTCCAAACAGCGTTGTGACCATAGGCTGGCTCTGTTTGGAAAATGAGTGGCTTCCAAGACCCGGAGAAGCTGGCGGCGGCCAGAGAGCTGGCTCAGGCCTTCTCAAAGGTCAAAGACCCAAAGAAGAAGAAGAGCACCGGCGGCGGCGGTAGTCAACAACCTCGCTACGAACAGTGGGAGCCATATCCGCCTCAGCATCATCAGCATCATGGTCATCATGGTCACCATGCTCAGTTTGCTCCGCAGCAGTACTGGCAGAGTGCTGGCCCTCCCATCAGCTCGGTGCCGCCCCCAAGCCAGAGAATGTATGCTTCCACGACATCCTTTTCGACTGGAAGGGCAGGCAAGGTCAGCGTGATTGGGAACGCGGGCTTGGACTTTATCAAACAAGCTGGTATGCGACCCCGAGGTACGTGGACGACGACTCCTCTGCTCCTGGCGAATCGTGGGGTTGGGTCCAGGGAGATACTAATGTTTCCGCAGCAGCACAAGCCCAGCCAACTCAGGTCCCCATGACCGGCCAGACACTCTATACTGGCTTTCAATCGGACTTTGGCAACACTGGTGTGGCGGATCACACCCATTTTACATCAGCTTACCCTCAGGTCGCCGGGGGAACCGCCCCTGGAAACATCCTCGAGACCTTCTTTGCCATCGCAGCAAAGAAGCCAACGCTGGGTCAAGAAATTGAGACCCTGACTGAGATCTTACCCAAGGCCATGGATCTTAATGGCCCAGGCGCGACAGCTACCGATGCTCAGGCAGACAAGCATGTGTCCTACGCAAACTTTAGTCAAGAGCAAAATGGAAAAGGCAAGACTTTGAGCCATCGAGGGTCTTGGTTTATTGTAAGCTAATTTGTGTTGGAATATAGTGCAGGGCAACGGTGATGACAAGACCAACGATGCTAGCAATCCTACTCGAACAAACGACAAGCAGGGAACCCAGACTCGAGGCTCGCACTCGCGCAAACTCTCCCCTGTTGCGGCGGTCTTTGTGCCAGCCAACAATGGAGCTTTGTCACAGTCTGACGGTGTCAACAGAGAGTCGAAGATCGCTGCCGCCCAGCAGACCAAGGGATTGTCAGGCTCGATGTGGGCATGATGGGAAGGACGGGCAGCTGCGCGGCGGCGCTTTCACCGGCAATCTCATTTCGATGGTATAAGGGATGGCGCCAAGATTTTGACCTGCTGCAGAAACATCTAGCCTGTGTTGATCAAGAATATCTATTCGCCAAGGGTTGACCAGTGTTGTTGGGATAGTGGCAACGAGGCTGATAGTTCCCAAGTGATTCCAACGTAGTAGGCATGACAAATTTGAGGACTTGAAAACCTGACTTCCCTTTTTTGGTACTATAACGCAGGTATATTAACCCGATGCCTTATCCAGTTGCTCCAATCTAAACCAAGCGCTCTCCTGCCATCTACTTATTTTTCTATTTCCAGCTTTCATTATGAGACCTTCAAGGCAAACTCTTCTCTAACAACTTGACCCCTTCTCGCACCTTTGGCGAAAAGTGCTTCTTCAGTAGCTCGCCCTCCCACACCGTCGCAGCGAACGGATTGCTGCCCTCGACAGTGTCGCTCAGGGGGTTATGCCTGCCGTCGCCCTTGCGCTCCTCGGTGTTCCACAGGCTGGCAATCTTCTTGCCGTGGGTGGCGGCGATGTCGTTGAGCAGGCCGAGGGCGGCCTGGCAGGACTTGTCGGGCAGCTGCAGGGCGGCGGTCATGAGCTGCTTGGTGAAGGCGGCGAGCCTGAGGGGCGGGACGGAGCGGATGTTCCAGGGCGGGAGGAGGATGGCGATGAGGGAGCGGATGAGCAGGACGGTGGTGGTCTGGACGTTGATCCTGGACGCGGACGAGGCGGAGGAGCGGTTGGGCTTGGTCAGCTCGAGGTCCGGGTGGACGGCGAGGGTGAGGAGGGAGGTGAAGAGGTGGGTGGTGAAGAAGGTGAGGTCGAGGTGGAGCGTGTTGCGGGAGTTGTGCGCGTCCTGGCCCTCGAGGAGGGCGAAGGCGGTGACGGTGCAGAGGAGGGCCTCGCGGGTGAGGTTGCGCACGGAGACGCTGTCGTCGTCCTCGTGGTCGGCGGCGAGGTCCGCGGCGGCGTCGTCGTCGCTGTGCCGGATGAGGTCCTTGAGCGCCTCGAGCAGGTCGCCGAAGAAGTCCTGGTTGATGAGGTGGGCGTACTTGGCCAGCCCCTCGAGCACGGCGCCCATGAGCCGCGGCGCGCGCATCTTGAGGATGCGGAAGTAGGTGGCGAAGACGAGCTTGAGCGTCTCCGACTGCATCCTGTCGCGCTCCTCATGGTCGACCAGGGCGTCGGCGGCGGCCATGTCCTTCTCGAGGGACTTTTGCTCCTTGATGGCCTTGCGCTGGCGCTTGGTGCGGAACTCGCGCTTCTTCTTCTGCATCTTGTTGGCCTCGGGGCGCTCGACGGTGTCTTGTGAGGCTTTGCCGGCGAACTCGGAGAGGAGGCGGAGGCTGAGGAAGAGGTTGAGGACGCTTTCGTCTACTTCGTAGTCCCGCGCTTTCATCATCTTGGAGAGCAGGGAAACGGCCTCCAGCGTGGGCTTGCCGTCCTCGTCCTCGCGGAACAGCGTCTCCAGCGCCTGGAGACACTTGGTCCCGTTGCTGTCGATCCTCTTCCGGCTCAGCTTGTTCACCAGGGTCCTCAGCAGATCGGACCGGAAGTTGAAGTGCGGCACGGCCGCTATCAGGGTGCAGGCGCATGTCACGGCAATGCCGGCGACGCTCTGCCCTCCCTTGACCGGAGCTGACTCTTCCTTGGCGCACCTGGCCAGCTCCTTGACGTAGTTCTGGTAGCCCGACACCAGCGCCTGTTCGAACTGGCGCATTGTGCGGACTTCCTTGGACACCTTTTCGGCCGGGCCGTCTTCCGTCTGGGGACGTATGCGGTATCCGGGGATGATGTCCTTGTACACTGACATTTGCGTCATGAGGGCCAGCATCCGAATGGCTGGGATCTTGGACTCGCCAAACGCCGCCAGAGACTTGAGCGAGCCAATGTGCTCTTCCGGGTTCTCGTTCAAGGCCAGTGCCAGCTTCGCCAGCTCCTCCTGCGCCTCTCGAATCTGCTGAGCCTCGGAGACGGTGGGCGCCTCCTCTTGTACCTCCCCCCCCTCCTCCTCATCGTCTTCTGACTCGGCATCGTCCTCCCGACCCTCTAGCCATTCCGTATCGCTCTCCACAGAGACCAGGTCCTCCTCCTTCTCTAGCTCACGCAGAATCTCCAATCGGCCATCGGCGGTCTTGATGGGCAGCTTGGTGCTCTCCTTGTTGGCCTTCTTGCTCTTGCGGCGACGGGACTCGTAGTCTTCCTCGAGATCCCAGCTGGCGGCCGACTTGAAGAAGTCCTTTTGGGCTTTGCGCGATTGCGCCTCGTCGTCTGAGGCGTCGTGCGCCAACTTTCTCCTCTTGGTGCCGTTGGTTGTCATCGTTGCGGTTCGATGGCCGAATTGTATCGATTCGACCGTGGCGAGGCGAAGCAGGCGGGAGGATGATTGTGTCCACGATACAGTCGCGAGCTTCAAGTGCAGACGATGGCAGATCCAAAACTTTTTTTCAGTCGATAATTTCGTTGATACATCGACGGCCGTAGTAGAGATAAGACAGCTAGGTCCCAGTTTTCATTCAATTTATCCAATTGAATTAGTTGTTGAGCGCTCTATCTTATCCGTATCTAATCAGCTAGGCGTGCATCTAGTAAAAAAAGTTCCCTACCGCCAAAATTTTCCGACAATTACTGCCATGGGCTTCTGAATCCTCCAACCAGCCATTTTCCCACCAACTTCAACGACCGACGCTCAACAAGCAAAAGGGCGCTCTTCACAATGGGCTTCACAAAACCGCCCGTCCAGGCGCTCAAAGTCGCCAACAAGCAAAAGCGCAAGCAATTGTTCGTCGCCCACAAGAAAGCGAGCAACAAAGAGCGACACGAGGAGCGACACCGCCGCCGAAGAGAAGAGAACAAGAACCCCGAGCTCAAGGCGGCCCGTCTGGCGAAGAATGTGCCCCGTACACTGGAGCACAAGCGAGTCTGGGACGATGTCGACGACGATAGCCTCGGAGCGGTGGTGGACCTGGAGCAGTTGAAGAGGAGGCGCATCGAGCAGGCCGAGGCGGAGGAGCGGGCGGCAGTAGAGGCGGCAGAGAAGATGGATCAGGACGATGATGACGACGACGACGACAACGACAGCATGCTGGACTCTGACGAGGAAGACGAAGAGGCCAAGGAAGCAAGGCTAGAGCGACAGCGCGAGAAGCGAGCCCAGAGAGTGCCCAGCATCGCGCCCTCGACGACGAGCACCAACCTCGACCTCACGCCCACCTCGCTCGCCCTCAAGTTCCCCTCGCTCTTCACCGACGAGCCTCCGCCCGAACCAAAGATCCTCGTCACCACATCCCTCAACTCGACCATCCACGACGAGGCCCAGCTCATCTGCACGCTCTTCCCCAACGCAAACTACATCCCCCGCTCCTCCCACCGCTACGGCTACAAGTACTCCCTCCGCGACATCTGCAAGTTCTCCGCAAGCAGGGACTACACCGCCGTCGTCCTCGTCAAGGAGGACCAGAAGAAGCCCACGGGGCTCTCCATCGTGCACCTCCCCAAGGGCCCGACCTTTCACTTCTCAATATCCAACTGGATCGAGGGCAAGAAGCTCCCCGGCCACGGCAACCCGACAAACCACTATCCGGAGCTGCTGCTCAACAACTTCAAGACGCCGCTGGGTCTCTTGACGGCGAAGCTCTTCCAGACAATGTTCCCTCCGCGACCCGAGTTTGAGGGACGGCAGGTCGTTGCCCTGCATAACCAGCGAGATTACATCTTCGTAAGACGCTTCCGATACGCCTTCCGCGATAAGCGCCCGACAGAGAAGAGCGTCGTCGATGCCGAGGGCAAAGCGCTCCAGGGCGTCGAGAATATCCGAGCAGGTTTGCAAGAGTTGGGTCCGCGGTTTACGCTCAAGCTGAGGCGGGTTGATAAGGGCGTTGGACGGGCCGGGAGCGAGGGCGAGGATGCTATTCAGTGGGAGTGGAAGTCCAAGATGGAGAAGGATAGAAAGCGTTTCAATTTGTAATTTGGCTTATCCCCATCGAGCAATGTTAGAGATCTTGGTTCTTCCATGGACCTGCTAGTTCATACATGTATGCTTTACGTCGTCATAACTTTTGCCGACTTTCCCTACATTTGGTAGTACCCATTCAATTCTTACCCGCAGCCATGACTCCAGCTCCGTTTGCCTTCATTCTCTTATGCTTCAACATTTTGCTTGAGTATCTGCGCTTGCATCAGCCTGCCATTCTTCTCGTGTGTGATCTCCGTTGACTCACGAAGTAATGCCTGCTACCGCAATCACAACGCCAAGCGCGGACTTGTCGCCAATCGGACGCCCTGAGATAGCCCAGCCAAGGCCCACGATGATGCAGGTCTTGATGTGTCCAACAACTGTGCTTGAAACCGGGCCAGTCTGTGCTACGATGTAAAATTGAGAGATGTTGACGAGCGAAGCAAATAGCGTGGACTGGTACACCGTTAGCCGATATAACCACACATCGAAAGTAGACAAGGCGAGAGGCGCACCATAATGATGAGTATTCCCTTATTCAACCTGATGGGCACATGGCCCAGGGTGGGGAGCTTATCAATAAACGGAATGAAGAAGAGCAGCAAAAAGCAAGCCATTGGCGCCTGAAGAAAAAGGAGCTGCATGCTGTTCATGTTAAGCTTTCGATGATAGCCTGCAATGCCGACCGTGTATAGGGACGACGCGAATACGCCTGTAAAGGCAAATATGATGCCCAATAGAGAGGTTGTCTTGGTTGCGTCGTCTCCCACGGGAATCGAGTCGTAGTAGGTGACCATGCCAACTCCAAGGCAGGTGGGTATCAGCGCGAGGACAGCTCCCCTGGGGAGGCCTTGGTCGTAGAGAACAAGATTCATGATGGCGACCGTCGGTGTCAGCATTATTCGTGCTATCTGGTAGAAAGTAACTGTCGAGTAGGCCAGGGACAGATTTGGAAGAATGACGTTGAAGCACATTGCTGTAGCCAGGGGAATCAGATGCAGCGTGGGAGCACGGCGAGGCACGAAGACCCCAACGGGAGATCGAGATAGGAGAAAGAGTATGAACCACGTCGTCAGGAAATGAATAGAGGCAAATGTCAGCTGAGACTGCTTCCACATTGGCTCCGAGAAGATGGCCTTGTTGGTGAAGACCTGCAAACATCAGTTGTTAGAAGACATGCATAGGTACACATGCCCCTATGACGGCAGCGAGGTGTTGTTTCAGGGACGGGAGGAACTTGCTATTCCAACCGTTGCCAGGGTATTCACCACCATCCATGAGATGACCTGAAGCGGATGGGAAGCAGGTTTTGGCTCTGCGGCTCCGTCAGAGGAGGCAAGGAGACCAGGGGAGGCATCTCTGGTCGCTTCTTTGCCTGCATTCTTCTCGGGATCATGCATTTGCTATGGTTGAGCCGTGGGCTTTTGTCGGTCTGCTGTTGTTCTCTTGTAACGGTAGGGGAGGATGCATGAGAAGAGAGTCAAGTTAGCAGTACCTCTAATTGATGGCAGCAAGAGGTCACAATTGCAGACTTGGGAATTGTCCAAAGCGGATACGAGATCGTGCGGCAGGTTCAGCTTGAACAGCAAAAGGTGGAAAGAGCCAACAACTTGACCGCCCTTTTCGACCATCATGTACCGGCACTGACTTCATCGTTTTCTACCTGAGGAATCACTCATCTATCCCTTGCCACAGAAGATACAGCAGTCAATAAGGCGGCGGAGAGGCCATGATTCGCTACGCCTGTTGTGACTGCATATGACTGAAGCAAGATGGCATTTGCAACTTCCAACTGACGACTTGGGATGTGCCTATAAATAGTATCCGACCCGTGCACGCCTTCGCCAACGAGCTCAGGGAAACAGATCTACCAATTCATAGCAAACCATCACATACGACAGCTGAAGGGGACATTCGAGAGAGTATCTTGTTTCATGAGGTAATGATTGTATTTCTTGCAGTCGCAAGTATATTTCTCGTCACTAAACATTGAGGGAAATGGCCCACATTCCATCCTTCGCCAAAGCCAACATATATCCTCAAGTGTCATCAGTACGCAACTGCCAGAGGACCTCGAATCGGCAGGTTCTTCGTCCGGTTCCCAGGAATAGCTCCCGCCACAAACGCCAGATTGACGCCCTGGCGGAAGAGCAGGCAGTGGGTAGAGCCGCCATGGTGGAACAAGCCAATCTCCTCGCCCTTCTCAACGTCTGCAGGCAGGTTCTTGGCCTGATACTTTTCCAAGATCTCGCACGACGAAACGTCAGCCATGCCGATGTAGATGGCTGCCATGAGGCCAATCGGCTGCGGGGCCTCGATGAAGAAGATGGCCCGCGTGGCGATGTGGCTGATGTAGCCCTGGGCTCGATCAGGAGCAGCCGGATCGGGGCCCTCAGGAGAAGTGAAGCCAGTGATTGTGGGCTCTGAGAAGTAGGTTCCGTCAACGACCTCTGTGTGGACGACTTTGCCAGATACAGGCGAGTTCCAGCGGTGGTATGAGGTGGCGCTCAGAAACGCTTGATAGACGGTGCCGCCTACAAACTGCTCAGCGTACTCATGCTTATGAAGCATCTCGTTGACCGAATACGCTTGACCTTTGAGCCAGAACGAATCAAACTCGCGGACGTTTGACTGCAGGGCAAACGGCTTGGACTCGCACGAGTTGGCCACCCACTCTGACTGCATTGGGAAAGCGACTGGGCGAATCTGGTCGATGTTCTTGAACTTGCGGACGAAGAAGTCATCCCAGGACTTGAAGCCCCAGTGCTCGGGGTCTCCTTGCGGATCACACTGGAAGATTTGCTGGAACGTCAACTCCTGATCCGTGACGTTGGTGTCGTTTTCAATGTGCACCAGAGAGTCTTCGCTGAGCCAGCCATCAGGAGCGGTGGTGATGACGTATTGCGACTTCTCGGTCATGAGGACCTCGGTCTTCCAGGTGTCGAGAATCACCTTGAGCTTGGCATTGACCTCGGGCTTGAGGAAGAAGGCGTATCCAGAGGCCGTGGCCATTGGCCAGTCCAAGATTGCGTTGAAGGGGAAGCCGATCAAGCCAACGTCGTACTCGAGCTTCTTCCAGGACGGCGCCTTGTGATGCATGACATAGTCAAACATTTCAAGCATCTCGTGGTAAGAGTTGAGCTGCTTGTTCCCGACAGGGTCCTCATTGTAGGGAGCCTTGTCGGGAACTTCGTCAAACATGCCCTGAGCCAGCATTCGCAGTTCGGCGGTGCTCTCAATGAGCTCTTTGAGTTGCTGGACTGGGCCGCTCAAGAAGAATGAGCCTACTGGAGCAATAGACTTGGTCTTTTTGACTTCAGTGACTAGGTCGCGCAGCCATCCGATCAGGAGCTGGGGATCCTTGGGCAGCCAGCCACCGACACGGTGAGGCTTTTGACGTCTGGTTGGGAGGGGAACGAGGGATGCCATGATGGTTGATGGTGATTGCTGAGACTGGTCTACTCTTTCTGAATGCTGCGAATGATGTTGAGATGATGAATGGCAACGGATAACACGAGCTTTGTTCTGGTACTTATAGGGCGGATGTCTGCTCCTGGGAACAATCCGACTAAGTCTACCAGGCAGAGTGATGTAAGAACCATGGCCTCCTCTTTCAGCTGGCAATAAGTTGCATGCATTTTCAGACATCTCGTCGTCATTCTCCTGCGCCATATGCCTCTCCCTTGCATTGCCAGCGTCTATCAATATGCACATCGCAACTGTATATGCCACGAGCTATCGAATGAATGCAGGCGTTTGTCGTACGACGGACGTACTTGGCTGCAGTCATGGTGATGAATCTGCCCGATCAACCTACTGTTCAAGGCTGTCATGTCCATGGCATCCTCATGCAAGGGATCAAGGCGGCTGTTTATAGACTAATATTGCTTGAGAGTGGGAGGATAACTCATGCCGTGTCCGATTGCCAGTACCCAGAGCTGCATGTCTTTCATTGAGAAGCAGAGACCAGCCCACGGAGTACTCCGAGACCATCACCACCCGGCTGCAGGACCATGCTCACCAATGAGCAAACAGATGCCCCCTGGCGATGGCATCCGAGCATCTGGGGAACTGCAGCGGCGATTGGTTTGGCGTTTTGATGGCGTCAACGGCAGCGGCTGAAATGCAGCTCTATGGCGACTATTTGCTTGACGCGGCAGAGACGAGGCGATCCGCGGCGTCATTGTGATTTCGACGCGTAGTAGCTCGATCGTGATGATGAAAGGACCTCGAGCGACCCTGCTTGGTGGGCTCTCTCCTCTTCACGCTGCGGCTCTCTCAACAGAAGCTCAGTGAACTCGAAGCTGTCTTGTCAGCATCAATGGCCAGCTGACTGATGTTGAAGGGCTGCTCGTTCCGTTCCGTATTCTTTCCTCTCTCAGCGTAGCCCTTTTCTGTGTACGCTTCAATACCCTGACAGATCTCCCGTTTCAAGGACCTGGTCGTACAGAGGCTGTGACTTGACCAGGTTGGTTATACGAAGGGCATGGCCACGATACGCGGCCCAATTACGATCTCGGCCAGAGACCCCCGGCACCCGTAATCGGTAGCCCTAATCGCTCAAACGCGACCCATTGTGGGCGTCACATGTAAGCATAACAAGCAGAACAGAATATGGCGGCGGGTAATAATGGTCCAAAGGCTCGGGATGAGGTGGACGAGATGGAGCGCCATTTACATGTTTAAAGAAATGAGAGGGCAAACGGATGGCCTGTGATGAAGGATGATTCTGGCGTGACTCCTGTCGATCCTCGAGGCCACAGTGCCAACGTTGTACAATTACTATCGACAACTTTGCCCAGCAGAATCCGTTGGACAAGGTCTACATACAGCAGGACTGCAGGCAACGGGGCCTGGAAGGTGAAGCGTCAGGTTGATTGCTGATATATGAAGCAAGATTGAGAGCAGCTGCGTGTAATTAAAGCGTAGCAGCACTAGGCCGTTTTGATGATTGTCCCAATCTGCCAATCTGCCCGGATTATTATGCTTTGGTACCTGTCGCGGGCATGACGTACGGGCTGGTACCGCCCAGGCACAGTCCGGATGGAACCGTCACTCCGAGTTAGTGCTGGGTGCCGACAATTTTGCCTTGTGGGGACAACTGCAACGTCGAGGGGGGCAATTGCAGCACGAGGCTACCCAAGGAGTACCTGCGGGGTTGTCCGAGCATGTGTGCAATTCTGCGCTGCACAGGGCGCCCCTCGGTACTTTGCGAGTATTTGTCCCGACTCGACGCCTGTGCAAGCCAGGAGAAACAGCGCAGCGCTAGCCCTGTTGCGGTCAAGGCGCGGGTGAGACGTTCCCCTCCACATCGCAATCAAAAAGCCAAGGCAATCACGAGCATGGCTGGAGCGATCGTCTGCTCCGAGTGGATTCGCGAAAGACCTGGAGAAGAAGAGACGAGCGTCGTTTTGTTTCAGTCAGTCCCGCCCTCATCAGCATCAGCATCAGCATCAGCATCAGCACCAGCATCAGCATCAGTCGAGGCGACCAGACAGCAGACAGATGGAACGAAGCCCGTGCGGAAGCGCCATCACAACAATCGCTGTCTCTGTCTCTGTCTCTGCCCTGCGCCGTGCTGCTGCTGCTGCCGCCGCCTGCGAGCGCAGATGCGATTCCGATCCGAACCTGACAGACTGCGACAGAAGCCAGGAATAAGGCACACCAACCCGAGTCTGTTGACTTACCTAGCCCAGGATCTCCAGCTCCCGCAGTCGCGAGAAGCGCCGAGCTTGTGTCAGCCAATTTCAAGGCGAGCGTTAGCAGCCGGTACCGTCGACGCGGCTCACGGAACAAAAACCTGGCACCTGGCGTGACGAGCGACCTTTTCTGCGCCTTGCGCAATATAACCTGGATACGACCACCCGCCCTGTGCTGTGCCTGCCCGCCTGAGAGTCGCTCGCTGCTGGACTTGTGACAGGATTAGCAGGAACATTCAGAATCGTTTGTCGCATCCGGCGCATTTAAACGCATCCTGACCGTCTCTTTCACCGTCCATCAAGGCCAAGGAAACCGCACTCCGGGACATGAAACGGACCATCACGGCATCGCACCCGAGCCTCTTCCTCTCCCGCCTCCTCTCCCGCTGCTTCTCCCACTGCTCCTCCCTCTCCGCCCGACCGCCAATGTCGTCGCCATCCTCGTCTCCGGCGGCTTCGTACCCTGCCTCAACCACCTCCTCCTACCGCTCCTCGTCGCCGTCCTCGCGCTCGTCGGACGCCCAGGCCTCGCCCTTCCAGCGCCACGCCTTCAGCCGAAACCCGTCGCCGAGCCCAGGTCGCGGCCGCGGCCACAGCCACGCCGCCATGGAATCTGCGAGAAGTCCTGATCCCTTCATGGCCGCCTCCCTCTACCAGCCCTGCTGGAGACCCACGGTCAAGGCCGCCTTGTCCAACGGTATGCATTGCGCCCCGATCTGGCGGAGCTCCCCAGCCCGCTCCCATTTGCTCGTTCCGTGTCCAAGCCGGGTAACTGATGCATGACGGTAATAAGGCACCATGAACGGCCACCGCGGCTACTGCCAGGAGCCCGACGTCTGGCAGCAGGCGCCGGTCCTCACGGGCACCACGCAGTTTGAGCCTCGCCCAGATGTCCGCAACATCATGATTACCGGCGGCGCGGGCTTCATGTAGGTTCCAGCTGCCTCACTCGCTGCAGGCATGTGCTAACTCTGGTCACCACAAGCGCTTCCTGGGTCGTTCGCCATCTCACGCTCACGTACCCCCACGCTTACAACATTGTGTCGTTTGACAAGCTCGACTACTGCTCCTCGCTCAACAACACCAGGGCGCTCAACGACAAGCGCAACTTTACCTTTTACCATGGTGACTTGACCAATCCCTCCGAGGTCCTCGACTGTATGGAGCGATATCACATCGACACCGTCATGCACTTTGCCGCCCAGTCACATGTAGATCTGAGCTTTGGCAATTCGTACAGCTTCACCCACGCAAACGTCTACGGCACTCACGTCCTGTTGGAAAGCGCCAAGAAGGCTCGCATCACGAGATTCATTCATGTCTCAACAGACGAGGTGTATGGCGAGGTTGGCCACGGCGAGGGCGAGCTGCAGGAGTCGAGCATTCTGGCTCCAACTAATCCCTACGCCGCAAGCAAGGCGGCCGCCGAGATGATGGTGCACTCATACCACAAGAGCTTCAAGCTACCCACCATTATTGTACGCAGCAACAACGTCTATGGACCCCACCAATATCCCGAGAGTGAGTCATTCCCCAACCATAACTGATGTATGCTCAGTTTTGGCTTACCCATTTCTCCAGAAATTATACCTAAATTCATCTGCCTGCTGAACCGCGGTCGGCCTGTGGTTCTTCACGGCGATGGCAGCCCCACACGGAGATATCTCTATGCTGCCGATGCCGCGGATGCCTTTGACACGATTCTTCACAAGGGCCAGACCGGCCATGTGTACAATGTTGGCTCGACCGACGAAATCTCCAACCTCGAGCTTTGCGGCAAGATCCTTTCCGCCATGGAAATTGGTCACGATACTCCCGAACAATTCCGCAACTGGGTCAAGTACACCCACGACCGCCCCTTCAACGACTGCAGATACGCCGTGGACGGCTCAAAGCTGCGGAAACTGGGCTGGGAGCAAAAGACTACGTTTCAAGAGGGCCTGCAGATGACGGTCGAATGGTACCGACGCTTTGGCGAGCAGTGGTGGGGAGACATTAGCCACGTTCTTACCCCTTTTCCCATTGTTAGCGAAGGCGAAATTGTCCCGGATGTCGAACACCTCGTCAAGGACGACCCACCAACACCCGTGGAACGTTCTTTGGCAAAGGGCATTTCCCAGAAAGCAAGCTAATCTTCCCTTTTCTTCGATTCTGATTCTACATCGCATTCTTAGCGATCTTCTTACGGCTGGCCCATGTACGGCTGTTGATGGTTTTTATTTCAAGGTTGGGACATGTTTTCATTTCGATGGATGTGTTACAAGATGAAACGGAGTTTACGGATATCACGAGCATAAGAACGGCGCCCACAGCACCCAGCAGCAGACATTATACCAAGGTTAGATGACTTCAATACACAGACATAGACCGATATAAGCGATAGTGTATCGTCAGTCTTCTACTCTCAGGACTTCATGCAACCCTTATGGAACTCTGGCTCGCCGAGTGATTATCGTCCCTCACAATCCAAGTTCCGATGGAAAGAATTTCCATCCAAGGTCCAAATTCAAAATCAATATCGCTCATCAAACGCTCAGATCTCGATACACATGGATATACGAAACATTTATAGGAAGAGCGTCTAGCATCCACCTCCCCCTCCACAACCTCCTCCCCCTCCACCACCACCACAACCTCCTCCTCCTCCGCCTGCACATCCACCTCCTCCACCCCCTCCGCAGGCTCCTCCTGCCCCCGAAGCACATGCTGCACCAGCCTGGGTTGAAGAAGAAACCCCCCGTTAGCCATGTGACCAGGAGAATAGACATAAGAGAGATGCTTGTGTAGTTTAGACTTACTGCTCCGACGGAACATCCGCCCGGGCCTCCGCAGCCGCCAGCGGCAATGTTGCCGTTGCCACAAGTCCCCGCGGCGCAGTTTGCCCACGCGCCGTCTCCGGCGGCGATGTAGCAGGGGTCCCAGCCGTAGTACATGCCCGGGGCGAAGTAGACGGGATACATGAACGGGCCGTACACTTGAATTGATTGGTAAGAGGTCAGTATTCGGAAAGACTACACACGAGAGATATCAAAGAAGAAGAATAAAAGGGGGAGGGGGGGGAATGTATGTGGTTCAGACGCACTGTAGTAAGAGTAACCCCAGTGATCATAGTACTGATCCCTAGGCGGCAGGGTCCGGCCCTTTTTCTGGGCGCGCCGGGCGGCCCTCTCGTAGGCGTCGTCGAGGCGGCGGTTCTGCCGGGCGCGCAGGTAGGCCGTGATGCGGGCGCGCTCGGGCGTCTCGAGCGTCTTGACCGAGTTGTGCGCCGAGATGTGGGCCGAGTTGTCGGGCGGGCAGAGCCTGGCGGTGCCCGAGTCGTGGAAGGTGTCTGCGAGCTTTTGGCTGGAGGAGACGTTGAGGAGTTTGCCGAGGCGGGAGCCTTGGGATTCGCGGATGGCTGTGTGGTTTTCTTTAGTTACATGTACCTTTGTTGTGTTCTGTGGGCAAGGGATGGAGGGGGAGGGGATGGATGAGGAAGAGAGATGGTGGATGATGAATGGATGAGATTTTGAAAGGGGGGGAGGAAGGGGCTTACTTTCGCAGTACCAGCAGGTGCATTCGCTGTAGACCTCCTTGTAGAGCTCTTGATACGTCTTTGTGGTCCATTCGAATGACTCGCTGAGCTGGCTCTCTTCAATCTTGTCGTCGTGGTCGATGAACTTGCCCGTCTTGGTCACCGTGTACTCGTAGTAGTCCTTTGGACTCAGCTGGTGCGTATGCCAAGCGAGATCAACGTCGAGCGTAGGAACGGCAATCTTCAGGGGGTACTTTTTCATGATGCGGATGAAGCGATGGTACTTTGTGATGAGCCGCTCCATGGTGGCCCTAGCCGAGGGGCTGTGCAGCCAGTCCAGCTTGACCATCTTGTCGATGAAGACGCCCTGGCGCATGACGGCGCCGCACAGGTCGAGGGCAAAGGGCGAGAAGTTCTCCCAGTAGCGGCTCATCATCTTGCGGGTGGTGATTTTGGCGTCGCGGCGGACGGATTGCAGGCCTGCGCGGGCTCTGGAGCCGTCGATGCGGCGGACAGCCTGGTCGTTGCGCGTCGTCTTTTCGATGAGGTCTCGTACGTCGGCCATGGAGGGGGACTCTGCTGCGCTTCTTGATGAAGGGTTGATGAGGTTCAGGACCTTGATGCGGAGCTCGAGCTGGATCATGCGGTTGGGGAACGTGCGCGTGTAGTTGGGCATGATGGCTGGCTCGGGGACGAGCTGCGGCTCGCCGGACTGGATGTCGAGGACGGTGCCGGGCATGGGGACGCCTTTGCCGAGCAGGAGGACCGTGTCTTGGATGAACTTGTGGAGGGACAGGAGTTCCTTGTTGACGGTCCTGTTGCAGGATGGGCATTGATGGGAAAAGTTGCCGTCGCCATAGCCGCTGCCGATGGTGCCAATCGATCTATATACATACATAGCGGAGCGTTAGCATCAGAAGCTCATAGGAGGGCTGGGTAGGGTTATTCGTACGCAGAGTTGTTTGCATGTTCCTCCGTTCCGCAAGTCGTCCAGGGGACTTGCATGCCCTCTTTGCACCACGGGCAATTGAGGAACTTGGTCATGGGATCCAAGGCATTGGACCAGCTGCGTCCTGTCAACGAGGTCCAGGCACTCTTGGCCAGCTCACTCGCATCTTCGGAGAAGTCAGAGGCGATGCCCTCGTTAACAGCATGCCATGGCATGCCAGCGGTCCAGTATTCGCTCATGTTGCATCTTATGGTGTCTTCAAGGAAGGCTCTTGGGTTCAGCATGTGGGCATGCATGACCATGAGGACATCTGGAAGTGTTTAGTGTCATGTCAGTATCAAACTCTTAACATACAGGTCTTATGATGCTTAGATTGACGAACCTAGGGGTGGAAGCGAGTCTCTGCTCCAACTCAATGGCGTGCCATGAGTAGGAAACAAATCATATTTAGAGTTCCTCGGCTTCATCATGTCCACTTCAGTCAACATGACCTTGTCCTTGGTCATGGCACTCCACCACGCCTCATATCGATCCACTGCCCGTGCAAGATAGAGAGCCCATCGCTTCTCGCGGAGGCGACTCAGAGCAAGCTTCGTCTTTTCATCCTTACTCATCCTGTCCAGCTTGACTCCCGGGGGCAGAGCCGCGCCGTGCAGGATCTCCAGGTCCCATCCGGCGCGGCTGTCCCAGATGCCAAAGAGGCCGTCGGAGTATCCCACTTCTTCCTTGAGGTTGTCGATGGCGTGGAGGAACTTGAGGTGGGCGAGGCAGGTGTCGACGTCGGGGCCGCCGACTGTGTAAGTGGGTGAGAGGGAGAGGCTTGCATAGGAGGAGGTGAGGTCGATGTCACTGGGCAGGTCTGCGGCGGCGTCTGCAGCTGTTGACGTTGCTGCAAGGTAGTTTGGCGGCGCTTCGCCATTAGGCGGCTCGGTCGTGGAGGATTCTTGCGTCATGACGGGAAATTGCAATCATCAGGTTCTTGATGATGATGGAATCCAATATCGACGCTGACGATGCTTGATGTTTGCTGTGGAGATCACAGGCGGCACAGTCTTTCTCTTATAAGCCAACGATGGCAAACAGCATGAACTGGCTGGTCAGCCTCGCTACACGGCGTTCTAGATGGGGCGAATCCCGAGAGCAGGGCGCGTGATGCCTTCAGAGTGCCAACAAGGCTGGGGGAAAGCAAAGGATCCAGCGCCAAGCCGCGGTCGGTCAACAGATGTGGGTGAAAGGCGCTGAGCTGCAATTGAGGCAAAATGGGGGGAAGTCGGATGTGATTGACCTGTGCTTGTCGACGTCAGAGGCGCAGCTCATGCATGTAGCTGTACTTAGTTGCTAGCGCCATGGAAGGCGATACTCTTACAAATCACGAGGCGATGCTACCTGTAAAGTGTCGGCCATGCTACGGTTATTCGTAGCTGTACTTGTTCCTGCCCAGGCACTCTTCAAGTCAGATTTGCATCCAAGGCATTGCACGGATTGTGTGTTATAAGACGGTATGATAATAGAGGGTACATATTGATCATCAGAATACTTGTTGTTTCGCCTCCTCTTTGAAGCCATTAGACCAGTGAAGGCTCAGGATGGACTGCGGCCAACTGAGTGGTGCTCACACCATGACCAGGGAGGTTCTGAGGCTTCACCACAAAGCTGCATCGAGTTGTGGCTATGTTATGCATCCTTGCGATCCTGAGTCCTTGTTGTCCATACATAATAATCGCTCATGGGACTACCGACTGTCTTGACGTCCCGTCTCGTCTCCGGATATTAGACGGAAGAATTAAAGACGGCAAAGCTGATAGGGCGCAGAGTGGACAATTCTAAACATGCCAGAGAGCGAGGGATGGAGAGTGAGGCAAGGTTGTGGGTAACCATGATAGATGGAGACAACCTAGGAGTTTGCTTGGTCAGGCTTCTTGTAGCAATGTTGTATTGTAGACTACACCTTTGGCTTGATCAATGCGGGGTGCACTTCTTCTGCTCCTCAGCCCTTGTTCAAACCACGAGGCACAGCCTCAATCTCAGCCCTGATAGTGAGAAGCGAGTCAGTCTTGTTGGTGAGCCTTGGAGGTAGATGAGTCGTGCAATGTATAAGGTAGGTAGGTAGGTAGGTAAGAACATAACACATAGTTGCAAGGAGAGAGCACATTCGTCGAGGAACTCCATGACGAGGCTCCGCGGAGTGTCGCTGTTAATGTGGGATTTGCATGAGACCCTATATAGTGAATAGGAGACAAATGAAAACCGCATTGGTTGATTTAAGGCGAAGATTGTGACAGCTGAATGACGAAGCCTTCATATTCCCTTGTGATATCTATGCAACAGTTTCCTAGTGACAGAGGCCGCAAGCCAAATATGCTAATAAAGCCAGAGGTACGTCACATCATATGATTATTTGACACGAGAGCACTGAACGTAGGTACTATTAACTACAACCTATATCGACACCTTTGCAAGGGAAACTCTGAAGCTATATTACTAGATTTACATAAAAGCCCCTCGTCTCTATTACATGACTGTATCGGGAGTATCAGGTCAGCGGTCGCTGCTATAGATTCGATGGGGAATGGTCCTCCTGCTCACGAGAATGAAACACTATATGACACGCTCTTGGAACGTTCTTTCTGTTGTTTCTAAATTATGTGGTCAATAGGCCGGCGTTTGTTTCCCCTATCGGGGCAGGATTTGGCTGTAATTTGACATCGATGATTCGTGACTTCGGCGGTAGGAGTGATCATCCTTCCTTTAGATATAACATTAATATGTAGGCCTGTGACTTTATAGTGAACAACTATGAAGGATTAAAGAATTACTTGCTGTATGAAATAGCTTAGTTAGCCAGAAGACGACGAGTCAACAAGTAAACTCACATCGAGTGTCGCGGAGGTAAGGAGCTGGTGGGAAGAACTTGACAAGACTTGAATGGAATGAGCTCTTTCCCCCCTCAGTTTTCATGTGCCTCACCGCTGTGCCTTCTCAGTATTTCCCTAACTAAGGGGTCAATTTCTTTCGATTGGTTTTTGCAATAGTCACGCAGGTCTAGAGACATAGTGAGCATATCAAGTTTGACCTGAATATCCTATACTCATTGATGGGTCACTCGGCTGTTGTATGTGACAGTGTTCTTGCCAAAGGTCGTCCAAAAGGTCCAGGGCTGTTGAGGTAGATGGCGGCCCGAGTCATCAGACTCCTTGCAACCCTGAAGCAAAGACACAGCGAGTGGTGTATACTAGCAAGACAGTAATTAGTTGAAGCATCTGCTTGGATGAAGCCTTTCCAGTAAAAGTTCGAATAGACGGACGGAGTAGGACCGATTAAGGGGAACTTTTGATGTCCGACTCCCCCCTTGGCTAATAGGGCGCAGAATCACTGGTCAAATGCACGCGTCTGGTCTATCAAAGATGACCAATAGTATGAAGAATTCGACTGGGGTCGCCTCAGTGAAGGAGGGAGGAGAAAGGTAAGACTGCTTGAATTTTCCCGTCCACTTAGCAAGCGAGAGTTATGGTGAAGTTGATTCTTTCCGCGCTTTTAAGGTGTGTCCCTTGAATATCTGAGCCTAGATTTTATTCTGATGGAGCAAGGGGAATCCTAATCCCACATTGGATGCTAACCAGCTGAGCGGATAAATTACATTCTCAAGAGGCTTCTTCAGACGAAGCGAAAGGCATCGTATTTCCAGAATCAGTTACGCTAAGGTGAGAAGCAATGAATCAGACGTTGCGTGAAGTGATAGCTTGGAGCATCTGGCATGCCCACTACTCTTAATTCTGCGGCCTTTAACAGAGATGTCCACGACTTCAGGCTTGTATGGGTCAGACTTTGTCACATCGATGCTTAGTATATGTAGGGTGCAGAGAAACGATAGATTTCTGATCTGCAACAGGCGATCTGCGGGAGGCATAGCGGAACGAATCGCGGCTGCATGCCATGAGTCGTGATGTGACCGTTGGTACTATTAAACGGTGATAATTGAGCACGACGCAGGTGTCGAAATACTCGGGGGTCACCATACATAAAAGCTTTACATACCTACAATATCTTTGATCCGGCGGGGGGGTGGCATGCTTGATATGACATCACAAGATACCAGACTACGGATCTCCAGCACTCAACCCCTGAGAGGCTGCAGTCAGCTTCACAACGAGGTTGATGTTTGGAGTGCACTCATGTTCCCGGTGGTAGACATAATATAACCTTGATCCCCTCCCGTTTCTCGTGTCCTCGGTTTCGGTTCGGAGTTTAATCAGGTATCAAACAGGGCTGAGCGAATCGGCTGCCGGGCGTAATAATAAAGCTCGTGTTTGTAAATGTGGGCTGCGTGGCGCAGTAATGATGCGTGGCCATCCCGCGATAGTACATGGACTCGTAAGCACGCACGTTCAATGACATGTCGTACACGCGCCCTTTCAGGGACAACGCGGCAATCTGAGACACGGGAATTTTGAGACTTGCAGAGAATAGTACAGCATGTAGTGGCTTTGAACATGGATCTCGTTGATAGTAGAGCGAAGCGGCCTGTCGGGGGTCCAGATCGCCGGAAACGGTTGCGCGTATAGGAAACAGAAATAGGATTGAAGCGAGCGATAACACGAGAACAAGGTTTCCTCGCTAGTCGTCAAAGTGGCTCGTAGTCCGAGATGGAAGATCCGGGAGCAGCGCGCCAGCCATTCACGGTTGAGAGGCTGGAGGCCCAGCACGTACGTACGTACGTATACCGTGAGAGCAGAGACGACGGGAAAATCTCAATCCTCCATTCCAACAACCTCCCAGCCAACTTGTGCTTCATCTGGGCATGCTTCAACCGTCGAAAATGCCAAAATCCACTTCCAGGGCGGGCAATTAGCGGCTCCTTCGGATCGGTCGCTCTCCTATCGAGGGTTGCTGGCATTGACTTCTTATCTTTATAAATTCTCCTTGTCTTGTTTTGGTTGCTTCCGTCATTGTTTTATTGATTTGTTATCATAATGCTTCGAATTTCGAGTCGTTTCCGTGCTTGTTTTGATCGTTCACCGGGCAAGTTCTTTCTCCTTGGCATCATCACCATTGCTCTCTGCTTTGCCTTTGGAAACGTCGCCCGCGATGCTGCCTTGGACACCGTCTACGCGCAGCTACATATCAACGAGTCTCTCAGAGCTATATTGAGGACATCAAAGTATTACCAACGAAATCCCATCAAGCCACCATATAAGGACCAGTTCTGGGAAACTGGACAGCGATCGCGGAACTTGAGTCGATGGATCAGCGATGTCGATGGACCATTGGGATCCGAGCTGAGTGATCATGAGAAAGAGATGCTGCTTTCAGCTATCGAGACGACGGCCGGCTCCCTCTTTCCGTTTCTCAACCCAGCACCTGGAGAAAAGGGCTCCAAAACACCTCTGGGAGACCTGCGACGCTCTTTCACCAAAGGCTCAAGGGGCATCGTGATACCTGCTGGAGGGAGCGAATTACAAATCAGGTTCACGGGACATTTGATATCAGCTCTCAGAGACGTGCTTGGCTGCTCATTACCAATTCAGCTGGCCTATGCTGGAGATGGAGACCTGCCCGACTATCGCCGCGATGCCCTGCTGTCCCTCGACAAGACGAACAACACCGAACTGCTGAATGTGTGGACGGCATTCGACGATACTACCCTTCGTCTTCGGAGAAAAGGATGGGCCATCAAGCCGTTTGCTGCTCTAGCATCGCGATTCGAACATGTCATTGTCGTCGACGCCGATGCCGTTTTCCTCCAGTCCCCCGAAGTGCTCTTTGAGCAGCGGGCTTACGTCGACAACGGAGCTTACCTCTTTCACGATCGACTGCTATGGCAGCATGCGTTCCAAGGCAGACACGACTGGTGGAGAGACCAGATCAAGGAGCCGTCACCGGCGATGAACAAGTCTCTCGTGTGGACGCAAGACTACGCTGAGGAATGCGATTCAGGGGTCGTGGTGCTGGACAAGTCTCGAACAGAAGTCTTGGTTGGCCTGCTGCATATTGCCTGGCAGAATACAAACGACGTGCGGGACGAGGTTTCATACAAGATGACGTATGGAGATAAGGAGACGTGGTGGCTTGGGCTGGAGCTTGCGGGATCAAAGTATGAGTTTGAGAAGCACTACGGTTCGATTGTCGGGTGGGAGAAGGAGGGGGATTCGGAGAGCGAGGCTGTGTGCAGCTTTGTGATTGCGCATACGGACGAAGAGGACAAGTTGCTGTGGTATAATGGCAGTCTGTTGAAGAACAAACTGGTTGATCCTTATGGGTATGAGGTTCCGCTGTACTGGATGATGGATGGAGAGTGGAACAAGGGAGGGAAGAAGGAGATGAGTTGCATGGTGAAGGGGAAGAGGAGGTGGTTGAATGGGGATGAGATATCCATGCTGCAGAGAAGCATTGATGCGGCTATTGGGGTGGATGGAGTCTTGGCCAGGGCTGAAGCCGAGTCATTAGCCAAGGCCAAGGCCAAAGCTCAAGCTGAGGCAGAAGCCGAAGCCGAAGATGCTTGAAGTACGTACATACTAGACGATCATGATGTATTACGATGGCGTATTGGGAGTTATGGAGGCATCTACATATTCATTTCAGGATCATGACAACGAACGGCATATAGCTTTATTGTTTAACCTTTACCATTCTGTGATATGAGATGATGTTTTCCAGGTATTCCACCGTCTTTGAACGTGATGCCGGGTAGGTGATGAATCTTGTGTCTGCCTGCGTCAGTGTCCACTTGTCAGCTCCTCTGCTGAGTCATCACCAATCTCGTCCACCTTGATGTCGCGATAGTATTAATAGCACCTGCACACATCGATCCTCTCCTGCTTCATCAATGCCACGTTTTGCAGCAGCAGCAGCAGCAGCAGCAGCAGCATCAAGCACCGGCCGGCTCGGGAAAAGCTCACCGAAAGCAAGCGATTTCATCCTCCTTGATTTCTTCCCTGCTCTGGACTTGTTCGAATTGTGGCTCAGCTCGGGACCACTAGAGCTGCAAGCTTCTTTCAGCTCGAGCTCTCCACTTTGCGCCATCTACGCAATAATCGAGCCGATCGCTTCCCAAGAGGCCCATTTCCCAGATCTCCCACGCCGGCAATCTTGGCAGCTGCAACGTGGGCAAGTTTGGCAGGATTGGGGACGAGGGCATGGACTCTTTCTATGGTTTTCTCGATTTTTCTTGACGATGGGCTTTCGTTTCTTGTGTGACAAGCAGGCAACATCATCCGCAGCTTGTCGACATGAGCTGCTGTCCTGCGTTGTGTCGTCGTGAGTGCTGATGATGATGATGATGATGATGAATCCTGCAGTCGGACAGGTGCAAGAAACGTGAACCGAGCACGCCTATCGAATCCCACAGTGTGCGCCCAGTCGAATTGCACCCAGAAGCATCGCCTGTCTGGCCGTGATTGGAGCATCATCGAGCCACGGAACGCTGTGGCCTCCATCGCCAGTATGACGAAAGCGAAGGTCGATACCAGAGCCTCTGCTTGTCCGATACATAGTTGCACCAATACAGTACGATGTTGCTATCATCGAATAACCCTGGCACACATACAAGCACACACACACACACACACATACAGACAACGGTTAATCTATCTGCAACGCGAGCTGGACACTAGAATCCCCACCATATCGTCTGATGCGCTTTTCCCGAGCTGGTCACCTTGGCCATCTGGCGGGCATCACAATACGTCATCGAGATCGAAGCTTGGGTGCGGATCAGGTTTATGTACAGCTCCCACAGCTGTGCTTTGCTTGTGCTTGTTTGCCACGGCTGGCTCGGGGCAGCGCAAATAAAGCTGTTGGCCGGCCATGCAGACGCGACCAGATTGAGTTTGTCCACGTCGTCAGTCGAATTCATCTTGCAATCTCTACTTCTACTGGACGGGCTCTTGCCAAGGCCGTTTGTTGCTTTGATGCATGTGTGGTGGCTGCCCCGTGAAAGCTGTCACTGCCAGAGAGGGAGCCGAGCTCACACGTGTATATCTGCGGATTTACCCATTTTCATCGTCATCTCTATCTAGATCTCAGGCGCATGGTTCCATGATATCGCAGGTCTCTGAATCTCTCATCCATTGTTCACGACTCCTCGGGACTTCGACATCGACATCGACTATCTGAATCAAGGAGGCGACTGTTGTCTTGCATCCTCGACCAGAGACACGCCTTCGGTCCCCGACGCCATCATGAACGTCAACGAACCTGCCGTAGGCTCGGGCTCGCAGCCCTACAGCGCGAGGAACCGTGTGCCCAATGTCCAGGAATTCATGCAGCGTCTCGATGCCGACAAGAAGAAGCGAGATGCCGAGATAGACGCCGAACTCAAGCGCAACAGGCGCAACCCGGACGTCAAGACCCATCGCAACGAGCTGGAAAAGAAGAAGGGAACACGCACGGTCCGCGATCCTGTCACAGGAAAGGATGTCGAGATTCGTGATGCGGACATGGACTTTACCGAAGCCGTGGAAAACCCTCAGGTATGCAATGCAGGCTTTTCTCCTTCTATCGCTCCCACACCGCTGCGTTCAACTAACATTTCGCAGTTGTCCATTCCCAACGAGAACCTGGGAAAGCATGCTACCATTGCCGCCACATCCCAACAGTCTGGCGAGGAGTATCGTCATGCCCAAGACGTGACTGCGCCTCCGGATCCTATCCAAGAAGGCTCGACATCGGACGTGCCTATTCGCAGCGAAAAGACGTCTGTCCTGTTCTACAAGACGCCTTCGGTCAGCTACGAGCCCATGTTTGCCAACCTTGAACTCCGCGCAAACCTGCTATGTGCCGGAATCTTCATGGGCATCGTCTTCTTTGGCCGGCTGTTTGGCGGCAGGATGCTCGGTCTGATACCCCTGGCCATCTGCGTCACTTCAGGCGTCCATTTGTGGGTAAAGGAGCTTATCCGCCAGGGACGCGATTTGGAGTGGGCAAGCGAGCAGGATCGTGGCGAGACCGCCACCGTCAACTTGATTCCCGAATCTGTCGAGTGGATGAATACCGCAATCGGCGTCTTTTGGGGCATGATCAATCCTGAAATGTTTGCCGGCGTTGCAGACACGTAAGTACCAACTATGTCCCACTTTCATTGAAATAACACAGCATCTAACCCCTGACAGCATAGAAGATGTCATGGCCGCTTCCGTTCCAGGTATCATCGAGGCCGTGCGGGTTGCCGAAATCTCCCAGGGCAACAATCCTATTCGCATTCTTAACATGAGGGCTCTCCCCGATTCCCATGTCCAGGACATCAAGGACGAGATTCACAAGGAAAACGAAAAGAAAATGGACGAGGACGAGCTCGCAGCCGTGTCACAAGCCGGGGCCTTTTACAATCTGGAGGTCTCCCTCGCCTATCATGCCAAGCCATCGGGGGCTGATGTCTCCTCAAAGGCCCGAAACATGGGCATGCAGATCGTCTTTTACTTGGGAGTCAAGGGCCTCTTTGGCGTTCCGCTTCCAATCTGGGTTGAGCTGATTGGCCTTGTCGCGACCGCGCGCATCCGACTGCAGCTGAGCCCTGAGCCCCCGTTCCTCAAGACAATGACCGTAACCTTGATGGGCGTTCCCAAGGTCCAAGCTGGCTGCACCCCCATGGTCGAAAAAGGCGTCAACATTTTGAACCTGCCTCTTATCTCCAACTTCGTCAACTGGGCCATCAGTGCCGCGGCTTCCATGTATGTTGCGCCCAAGAGCTTGACCCTGGACATCAGCAAGATGCTCTCGGGCGATGACATCAAGAAGGATACCGAAGCGCTTGGAGTTCTCTTCGTCAGAATTCACAAAGCCACTGGCCTCAGCAAGCAGGATCAGCGCGGCAGCAAGGGCGGCGGCTCCGATCCGTACATCACCATCAGCTGGAGCAAGTTTGGCAAGCCCATGTTCTGTACCCGTGTGGTTCAAGACAACCTCAACCCCATCTTCGAAGAGACCTGTGGCCTGCTCGTTACCGGCGACTTGATCAAGGCCGACGAACAGCTCTCTGTGGAGCTCTGGGACAGTGATCGATCATCTGCAGACGACGAGGTGGGCAAGATTGAGCTGAGCATCCAAGAGCTCATCCAGCACCCTGGCAAGATGTTTCAATATTCATCGACTCTCAAGGGTCTCAAAGCAGAAAGCGTCATGCCTGGAGAGCTCCACTGGGAAGTCGGATTCTTTGGAAAGACGCAGTTCCGCAAAGCGCTGCGCACTGACGGTCACAACCCCAACGTGGTCAAGGAGCTGGGCGACAAGCCAGAGTTCCAAGAAGACGTTGGCACGATTCAAAACGCCGAGGAAGATGCCGTGGTCCATACTCCGCCAGACCCTCTTTGGCCCTCTGGAATCCTTAGCGTCGTGGTTCATCAGATTGTGGGCCTGGAGCTTGCTAACGTCAAGGGCTCCCAAGGGAACCGCAAGGGCAAGGAGTATGAACCAGCCAGGCCGGAGGCTGGCGAAGTCAAGGAAGAGCAGAGCAAGAAGCTTCCCAGCTCTTACTGCACAATCCTCATCAATGACGACCTGGTCTACAAGACGCGAACCAAGGTCGTATCGTCCCAACCCATCTTCAACGCTGGAACCGAAAAGTTTATCCGTGACTGGCGCTCTTGCATCGTCACCATCGGGGTTCGAGACTCTCGCAACAGAGAGCATGACCCTCTCATTGGCGTTGTTCCCCTCAAGCTGTCGGACATTATGCAGACGAGTAGCGAGGTAACCCGGTGGTATCCTCTGGATGGCGGCATCGGTTTTGGTCGTATCCGAATCTCTCTCCTCTTCAGGTCTGTCGAACTGAGATTACCGCCTCCGCAACTGGGTTGGGACATTGGAACGTTTGAGTTCCTGTCAGATACAATCACCGTCACAAACTACGCACCGGCGAGCAAGGTCCGGATCCGAATGCGAACGGGAGGCTCATCTGCCAATGTCAAGAGGGATCATTCTTCCCGCGAGGGCGACGACATGAAGTTTGACATTAGCGCCCCCGAGGGCCAGAAGAAGCTTCGCCTGCCCGTGCGCTATAGATATAAATCACCTATATTTATGGAGTTTTATCCCGCTGGCAAACGCGGAGCCGATGCGTTTGCTGCACTGTGGCTACTGGAGCTGGTGGACAATGAGGAGAAGGAGTTTGACATTCCTCTGTGGAAATGCGACAACCCCCTGCGACTGTCGCAAAACTACATCACGCAAGAGAACTACACTTCCGTCCCTGACTTGAACATACAGGAGATTGGGCGCGTCCGCTTCAGGGGTCGATTCTCTGCTGGCACCGACCTGGATCACCTCAGGTTCGTCACCGACAACGATTCACGCGAAACGATTGAGACGTGGGAGGCTTGCTACGCCGAGGGTGTGCGCCAGCTCGAAGTGCAGCCCGAGGTTCCTCCACTGACGCAGAAGCTACACGACGAATCTCTGACGCAAGGCCGAGATGTGCTTGCTCAAGCCGACGATCAAGAAAAAGCCAAATGGCTCTCCAAGGATGGCACTGATTGGAGCGGAGTGTTTGGCCAAGATCCGGCGAATGCGATGAACAGGCCCATGTCCAGCGCTGATACTGAAGGTCATGAGCATTTCGTGGTAGATACGGATGAGGACGATGACGACAACGACGACGACGAAGACGCGCAGGAGGTGAATGGAATTCGCCGAGCTGAAACTGACCCGACGTATGGCTCCCCGCCAATGGACGGTATTGACGAGCGCCAGTCTTTTGACAGCCGCGCTTCTGGAGCATCGAGGAACAGCACTGCCAGCACTGGGAGCAAAAACCCCATCCGGGCGTACAAGAACTACAAGGAGAAGAGCCGGGACCTGCACCGCAAGCACCGCGGGCTGATGCAGTGGCTCCCCATGCGCAACGTGCAGTTTGCCAAGGACGAGGCCAAGTTTGCGGTCCGCAAAGTAAAGAAGATGGGATCGCTGAATGGACGGAAGCCGGACGTCGAATCTGAGATTTGATGACGTGCAACTTTACCCCTGCTGTTACTACCCTCTTCTCTTCTCGTTTCTCTTTTCTCTTTCACTTTTCCTTTGTTCGGGTTCGACTGTAGTTTTATTGTACTGGATGGCTTCCGGGGTGGACATGCAGACCACGAACGATTTATGACCCTTCATGACCTTTTTTTTATTGGAAGTGTTGGGATGCAACTATCTATTCGTTTACTGATGACGATTCTTTACACACACACACACACACACACGATGTGAAAATACCTGCCAAGAGAGCTTTTGCTGTCATGTTTATTCTTCATGTTTATTATTCTAGTTTCTTAATGCAAACGCTGTATGTTTGTTAAAACTTCTCCACATACGGACGAATGTCCAGTTCCTGAGTGAAGCAAGATCTGTGCTGAGTATGCAAGTGCCAATAACTCTCCGCAATCTGCCATGATGCCCGTCAGTTTCACCAAAAGCGTCATGACAAAGGTCGAATCGAGAAATAGGGTGAGGAATACATACGGCATCAGGACTAATCTTTCCATCCTCAACCCCGTTATTCACAACCCTGTCCTTGCCCCAGGGGGTATCAATGCCGCCGTCTATGACCGCGAGGGCGACGTGCACTCCCTTTGGGCCGAACTCGCGGGCGAGCGACTGGGTGAGGGCGCGCTGGGCGAACTTGCCGGCGGCAAAGGTGCTGAAGAGGGCGGAGCCGCGGACGGAGGCTGTTGCGCCGGTGACGAGGAGGGTTGGTGGGTGGGGGGAGGAGGGGACGGAGGAGAGGAGGAGGGGGAGGGTTTTTTGGGCGAAGATGAAGAGGCCGTTTCTGTTTCAACTCTGATATCAGTACTTCTACATAGAGTAGTTATGTATGTTTTACGGGTGTGTGAGGGTGTTATGATCTAGAATGTATAAGTGAAGGGGGGAGGAGGAGGGGGGGCAGGTGGGAGTGATAAAGGGAAAAGGCAAAAGGCAAAAAAACTCACGCAGCAGTCCCCAGACTAGTCTGCAAATCCTCCAGCTTCAATTCCAAAAAGGGCTTCCTCGACATCCCCGCATGGCCATTGTACACGGCAGCAGCAAGTTTCGCACCCGGCAGTTGGGTCTTGATCTCTGCAAAGGCGGCGTCGACGGCGACGGGGTCGGAGGCGTCGGCGGTGATGCCGATGGCGGTGCCGCCGGCGGCGTTGATCTCGGCGACGACGGGCTCGTAGCTTGATGGCTTGCGGGAGAGGAGGACGACGGCGTAGGATTGGGCGAAGCGGCGGGCGAGGGAGGCGCCTGTGCCGGAGCCGACGCCGGAGATGATGGCGAAGAAGGGGGGTGCCATTTGTTATGTGTCGAGATTTGCTGGGGCTGTGTGGGAATCAAAAGGAGAGGGATGTTTACGGGGGAGATGAGATGGAAGAGAGGACGAGGATTGGATTGGAGAGAGGGATATGAATATGGATGAGAATTGACGGGATGGAGGTATAAGTGGGAGAGAAAGGGGGGCACAGATGAGGATGTCTTTAAATGAAGAGATGGCGAGGCTTGAGGTGTGTATTGCGCAACCAGATCTATTTCCTTGTCCGTCACATTCTGATGGAATCAATGCAATGGCAAAGAAACCAGCTGATAAATACTGATTACAAGGTGCTATAGAGGGGGGTTGGGACATTGATTGTGCCATCTATCGTGCTTGTTGTGGATTATAAAGCAGCAACCGCCCTCATGCGGGACGGGGTGGATAAAAAGGGGGGGTTTAGATCTTGGATTAGGAAAGTGGTGTATGACGATTGGATTGTCGTGCGGGGTGGCTTTCTTTTTCCATCTTGAATATTAATCAAGCTTGCTTAGGAGGTAGGCTCCTTTGGTTGTACCCAATGTATCTTGTTGGGTGAAGTTGCTCCTCTGTGTGTGGTGCGGCTCTTGATTACCTTACCGAGATGAAGATACGAACTCGATACTCTGCAGTCTTTTCCCCCGACCAAGGCCATCAAATGGCGTTATCACATGCCAACATGAAGGCATCAAAGCTGTCAGGATTCCCACTTCAATTAGTCAATCTCTTCTTCCCCGCACTGCCAAATGAATAAAATGGGTGGATTCCGCTGCTCCCGGGCCGGACCCGGTCTCATCGGCCCCACACGGAGCCGAAGCCCGGACTGAGCACCCAGTGCTAAACAGCTGTGCACGGAGGAGAACACGCGGGGTCAACTGCAAAGAGTCAAAGTATTTAATAGAATCATCTGGAAAAGAAACGCATTATGCCTTTCCAAAGGCCTTAATTAAAAGAAGAAAAAAACGCCGCCCAGTGGCAGCAGCAGCTCACACCCTGTACACATTGTTCCTGCGATCATACGTCAACAGAGGAATCCCCAATTCCTTCCCACCCCCATTGGGATCAGGCCCAGGCCCCCTTTTAAACGGGTTCTTGGTCCCATCCTTGCAATATCTCGTCACGTCGCCCCAGGCGGCCTTGACATCGATCCCCGACTCAACAAACTCGCTCGTCGACAGACTCCGCAGCTCTACCGAATTAGCACGCGTAGAAGAACCCTCGGCCTCCATCATCGCCCCAACGCGGCGGTTCCTGCTCAGACGCCGTCCCGCGTGACTGATGGCCGCTCCAATAAGAACTGACATCACAGCGTCGGTGAGCGTCTGGGCTTCGAAAAAGGGCTGCCCGTAGGCCGCGGCAATGGTCCGCTGGACGCCGAAATCCGCCACGATGCCCGTCGTGACGGTTGCGCCGGCCACCCAGCCCGTCCTGTAGCCGGCGTCCATCAGGGCCGTCTCGACTCTGCCTCCCACCACGCCCAAGCCAGCCGTCACGGCCGACCCCAGAGCGCCGGCCAGGACGTCCCGGCCCAGCCCGCTCCAGGAGTAGGCCCATTCGTCGCCGGCAGCCCAGTCGAGCGTCGCCGTGACGAGGTTCCCCATGACGTTGCCCGCCGCCGCGGCCACCATGCCCGTGGCCACCGTCGAGACCACGGTGGCCGTCGCAGCTGACGCCCCGGCCGCAGCGGCTCCCGCGGCCAGCGCAGCGGGCAGGGCGGCGCTGCCGAGGGTGACGAAGGCGACGCCCGCGGCGGCAACGGTCCCGACGACGGCGGTGAGCACCTTTCGCAGCGAGAAGTGGCCCGTCGGATCGAACAGGTTGACGGGGTCGCCTTGGCAGTACGCGTAGCGGTTCTCGACGAGCTGCGAGTCCATGGACAGAAAGCAGCGGAGGTCCGGCTGGTAGAAGCGCGAGCGGAGATAGACGACGCCGGTGAGGGCGTCGACGAGTTCCTGGCCAAAGGCGAAGCTCGTCTGCGGCTTCAGCGGACACGTCGACGAGTGCGCGCCGTAAGGCTCGTACGAGATGGCTGTTGATTCCTCGCCGGCGAGCTGCATCGCCGTGGAGCCGTGCTGCTCGAAGAGATATGTCGTCGGCACTGCTGCTGCCTGGCCGGAAGAGGCCGGATACGCTGCCAGAATGCTTCCGTTGCTGCGTAGGATGGAGCTCTTGTCTTGTGCTTGCCCGGCCTCCTCCTCGTGGCTGACGGCGTTGATCTCCTGGGTTCCCGCGTGGTAGAAGAGGCCCGTCTTGCCTTGTGGGCGGGCGATGCCGGCGAGGGAGTCGTCGCCGTGGTAGGCGAATTTCGTGCTGTTGCTCCCGCCGGCCGTTTCGACAGCGAGGAGGTGGTCGACGTCGTCAAAGATGTATTTCCGGCCGGCGTCGTCGCGGACCATGCGGCCGTTGGCGTCGTACTCGAACCCGGAGTCGGTTCGCTGGTCGATGGCGTTGTAGGTCATGCTGCTGCTCGTCTGGCCGTTTACGCTGACGGCCACGATGTTGTGGTTTCCGTCGTATTCAAACCTTTGCAGCAACACGTCGTCGTCAGTCTGGCCACCACCGCTGCTGCTGCGCTCCTCCGTCATCTGGCCGAGGCCATCATACGTCCAGCTGCGGCTCTTGTTGAGCTCGGGCCGACGTGCTGACGCAGATTTGATGCTCGACATGGTTCCGCGACTGCTCATCTCGTATGTCGTCTGCAGAAGAACCGTGGAGTCGGTGGCGACTGTCTTGACTTGGGATTTCTGCTGGAACCCGTCGTACGAGATCTGTGTCGTGTACTGCATCCCGCCCGACAGGGTATAACCGACCAGGACCCCAAGGCAGTGGTTCGACGTGCCGTATGAATACGTGACAACGTCTCCTTGAGAAGCCACGCTCGCTTTGCGGCCGAGGCTGTCGTACGCAATGTCCGTTCTGGTCCCAAAAACATCAATCTCTACTGATGTACGACTGGTCCAGTCTCGCTCATATATCTGGACGTAACCGCAGCCATAGTCCACAGAGCGCGGAGACCCGTCGATGTAGTAGTCATAGCGGACAACCGCATCCCTGAATTGGGACGATTCTACCTGGCCTTTCGCCTTGTACTTGATCTCCGTCGTCCCAGAAGCAGAAGTAGTCCGAACAGTCTGCCCACAAGCATCATGCTCAAAGGTCAAAGTGCTGCCATCGAACCGCGTCGTCTTGGTAAGCCAGCCATTCTCGTCGTATTCGTTCTTCTCTTCCTGGCCCAGCTGGTTCCGAAGAAGAGTAATGTTGCCATGCATGTTGTATATAGTCGTGGGCCCCTGCTGAGAAAATGCCCTTCCATCTGCATATTTCACGTCCTTGAACCAGGTGTGCTGGTTTCCGCGTAGGTCGTAGACAAACCTGCGAGTTACGACGTCGTCCCCTGCATCGCCTGCGCCAGTGACCGTCTCTGATGCCTTGCGTCCGTCTGCATCGTAGGTGTAGGCTATGGACTTGAGAGTCTTTGTTTCGCCAGAATGTCCTCCTCCAGCTGGCCGTTGCAGAACCGTCTCTTTGACCGTCTGCCCCTTGCCGTTGTATACAGTCTCTTGGACGAGACAATACGACGTATTGCTGCCCGAGTCGGCAAATACAGTTTGTGAAACGACTCTGTCGTAGTTGTCCAGAACCACCTTCTTGCGAACGTCTCCGTTTAGGGTCTGCGTGATTGTCAGTGCCCTGTCGTCGTAGGTCGTGGCTTGGACATTTCCTGTTGCATCGGCCTGCTGAACAACACGGCCAAGAGCATCAAACGTATAGTTTGTAGCAAGGCCGATCACGTCCTTGGTGCAGGCGACATTTCCCAGGGCGTCATACGAGTCTCTCTTCAAGACCCGAGAGGGATTGTCGGACGGCTGCTTAGTTGGATCGCCGTTGTCTGCAATTTTGACGGGACGACCGAGGGAATCGTACGTAGTCTGCGTAATGTACCCTTTCCAATCGCAAGAGGTCTCCGTGATGAACGAAGTGGTGACGGTGTACGACTTGGTGGTCGCGCCTCCGAGAGCATCAGTCTGCTTCACAAGTCGCCCCAGCGTATCATACTGGTAACTCGCAGACTGTCCTCGAGGAAGCGTCTTCCTGACCATGGGGCCTCCGTCGAGTCTCATGTCGTGTTCTGAAGTCACGACCCCTAGCGAATCACTCGTCTTGAGAGTGAGTATCCCGTTGCTGAAACTGTACTGAGCCGAGGTCTCATATGAGCTGGCACTGCCGTCTGGAACCACTGCGCCTTCAGCCCATGCAAGCGTCTCCTTTGTGACTCTCCCCCGGGAGTCGTATTGCTTGGTGGTCGTCTTCCACGGCTGCATTGCAGCCCCAGACGACGCCTTGAAGGACACAGTGGACGACTTTACAGTCGTTTCGTCGTCGGAAAGGGTGTTGCTCGTCTTCCAGGCCATTCCAGTGATCAAATCAGTCTCGACCTCGGTTTTGATTCTCTGGAGACGAAGCTTTCGGGTCGTGTAGTAGTCCCTCGCAACGCTCCTCGTTGCTACATAACGTGCATCATCCCTGTTATAGATGTCCTCTTTCAGCGAGAGGAGCTCACCGAAGGCGTTGTAGCTCATGGCGGACTTCTTCATGTATTTCCAGTTGTCAAAGGTGCCGTCGCCAACATTGCGGAAGCACTCGATTTCCGTTGGTTGGGCATAGTTGGTCGTACGTGCGTGTTTGTCCGGATCGACCTCGTATGTGTACTTGGTCATGTAGACTGAGACGAGGCCGCCCTGGCCATTGACCAGATACTTGAACTCTGTTACCGGAAGATGCAAATAGTTGAACTGATTCATCGTTGCCGCGAGTGTCTTCCCGCCCCCGTCGAGCTGCGTGACGAGCACATCATATCTGGAGCAGAGTCAGCATTATTATGAATTGTACGGTTGTATGACCCTGAGGTAGATTGAATCAGTTCACTTACCGGTAATTGGAATCACCTTGATCCATCAAATCGTCCTTCAGACCGGACAATTGACACCCAATCGAGATTCCGGTAAACGTGAGGCCGTCGGACGGCCCGTACTGATAGTTTGTATGCTTGAGTGTCTCCCCTTGCGCATTCACATGGTAATGATCAGACACCGCAGGTAAAGATTTCACATTGTTGTCCCCGTCAAGGTAGTCCAATGCAGAATAGGCAAACTTGGAGATCAGCCCGGTTGGGTATCTGATCTCTTGCAGCACAGAAGGGACGTCGTTCACGCTGGTATACGTGAAGCGAGTCTCGAATCCCATCGAGTCTGTGAAAAGGTCGACTCCGGCTTCATCAAAGCGCACCCTCGTCAGCTGCGTTGCGGGCCCCTTGATGAACATTTCAGTGCCCGGCTGGTACTCAAATGTCACCTTTTGGCCCCAAGAGTCGAGAATGTAGTCTAGACATGGATCAGAGGTCACGGCTCCTCCGGTTGCGCCGTCGAGATAGACGTAATGCAAGCTGTTTCCAAAGACGTCTTGATGAGCCACCGGCCTTCCAAGAGCATCAAAGTAATCTCTCGAGCCATCTTGAAGCTTCAACTTGTAAGCGTATTCGCCAGGCTGGCCGGTAGGCAATGGCTGAGGAGGAACGGCGGGCTCAAAGACAATGCCGTGGTTGTTCATGTACTTTAGCCCAGACTGGTGGCCGTCCAAGTCACTCCAAGTATAATCAATGGCGTACGTTCGCCCCGAGAAGGTGACGCTGGATTCAGGAACGACATAGGGCAGGTTGAGGCTCCAGTTCCGCGGCAGGCCAAATGCCCCGGCTGACCCGGGCTGGTAGGAGAGAACGAGACTGAAGTCGGCGCTGCTGACGTGGCCGCGAAGCTGCAGAAGCGGCTTGCTGAAGTTGAGGGTGCCGGTGTTGGGGTTGATGGACTCTTCGCGGCCGGGAACGATGTGGGTGAAGGCCTGTGAGCCCTGATACTGGCCGCCCTCGCCATCGGATTGATTCTTTGACATGATGTGATGTGAGGGTCAGTGTAGCTTGACAGTTCCTCAAAGGTCAGGGAATCGACCGACAAGGGCGATCTAAAGGCAAAGGAGGGAAAATAGGGTAATGATGTTGTTACATTGCTCTCTTTTTCGTATCCCGGCACATGGTCCATGTTAGTGAGATAAATAGTCACAAAGGGACGTATGCTTTTGTCTTCCTCTGCGTGATCAAGGCACGGATGAAATCCTCCGCGTAGAACCACGCCGTCTCGCGCAACTGATGTTGACGACGCAAAATACTCCTCATCAGCCCTCTTCATCCCCATCCGAGCTGATGTCTAAGCGCTGGCGGCATGTCGAGAGCCGTCCACCAGCCACCAAACAGACAGTTCTAGACCGTCCTTTGGCTTCCATTCGACTTCCAAAAAAACGCAACACCACAGCACAATCCATGTTCGATATTCCAGCGCCTCAACTGAACAACAGGCGCAGCGACAGAGCTGAGAAGCGACCCAAAACGGACGCTCGTCGGGATCCCCGTGAGGCCTCGCGGAAAGCCCTGCATAAGCGACGCAAGCTGGAGAAGAAGAGACGATGGAAAAAACCAAACTATCATCTCCAGCAAGAGTCCTCTTTTCTCTCCAGCATGTCGACCCTGAAGTCTCATAGGTCACCAGCCGCAAAGACTAGCGAATTTGGTGGGCCAATAATGCGTCCGAATCTGGTCCAGTACATGCGGGTAAGGCTGGCTGAAAGGGGGGGGCGCCCATTATCACAACCCTTGTCACCATTGAGAAAACAAGACGGGAACGGCCCGTGTCAGCCAGCTCAGCTTTAGGCCCGGGCATGGCAGACACGGCACCTTGAGGACGAGCTGAAGGATGCAATCGGCCGGTAGTAGTAGTATATGCGAATGGCTTCTATGAGTGCTGATACTATGGCATCTAGATGCCGTCGTGTATATAAAAATGTATATAAAAAGTCTCGTTGGTCCTCACTTACACGGCGATATCTGTAGCCATCATCAGCCAGACACAGCACTAGCAACCGTATTCAAATCAACACACAGAAATCAACAGCACACAGATATCAAGAAGCACTTTTTCACAGGAGCCACAGCAAAGCAAAAATGCACTTGTCCATGCAGTCCCTGGCCTTGGCCACAGCCCTCGTCATCAACGGCGTCCTCGCAGGCGCAGGTAAGACACACACACACACACACATATCCCTCCCAAAGAAAGCTCCCCGCGAGAATAACTCACAAGATTCTTTGATATATAGGCGCCCAGGTAAAGGCCTGCATCTGGTTCACCACCAAGCCCCATTCGCCCATCAGCTTCTCCTGGAACACCTGCGGCAGCGGCTCCCACTGCATGTACTGCGACAAGCTGCCCAAGCCGACCATGACCGTCTCCGAGGCCGGCCTGACCTGCGTCGACCTCGGCAAGGTCGAGTCCAAGTCCAGCAGCACCTTCTTCGTCGACTTCTGCGCCACCGACGAGAGCCACTGGGAGCTGTCGTACAACTCGCCCTCGTCGTCGTACAGCGGCTCCGTGTCCAGCCGGTGGCGCGGCGGCGGCGCAAAGCACAACTATATCGAGTTTGACAAGGACAAGTTCTCGCCCGGCACGAGCGTTTGCGGGACCAAGTCTGCCTGTGTGAACACGCAGATTGACTGGGATTCGGGCTCTGCTCCTGATATCTATGTAAGTTCTTTTTTTTTTTTTTTTTTTGACGCCAAGATCTGTCTGGTCCTTTGTAACTGTATGCATTGCTGGCCATGGTGCTGATGCAGAAACCAACCAACAGTACGTCTTCCGGCCGCAGCAGCAGCAAGGAAAGACTTGGGGTGCAGAGAACATGTCGGCCATTGAGTCCGCCGATGTTGAGACGGCCAAAGTCTCTCACGACCATTCAGACCTCTAGCCTTGATGAGGGTGGTATTCTGAATTGGCAAAATGCGTGGAATGACTACATGTGAGGCCGGGTCTTGAGGGGAGGAGCTATGAGATATGGTTTTGTATACGACTTACAGGCGGGTAAACAAAACGGAATCTGCGAGTGACGGTAGAGTTGGGAGAGATAGAAAAGATGGTGCTTTTTTCTTGTTCTCCTCATTCACAGCTGTTCCTAGATGAGAGGTTTTCTTGTGGAAAGCTGGCCTTGCTCTAGAATCGACTCTTGAGCAGTCGGTAGGTGTCATCTCAAGAGCCCAATCTGGGGGCCCAACCATCTTGTCCAAATTGCCGCCCGTTATGCGAATTCATGCTCGTCTTGCTCGTCCAGCTCCTTGGCAAAGGGCAACTCCTGAAGCAACCGCTTCGAGGTCTTTTTCGCAGCTTTCAGCCGGCGCTTTGCGTATATCCCCAACTTGGGCGCCGCCGCCGCCGCCGCCTTTGGTTTCGGTGGCTTCTCGGTCCAGACTTGAATTGATTCTGTGTCACCAAAGAGGAAGTGTTTGGCAGCCCACTTGCAAGGCCTTGACTCCTTGGTGATGTATTGATAGGACTGGATTGCGGCTGCAGGATCATCCATCGGGTTTGTGAGACTCCGAGTGTCGAAGAGAGATATCCCAATGTGGAAGCTCTGTTCAGGCGAGATGACCTGGTAGCCTCCTCCCGTATCAACGTCGATGGAAACAAACAAGACGTCTTTGATGGAAGATCCGGGCAGGCGGGCTAGGATCTTGATGTCAAGCTTTGGATGCACAACTGGTGGCTCGCGAACCGCCTCGTGACGATATCCCAGCATCTGCCGCAGGGCAAGAGTTTCGTCGCGCAAGATGCCAGTATGCGGCCCCGGAACAGAAGCCATGGCTGTCTGAGCAAAACCAGGGAAGTGGTGCGAACGAACGGAGCGGGGGAGGTGAATGAAGCCGTGTGAATAAAAGTCAGCGGTAGAAAAGCCGTCTCTAAGGGTGGTGAGTGAGAGAGAGAGGTCGGCCGAAAGTCTCAGCAGCGAGTCTCAAATCCGGCACGCGTCGTTTTCTTGTCCCTCTGATGCGTTTTAGGTATGTATCTCGTACCTCAGGAATCATTCGCGTTGGTGGTTGTCTACATGTACCTGGTTTGTCCTGGTGCCAGCACGAGCATGTCGTTTGTTTGACTTCAATGTTGGCTACCAGCAGAGAGAGCCATTAAGTTTTGGCTCGCTAATGCCGCTTTTGCAAAATGCTGACCACGTGGCTTGTGCCAAAGACGAGAGACACGAGCCCTTTTTGCTCTTCTTTTTCCGTGTTCTACTTTCAGTCTCGGACAGCAGCTGGACTATCAAAGAGCCTGGAAGGTTGTCTAATCTCAACAGGAGTTGAAGGATATCATCACCTGCTTTGATGGCCAAACAACCTTACACTCACCTCCATCATTGAGTACTTTTTGGGTATTGCTGATAAGTTATATATATCTTTTATGAGATGGCATATCATATGGGTTAATTTGTTTCATCTTTCACCTTGAGAATGATCCTTGACCAGACATTCGTCAATTTGCTCTTTACACGGACAATCCCGACCCCTTCATTCATCGTCAGTCACTTCCAAGTCCCCAAAACGGCAAAAAGCGGGCCCCGCCTATTGTTGATACCAGACCAATGTCACTTCACTGACCACTCAAACTCACTCTCACCTCTTCCCCCAAACCATCACCAACTCTCTTCCTCACATCACCACCACACAACAAAATACAACAACATCATGAGCACCAACTTTCCAGAACAAACCTCGCCCCTCATGCTGGATCCCATCGAATTCTGGAGCACCAGCACCAGCAGCAGCAGCAGCAGCGCCCAAGCCGCGCCCAAGCCGCCCTCGAGCGCAGCCTCGCACCAGCGCCTCTCCTCCATGCGCTCCGCCAGCATGGACCGCGACGACCCGCTGCACGCTGCGCCCCTGGCCCAGTTCAAGTCGTCATCATCATCGTCCGCCTCCTCCTCCTCCTCCTCTTCTGAGGCGCGACAACAGCAGTCGCGGGTGGCCGTTGTGCTCAAGAAGGCGCCTGCGTACTTGAACAGCTCCAGGTCGCAAAACGAGGGCGCACGTGGAACGGCATCAGCAGCAGGAAGATTCTCATCGTCGCAACAGCAGGGGAGTTCACGCGCGATGAAAAAGGAGACGCCTGTGCCTATTCCCAGGCCGTTTGGGATCCCTTCAACAGCGGCAGCAGCAGCAGCGACATCATCCTCACTTCACACACCAGTGCCTCTGCCAAAGCCAATGGCCAGCATCAAGACAGCCACGCAACGCACAGCTCCAGTCGTGGCTCCAACGCCAGTTCCTCTTCCCAAACAGCTCACAACAACACCAGCAACTCCCACAGCTGCAAATCTCGTGACAAAACCAGCAGCAACAGCTCCAACCCCAGTCCGAAATCAAGCACCACTTCACCAAGCACCAGTCCAAACCCCCGTACCAACACCGACACAAACCCGCATCTCAGTCCAGATACCAGCCCCAACACCACCACCATCAGCCCCCCAACCAAGCTCCTCCCGAGGCCGACCAAAAGGCTGGAAACCCGGCATGTCCTACAGCGCCCTCCGAGGCCCAGCCTCAGAACGGCCCGTTACCGCCACCGCAGGCAGACCCGGTCGCCCAGCGAAACCAAAGCCCATAAACACCCCCTTTGGCCACGCAAAGCGTCGCGGAAGACCCCCCAAGGCGCCCTCTCCCCTGCCGTGGCAGGTCTACCGCTCCCTGCAGACCTCGTTCGTCGCCTTCTTGTGCGAATGGCGCGGCTGCAGAGCCGAGCTGCACAACCTCGACACGCTGCGGCGCCACATCCACGTCGTTCACTGCCGGAAGGAAGCACCGCCGTTTGTTTGTCGCTGGGGCGCGTGCGCGCAGATGCCAGCCTCTGAATGTGCATTCCCCAATGAGCCTTGTCTTAAAGAGCACGTTGAGGAGGCGCATCTCGTGCCGTTTAGTTGGCATGTGGGCGACGGTCCGCGGAACAGCGGCGGCCCCGTCAAGCACCCGCTGGAAGACGTCGAGATTCCGGATTACTTGAAGGACGAGCAGGGCAATCAGGTGACGCCGTCGGTGCGCGATCAACAAGTGGAGGACTTTGCGACATTTAAGCAGAATCGGCAAAAGCTGAAGGATTTGCTCTTCCAGATGAATGAGAATCTGCCGAGCGAGGAATCGGATTCTCCTGTGGATGAAGATTGACGGAGGGGAAAGGGGGGGGGGGTTGAATGATGCACCTAATGAGCGACCTACGAAGTTTGCCGTGACTACATGTAGTACCAGTACCTTGTGTTTGGTGCTTCACGGCGTTTATAGAACAAACTTCTATATATAGGTAACTGAGAAAGAAAGAGAAAACGTGACTAACGTGGGAGGATGTTGAATCCTTGCCCTTGCACTACATCTTTTAGTATCTACGCCCCTTGATCGGATTGCCAGTATGCGAGATGTTCGTTTGGTTTTCAAACCGAAGCGTCAAAGTAGTGCAGAGAATGAAAAGACAACAGATCATGCAGGCGTTTTCAAAGACAGTGAGATCACCCCTTCATGATACTGTTGGGAGATGTGCCCATCACCTCGGCACCACAAGCTCCCCTCTCCTATCCATGCAGCTCATCAAGCCCCCCTCTAGATCCGAGACCACCTCAACAACGTAGCCGCAGCAATCACAGGCAAAACGCTAACGAGCTCGCCCAAGCCCGCATACTCGGGCGGGATCCGCGCATCGACAAACGCCCCCGCGGCAAGCAGGACAGCAAACAGGTTGTACACGAAGCTCCAGCCAAAGTTGAACGCGATTCTCCGCATCGACTTCTTGCTCGCCGCGATGACGGTCAGGACGCCCGCGAGGCTGGGGCGCATGAGCACGACATCAGCCGCGGATTGGGCGACCTCGGTGCCTTGGTCGTTCATGTGGATGCCGATGGTGGCCTGGGCGAGGGCGGCTGCGTCGTTGGATCCGTCGCCGCAGAAGATGACGACGGGCTGCTTGGCCTTGTTGGCTTTGCTGGGCTGTTCTGGGCTGGTAGGGCCTTGGAGGAGGGCCTGGATGTAGGCTTGCTTGTCGGCGGGCGTGCAGCGGGAACGGACGTTTGCCTCTGTGATTCCCAACTGGGTTGCGACAGAGCGTACGGCGCCGTCATCGTCGCCTGACAGGATGTGGACCGATATGCCGTTAAAAAGCAGAGTCTGTACCGTAGAGGCAGCGTCAGATCGAATCGAGTCCTGGAGGCCAAAGATGGCAGCGACAGAACCGCCCATGGTGAAGCCCAGGACCGTATATCCATCAGACAGCATTGATTGCGCGGTCGGGTGAGACTCGAGGCAAAGCCAGCGTGAGTTGCCTGCCCTAAGAGCTGTTCCGGCTCCGTCTGCCACTCCTTCAACGCCCTTGCCCGTCAATGCCTTGGCGTTGGATACAGACGCAGGTGATACGCCCTGGTCCTTTAGATGCGACGCCATCGCAGCAGACGCTGGGTGCTTGATGCTCTCTACAAGGCCGAGAAGCAGCGACTTTGTACTATTCTGGTCACCGTCGGCATACCATTCTTGCACCACTTTCAATCTGCCCTCCGTTATGGTTCCAGTCTTGTCAAAGACAACGTGCGATGCCTTATACGCGACCTCGAGGCTTTCTGCCGACTTGAAGACAACGCCTCGTTCGGCTGCGACGCCGCTAGCAATGACCACCACCATGGGGACTGCCAAACCAATGGCGCAGGGACAGGACACTATCAGGACGGTGATTGCATAGGTGACTGCTTGAATCGCTGCCTCGTTTCCAGGCAGCTCCCGGACCATGATGCCAACGGCGATCCAGATACAAAACACGGCAATCGTAATGGCGACCACGACAGGGACGAAGTAGCTCGCAACACGATCGGCTACGGCTTGAATCTTTGGTTTCGACAGTTTCGCCTCGTCTACCATGCCGGCGACAGTGCTGATTGTGTTGTCGCCAGGGAGGCGCGTCAGCCGAACGTGTAACATGCCCGAGCCATTGACGGTTCCGGCAATGACTGAAGATCCGGCATGTTTCTCGACGGGCATGGACTCCCCGGTCATCATGGATTCGTCAACTTCAGACGAACCAGATATGACGGTGCCATCGGTTGGAATCCTCGTATCAGGGGCGACTTTCAGTACGTCTCCATACTGAAGGAGACGGGCATCAATCTCCTTGTCGCCCTCATCAGTCACAATGACGGCTGTTGGATCCTGCAGAGACCGAATCGAGATGGATTCCACTGCCTTTTGGCGAGCCAGGGTGGCCACCCAGCGGCCAACCATGATGAGAGTCACCAGGAGAGTGCTGGTCTCGAAGAATTGACCAGTCGAAAGGGGGTGGCCCGAAGCCAGGTACGCAAACGAGACGACCGAGAAGATGTAAGCCGCGCTGGTGCTGAGAACGATGAGGAGGTCCATTTCAATGACCCGCGAAAAGAGCAGTGCTTTGAGGGCCTTTGGATAGAATGGACCGGCGACTATGAACTGGACGAGGGTTGCCAAGGCCAACGACGCTGAGCTGTATGCCATTTCATGCGCAGGAAGAGGGGCCCAGGCCATGATCAGGACCGGGATGGTGAGGCCAGCGGAGAGCAAGGTCATGTAGCCATTGTGACGGACATGCCTCTTGCCAGCCTCGAGTGATGGATCGAGGCGCGTAGTCCCGAGCTGAAATGAAGTGTCTCCCCAACCGGATTCGATGAGATCTCTTGCACCGATAATATCGGCGTTGAAGCAAACATTGACAGTCTTTTCATCCACGACCTTCATCTCGGTAACGCCCTCTGGCCAAGGCTGGTTGACAAATGCAGCGGCGCCGCCAGCAGGAACTACAATATCCAGGCTGGAGCCTTTGTATGAGATCCTTTCGCACTTGAACTCGGTAGTCCTCTCCAGGTGCTTGGTCACTTCTTCCACAGAGACACCATGGCCGACTAGGTCAAACTCAGCGCGCGAGAGGACCAGGCTAGTCTTCAGATTCTTGACGAACGAGAGGGTACCGAGACTGCGGACCAGCTTCGTCTCGCAACCGGTACAGGTCATGCCCGAGATGCTCAGGATGACATGTTCTTTTTTATCGTGAGAGAATACAGTCTTTTCGACATCGACTTCGCGCGCCGTATCAGACAAGGCTCTGGTAGACTGCTTCACAGAAAGGCTTGGTTGGATTCCATCGCAGCAGGAATCGACACAAGAGCTTGCGGTGCGGGAGGCTTTCGCTTTAGCCTGGCAATCGCCTGTATCCTTGCCTTTGCCGTATGGGGCAGCCGGCTTCTTCGAGGAGCAGCGGTTTGCATCAGTCCGCCCACTAATACAGCACGAATCGACAGAACGACGTGAACTTGACGAGGATGCCTTGCCCGAGCAGCTTCTCACACTTGCTCCGGTTGAACGGCGCCGCGGATTGCAGCAAGATTCTTGGCCGAGGGCGATGAGGGCTCGGCAGATGCATCCAAGAGCCTCAAGCTTCTCGAGGTACAAGTCTCGAATCTTGCGAGAATGGCTTTCACATGATCTACCGTTTCTGCCTCGACTGCAGCTAGAGGTAGACTTGCCGGTGCTGCCGTAGTCTGCGAGACCAAGGGTGTTAGAAATGTAGTTCAATAATAACCTACAGGGTGCTATAAGAGCTTACCTGGTTCAGGGCCCTCGCATTCACGGAGCGCGAGGCGGTCGAGGCAGGTTTGGTCACAGCATGGAGACGATTTTCCTTCGCAGCAGTCCGGTTCTGACATATCGTCTGGACACGGCCTGTTCTCTTCGTTGAAGCAGCAGCCCTTGGTGCAGCTGAGCTGGGGAGCGCAGCAGTCGTCCTCGAGATTGGCGGTCTCATCCTCGTTCTGGCACGCCATATCACCCTGCAGCTCGTCTTCTGATTCACCGCAGCACGAGTCCTGGCACGACCGTTCATCATATTTGTTGTTCTTCAGCCCCTCGCAGCCAGCAACAATGTCGAGCTCTTCAGCGTGGCTATCAGGCACATCGCCATCACAGCAAGGACCCTCTGGCTTCGGAAGCTCCACGGAGCAGGTGTCCTTGTCGGGGAGAGCATCAGAAGGCGGTCCGCAGCAGCCCGAGCCGCAAGCCATGTCGGATCTGGAGTGAGTTTGCAGTTGATGGACGAATCTCGGACAGATGATGTTGAAATTGAGTTGTCCAGTCAGCTGGGATCATGCACTGGATGCCAAGCCGGATAGCCCAACGTGGCCGCCACGGGTGCGGAAGATGGTTCATTCCGACAAACCACCAACAATAGCAACAATAAAAGATCCAATATAGTCGGCTCGTTTGCTTTGATGATCTAGTGAGTGCATGGGTCTATCAAGATTGTGCGTAGTCAGAAGGCAACTTGACAACTCATCGACATAGTGACCGCCGTTGTAACAGACAACACCATATCCGACCTTTACTGGGTGAAGATGGACGCAAGTACATGCACCTACCATGTTGAGGCTTGATGCAGATGCACCAACCATCCAAGCCTGGGATAAGCCTCAACCGCTTAGATTAGACTACAGGACTCTGAGCTGATGACTGAAATTGTGCACTCGGAAGCTGTATCTTTTCAAGAAAGTCATGTTGAGCCATATGCCAGCAGTTATCATGATTCCACAAAGTTCGGCCTGCTGATCACAGCCTCATCTGTAACGAGTCTAACCGAGGTTCCGAGCCATGGATTGTCGAGTCCACAAACAAGGCGCGGCTGTGCTGCAAACATTGAACGCAACAATTACATACATTGACACGGCCAGCAAGCCCGATCAGCACCAGCAAGCTCACAGATCTTCACAGACTGGAGCTGCCCGGCCCACACTCTTGTTCCGCCGTCTCGGGCTTCCAGCCGCCGGAGAATGGAGACAGTGACAGTGACCAGACCACCGCACCCGCCGCAGCATCGTGTATCGCGTACTTTTTCCTCCCTTGAAGTTCTTCCTTGTTTCGCGCAGTCACAGTCTGATTACATCATACTGCTAGCATTCGAGTGACCCGATCAAGACATGGCCTGAACTGTGACTGTTGCCTTGCTGGCAAACTGCCAGGGGGGGCCTGACCGGAAACATTTCTGGAACAGGCGTCATGTCACGGGCTGTTTCCCTCGTATGATCAAGCCGCCAGATGCCGAGGATACCGACTGACCGTCGATAGTAGTACCGGGAGCAGGGCAGAGCATCTCTGTGCAGCAGATAGATTGGATGATGGAGAGAGCCGGGCTGAAGAGAGCACTGCTGCAGCTTCAATGTTGCTCCTCGATAGCTGCAAATGATACGTATGGATGTGTGCTAATGCAGCCCTAAGCCGTCGGGCACACACCATCGCCCAGGCACAGACATAGATATGCAGTAGTATACATACAGTAATACGGCAATAACATTGAGGCATCGGGTGTGTCTGTTGCTAATTTGGAGCCCGGATATTGTCATCTCGTGGTTTCTGCTGCTTTGGCTCCTCACGTTGGTTGGTAAGCAGCGCAGGTGTGTGATCCTCTCCCATCAATGCGTGCCAGGGAAGATCCCTTGGCCCTGGAAGTTGGTGTTCATGTTGACGGACTCCGCAATATACCTCTAGACTGAAGGTACAGATACCGCACCTATCGAAAGTACCGGTACGAACAATCACTGGTCCAGCATCAGCCAAAATGGCAGCAAGCATGACGACGGCCTCCAGCTGCTGCACCAGGGCATCGACCAGCTGGAATTCTCGACACCCAGTGCCGGAACACGTCAAGCAAGGGGACATCTGTCGCGCGCGCGGCATTACTATCGCAAGGGGGCAGGATACGCAATTTGGTCGTATTCCGTGCTGTCCGGCGCCGTCAAATTACATCCATCAACCATCTCGCCCGTACGACGTGCTGCTTGTCATTACCTAGAAATGCACAGCCCGCGTCTGGTGAGATGCCGTATCAACAGATCAATGCCAGGTTCAATCGAATATTAGCAGCACTCACACGCGCTTCTTCCATCTCACCAGGGACCATGCATCAGTGGCTGAGTGCCTGTGCCTGTTCCTGTGCCTGTGCTGACGGGCGGCCAGAGAAGAGAATTCGAATTGTTCGATGTCTGATGCAAAACGCCATCTCATGACTCGCCTTGCACCGTACGGCTTACGTCGTTGCCTCCAAGATAGTACCTGTAATCGTCAACTCGCGAATTGGACTCGCTAAACAAACCCGACTGCAAATTGAACGTTGAGTAAGCCCTCGCGTACCGCTACAAGCGCCGAGTTGGTCCCTCCAGCGCCCCCCCTGGACGCCTCACCCTATCCGCTGTGGCCGCCATTGTCCCGCTCCGTTAGAGCGCTGTAACAGCCTGAATGGAGCCCCCCGATCTGACGGCAAAACCCACTGAGCGAGGGCCTTAGCACGGTGCTAGGCCTGTAGCGCCCCCGAGGCGGCCCAAGTACCGGTACCTGCGCTCGCCTCCGCCTGGCCTGGCCTGGCCAGTGATGCAACGGCGCTGAGCCAGTGGAAGCTGATGCCTGAGGCAACGTGGCTTGCAGTGGGCGGACCGGTCCACCAGCGCTGTCTCAACTGTCCCAAATGCGCTGCGAGGGTACGAATCAACCTATCCTCGTACTCGTAACGTAACCCGTCCAGTCATAAGGTACCTTAACCCGGTACTACTACTATAGGCAGTAGGTACTCGTACAGGTACTGCAGTGGCCCTGGAACTTTTGCGGGCAGAAACATCCAACCTTCACTTCAATCTTGCATCAACCAACCTCTTGCCCACAGCGGACGCGGCCAATAGTCGAGGCTTCAATCTCTGCCTGTCATCCTGCACCGGCCATCAGCTGCATACACAGACACAGAGATACTCTCGCTGCCGCCTCATCAGCGCCCTCCTTCTGCTTCTTCCTCGTCCTGCTGCGCGCGCCATGGCTGCAGTTGTCTGAGCGAAACACCCCCGTTTAGCGTAACCCGAACATTGATACCGTCAAGACAAATCCACCGCCCGCCTCCGCATCCTACCGTCGTGTCCTCCCTCGCCCTCGCCCTCAATCTCATCATCTTCATCCTCATCGCCCTCATCTCTGCCCTTCCCGACGCGACAACCGCATTCTTCATCTCCTCCTCCTCCTCAACATCATCATCATCACCAACGCCCGCCGTCCTTGGTCTCAAAACCAGCCAACATGCCGTCCTCCAAGGCCGCCAGCAGCTCCGCAGGGGGCCAGGTGAGCAATCGCCTGCGCAACTTCTTCCGCATGAACAGCAGCGCCAGCAGCATCAGCGACAAGGAAAGAGGCAGCTCTCTCAACCTTAACAACGTGCCCACGGGCAGCGGCAGCGGCAGCGACTCGCATTCTTCCAAGACGTCTCGACACACCAAGCTGTTCAACAGCACTGTCGGCCGCCTGAGGTCACATACCGTCGCCAGCGAGAGCAACAAGCTCGAGGAGGCAATGAGCCCGACGGCCCTGGCCAACCCCTACTTTGCCCACCAGGGCCAGCCCGGCCTGCGCCACCACAACGAAGGCTCTGTGCCGCCGAGCCCTCCCGACACGCCGACCCTCAAGGTATCCGGCCCCGACGGCACCGAGGCCGAGCAGGCCACGAGCGAAACCAAGGAAGAGCTGGCCCGCAGGTTAAGGAGGGTAGCTAGTGCACCCAATGCCCAGGGGCTGTTTGCGAGCGCAGGCAATAAAGGCGAGCGTCCGGGCACTGCTGAACTCGGCAAGGACCCCTTGATTCAGAACGCGAAATCAGGCTCGCTGGGCCTCGTCGACGGCAAGGGTGGCGCCACGCAGCTGTTGCAGACCGAAGACACTCTGGGCGCCCTGCCTCCGCCGCAGACTTCATTGGCCTTCCGCAGGACGTACAGTTCCAACTCAATCAAGGTCCGGGACGTCGAAGTTGGCCCTGCCAGCTTCGACAAGATCAAGCTCATCGGCAAGGGTGATGTGGGCAAAGTATACCTGGTGAGGGAGAAGAAGAGCAACCGGCTCTATGCAATGAAAGGTAACGGAATGCCAACCTGCACACTGACGCTGTCCCCCATTCGCTAATCCTGATTCAACTCCCAGTCTTGAGCAAGAAGGAGATGATTAAGCGAAACAAGATCAAGCGCGCTCTCGCTGAGCAGGAGATTCTCGCGACGAGCAACCATCCGTTCATCGTCACCCTCTACCACTCGTTCCAGTCCGAAGACCATCTTTACCTATGTATGGAGTACTGCAGTGGCGGCGAGTTCTTCCGGGCGCTCCAGACGCGGCCTGGCAAGTGCATACCCGAGGATGACGCCCGCTTCTACGCCGCCGAGGTCACGGCTGCGTTGGAGTACCTTCATCTCATGGGCTTCATCTACCGAGATCTGAAGCCGGAGAGTACGTGTTCCTGAGGAACATCAACGCGGGCGAGTCAGTTGAAACTAATGTGCCTACAGATATCCTGCTTCACCAATCCGGACACATCATGTTGTCCGACTTTGACTTGTCCAAGCAGTCTGGCCCAGGAGGCAAGCCCACCATGATTGTCGGCAAGAATGGAGCCAGGACAGACTCTCTGCCGACCATTGACACGCGGTCATGCATTGCCGACTTCAGGACGAATTCGTTTGTCGGCACCGAAGAGTACATCGCCCCGGAGGTCATTAAGGGTAGCGGCCACACGAGCGCGGTGGACTGGTGGACGCTGGGCATTCTCATTTACGAGATGCTCTACGGGACGACGCCGTTCAAGGGCAAGAACCGAAACGCTACCTTTGCCAACATTTTGCGCGAGGACATTCCCTTTCCCGACCACACTGGGGCGCCGCAGATTTCCAAGTATGTCTTGACCTTGACGGCCTTATCAAAGTGCTTATTGCTAACATGCCTCCCCTTAGTCTGTGCAAGTCACTCATCAGGAAGCTGTTGATCAAGGACGAGAACCGGAGGTTAGGTGCCCGAGCCGGCGCCTCCGACATCAAAGCCCACCCCTTCTTCCGCACCACCCAGTGGGCTCTGATCCGCCACATGAAGCCTCCGATTATCCCCAACCAGGGCCGCGGCATCGACACCATCAACTTTAGAAACGTCAAGGAAAGCGAGAGCGTGGACATTAGCGGGGCCAAGGCTGTTGGTGTTCCCCTGGATAGCGGGCTGGCGACGCCCGGCACCGAGGCGGCCGATCCGTTCCTCGAGTTCAACAGCGTCACGCTTCATCACGATGACGACGTGCAGTTTCACGACATAAATTACGCGTCGTCCCCGTCGTCTTGAACTCGACGCGGCCCCTGTTGAATTAGAGGGCTCGAACTTGACGGTTCTTTTTTTCTCTCCTTGAGGCCTCGGCCGATGTTTGATTTGCATGCGTGTACACGGCTAGGGTTTATGGGATTTGTTCAGATTACGACATTTGAGTCTATTTATTAAGCGATCAAGTTTTTGTTTTTCTCAAGATTATTTCTTCTGGGAGGTTGATGATGCCTGCGTGGCAGCTGTCCCATCCATACACTCCTTTGCACACTTTTTTGGCAGCAGCGGCACAATGCTCAACAGATACACACAGACGACACACACACAAGATGCATAGCGGAATTTGTACGATGCATTTCCCATTAGGATTATTGCTGAATGACAAAATCAAGAAAAAGAGAGTCTCTGTGTAGCAGCATTGTTGCCTTTTTGTCTTCTCATCTAGGCGTTTCATAAAAGGGAGTTTTTATGTTGGGAAAGGGACATTGTGCTTGTTTTGTAAAGTTTTTCGACAGTCTGCCTTGTGAGAATGATGTCTGACTTACCTCACCATAACGATAGGTGGCTTGATGATTCTGTGACGGCGAAGGTATGTACATACTGTAGGTACCAACTCCCTTGTGACAATTGAGTATTCTCTGAGCTTTTCATCATATCGAGTCAAGGTGCTAGGGATTTTTTTACTTTGGTAATCAGGTAGGCCTTGAGTACGACGTCGTAGGCAGAAGTAGTACTTGTCAGTCAGATGCCTTGAAGGATTGGTATTGTAAGTGCTGCACGATGAATACAGCGATGAGATCCTCCTGGGGCCTACTAACTTGTATCGGTGTAACAATATTGTATCCAGGATATTCGGAAAAAATAGAGGAGAAAACAAGACAAAGTAGGTTCATCTTCTTGTCGGCACGTGCAAATTCGTTATACGATTCTCCTTGTCGTTTTTCTTTCTTTCCCCCTCTGGCCTCTTTGATACCGGCACAGGACTATCGTACAACTTCTGATTGCTATCCTTGTTCATACAGCCCTTCATCCCCTTTCCTCGTTTCCCCTGAATACACAGTGAGGTGGTCCATCAATTGAACCCATCCCTGTGACAAACATATCATTCCGTATGGTCAAAATAATGCTCCCCCCCCTTTCGTGTGAATCATCGTTGCAAAAGGCATCTCATTTGAAGATCAAGCCATCATCTCCCCCGCATTGCCATCCTTCTTCCTCCTCGCCGACGGCCCAATCCTGTCCCTCCCGCCCATCCAGGGCCTCAGACACTCGGGGATCGCCACCGTGCCCTCCTCCTCGTCCCAGCCGTTCTCCAGCAGCGCGGCCAGGACCCGCGGCACCGCGAGCGCCGTCCCGTTGGCCGTCCAGGGGAAGCCCAGCCTGCCGCTGCTCGTCTTGAGGCGCGTCGCCAGGCGCCGCGTCTGGTAGTCGGTGCAGAGGCTCGCGGACGTGACCTCGCCCCAGCCGCCGCTGTGGTGCTCCCTGCTCGGGAACCAGGCCTCCATGTCGATCTTGCGCGTGGCCGACGCGCCGAGGTCGGTCGACGGCATGGACAGCACGCGGCAGTAGAGCCCCAGCGACGAGAGAATCTCCGTCTGCATGTCGAGCATCTCGTCAAAGACGTCGCGCGCCTCGAACTCGTCCGGCGCCGTCCACGCAAACATCTCCACCTTGGAGAACTCGTGCACGCGATACAGGCCCTTGGTCTCGACGCCGCGCGCGCCCGCCTCGGCGCGGTAGCACCGCGACACGGCGACCCGCTTCATGGGCAGGTCGACGGCGTCGAGGGTGGCCATGGCCTTCATGCCCGCGAGCGGGATCTCGGACGTGCCCGCCAGGCACAGCTCGGGCACGCCGCGGTCGGCGTCGGCCTGCGACTGGGCGACGGTGTAGACCTGCTGCTCGCCGTTCTGGTCGCGGGGCTGGAAGCCGCACGCGGCGCCAATGTGGCTGTAGACGATGCTCGGCGGCGACACCTGCGTCCAGCCGTGCTTGGTCACGACGGCGAGGGCGTACTGGATCAGAGCCTGCTCGAGCTGCGCCGCCTCCCCCAGCAGGTAGTACCATCCCCAGCCGGACGCCGTCGCCGCACCGGCAAAGTCGAGGATGCCCAGCTCGGCGCCGATGTGCACGTGCGATCGCCAGAGCTGGTCCGATCCCTGCTCGAACCTCGGCGCCTCGTTGATGTAGCTCAGCACCTCGGGCTCGGTGCCCCTCGGCGTGTCATCGCTCGTCAGGTTGGGAATCTCGAGCGCCAGCGCCTCCATCTGCGCCACGGCGTCGGCCTCCTTCTTCTCAAGCACCGCCAGCTCGCCCTTGAGCGCCCGCGCCTCCTCCTGGACCCTCTCGCGGCTCATCGTCTTGACGTCCTTGAGGTCCTCGTCGTCGCTGCTCGTCGCCGAGTTGGCCAGCTCCTTGCGCAGCAGGTTCGACCGCTCCCTCAGCGCCCGCGCGTCCTTTTGCAGCTGCTGCCACTCGGCGTGCAGCTGCACGATCCGGGCCGGGTGCGCCGCCTGGCGCTTGTAGTTGCGCTCCACGCACGTCTGCTCATACAGCGCCTGGTTCTGCCGGATGTGCTTGATGTCGATGATGGGCTTGGGCGCCGACGACGGCCGCTTGACGTCGGAAAAGGCGCGCGCATGGCGGGTGAGGTTCCGGGCTTGAAGCCGCCACTGGGGGCAGCGCAAGCGGCACAGGGGGGTCATCATCATGGCGGATATTGGCGAGGCATGGCTTTGAGGTGTCAAGCTGAAGCTCTTCGAAGCTCCAAGTCGTACGAATGGGGTGGTGTGGTGGACTGAGCTTGGATATGCGATTAAGCAGAACAAGTGGTGGTGGGGTGGGTGCACTGTGTTTTCTTTTACCGGGGCAATCCTTGAATAACGGTTGCTCCTTGTTATAGGCAGTACCAAGTTACACTTGTTCCTGATCACAGTACCCAAGGTATCCAAGCAGCGAGCCAATCTTTGACCTTGTCCAGCCATGTTTCATAAGGAACGAGCAAGTCACGGCAGTCAAAGTCTTCAGAGAGTGCTATTAAGATTATCTATTCATCAGCTCAATCGCTCTTCAGCCGCTTCAAGCCCAATGGCTCGTCTTGATCGATTCTCTAATACATCATCATGCATCCTCCTCCAAGACTCAACAACATTATTCATGTAATATAACGCTTCCAAATCCAAAATCTCTTTCAAACAAAAAACGCCATGCTCACACAGCTGCCGCCCGATTTTGTGTAACTCAAAGTGGTATCAACCCAACAAAGTAAGAGACCCCCCCAAGTTGAAGCGGTGGAAAAGATGATGTCAGAAAAGATGAGAACCCAAAAAACTTCACAGAGTCACCATCGAGTGACCCTATACACCCTCCTCGGGACCGGAAGCCTCGCTGCTCCTCTTGGGAGCATTAGCCAAGGCTGCGTCGTGTCCGGCCTCCTCGTCCTTCTCCTCGCCATGATCGGCGATGGTGTCCGAAGTCTCAGGCGTATCGGCCGGAGCAGAAAAGATCGGGGCAATCTTGCTCTTCGCGCGGATCTTGGCGCCGTAAAAGTAAAAGACAAATGGAATGGGAGCGAGCGCAACGGCTACGCAGCCCAGCAACGTGGCAGCCCACTCTATGTGCATGCCCTCGAACATTTGACGGCCGAAAAGCGGGAAAGCGGCGCCAAAGAGCGATCTCAGTAAGGTGTTGCCGGCAAGGGCTGACGCGGCGAACATGAGGTATGCATCGACAATGTAGTTGAGAGCTTGCAGGAAAATCGACATGAGACCAAAGCCAGTGAGGATGCCGCTAACAGCCGGAGCAGCCCAGTGAATGCTCTCCTTGTATCCAGTCCTGATACCCTTGTTAGTTTTCATTATCCAAAACGACGAGACTGCGGAGACCGGGTCCTTGATAGACAAAAACTTACCATCCAAACCAAAAGATACCGCCGGCGAAAGCAATGCCACCAACCATCATGTTGGGTAACCGCCACTCGGGGATGGGGATGCCGTGGTTGGCTGCGAGCTTGCGGTTGTACCATGGCACCTGCATAATGATGGTGATTGTCGCAATAATCTCGCCAATAATCATTCCAAAAAAGGTCAGACCGGATTGGCCCGCGTTGAAGTGATGGACACCGACGAAGACTAGGGGATACGCGGTGAAGAAGAGGTAGAGCAGCCCGTAGATGAAACTCATGTAGATGGACAAGAGAAGGATAATTGGCTCGGTAAACAACAGGCGCAGCGGACGGCTAAAGTTCTTGCTGACGAGCTCGCGAAAGTCGATTTCGATTTCCTCCTGCTTGGCGTGGATGCCCCAGTTCTTGGTCCGACGTCGCAGTTCTGCAGCCTTGCTGACGAGAATAACGGGCGGGTAGGATTCGCTGAGGAAGAACATGTCGAGAAACAAGGCAACGAATCCCATGATGGCGGCGACATACTCGGTCCAGCGCCAGCCCAGGTGGGAGTCGACAATGAAGCCGCCGATGAAGGGCGCCAGCATGGGGCCGGTGAAGACGGTCATGGAGAAGATGGCAATCGCCGTTCCTCGAGTTCTGTTATCAAACATGTCGGAAAAGACGGCGGCAACGACGGCGAGGGGACAGGCGCCAAAGAAGCCGGCGAAGAAGCGGCAGATGAGAATGGTCTGAATGTCCTTGGCCGTGGCGGTCGCAATGGTGAAGAGGGAGAAGCCAAAGATGGAGAGCACAATGGGCAGACGACGGCCCTTGAGCTCGGACAAGGGAGCCCACAAGCTGGGACCAAAGGCAAAACCAAGCACGTAGAACGAGGTGCCCAGGATGCCCACCTCGAGGCCGACGTCGTACTTTTGGGCGACGGCGCCCGTTGCGGCGGAGAAGATGGACGAGGTGAAGGAGGTGGTGACGGTGGTGTAGGCCAGCATGGCGGAGGTCAGGAGCTTCTTTCTTATGGGCCAGTTCTGGGCGTGCAAGGGGTCGTCGGGGCCGTCAAACTCGACGACATACTCCTCCTGGTCCGGCAGCAGTGGGGGATACGGCTTCCCACCGCCAAAGGCCGGCAACGGCTTTCGAGACGCCCTGCTCTCGGAGCGAATCGACCCACCGACAGTATTAACGTGCTGGCTTCGCTGAGTGGCAATGCGGCTCAGGGCGGTGGGATGGCGCTCCAGGTCGTTTTGCGTAGACACGCGGCTCATGTTGCGGCGGAACATGCTGCCATGGTCCGAAGAGCCAGACGAGGCTGACGATGCCGTGATGACGCGCTCTATCTCGTTACTAGCCCGGCGTCGATAGTGGTCGGGGGAGGCATCGCGCTCTGCCTCCATGAGCTCTCGGTCGAGAGGATCCATGGTGTCGAGGACGACGGCGCAGCACTCGGTGTGCGCCTCTCCTATGTATGTATGTGTCTGCGGCCTGCGGTAGGCGACTGCGAATAGCTTCCCAGCTGATGGCTGGCCGAGGGAGCTACAGGAGAGGCGGGCCTATAGTAAAATATGTACAAGCAGAATAACGAGAGACGGAGAGGGACGAATGCCCGTGATATGGATGATGTCGCTGGTTGAGAAGAAGTAGAGAATATGACAGGAGGTCGAGAGCCAGAGGAGGTGAGGAGAAGAGCGTCCAAGTTGAAGAGATAGACGAGCCCCAGAACTAGAGCTGCAGGGGCTTGAAGAAAAAAAAATATACAACAGACACTACTAAGGTAGTATGCCTGCTCAATGGTACAGGGACGGCAGTTGAGCGATAGGTGGAGGGAGTCTACGGTACGCTGGATCGGGCGACGGCTGGACGGGGTATCGTGTACCAGTACGAACCCCCGGCTTGGTGCTGCCGAGTACTACCGGATCAGGACAAGGCGAGTGGTCGGCTAGTACGAGACGGGGGTAAGCGCCGAGCTGGCGGGGACCTGTTAGGTAAGGTGTGGACTGCGAGCGGACAGCGATGATGCAGCAATGGGAGGTGATGAGGCCCAGAGAGGGCAAACTGTCGGTATAGCTGATAAGAGGAGGGTGTTGATAATGATGATTGTAACGGCAACAGGGGTCTCAGAGTCTCACTCGCTTTCGAAACTTGAACCGTGAAAGGCTGGGAAGTGGATGTGTAAACAACGACGGAAAAGAAGACACGGACGCAACGAACGACTACTAGGCCAATTGCATCCAGCTGGCCGTTAACGAGCAGGGCGACACAAGATGAATCTGGCCCAATGCATGTAAGACGCGGCGGCGCATCGCTCTTCTTATAATTGTACCAGCGGATTGGCCTGGTAATCAACAGCCAAGCCTGTCAGTGACATGTTGGAACCTACCTACGCATCGTCCGGGCCGTATTATTACCAAGTGCTAGTGCCTCGTAGCACACTCGCAATGGCTTACTAGGTATTACCAGTCCTGATTACATACAGAGCGCTGCTCATCGTTCGTGTAAGTCGGCCTCGGCCCCTCTCCCAATGCCACCCAGGATCTTCCAGACGCCAAGTCGGGCCTCAATGGAAACCTTGAAGAAAAAGAAGAAGAAGAAAACTCTGCGCCCTGCCCGGGCCTCCCTGCATGGGCCATCCCCTATTTCTTGGCTCTTCGTTTCGTACGATACGCACGGCGGAGCGCGAAACAAATGGAGCCCTTTGCTTAACCCCGAACGCTGGATCGGGGCCTGGACAATCAACTGCCATGCGCGCATCCCGCATCTGTGGCGCCGGGTCCACCGAAGTGTGTGAGCAGCCATCAAGGAATTGGAATTACTAGGCAGTCATACTACATATCATCTTCCATCTTGTGGACTGTTGATGCCCGATCTCATTTCAAAAGAGAAGCAAATATCCCCTGTTGTTTGACATTTAACGAATTCCTTATGGTTGCCAAGAAGCATTGCCCACCTACCTAGGTACTCCACATCATTCAATCTTTAACGACTCTCCTCCCATGCTTGTTTCGACTCTGCTTGAGATGAATCAGAGACAGCATGACACGTGAAAACATACATGGCCAGCATCGCAAAGCCATGATCCACATCCGAATTGTGCATGTATGATTGCATCGATATCCACAGCTCAGCGCCCATCAGATTTCTAATCTTGAGATCACAGCCTCTCGGACACGCTCTCCATGGAGTGTCCGTTCCAGCTGATTAACTGTTACCTTAGATATGGTCATCTTCTGTAATAGCATCTGCTGCGCTTCGTTCGGCCGGCGTCGCCTGTCGCTGCCAAATGACGTAGTATGTAGGTTTCGTCCCGTCTTTCTTTTCTTTTTTTTTTTTCTTTTTTTGTTTTCTTTTTTTCTCGTCTTTTTTAGTTTCTCTTCCCGAATCCCGACTTTGCATTTCCCACGAACTGGGACTAGCACAAAGCGAGTCTAGCCTGCCGATAGTCGAAGCCCAGCACAGACGGAAACTGAAGCGTTGGTCGATGAAAGAGCGGCTGGCGTCGGTACAAAACACCGCTGCTATCCAGGGCTCCTCTCAGACAAGCTCATGATACCTCAGCAAGATAAAAAGGTTGAAAAAAAAAAACAAATTAAAAAATTCAGATGATTCATAAAAATTGCACACATGAGAAAATAAAAAAAGACTGCTGAAAAAGTATCTTAGTATAGCAATTTCCAGGGGACTGCAACTGCTCCCACCACTGGCGGAACGGCCATGTTTTATGCGCCGGGCTCGAGCCGTGTCTCTGATTGGCTGATGGACAGCTTGCAGGGAACGGAGAATATGCTTCAAAGTCCGGCGCCGAGGCTTCCTCTGCTCTTTTTTTGCTGTGTACGGAGAATATGATACCGTTGCCTTGCGAATGCGCATTTGCTTCTTATTGCGTAGGTTGTCGAAGGAATGGAGCAAGAACAGCATCCACGCAGCCTTGCTTCATCATGCTTACCAATTTCCAATCTACGTACTTTGAACCAAGGCACAAACAAACAAACAAACAACAGACCAGTTTCAATCGCACAGCTTTTATACACACAACTTACAACAATAATTAATTACATGTAGTACTTGCTATCAGGGTTACAGTAGACCTAGCAAATCTGGAGCCTGCATTGCTCTCATCTAGTACCAGCGATAACATTGCTGCTCGCAATCCTGACTTGAGCAGACTTGCCAACTTGATGACACAATCACCCATCTGATGCTCAAGTCACAAGAAGGATAGACAATCTTCATTGTCAACCAGACACCATTCCTTTCGTGCACGATCCTCATGCATTGCAAGCAGCAATTGCCCTTCCGCGCGTCCCCTGGCGGCTGACCGACGACCGGACGTTGCGTGTAAAAAGTCGAGGCGCCCAAAAACTCCGGCTGAGCGGCTGAGGCTGAAGTACAAAGTGTTGCGAGTCGAAAGTCTAAACCGGGGATTTCAGCACTTGGGAAGCTCGGGGAATTCGGATTTTGTGAAAGATGAACTACAAAAGGACAAGGGAGCGCCTTCAATTCGAGGATGAATGGGATTAACAAGACAATCTGAACAGAATCGAGCGTTCCAAGTTCTTCTAATCGAATCGCTACTTCGTCAGCACGCTGAGCACCGCCGCTTATACCATTGCGCTACTCATAACCAAACGACTACATAACCCACGGCATCAGCGTATTACTAGAAAATCTTCAACATGCAAAACTTGAGAATTGCCATTATTGGAGCTGGGCCAGCTGGTAAGTGAAGCTGATTTGAGATGAACCTCTTCCATTTCTAGTACCTAGCTAACAGTAGAAAAGGCTGCATGCTCGCCCGACTCCTCCATCTCGGAGGCATCCAAGCCACCGTCTTCGAAGGCGAAGCCTCCGCCAACGTCCGCTCCCAAGGAGGAACCCTGGACCTGCACACCAAGTCCGGCCTCGCAGCCATCAAAGAAGCCGGCCTATGGGACGTCTTTCTCTCTCACGCTCGCTATGACGGCCAATACATGGCCATTGTGGACAAGGACCTGCGCTATTACATTGTCCGGGGCGCCGACGCCGAGTCAAGCGCCGCCTTTGGAGAACGCCCCGAGATTGATCGCGTCAAGCTGAGAGAGATCCTGCTCAACTCCCTCCCGGACGGCACCGTCAAATGGGGCCATCGTCTGCAAAAGGTAGACGGCACCACCTTGACCTTTACCAATGGGACAACCGCCGAATTCGATCTGGTTGTCGGCGCCGACGGGGCCTTCAGCAAGGTCCGCCTGTCCATTGCGCCGGAGCTGAAGCCCGAGTACACAAGAGTCGGGATGCACGACCTTTCGATTCCCGATGCCGAAAAGAACGCGCCCGAGATTTACAAAATCGTCAACCGTGGAAGTGTATTCGCCAGCGCGGATGGCCAGCGCTTCACGCTGCAGCAGATGGGCGACGGCAGCATTTCCATGGGCTTCAGCTTCGTGCGAGACGATCCGGACTGGATGAAGGCCGAGAAGTGCGGCTACGACGCCGAAGACCTCGCGCAGGTCAAGAAGGCGCTGGCCAAGGAGCTGGAGCACTGGGGCCCCGAGTTTCACAAGGCGCTTGACGCCGCTCAGGGGCGGACGAGCACCAGGTCGTTGTTCCGGCTGCCCGTTGGACGGAAGTGGGAGCACAGGGCTGGCGTCACACTGATTGGCGATGCGGCCCATCTGATGACGCCTCATGCGGGCGAGGGCGTCAACCAGGCTCTTGAAGATGCCATGATGCTGGCGCGAGTGATTCTCAAAGCGCAGGGCGTTGAAGAGCTGGACGAAGGGATTCGACAGTTTGAGTCCGATATGATGGCTCGCGTTGAGGGCATTCAGCAGCTTGCTTGGGACCGTTGCCAGGCCTTGATGTTCTCGCCGGGGGTGCCGCAGTCTCTTGTCGAAAAGGTGATGAAGCAGCGGAGGATGCAAGTGGCGGAGACGCTGGACGAGGAGCAGGCCAAGGCGGTGGAAGAGGCCATGGCCAAGGCTCAGGCGGAGGCGAATGCTATGAATCGAGCATGATGCCTGGCTGATTCGATACCTTGCCACTTTGTATCTTGTTCTTTTTCTTTGTTGTCAGATGAGGAGGTGGTGTTCCACTCACTTGGATGGTCATGTAGGCGAGCGAGCAATTAAGAGATTGATTTGGTCTGTTCCATGGCCTGATTTGGGTGTACTCGGTGTTTCGTACAATTACCTACCAGGTAGCATCTCAACAATGCATGATTTCTTTCGAATGGTTATTGGTCCCTCCTTGACGGACTGGTTGCATTTGATGACAGTCACTGAGCTCTTGAAGGGCAGGCAGCGGAGGGCCGCGTAACTTGCAGCGTCACGGGCAACCCCGCGCCAGAACCACGGGTGAGCATCCCCTTCTTCTCCTATGCAATCCAACGCATGAACCTGACGACAAACGAATCTTTGCAATAACCTCGACATCCAGATACTCTCGTCCAGCATGCCGACCGAAGGCGTCTTCATCCGTCCATCCGGACAAAAAACCTTCATCCCCCTGGAGAACAACCCCGAAGTCTTCACCTCTCTGGTCCACGACCTCGGCGTCTCCCCCGAGCTCGGCTTCTACGACGTCTACAGCCTCGACGATGCCAGTCTCCTCTCAACGGTGCCACGTCCCGTCCTGGCACTGATCTTCATCACCCCGGCAGAGATGTACTTTGCCGTTCGCAAGCAAGACGGAACAACCGTGTCGCCCGAGCACTTGACCTACGACAAGAGCGGCGACGACGAGCCCGTTCTCTGGTTCCAGCAGACCATTGGCCATGCGTGCGGGCTCATGGCGCTGCTTCACTCTGTGGCGAATGGAGAGGCAAGGCAGTTTGTCCAAAAGGGATTCTTCTTGGATGGCCTTCTCCACGAAACTACGCCTCTCAAACCTGTTGAGAGAGCCGCAGCATTATACAATAATGAAGAGCTGGAGAAGAAGCATATGAAGGCCGCAAGGACGGGCACTTCCCAGCCGCCCGAGGCTAGCGAGGAGAATCACTTCCACTTCATCTCCTTTGTCAAGGGAAAGGATGGCCACTTGTGGGAGCTGGAGGGCGCCACTGACGGTCCCTTGGATCGGGGGCTGATGCGTGAAGGCGACGATGTGCTGAGCGAGGGGGCGCTGGATATGGGGATTCGCAAGTTCTTGAAGGTTGGGAATGGGAACGTCAACTTTAGCATTGTGGCATTGGCGAAGAAGCCTGCCGAGTGACATGCAGCTGGTGATGGATAGCACGGGGGGTCATTGTTTCCTCAATGTTGTCTGGCTCTGACTACCTAGGTATGAGCCATAAGAAATAGGGTTGCAGAAGCCGATGTAAATAAGGCAGAGTGAGGCCGAACGGGAGTCTCCTTCTCCGACAGTCCAAGAGCAATATTGAAAAGGGTACTGATATTAAGGTATGGAGGATTGGCATCTTATCTGATCTCGAATTCACAATGTGGGGTGTGGACAAGAAATGTCACCGGGTCTTAGCGCCGGGGTCACGCCGCCATTTCGGACCCCGGGAACATGAACCTACCCATCAGCATCGTTTCGAACCGAGCCTCGACGTCTCCCGCGACTTCAATGGGCTCGACATACGCGCGGCACCGGTGACAAGAGCTTGCCGCCGCAGCAATGGACAGCTCCCAGGCGCCCTTGATCTCCAACAGTCGCCACGACGATGACGCGCCGTACGATGGCGCCCTTGACGACGGGTCAGCGTCCAGGGATGCTGTGGGAAAGGCGAGCAGCGAGCAGCCCGGCCTGTTTGTCTTGATCTTGACGTTTGCTGCTGGAATCAGCGGCCTCTTGTTTGGATGTGAGTCGAGTCTGATCTATTACTTGGACAACATGCACAGCGTACTGATAATCCCGTGCCTCAAACAGACGACACCGGAGTCATTTCTGCCACGCTCGTCTCGATCGGAAAGGCACTGTCGGACCGAGACCTCACGTCGATGGACAAGTCCATCATCACATCCTCGACCTCCCTGTTCGCGCTCCTCATCTCGCCGTTCTCGTCTCACATCGCCGACCGCCTGGGCCGCAAGCGAGTCATCCTCTACGCCGACGTGCTCTTCATTGTCGGCGCAGCCCTGCAGGCCGTCAGCTCTACGGTGCCGCTGATGGTGGCCGGCCGCTGCATCATCGGCGCGGCAGTGGGCGCGGCGAGCTTCGTCGTGCCGCTGTACATTGCCGAGGTTGCGCCCTCGTCGTACAGAGGCCGTCTCGTGACCATCAACGTGCTCTTCATCACGCTCGGGCAGATGGCGGCCTACATCGTTGGCTGGGCGCTGTCGACGTATGCGTCCAGGGAGACTGGCTGGCGGTGGATGGTGGGACTGGGCGCGCTGCCGGCAGGCTTGCAGGGCGCTCTTGTTGCGCTGATGCCGGAGACGCCGCGATGGCTGGTCAAGGCGGGGCGGCCTGACGAGGCCAGGCGTGTCGTCCAAAAGGTCAATGGTGTGCAGGGGCGGTTTGACGGGACTGCGGACGCCATCATCAAGGAGATTGAGATGGAGGTTCGCGAAGAGGAGGAGCTGCGACGGCTTCAGGCCCGCCATGCGTCGGGCCCGTGGCACGAGCTGTTGAGCGTGGGGAAGCACCGCCGTGCACTGGCTATCGCCTGCCTTTTGCAAGGACTGCAGCAATTATGTGGTTTTGTAAGTGTCTCTGTGGAATGACTTTTCTACCGAGAAGTTGAGCTAATCCCTGGAGAGAACTCTCTGATGTACTTTTCAGCCACCATCTTCTCCATCATGGGCTTCGAAAGCCCTACACTGACGTCTCTCATCGTCGCCATCACCAACTTTGTCTTTACGCTGGTTGCCCTGGTCCTCATTGACCGCATCGGCCGCCGCCGGATTCTACTGTATTCGATACCGTTCATGGCGCTGGGGCTGCTCTTGGCCGCAGCAGGCTTCTCCCACCTATCTCTGGAGCCATCACCAGCCGCCCAGGACGACGACGACAACGCCGCCGCCACCGCTACGACATCAACATCAACCACCGAAGGCGAGCGCGAGACCAGGCCGGCCGTCGTCGTCCTCGTCAGCATCATGCTCTACGTGGCGTCCTACGCCCTCGGCCTAGGCAACGTCCCGTGGATGCAGAGCGAGCTGTTCCCCCTGTCCGTCCGCTCGGCGGGCAGCGGCGTCGCGACGGCGACCAACTGGGCGGCCAACTTTGCCGTTGGCCTGACGTTTCTTCCCCTGATGGACGCGCTGAGTCCGTCGTGGACGTTTGTGCTGTATGCCATTGTCTGTGCCGTGGGATACGGGCTTGTCTGGCGGATATATCCCGAGACGGCTGGGCTGAGTCTGGAGGAGGCTACGGCGTTGCTGGACAATGGATGGGGCGTGCGATGATTGCTGTGCGATTTGCCTCCTTTTCTTCTTCTTCTTCTTCTTTTTCCTTCTGCCTTTTGTTGTTATTTCTACATGAGTTATCAACTATCTGAATAGAGCCATGGATACGATAGAGTACCAGGAGAAAGAAATGATACAGTTCGACATGCTGCGTGATACCGTCACTCGTCTCGTGTACCTCCCATGAGCTGCGTTGCCACGGTAGCCGAGCTGCAGATGTTCCGGGATCGGGCAAGGGACTGGACGCTGCAAGGTACCGCAGCCGGGGTTCCCTGGTACCTCAAGCCTTTGATCATTTCGTCTCGGAGGCTGAGAGCTGGAGCATTCTAGAAAGCTTCCAGACGGCTCGGCTTGAAGATTGTCGAATGAGGGCGTGGCATCTTGCTGCAGATGCACGGGAAGAAACTTGGCTGTGGCATCCATCTGGGTGTTGCTGCAAGCGGCGGGATTGCAACCCTGAAAGCACACACAGGTACTACCTTAAATTGTAGCACGGAGGCCTGAATGTCACGGAGAGGACTCAGGTAGTATCACCATGAAGAGCACATTACTAATGTTGAAATAATAAGAAGTGAGTCTTACGTATGAGGACAGCCTCGCAGAGGAAGAAGCAATCCGTTGAGCTGGGCAGGGGGGGGGCTGTCATCATCCAGCTCGTATCGATGTACAAGTACAAGTACAAGTACGGCTGCAACTCCTGACGCCTCGTGCATGTGCTCTGACCCCCCCGTGGCTCCCGTTGGGCAGCCATAAAGAGGACCTGGGCGGGAGCCAAAAGAAAAAAAAAAAAAAAAAAAAAGTCCCGGTTCTATAAATATACACAACAAGTCTGAGCCCAAGTCACCCGAACAAAGAAAGAAGTACCTAGTATGAATTAAGATTGTGAGAGAGAGACAAGAGAAGAAAGAAAGAAAGAAAGAAAGAAAGAAAGAAAGAAAGAAAGAAAGAAAGAAAGAAAGAAAGAAAGAAAGAAAGAAAGAAAGAAAGAAAGAAGAAAGCTGCCCAATGGCCATGGCGCATCTCAGCCACTGACAGCATGTCTTTTTGGAGTTCCTGATCTGCTGATGCGCACATGCCGTGGGGACCCTGGAATTGGAGCAGATTGGAGCCAAGCCCTGACTAGGTAGTTGCTGAGGCGGGATCGAGGATGGATAGGGGATGGATGTGGTTGGAATACTAAGTAATATGATGAGCAGGGAAAAGACGTGGGAAAAAGAAGCTTCCAAGCACACACGCGCGGATGCATAGAGAATGCGTGCGACAGTGTAGGTACCTAGGTAGGCATCATTACTAAGGGATCTTATGTGCGAGTAGAAGATGTGTTGCAAGACAATGAAGAGTGGGTTCGGGCGGTGTTTCAGCTGCTTTCGACAGAGACTGATTTGGACGTTGTTTCTCTTTAACCTCTCCGCTTACCTACCTACTAGTAGATAGGTAGGTAAAGTACTAGTTGAGGTGAGGTGACCTAAGCGTACCTACTTACTGTGTGCTCTCAAGGGGGGCACTGTATGCCTATCTGTCGTTCGCTTGCTGCTGCAATACGAGGCCCTGGAGCGCAGTGGCTGGCGAGTCTTGTCCGAGACGTGTTTCTCTCAGTATCAACAAATCACATCGTATCCTCTTCAAGTCCCAAGTTCACGGACCATTCGTCAGGCGTTCCATCTCGCCGGGTCCGCCAACTTGTCCGGCTGTAGATCGATGCCTACCTTAAGTATCTGGCACAGTACATACGACTCCCCTGCACGGCCTCGTCTCCCACACCGGCCCCCCCCCTCTCGCGGCCATTCTGTTCTGTTTCTGCCTTTCTGTCAAGGCCAGCTGCTGAACCCGGCAACAAACACGAACCAGCCTCTCTTGCAGGTTCCAGCTTCGGCCATTCCTTTTTCCAGCTTCTGCTGCTGACCGTTTCAACTGCCTAAGGTACCTACCCATCTTGCCTTTCTCTCACTACCTACGAAGCCTACGGACAACCCCCTTGGTTCTCTGCATCTTCACCAGTCCACAACCTCGAGGGGTCTCTTGCGCAGTTCTGAAGCCATCGCCAACCAACCAGCCGGCATTTCCACCAGCCCTTCGCTTTCATTATCCCACCGCCGACTTTGTACTTGTCCTTGTATGTTGCGCACAACGACGTACCAGAGCCGCCCCGACCTGCTTGTTTAAGCCGCCTGCCGCTCGTTGGATGATGTGACGACCCTCCGCTGTCGCACTCGACCGTCGCTGCCCTTGTTTGATTACCGAATTGCTCCTTGCTGTCTCTGGTCGACACCTCCTCGGACGAAACAGCCCGAGTCTGTTGTCTCTCGACCTGCTTCTGTAGCACCCGAGCCCCGAGGACCGACTCCACCATTCATCCCTATCGCTCGCTCTTTTTCCCAGTCCGCCGCACGACGCTCTTCTTCTTCGACCTGCTCGCCAGCCACCCTTTTAGTCCCCGCGATAACGGTCCGCCGAGCGAATATAAGGGGAGACGGCCCATCTGAGTAAAAGATTACAGCGCCGTTTTGACTCAAGGGGGAGCCGAAAGGAAGAAAGAACCAAGTCAGGCAACCCGGGAGAAGTGATACGATGCAGCCACAAGCCTCTGCCGCCCAGAGGGCCTACTCACAACGGCGATCCCCAGGGGCGACGGATCCCGGGCCTCCGCCGAATGTTTCCGTGCGAGCCATCTCGCCCGGCATGCAGCCAGGCCATCCCCAGCAGCGACAATCCAACGCCTCCGTCCGGTCCGCCCCGTCCACCAGCGGGTCGAGGAGGACTACCCGCGAGGTACGTGAAGCCAACTTGTTCTCTACAAGATGCCGGCGCCTAGGCGACTCGCAGTTCCGGCGGGCGCGACTCGAGCTGACTGTGTTGCATATAGGGTTCATCCGGGTCAGGGAGCGGCTCCAACATGCCGCTGTCGCAAATCGAAAAGAGCGTCACCCATCTCCTCGTAGCCACCAAGCAGCTTCTCGAGACACTGACGCAGTGGTCGCGCGGCCAGGCAACCGATGCGCAAGTCTCCGATGTCTACGTGCGCTTAGGTTACGAATTCAACATGGCTTGCCGCGCCTTCACCGCCATCAACGTCGACACCTCCGACCTCGGCAACGTGCCCGACCTGCTCCGCAGCATTCTCGAGGCCTGTCTGAGCCAGGAAGCGAGCGCCGAGAGCTTGGAGAAGTACCTGCCTAGAATTCGGGACATCATTATCAACTTGCTCCACGGGCTGAAGCGGAAGCAGCAGAGATTGCGCCAGAAGCAAGGGCGCGATCGAGACGGCTCCGCGGTCCCGGAGCGAGCCACGAGCGTCAGCACCATCGGGAGCGGGAGCAGCGGCCTGACCAACATGCTGGAAGACACCTTGGAGAGCCACCGACCGCATTCGCATCGGCCAGGGTCCGGTCCGCAGCAGAATGGCCAGTCGTCACCCACGCGGCGCTTCAACGCTGAGAGAGACCCATCCAGGGGGTCGGTCGCGTCAGAGGTGTCTTCCATCTCCAGCGCCACCATGCAGAGCATGCCCGTGATGCCGCCCTATCCAACAGACGACTCCTCTTTGCCTGCGGCGCCGCCCGCGCCAGAGCTCAATATCGACTCTTTTCCGCCGCCACCGCCGCCGCCCCCGGACAAGACATCGAGTGCGCTGGCAGCGCTGCAAAAGGGTGGTGATCTGGAGAGAAGGGCGTCCCGAAGATACTCCCAGTATCAGATCTCGAAGCATCTTGGGTCAGCCGGAAATGTCGTACCCATGCTCCCTTCACAGACAGGGCCGACGCCGAATAGGGGAAGGAAAGAGGCGAGGGAGTCGTTGCGCGCCGTCCAGTCGCGCGAATCCGTCCGACATAGCCGGACCGCGTCTCAACTCAAGAGCGGCCCCGGCTTCGAAAACTCCCCCATCCGAGTGCCCAGTCGGGTGGCGGAGGAGAACACGCCTAGTCAGCCGTCGGTGACTGTCGAGAGCCCGTCTGCGCAGACGCCGGATGAGAAGTTTGCGCCCAGCGCGACGCTTTCCGGCCCCATGACCGATGCGAACCCGTTCATGAACGAGACACCACGCCCCGGGTCCAAGAAGGAACAAAAGTCTAAGTCGGACGAGGCCCCGACATCAGCCCCTCATCCCGCGGAGTCGAAGCAGAATGAGCAATACTTTCAGGTTTCCCCTCCACCGACGCCCACCAAAGACTTGACACTCTTTCTCCAGTACAAATCCAAGGTCAAGAAGATTGTGCTGCCTGAAGGTCGCGACGAGCTCTCCATTGGGCGCCTGCAGCTGGCCTTTATCGAGAAGTTTTCCTGGAACACGCAACAGAATGGAGCCGATCTGCCCGAGATCTACATTCAGGACCCTGTGTCTGGTGTGCGGCACGAGTTGGAGGATCTGAGTGACATTAAGGATCGAACTGTTCTGGTGCTCAACGTGGAGCCGCTGGATGAGGTGAAGCGGCACATCGATGAGGGCATATCCGCGCTCACCAAGATTGTTCGCGAGGTGAAGCAGAACGTCGACGACCAAGCGGTTACTCTCCAACGGGTTTCGGATCGCCAACAAGAGACGGCCAAGGAGATGGCCCAGATCGTCTTGGAAAAGGCCCAGCAGATGCCTGTGCGCGCCGCGGAGGGCTCAAGGCCCCTGGGACCCGGCCGGAAGCTCGACAACAGCCAAATCGGACAGATTCAGAGCTTGCGGCAGGACCTCGCCGTACTTCGACAAACCTACTCGGCCTTCCAGTCGGAGATCCAGTCGTCCATGTCCACCATCCGCAACAAGGCCGCCCACGTCAAGGCTGTGGCTGCCAAGGCTGCCATCCCCAGCATGGAGGGCGATGCCGGTTATGCCTATGTCTCGAATGGGCGTAAGCAGCTCAACGCCGACTCGGACCGACTGGTCGCCAAGGTGGACGACCTCCAGGACCTGGTGGAGGACTTGCGCAAGGATGTGGTGCACCGCGGTGTTCGACCCCTGCCCCGACAGCTCGAGGTTGTTGCCAAGGACGTTACAGCTCTTTCCAAGGAGCTCAAGGCAATGGAGGACTACATGGCCAAGGAGAAGCCCATCTGGACAAAGATTTGGGAGAAGGAGCTTGAGGACGTTTGCCAGGGACGTGATGAGCTGCGCATTATGGAGGAACTGCTCATCGATCTGCGCGACGACTTGGAAAAGGCCTCGGAAACGTTTACTCTCGTCGAGCAGGCCACCAAGGAGCAGATGAAGGACAGCGGAACGGGACACAGCGCCAGCACGGTCCGAACCTTCTCCAAGGGGCTGAACAACCTCGGCAACAGCCTCGATCAAAACGCCGCCAAGGAGGATATGCTGGGCGAGGTGCGAGCCCTGCAGCCGAACCACCAGGACCGGCTCGAGGCCATTGAGCGTGCCGAGAAGCTGCGGCAGAAGGAGCTCAAGACCCGTACGACAAACCCACTGCACCGTGAGATGAAGGCCTTTGTTTCCGAGGGCAAGCTGAAGAAGTCGGGAGGCTTTGAAGAAGTGGAGCGCGCGCGCCTGGCCAAGGATGAGAAGATTCGGCGTGAGGTCTGGGAGCGGATGAATGGCATTGTCGGGGATGACGAGGAGGAAGAAGAAGAGGAGGAGGAGGAGGAGGAAGAAGAAGAAGAAGGGGAAGAGGGCGGAGAGGAGGGGCAAGAGGGTGTGGATGGGGAGGCGAATGAGGGCGCTGGAAGCCGTCCTGGTTCGCCAAAGAAGGCGGATGCCGCCGCCGGTGAAGCCTAAAGGACGTTTCGCCCTTTTATTGCGATTGCTGAAGAAAAAAAGAAGGCTTTTTTGTTTTCTCCAGGCGGCTGAGCCTTTTCACACTCTTCGAGGGCCGATTGTGTCAGCCTTTCTTGAGGTCACTACTCTGGGCCCCCCGTTTCTTCATGCCCCCTATCTTCTCGTTGCGATGTCGACTGACGCGAGGAACTCGACTTGAACAAACGACTGGACAGATTATCTGTCATTCCCATGCCTCGATTGTTTTTCTCTCTTTTCTTGTTTCTTTTTGCGAGGCTCTTTTTTTTCCGTTTTTTTTTTTCCTTTTTCTTTGAAGAGTTTGTTGATACTCCCGTTTCTAGACTGTCGCTGCTTCTTCTGGTCAAGCTGTTCTGGTCTAGATGGACTTTTTGCCCTTTTTTTTTTTCAACTCCTTTTTACATGTTTATGTATCTTCTGTATGAGATTGATTGGTCAAGAGAGCGTCGCTTTTGAAGGAGAACGACGTGGAAGGTGGGGGTTCAGCTGATTGATAGGTGGATGTATTTATTGATGGATAGCTGTATGGATGGATGGATGAATGGATGGATGGCTTGATTGATTGATTGATTGATGGACTGGACCGGACTGATTTGAGTAATCAAGCCTTGTGATTGAATTCATAGCGGAAGGCGAATATCGGATTCTGCTGTTTAGTATATCCTTTATATATATACACACATATATACATATACGTTTCCACCTGATTGTCTATTGTAACTCTTGCAACGGCTTTGTTTTTTTTTTTTTTTTTGTCTGTTTTGTTGCCTTGTGGTTATGCTGCTTTTGTATCATCCATGGTTGTGGCTTGACTTGTTGTTCTTGTTGGCGCATGAGTTTTAGGTGTCCCCTTGTGAAGTTTCTGATTGTATAGGTATCAGATGAGAGGAGAGAAGGGTAGTCGAAAGGGCGTTGCATCGTAGACCGCGTTGCAAATCATGTTTTTAAATTCTTGATTGCCTAAAGTCAACACCGTTTCCGTGATATACAGCTTGATCCTAGGTAAGGTAAGGAAAGGTAAGTCGGCGAATTGGCATGGATTCATACGGAGCTATTCACCCCTCCCATCCCCCCTTTACTCTAATTCAGCACACCACATGAAGAATCTCTTTTCGTACATACATGACAACATCATACCTCAGCAGAAAAAATCAAGAACACAGTTCCCAGACTCCGCTCCCCCATCATCATCATCATCATCATCATCATCCCAGCAGGACAAGCTTCTTCATCCCCGAAATCACCGGCGGCTCCATCTTCTTGCCCTGCAGCTGCTCCTGCATCCACTCCTGAAAGACGCCCTCCCCGCCCGAGGCCTTCCACGCATGCACCCCCTCATCAGCATGCGTCTGTATCTGTATATGTTCCTGCTGCTGTGCCTGCTGCTGCTCACCCGACACGGCAAATACATCCTTGACAGCACCCTCACACGCCTCTGTGACATCCGCCATGAGCGCCTCCGCGGCCCTCGCCCGCTCCGCCATGCCTCTCCTCACGAGCGCAAACACCAGCCTCTCGACTTCCGCCTTGGACGCCTCCACGCGCTCCACCAGCCGCCGCACGCTATTGACGAGGTACTCCTCCTCGTACACGGTGCCCTTCCGGCCGCGGGCGCGCTTCTTCTCCTCCCGCCGCCGGTTCTTGCTCGTCGCCCGGCTGACCCCCGTGCCGGCCGTCCCCACGCTGCCCGCTTTCCCCGTGTACCGCGTGAACAGGCTGGCCGACGTGCTGACGCGCGAGCTCGCCGCCACAGAGACGTCGTCGAGGATGTTGTTGTTGTTGCTGCCGTCCGTGGCCCGCTCGCCCTCGTAAAACGCGAGCGGGTCCTCGGCGGCTTTGCGCCGCAGCTCGGCGATGCGCGGCACCTGCGCGCGCAGCTGCGCCTTGCAGTCGGCCAGGAACTCGGTCGTCCGGCCGAGCGCCTCGGCGAGCCCGACGTCGACGGCCGCCTCGAGGAGCTCCGGGCGGCCGTGCTGCACGACGAGGCGGATGGCCTCGGCGAAGTGGTAGCCCCGGCACAGGCACTTGACGGCCGTCTCGAGCGAGGCGAGGTAGTCGAGGTGGATCGTGGCGGCGGCGGAAAAGTCCTTGGCCTCCCAGAGGGCGTCGGCCAGGGCCGTCGCCAGCTCGGCTTTGCTGTCTGCGGACAGAGGGGGTTCCTGCTGGTACGCGGTGAAGAGGCACTCTTGCCAGCATGTGGCGCCGGCTGAGCGGTAGCAGCTGGTCGCCTTGGCATACTTCTTGATGGACTCGTACGCCAGGCCTGCTTCTCTGTACTGGGACTTGGATTCGAGGTAGACGGCGTAGAGCTCGGTCAGAGTCGTCAGTCGGGGCGGGTCGTAGCGGTAGAGCTTCAGGGCGTCCTGGTAGAGGTCGTGCTTGGTGGTGTAGTTGCACAGCTCGTCAAATGCGTCCAGGGCCTGGAGATGGGCCAAGGCCTTTTGCCGTCGGCCAAGATGGTCGTCAATCTCGAACTTGCGGCGGAGCTCGGAGAGGACATGGAGGTTCTGGATGAAGGGGAGATATTCCCGGGGGTCTCGCTGGGACTGCTGCGCGACAAGCAGGGCAAGATCCAGGTTGTATAGACCGAGGGCGTTTTCATACACGCGGTTGACGTCTACCAAGAAGCAAATGTGCTCTACTGCCTTTTCCGCCAGCTTCTCATCTTCTTGCATCAGCTCAGCAACAAGAGTCAAGCCGTCGTCCAGGGCTGGAGGGATTTTGCAGACGTGCGCGGAGATGATGTTCTGGAGGTGAGTCTCCTTGCGGGGCTGGAGGGCTTTGAGCACGGCATCACAGATGGCATTGACCTTGGAGCCTTGGGGCTTCTGTGAAGGCTGCATCTCAGGTACGTTGAAGCTGTAGGGCTGAGTCTTTGCTCGCTTGGTATCTTTATACATGGTTTGCGTAACATCTTCCTCCCTGCAGAAAATCGAATCAGTGGCTGTCGATAAGGAAAAGGTAGCGTTGGGAAGGGATCAAATCTACCTCAGAGATGAAAGAAAGAGGTCAATGTAGGAGACCTCCTTCAGTTGGTCCAAGAATAGTCCGACGCACGAGAGGAACTGCTCAGGCTTGTGGTCGTACAAGATGTTCATGTCCACACGCTGTGACCTACAGTAGGAGAAGGCTCGTGCATAATTCTTGTCTTCTATCAGGCTCCTGATACCAGCAACCACCATGGCTCGGGGGAAGATGGTTTCCAGGTTGCCTCGTGGCATCTGCAACACGATGCTCATGTTGGTCGGCATGGCAGTAACGAGACGAGAACCACGCTCCACGCTGCGGCATCGCTCGTCCTGTTCAGGATCATCGCCGGGAACCTCCAAGTCTGGGCAGAGTTAGCACCCCGACCATCTCGTTGCGTCTCAGCTTCTCGAATTCATCATAACTTACCCTCGACATCTGCCACTAGGTGGACATACTTGACAAAGTGGTTGCTGGTGGTGAAAATGAGGTGGTCCGGCGTGACGACAAAGGATGTGCAGTTCTTGGCCAGCAGCCTGGAGTTTGCAAAGATGTGGCCTGCCCTTGAAAGGCCAAAGGCCATCTCGGCGTCGTCGTGCTTGCTGACCTCGAACCACGGCAGCTGTGTCGTGAATTGGATGGGAAGAATGTCGTCGCCAGAGTTGGAGAGCCTGTACAGCCTGCCCGACTGGTCTTGGCCATAGCTCTCCACGCCAGATTCATCCTCGCGCGTTGCAGTGGCGCCCAGTATCAGGTTGCTGTCTAGCATGCTGATCTCGGCAGAGCTTCCCTCGCCCGTGGACACAACCAGTTGAAGATGGCCCAGGTCGTCTTGATACCCCATACATCGCAGGCTGTTGTCGGACACCCAGCATATTCTGAGGGGCATGTGGTGCTCTGGCATATTGGGGGTATCGAATGGCAGCCTGCGCACCTCCACCGGCTTCGTAGACCTTCCGTTCTTCAAGGGCAGCCCGTAGATATCCACACCTCTCTGGTGAAGGACTGCGAAGGAAGAGTTCTGGTGGCCAAAGGCTACATCAACAACGGAGGACTCGGCCTTGACCTCGAACAGGGCCATCGGAGGAGGCACGTTGGCAGTTCTAAAGGGCGTGATCTTGACCGTCTCGCCGTCGATGACGGCAACCACGCCGTTATCGTAGGGCGGCCGACACGAGCCCCGGGAGGTGTGGAAGATTTGCTCGGCGAGAATCACGCTCCCGGCCGATGCCGCTGCGAAACGAAGCGCCTTCTCCGAGTGCCATGCCAGGCAGGCGAATCCCGGTTCCATGGCGATTTCTTGCTTGAGATACCAGTGGTAGTTGCCCATGGTCCACAGCTGGATGGTGTCAGCGAGGATGACTGCCAGGACGGTCGAGTCCGAGTTCCACTCAAGCCGGATCCTGGTATCGGCAGCGTCCAGAACAGCTCCGTTGGGCGATCGCAGGGTAAACTGTCCATGGCGCAGGCCGTTGCGCTCGAAAAAGACGACGTCGACTCTGTCGGACAACCGCTGGATGCCGGCAATGAGGTTACCGGACGGTCTCCAGCTCAGGGCACCCTCGAATCCGTCCACGGGCTCGCTGGCACTATCCAGCTCTCCCTCGCGAGAATACACCCTGACGACCCGTCGAGAGCCCTCCTGGACCGAGTTGATGGCGACGTATGCGCCGTCTCCGCGCCAGCTGATGGATACCGAACCGTCCTCGTTGGCGCTCGGAAGTCCCTGGTCGACCTTTTCCGGTATCGTGGGGTCCCGGAGGGCCTTGGCGCCGCGGCCCTGGAACTGCGTCTCCTTCTTGCCCCATCCCACGGAAACGTGCTTGGACGCCTTGAGATCCTCTTCGGTCATGGTAACTTCGGCCACGGGGTCAAAGGCGCCGCCCATGAAGACGACGGTGTCGGCTTTGGTGACGACGGCCAGCAGCTCCTCGTCGGGGGACCATCGCGCGGCCGCGATGCCGGCGTCTATGGACCCCATGATTTCAATGTGGACGTGGCCGGCCGAGGGATCCTCCCGGACGGTGATGATGTCGCCGCCCTCGAGGACGAGACATGTCGTGCCGCTGCCGCTGAGGTGGAAGAGACTGACGATGCGGTCGACGAGGAGCTCCGGGTTCGGACTGGGCGCGTCCCAGCGGGCAAATGTGCGGTGAGTTCTGCGTCTGCGTGTGAGCCTTTGCTTTCCAGTATTCAGTTACAACAAGGGAGGGCGAGCGTGTCGTGGTGAGGTTTGTCGTCTTTTCTCATCGCGATGCCCCGCCCCCGCCCTCCAGCAGAAAGAACTGCGAAAGACGCACATGGAATCAGAATCGGACAGCCTGACCAGCTCAATCGTCGGGTTCTGCTCGGTCGGGCCGACGGCGCACACAATCTCGTCCGTCTCGGGATCCCAGCAGGCGGCGGTGACGTCGGGATGCCGCCAGCGGCCGAAGCGGAGGTTCCGCAGGTTGCGCATCGTCGAGGGCGGTTATGGAGGGGCTCGACGAAGGGAGGATTCAGGGAAAAGAAGGAAAAAAGAAAGAAAAAAAAATTGCCCGACCACACGATGCCCACCGTTGAATGGGCTGATGGAACAGGCGGACAATCGAACGACCGTCTCGTGAGATGCCCTCGTTTTCTTCTTCCTCCTTTCTCCTATTCCGAGGTCTCGTTCGTTTGCTTCGAGGACGAGAGTCGCGGATGTCGAGACAATTTCAAGATTTTTTTTTTCTATCTTATCCAGGCTTCTTTTTTGGTTTATCAGCCAAAGATGCACCCGGATGACTCGCAGCCTCTGAAGCCCATAGTAATTTTGGCGGCAGATCGGCGCTAGCAAGGGCCGACGCTGCTTACATGTGCAGTGATGATGGAGAAGTGCTTCAAGAGGTGCGTGAGAACTGGGGAGAGCACACGGTGTGATGGATGCATACCTATTATCTGAATGAAATGGAACAGCATCTTTGTGCGTCTACAACGTTCGACATGAGGTAATAGAAGATGATCTGTTACAGCAGCTCTGAGCCGATGCTGCAATGGATCGGATCATCAGCTAGGTATCCTTCTGGCAGCTATTGGACACCTGGACAGCATGAGCGCATCACCGCCCAACAGAGCCCTGTAGCATCACCGCCCACAGCGCGTCATCAGCGGCCCCTACAGTGCTCGAGTGCGCCGTCGCGATTGGGCCTCCAGCGCCTGGTGACGGCACTCGGCGAATCACGGGCGCCCAACCGCCAGCCAACCTCGGGAACCAAGATCTGAGGTGGGCTGGCCCAACAAAAGCCAAACCACACACCTCACTCGGGAGGGCATATTAAAGGCTAAATCACCACCACCGCAACCGCAGCTTTGGGCCTCCTCTTTGCTCTGCTGCCCTTTCGTCACTGCTACTGAATCCATCCAATTCCACTTGTTCCAACCGTGACATGTAATACCTCCTCCATCTTCTCTGTGCAGCTTGAATTCGACCACGACTCTCACCCGGCGGCAGCTGTGCTTTGATTCTTCGATTCTTCTTCTTTCAACCACCCACATCAACAGTCTTCAGCACCAGCGCCCAAACACAATGGACGTCTCTCACATTCCCCACGCCGAGCGCGTCCGCCGCAAGAACCGATCATCCACCAACGTCAACCACCTCTCACTCGCCCCTCTCACCACAAAGCTCCCCCTCGACGACGACGAAGCCATTGCCGATGCCGCCCTCTCGCTGCCGCGGCCGAGCACCTCGTATCTGCAGGGCAAGTCCGCGCCCGCAACGCCTCGGCTCCTGGCCAGCTCCGCAACCAACCCCCGGTCGCGGTCACGGTCGCGAAACCGCACGCCGTCTGCCTCGGGCGGCGCACCAATCCCCAAGAGCAAGTCGTCGTCGCACCTTGCCGGCGCGAAACGAGCTTCACACGGCGCCGTGACGCCGAGGCGACGACACGACGAGGGAGGGGGTGATGGCGACTGGCTGCTGAGGACGGGCGCATTGATGACTTTCGAAGCGAGGGAGTTCAAGGGCCAGTCGTGGCTCGTGTCGCGGCAGAGCTCCACGAGCCTCACGGGCATCCCAAGCATCGAGGACGTGGCGTTTGAGGACGAGCTGGCGCGGGAGCGAGAGATGACGAGCCTCCTCACCAGCAGGCGCGGCAGCTTGGCAGACGACGACATGTCCGTCTCCATCCTCGGCGGCAGCAAGATACACAGCCGATCTCACAGCAACCACGGCAGCCGGAGCCAGCTCATGACGCCCGCAGAGCGAGTCACAGACGACGGCTCATACTTCCCAAACCAAGAGCTCGCCGGGCCAGACTTTGTCGACCTCGACGAGAGGCTGGAGGAGCTGGAGCGCGACACGCTCGAGGACGCCGAGGCGGACGTCAAGAGGCTGATGCGGCGGGGCACCGCGGGCAAGGGGTCGTGGATGACGAGCTTCATGGGGTGGTCGCTGTTCTCGGTGGACGAGCAGGGCGAGGAGACGGACGACGACGACGACGAGGGGGACGACGAGTCAGAGTACGACGAGTCGCTGGCGGACTCGCGGACAGAGGCGGACCGGAGCGCCTGGCTGAAGCGGCACGTCGAGGGGCCTTTGGATCCGGAGGACTTTGTGCCGCCGCCGACGGCGGACGAAGGGAGCTGGAGCGATGCGGCGTGGCTGCTCAGCGTGGCGTCCAAGGTCATCTTTTGAGACTGGCGTAAATGCGTAGGTTGGTAGGAGCATGTATACGAGCATCTAGTATTTCCTTGTCTGTCTCGAAGCCAGCCATGGAGTTTGAGCCTCCTTGTATTCTCACTTTCTTTCACTTGTGCTCTGATTGTTCAATATAACGTATTAATAGTAGTAGTCTCGTTTTCCCCGGATTAAGCGATCGTATCGATCGATCGAGTTAACGAGTGGGGATACGCGCCTGTGTCTGGTCAGACTCATCCATTCAAAATAGTACGTAGAGCAAATAATATACATGGCTTCTCTGATACGAGCTTATCCCGGCCATCAATTGGATGTCGTGTCTGCTTGCGCCTGTAAGACAGACGCCGTGTAACGAAACGGGCCTTGGCACCTCAACTTTGCTCGTTTGTCTTCTCACCTGAAAGCACAAGTACTCGTACAACACCAGGCAACGTCAATGCATGCATATCATGTGAATCCAGACAGATGCATTAAAAAAAAAACATTGAGCTTCCTCCCTTGCCTTTGAACAGCGTCCGCCGCACGTTTAGCTCTGAGCGGCACGAGCGAGTCCGTCCATCTCTTCACGACACTATTGTCTGTGCTTTGCCACATATTGACCTTGAACAGCCCTAGATAGAAAACAAGGGGGGGGGGGCGGACGGCGAGACGGAAAGACGCGGTCCTGGTCCTGGTCCCCCGTCCCCTCTTTGTCCTCTCTCTCTCTGTCTCTCTCGATTCCCAAAGCTTTTCAAGGGCAGGGCTCAATTGACTCGGCTTTCTTTCCCTCTCGCCCCCGCACGAGACCCATTGGGCAGAAGCACCCCTTGTCACAATGGTGTGGCAAGTGGCGGGAAGAGGGAAGGGGGGGGAGATGCGTGTCGGACCGGTGAAGGAGAGACGAGAAGTTTCAAGGTGTTGGAGTGTCTTGATTCGATGGCTGAGATGCATTCGGTGTGCGGGATTGCATTCCAGAGGGCTGCGGATGGTGTGCAAGATTGGCCTTTTCAGGGCGTCTTATAGGTGGGTTGGATAGGTACATGTACAGAGCTCATGTATGTATGTACGTTGTATGTGATGGGATGGTGTTGAGAGGTTTTACAGAGGACCTAATACCTACCTTGCCTATGCAAGGCCATGCCATGCCATGTAATGTCATGTCATGTCATGTCATGTATCGGTCACTGCGTGTATGTATGTATGCACTTGAGAGCTTTCGCAACCAAACAAACAAGCTTATCCGCGACTCTGCGGAGCCCAAACGCATTGTGATGGGCATTGGGTACTGACGAAGCCCTCCCATGACTCCCATGACTCTGGCTGAGAGCAACAGCGCTAGCCTCACTCCCCAAAGCACCATGTGTTGCAGCCCAGACCACGACAAAGAAACAAAAAAAAAAAAAGAAAAAAAGAAAATAGAGAAAAGAAATCATTAAGATGGCAAACAGAGAGAGAGGGGGGAGAGGGAGAGAGATGAACAAGTTTCGCTTATGCCTCTGTCTGCCGTTGTACCTTATATCTCAAAGCGGAAAATTCATAAAGTCCTGGAGCTACATACTGCAGCTGAATGATGTGTAGTAATGCCTCGTGAGGTGGTGGTGGTGCATCGTGCAAGTCTCGTCGACACACGTAGCCGCTGCATGGGAGCGAAGCTGAAAAAAGGGGGCGGTATGGAATAGAGCACATGCATCCCGCTCGTCCCCATCACGACAGCCACCATCGGGATCCTTGCTTAATGCTATAGGAGCAGCTTGTAAACGACCGGCTCGCCCTCTGTCTCCCTTGCAGCTGAGTCCAGAACTCGAGTTCTACATAGTACATGGTAGGAGTAGTAGTAGTAATGATAGGTTCATCCCAGGTTGTTGGTCCAGCTTGATGGGGACAGGAGGATCGAGTCCTGTAAGAATAATACATCAAGTTCGTATAGAGCGCAGCATAAGGTAAGGTAAGGTACTTTGGGCATTGGATGCTTCCCATCACCACAAATCAGCCCATCTCTGGGTTCCAGCCTCTGCCTCTTTGCTTTTTTTCCTTGGGTATCATTTGTGCTTTTTTGTTACTCTATTCGACGTCCAATCAACCCCGCTGTTGTTGCTCTCACGTAGAGCTCAGAGTAAGCGCTCGCCTAAGAGCTTGGCCAGAATATCTTTCTTTCATTGCTTTTTTTTTTTTTTTTCTCTCGGGCCTTGTCCAGTCATGCCATACAAGGCGGCGATGCGGTGAAGCACATGCACACTCTTGTCATGTCCACCTCATGCTACCTTACCCTTCATCCATTACCCTTTGAACCGTTCTGAATCGGTCGTGACATAGATGCCGTTTGCCGTTCCCGATGGGCAAATCCTGAATCAAGTCGCACGTATCATCAGCTACCTAGTATGTACCTACCTGTAGACCGCAGCATCGCCAACTCCGGTGCCGCTCCATCTTCCATCACATACAGCATACGCTCCCCTCATCAGGTGAACAGCAACAACAATACCCACTGAATCGTACATACATACGTCTCCGTCCATCCCAAACCCCCCCTAAACCATCAAATCACAATAAACCAAATCATCCCAAACCCCAGAAAAATAAAAAGCCAAGAACGCAAAAAGGCCACCAATATCCACTCAGATGATCCCAGATGATCCCAGATCCCAAATTCTCAGCCCGCGCCAACCAGAATCTCGCCTTCACCGTCTCCCCATCCATCCCCCCCCCCCCCTCCCCCTTCCCTCCTGCGACTCGCTTCAACCCGATGCCGCCTCGTCCCATCTAGCAAGTTTAGGTTCCTTTTTTTTTTTCGCCTCTCTGGGCTTGCAAAAGACGTTTTGCCGCCCCTTGTGACCTGCTTTGCTCAGAGATGCTGAACTCGTCCGCCGGTATAGGCATAAAAAGAAAGAAAGAAAAAACAGGGCAGGGCGTCATGTTAATAGTGCGTACCTACCTTATGTACTTACATGACATACGTGCACGGCACCAATGCACAAGCACATGCAACATCATGACTTGACCCAATACAACAACTCCTCTTTTCATGCCCTACTTGTGCCTTATGCATGGGCAAGAAAACTAGTAAAGCAAAAATCCGAACTGCAGCGTGTAAACAAATAAAGAAACAGGTAGCATGCAAGGTAAGGTAGGTAGTATTAATGCTTGTCCTGACGCCGGTATGGGGGGGGGGGAGGCTCCCGGTCCCGCGGGTCCGTCGATGCATGCATCCCAGCTGCTGCGTGCCCATGTCCCTATTTGATGTCTTGGGCTCTCTCTCTCTTTCTCTGTCTCTGTCTCCGTCTCTGTCTCTGTCTCTCTCGATCTGCATCTCCGATTTGCTTTTCCCCTTCGCTCAGATTCTCATTCTGCTGCGTCTTGCTCGTCCTTTCAGACTGTATGTCATGATAAACAAATCACAGAGGTGATACGCAAAGGATTGTCACAATTGTTTGCTTCGTATTTCTATTTCTGTATAAATCATCAAGGGGGGAGGGACGAACCGACGCTGGGAGTCGTATCATTGAGCTCCCATCACGACAGTCTGCTTCACCACTCACTCCCACCAGCCTCATCACAACGACGACGACACTCCTCCCAACTCATCTCACGGTCCAACGACGAGATATATATATAAATATATATATATTTAACGCCGCCAAAGAAAAAAAAAAACAGCTTCATGACGCTCCCGCCGCGCAGAGAACCATGCCGTTGAAAACACCACCACCACCACCACACCGCCAAGCACCTGTTGTTGTCCATCCTCGAACCACCATAACATACCATCTCGACTACTCTTCTTCATCTTCTTCTTCTTCTTCTCCTCCCACAAAAGCATGGCCGCCGGCTCCAGCAGCACCGTCGTCTCCCAGGGCCGCATCCACGACGAGACGACGCACATTGTCATGTACGTCTTCTTCAGCCTGGCGCTCTACAACGTGGGCGAGCTGGCGTGCCACATCGCCGTCACCTTCAAGCGCCTGCGCGGCCTCTACTGCTGGAGCTTCCTCGTGTCGACGGCCGGCATCGCCCTCAACGCCGTGGGCTTCCTGCTGCGCGCCGTCGGCCACCCGCGGCTGTCGTCGTACGCCTACACGGCGCTCGGCATCGCGGGCTGGGCCGCCATGGTGACGGGCCAGTCGCTCGTCCTCTACTCGCGGCTGCACATTGTGCTGCTGCGCGAGCGCCTCGTCCGCGGCATCCTGATAATGATCGTCGTCAACGCCGTCTGGCTGCTCGTCCCCATCACGGTGCTGCTCTTCCTCTGCAACCTGCAGCCGCCGCGCCGCGCCGCCCGCTTCCAGGCCCCTTACTTTGTCTTTGAGCGCATCCAGCTCACCGTCTTCTTCGTCCAGGAGGTGGTCATCTCGGCGCTCTACATCCGCGAGACGTACCGCATCCTGCGCAGCTACCGCGGCCTCGTCGGCGTCAACCGCAGGACCATGTGGCACGTCATCCTCATCAACCTCGTCATCATCGCCCTCGACGTCAGCATCCTCGTCCTGCAGTACACCGACCACTACGACCTGCAGACGGCCTGGAAGCCCTTTGCCTACAGCGTCAAGCTCAAGATGGAGTTTAGCGTCCTCAACCGCCTCGTCGAGCTGTCCCAGTACATGCACCGCAACCGCGGCATCGCCCTCATCGAGGCGCCCACCGCTCGAGGCGTGCCCCTGCTGCCGCCGCTGCTCATGGTCACGGCCGAAGGGGGCGGCACCGCGGCAACGACGACGAGGAGCGGCGGCGGCGGCTGCTGTCAGGACGTGTCTGCCATTTCGACCGTGACCAGGAGCAGCGTCGAACCAAAGGCTGTTCAGCAGCAGCAGCAGCAGCAGCAGCAGCCTCCACGAACAGACGCATCTGCGGAAGCATCGACGGCGGCATCTACGGCGGGAGAGTCGCGGATAGAAGCACCACCGAATGTGCTGCAGCTGGAAAAGTCACAGCTGCAGGTATGATGACTGACAATCAATTTCACATGTGCATAAGCGATCGATACGGTATTTTGGGTCTTTCTGGGCTTTTTTTTTTTTTCCGATACATACTCTTGTGGTAATCATACAGGGCGGGAGAGATGGGCTTTATATTTGGAGTTTGAGCAGTCAAGGGCGGCGGAGGAGCATCTGATAATGAGGTACACGGACGGAAAGACGACACGGCCTTGATATTTATATATATATATGCATATACAAGATAATGACTGGGCATTCAGCTATAGGTAGGTATACAAGCGGCGGCATGGCAATGAATCAAAGAAACGAATAAATGACTACTGTCTGGCTTTACTTGATGTCATGAGAACCGAGTCCATGTTACACTGGCTGTCGGTGTGGATCCCGGGTATCGCCATCTTGATCCCCTCGGCACTTGAGCATCATTTAGGTAATGACAGGAGTATATGCGAATGCGTCTACATACATCGATTCTCAAGGCATCAAGTTATTCCAAAAGCACCACTCAACCACTCCAGCCCACCACAAACCATTTCAGCCTACAGATCCAGTTTCCCTCAATCTCATCCCTACAATTCCCGTCCACGCATTTCTCACAACACATCATCAGCTCACCTCCTCCGCTCAGTAGCTGACGACGCTTCCCCTCCCGAACCAGATCCAGCCCAAGCCCAAGCGCCACGCAAAAAAAAAGCCCCGGACAACAACCTCCTGTCAAACAAAAATCACCACATCCACCCATCAACCCAAACATTTAAAGACCAAGCGTAGCTTTTCCGGGGAAAGCTACAAGCACATAAGCACGTGTCTCTCTACCCCTCCCCCCCAAAAAAGGCGTTTGCCACAATTCCATTTTCCCACGCGGGCAACCCGAGCTGCTGGATCCCGAGGCTTTGCGGCATGTTTGGGAAGTCTAAAAGTCACCTATCCAGCTACTGTAGTAGTAGGTAGTATTAGTAAAAAATGGTCATCCGTTCTCCCCCCAAGGACCTTTTCTTTCCATTCATCTTTCTTCTCAATTACTCTTTCATCATCATCATTTTATCTTCTGATATTCTTAGAGGATAAAGTACTACCATGAACACCCTCGACAGCGACAAGCCCATCCCATCAAGACCCGCATCCTCCTCCTCCTCCTCCCCTCCGCCTCCGCTTCTCCCGCCCCGGCCTCGCGGCCCCGAACTCCGCCGCTCGAGCCGCGCTGCCGGAGCGGCCATCTTTGGCGACAGCGACGACGACGGCGGCGACATTGTCGATGTTGACGATCTCCCGCCCTCGTACGAGGCTTCTACCATGTAAATCCTCCCCTTCGTATTGTTAGCGATCCTTAGCTTCACATGAATGCAAAGAATTACCAACTCTGCTTTAATGTCTCCTTCAACTTGACTTGCCTTTGTGTCTTTTGAACGAAACTTGTCACTTCAAATGCTGGTGTAAAAACTGCGATTGTTCCCGTACCAATGTAAAAATCCAGAGCTAACTTGATCATCCTTGATCTTTCAAAAACAGACGCAGACCAAGCGACGCCCACATCCACATCACCGTCCGCTCCTCCTCCTCCCACAACCACCACCACCACGCCGCCGACGCCGCCGCAACCAGCGCATCCTCCCTCCCCTCCCTCATCGCCGCCCGCTCCGGCCGCACCAGCATAAACACCCAAGGCTACCTCCTCACAAGCCCCATGGACCCCCATCATCACACGTCAACTACCTCGCTCTGGAGGAAACATAAGAATAGAAACCGTTACGACGGCAGAGATGACGACGGTTCGGGCTGCATAGCCTCTGATTCGGGGGGGTGCTGCTTCTCCCGCCGCGGAGGCTGCTTCTTCAGCGATAGGGGAGGATGCTGCTTGAGCGATAGGGAGGGATGCTGCTGTTCGGATACGGGCGGGTGTTGCTTTTCGAGCGATGGGGGCTCGTGCTGCTCTGATGGCGCCGGGTTGAGCTGCTGTTCGAGGTGTGGGGGAGAGGGCGGTGATGATGGTGGTGGTGGTGGCGGTGGTGGTATTCGTGAGATGACGATGGAGCGGAATGTGAGGTTTGCTTGATGGGATATTCTTGATTGTGGGTTCCGAATTGTTCGAGTATGTGTATATTGTATTGGGGTTTGGATTGTATAGTATCTGCGTCTTGTGGTGTTCGGCAACGGTTCTCGTTCATCACGGTGGTTCAATGTCAAATGGCGTTTTAAGCAGGGTCTGGAAAGTGGCGTACCGGCGTCTTGTCTTCTATCAGAGTCAGCACCAAGCAACATCTTTCAACCATGATCCAAACACCGTCTCAGTCTTGTCAGTCCTCAAACAAGATATCAAGGGAGGAAAAGGGGGGCAATGATCATAAAAAGTATCCATTCGCTGTACAAGTAAGTCCCTTCATATCATATCCCAAAGATCCATCGCTTGCCAAATCCGCTCAAAGTCGTACATCATACATCATAACACTTATCATTTCCAAACCATCAATGCATCAAAACATCATGCCCCGTTGCCCATGTCCGTTGAAGAACCATCCAGATCATAGTCATGTATCTGATCAAGAATCAACCCGAATCACCACGCAGATTGCGTCGATCCGAGCATCAGCTGCCGCTGGTAAAACCTCCCTCCCGTAAACGCCGTGTAGATATCATCCACCCGCTGTTCCAGGTTCTTGTCCGTCCGGATGGCCCTCTCCACGCGCCGCATCCGCGCCCGGCTCAGCATCACCCCTCGCGGCCGCCGCTCCTCAAACGCGTACCAGCAGTGCCGCAGCTCGTGGCCCCGCAGGTTGCACGCCGGGCACTGCGGCGAGTCCGAGCCCTTGCCCGACGCCGCGTCCGCATTGTTGTTGTTGATGTCGTCGTCGTCGTCGTCGCCGCCGTCGTCGCCCATGGCCACGTCTGCTTCCGAGCCCCCAAACTCGAGGTCGCGAATCTCGCGGTACACCTCGAGGAACGTCCACAGGCGGTCTCCGTCGTTGGGCGAGGCGGCGTCCAGCTCCACCACCTCCTTTTCCTCCGAGGGCACCGCTTGGAGAGGTCTGACAGACGACGACGACAACGTTGCCTCGTTGAAATGGCTCTCGCTGGGGGCCTCTTGCTGTCTATTGCTGCTGCTTCGTCTGCTGCCATTGCCAGCGTTGTTGTTCATCTCATCACAATCGCCGCTGCACTTGTGCGTCTTCTTAAACGCCATGGCCTCCTCCGCCTCGGCCCGCCACTCAATGGCCGCGAGATCCAGCCTGTCGGCCCCGAGCATGAACTTGTCAAACAGCGGCGGCGAGAACGGCAGGATGCAGTCTGCCAGGTCCCGCAGCCAGGTCCCGCACAGCGTCTCGGGGAAGTTGAGCTTGTGGCACCTCGTCACGGCGCTGTACCACTCGTGCGCCCAGTCCGTCTCGCCGCCATTGCCATTGCCATTGCCATTCCCACTACCACCCCCGTCCAGGTCGAAGCGCTCCAGCACGGCATTGTAGTTGCCGCGCTCAATCTCGATGCGCTGGCGGTACGTCGGGGCCGTCGTGTCCCTGAGCAGGGCCACCCACTCGCGCAGCGTCTTGCCGTCGTCGAGCAGCTCGGCCTTTGCGGGCACGACGGTGCGCAGGATCAGGGCCTTTGTGCGGTCGACCATGTCGTTCTGGCGGTCGTACTCCTGCTTCCGGGCGTAGTAGGCCTTGTTCTGGTCGTGGTACAGGTCGAACTCGTCCTTGGTCAGCTCCGACACGTCGCGGGCGTGGCGGTTGAACTGCTGCACCTGCGGCGGCACCGGGCGCGCCCGCAGCTCGTCGGCCGCCCGGTCGGACCACATGTAGCGCCAGATGAAGACGTCGACGTGCGGCTGGATGTCGCGCTTCCACTCGTCCCAGTCGCGATACGACTTGAGCACCGTCGGCTCGTGGTCCAGGTCGTCGAGCAGCGTCGAGTCGTCGTCGGCGGTGCTCCGCCAGATGGCGGGAGGGGGGTTGTTGGGAAGCGCCGGCGCGCCCGAGTCCATCACCGATTCCATTGTGTCGATGACTTCAATGTTATTCTTTCTGATTCCTCTCTGGTCCTTCTTGTTCTTCTCTCGTTGTTCCTCCTCTTCGTCTTCTTATCTTGATGCGTAAGAAGCAGTTCAGCAAAGGAATCTCGAGCACAGAGAGAAGCAAGCAGATCGTGATCAGCGCGGCACCTGCGTTGGGTTAGGCGTCAAGCAAGGCCAAAGGGGGGGCGAGAAACAGGTTGATCCATAAAGAATGATTTATCGAAAACCAACCAGCCACACGCATCGCTGAGGCTGGCCGTGTGTACGAGCGCACTGGTCTAATTGCATTATCGGCATGTCAAGGTCCACCTGCAGGAGCCCGAATCAGACAATGTGGCGATGTGCTGTGCTGTTGCTGTTGCTGTGCTGTTGCTGTGCTGTTGCTTGTCCGTTGGGCTCGTCGAGAGGACAGGGTATCAAGAAGCGGGAGAGGGGGAGAATACCTAGAGTCAAAAACATCACCGCTGAAGCCATCAAACTGGTCCGAGACATGGAGCTGCGATGGAAGAGAAAAGAGGTTCCACATGGCCTGGAGATGGATTGATGGATTGATACACTACCTCCTACGGACACACCTGAGACTCGGCTTCGGCGCAGCGACACCGACAAGACTGTCCGGGTCACCACTCGCGCAGCTTACCCGGCAGCTTGAAAGGAAGAAGAACCTACCTGGGTACTGCACCTAAAGCAGCGCCAATGCATATAGTACCACGAAAGTACATTAGTAGAGACAAAAGGACCTTATCATGCCCGACAGCCAGATGCCGGAGAGACAAATACAAGTTCGACGTCATGGTCCAGTTGACCCTGGCAGAGAGAGTCCATACCGCGGACCAGATGAGGCCTTCATGTTAGACGTCTACTCGACTGGCTAGAGAAGGTGAGCTTCGTTCCAGGCCGACATGCGCCAGCTTTACTTCACAGCCACTCCTCTCTTTGATTCATGCGATAGAAGGCAAAGTTGACACCACCGTCTAGTTTTGTGGTAATACTAGGTCGTTGGTTTCGAAGTAAGTACTAGGTAGTAAGGCCCAAGCTCTCCTAGATGGCCCTTGACGTTGATCTTCGCAATCGTCAGGACCCTGAGTTTGATCGCCACCAAGGTCCGCTTTTGCTTCCGGGTATCTCCCTGTATTACATACTATCAACCTTCATTACCGTTATCATTTGAGCACTAGTTTTGTTTCGTGGAGATGCTTGTTTCGAGTTCATGACAGTCGCCATGGTCGACTCTATGGGATCTCTCCACGTATAAGTAGAAAGCCAATGCAGTCAACTCCCGCAAACTCCTGCATAGTAGCCTCAAGGACAGGCTCAGGACAATGCAGGTGCTTTTTGGCGATTCAAGAAGTGGGAGTCACCTAGTAGCAAGCAGATGCAGAACTGCTGCTCCTCTTTCTGGGTACTGATGCGGGAATTCGTTGGAAACTTACAACGGCAATCTCAGCTGGATGTAACCAAAACAAGTCCCGATGCCTTTGCTCTGTGCTGCAGAGTAACCTTAGACTCGGCAAGCATCAACTCTGTCAAGCACGCTGTGAGCCGTACATGGATGCTCAGTGAAGAGCCTCACTACCTTGGCGATAACATCTCGTCTTCTTGCTTCCTCGTAAAAGAAATATTCAAAAGTAACCATTAGGCTTTCCTCAACCAGGCTTCTTTACCTGCAGAGAATGCTTCAGCCGCAGCACGGCCGCGCACCCAAACGGTCAGCGGATCGATGCCTGGCGCAGGTTGGGTCCGAAGTGCGTTGGTCACCAGGAGTGCTACGATTTCAAGGGTCTCGTTAGTCATTGCTCGGTAGCCCCCGTACCGCATACATGTCGACACAGACCCAGTCGGCGAAAACACAAAGGGTCAGCTGCCCTCCTCGTCTCTCGGAGTGTGCGACTCTCCTTGCCCTGTCTCGCCCAGTCCCTACATAGGTACCTGCCAGATGCTGCAGCGTAGAGCCCGCGTGGCGCCGTCACTGTCTGAGGCCGCAGCAGCATTAGTATCAAGAGAGAGAAGCTTGCTAATGATACTCCAGCCTGACCACGTCAACCAGCCATGTCAACCGCAACCCTCCATATGGCCACAGACAAAGAGGAGCTGCGCCGATCATCGCCGTCTTGAGGCAGAAGCCGCAAAGTCTAGAACGCTGATGAACAGCATGCCAAGCCGGGATGCTGGCTTCAAGCATATCTCGTTAAGCAGCTGCGGACATTTACCTTGTCCCGTCCGGCCAAAGAGAGAGGGAGAGGGACAAAGGAGGGGACGGAAACGCCACAGAGCTGCGTTGGGGATGGTGTTTGTGTTTCGTCTCCTCGTCTCGTCTTCCCCTCTGCTAGGATTTCTGCAGCCGCCTTCGCCATCTAAACGACATGTCGACCTTTCGTTCTTGATTGCCTGCTCCGAGGGCCTTGCTGCATACTCTATGCGGTGTTTGTGGCCGTGATACGACCCTTTGTGAGGCCTCGTAGGGTCTAGTGCTGTCCTTCTTGAGCGTAAACTGTGGGCTATTGCGTGAGCCGTGGATCTTCGGATTCTCGGGCATCCAAGCAGGACGGCCAGCGTCATTCACAACCGTCTCGCGTGGGCTTACGCACCTATTGCTGTGTGCCAGCTACCTAGTAGCTTTCGGCGACATGCCACCTGGTTCAGCTGCTGCTGCTCTTACGACGACAGCTGATTTTGATAGCATTGTCGGCAAGCATCTGGCCCTTTGGCGAGGTCTCTGATGGACGCTCGGAGGTTTAGCAAGGACTAAATCGGCTCCTCTGGGTTAATTGTGTGCTTTGGGGGGAGTCACGAGCCCGCTAGCGGAAGCTTACAGGTGAGGTTAGGTACCTTTAGTACCAAAATAAGGTAGGTAGGTACGGGTAGCTGGTACCGTGTCCTCCCTGGGAAGAGGAAGGAGGTGGTGTACGGAGTACAAGGAAAGAGCGGGCAATATTGGGGCAGGAACGTTGCTCTTCGTGCCTAAGCACCTATAATGGAAGGCAGGAGAGCAGGTATTGCTATCACTGTATGTTCTTGCTGTTTCAACTCTCAGACGGCTTTCACAGTCCAGGCTGCGTGTGAGGAGGTACCCAAAGACGTGACGGAGGTCATCAAGCCAACAGCTGACATCCCGTCTGGATGATTTCCAGGTGCCTTGGACAACGACAAAGTTGAGGGAACACGTACATACCCTCGTCCCCAATACTGTGCGGCATCAGCGCGGATTTGCGGGTTGCTTTTGGCCTTGGGGTCTCCGGGATCTAGACCGGCCAGATGCATGAGAAGCCCTTGCACGATGATGTCACCGCCCTCCCGCCCTCACGAACCCCCTGCAGCCATGGACGTAAAGGGCGCCATCAGCTCGGGAGCCAGGAGGCTGAAGCGGTCAACTGCAGTTGATGGGATGTACTGCTGGGTACCTACAGTTTCTACTAGTACTAAGCTTTACTACTTCACATGAATGAGTGCGAATTTGGACCGATATCAAGATTATTATCTGCTAGGTACCTATTGGGAAGGGAACTGCGAAATGTATCAGTTTGTTTCTGTATTGAATGCTGCACGTCTTCCATATGGGAATTGACGAGTTTCATGTCAACATGGCACCTGCCCTTACGGTATCTTTTACGCACACAAATGCTCAATCTGGTGGCAAGCGGGCAATCAACCAACCCTCCATCTCACAGCCTCCGACCTGCTATATACCTCTCTTCCTTTGCAATCTTCCACATCTCTTTCTTCTCTCTTCTCTCGCCTAGCCACAATCGCATCGACTACCTGCTTCATGCAGGCCCCTCCCCTCCATCTTCTCTCAACCACCAAGACCTCCTGCCATTCGGCCTTTGCCTCCAGTCTCCCCTGCACGGAGAACTTCTGCACCAAATTAGCATGTACGCAAGACCCGTCTGGTGCTTGCTGTGGCCAGCCAGCGGCCCAACTGCAGGACCCCAGTTCGCCCACCGGCGGGCTGCGATAGTTGGATGCCTGTGCCTGGGTTTCACGCGGGACCCTGGCTGCAAGCACCCGACCAATATGACCGCCGGCTCCAAGCTTGCTGTTGTCTCCATGTCTGTCTAGTTTTATACTACAAGTACTCGTGCTACCATGACACTCAGATAGATTGCTCACTACATGCGAGTACATGCGAGTGAGTAATCGTGCCCTCATCTGTGCGAGCGCTGGCTTACATGTACCGCACGCACAGATACGTGATAGATGAATTGCCCCCCTCCAAATGTTCCCCGAGAGAAAAGAGGGAGGGGGATGAGTATAATCTTCCAGACCCCGGGTGGGGTTTTCTGCTCTACGCCAGCGGACGGAGGGGTTTCCCCGTTGCCTGTTTCTGGGTGGTGAGGGTGACTAGAGCAGCGACGGCGCGGCCAGCGGCTGGGCTTTTGTGCTGTCCAGCTACCAAGCCTGGATGCCTTGAAGAAGCCCTGGTGCTGGTTGGTGGTGAGACAGGATACATGTACTATCGCGCCATTTTCCCCATCCAAGCGCTGCCGCGGATTTGGACCAGTTCCTGCACCGTTAGCAAGAACAAGACTATTTCCAGGACTTGCAGCGATGCGAAGCGGGACTGGCAGGAGACCATCATCTTTTGGCGCCGCGTGCCGAGAATCTCGCGATGGGCGAACTCGAATGTGGTGCGAAAACGGCGCCACAAACGGCCGATGAGAATTGTTTCTAGAATCCAACCCAGACGGTCAGGATTCCTGGCTTATGCGAGAGGCTGTGTGCTGCATGCTGCAGTCAGAGAAAACAGGGTTGGGGAAAGATGGAAAAAATGGAAGGGAAAAGAAAAGGATATGGAGAAAGTGCCGTCCACGATTGAGACACGAGATACCTCGAGATGTAACCGCCACATGGTGTTTGTCGCAGGTATTTCCCGTCTCGCCTCGCGCTCAGACACACACCCACACACACCCGATCCTTGCGGCTGCTGCTGCTGCTGCTGCAGACCACGCACCCAAACACCTCAACCAATCTTCAGGCCTGCAACCCCACTGCACCCACTATGCGGCCCGCTGTGACAAAGGCAGGCAGGCAAGGACACAAGACGTCAGTGGGGGGAGGGGCTCTGACGTCTTTTGGCGCATGGAGGGGAGCTGGTTGAACTGGATCCCTGGACGCTACTGGCGCAGCTCGACGCCTGGTCCTTGTCCTGCATGCATCCGCTTAAAAGCTCGACTGGCAAAAACCGGGGGTGACTTGGGACTGGCCTCGACTCGTTCAACCGTCCGCGAGTCCTGTTCCTCCTCTGCTTAAGCACGGGGCAGGTGAGGCCAGGCTGCCCAGACTGCACCGTCGGCAGCTCCTGAGGCCTTGTCGGAAGAGAAAAGAGACAACAAAAGGGGGGGTGTGGCCATTGCATCAAACCATCTACCCTCCTTCTTCTACCCAATGATGGGGAAGGTTGAAACTGACCAGAGGTTCAAGTAGGCAAACAAGCCAGGAAAATTCTCCTTCTTTGATTCCCACACCAGCATACCCGTTGAGGTACAAATGCTTGCAGCATACTTGTACATACGGGAAGGGTCTTGGCTCGGGGCATAAGGTGTGATTGAGGCGGCTTTTTGTTTGTATCTTCTTGGGAATGACTTCCAAGGCTAGGTAGGTACCTAGGTAGGTATGGAAGGCACCTTACCTGTCATGCGTGAGTTGACTCGAGGTTCGTGTTTGTCCGCCTCCTAGTTTATCCACGATGGGTTGCGGACTTATTCCTCGTTGCCACCACCCAGCATTCCTCCAGTTGATGTTAACTGGGCCGAGAAAGAGAGGAGCGTCAAAGGAGCTGCCCAAGGTACTCACCTACTACCTACCTATGTAAAGCGAATTGATGTTACGATGTACATGGCTTTGCAGGAGGGAGCACCTCATTACCATCGTGTACATGTACAGTGTCTTACTACATATCGGGCTGATATGATTGAGCCTCTAATACACGGCAGGTTTCAAGAGGCAGCCTCTGCAGCGGGCTCTTGCCATGTAACCACATGCACTGCATGCTCAGCAACGGCGTGAATTTGTAAACCTGGAAGCGCTCCAGGGCTATTATATGTATATGTACTAGGAACCCGTCAGCGAGCTCTACAGGCGAGGGGAGTCTAGGCCTCGCAGGCGGTACCTTAGCTGGCGGATCAACTGGCAGTGCTGCTGGGTCAAAGTACCCCCGAGTAATTAACCCGTACTGTGCCAGTAGGTACCTAATTGCTGGGCAACTGGAACCCTTCAGTGGCCACAAGGCCTTATAGCGCTTGAGCTCTTCCCTAAGGGACCCGATGCTTTCGATAGGTGTGGACGGACTCAATGCTCTTCAGAGGTACGCCTCAACCCAACTCTGCCCTCACCATCTCCCAGTATACCTACCCATAGCTACCTACCTACTAAGGTATCATCTCGTGACGACCTCGTTTCCAGGTCCCCTTCCAGCTGCTTCTCTCCGTCCATCTCCTACAGCAAACCATCACAGTCACCTGCGAGATCCAGGACAATATTCCAGTAAGCCCGCGTCCCCCAATCCTGCCTGGAGCCCAAAAGTCCCCGCCAGCCCTCGGAATCGCGGCCATTCGCTCGCTTCTTGTGCGCTGAGTCGGCCATTTCTGCCACCTGCCTAGGTACTATACCTACATGTACATACTGTACCGGGACCCCTCCTCGCTGCTCCCCTCTCGCCTCGCAGCTCATGCGCAGTCCCCCCCCCCCTGTCCCGTCCAGCCAAAAAGCCTCCATCTTTTCCATCCATTTTCTCCTTTTGCTCTTTTCCATCTTCTCCTCTTTGGCTCCCTACTTTCTTCCCTCGCTCCTCTGCTGACCAGCCTCTTGTTGCTATACGTCCGTTAGCCCTACCAGCGATTTACTCGTGCTATCCGAGCCGCTTTCGCCCGTAGATCCTCATTTTGTGCCTCGCTTTCCCTCTTTGCTGCCTTTGTGGGTCGCGTTTCCTCGATTCTTTTGGCACCTATAATTCCTACGGCTCATCAATCCGTTCACCTCGGACGCTCTTCTGGCCCCCCCCCCCCCCCCCCCACTTCCGGCCAAACCTCAACCCCTCCATCGCGGCCGTCTTCTTCGCTCAGCGGCAGCAGCTGAGGCGCGAAGATTTCGCTCTCTCTCGACACACATCTTTGACAATGGCGCTTCCCGACGACAAGGTGCGTGCTTGTTGCGCTCGCGGAGTCCGAGTCGGACGCGGTAACTGACGCTCAAGGGTACCTCTAGGAGCTCGAGTCCATACTCGGCGATGGCGTCGACCTCAACACCTTCAAGCAGATCCTCGAGATGGACGAGCCCGGCGACAACGAGTTCAGCACATCCATTGTCTTTGGCTTCTTTGAGCAAGCCGAGGAGACGTTCGAATCCATGGACACGGCCCTGTAGGTTGCTTTCCGTCGCTCCTTACTGCACTGCCTTGCGACAGGTTCTTGGTGCCTTCAACCCCAAACCCCCCCTCCCCGCATCTCCCTCAACGTCCTCGGCATACAGGCCGATGAGCTTTCCCGGCGATCTACACCATCGCTACATGTCTCGGCATCTCTCAACCCCTGTTGCATCATGCACCTGCTGACAATTGCACTTCTTCGGTTCATGTAGGAACGAAAAGGACCTCGAAAAACTGTCAGAGCTCGGCCACTTCCTCAAGGGCTCCTCCGCAACTCTGGGGCTGATCAAGGTGCGGGACGGCTGCGAAAAAATCCAGAGATACGGCAAACAGGAGAACCTCGATGGCTCACCGGAGCCGGATACCGATGTGTGCCTGGAGCGCGTCAAGGAGGCGCTCACGGCCGTCAAGTCCGATTACGAGGAGGTCGAGGTTGGGCTCAAGAAATTCTACGACAAGGACGACGAGGAAGAAGAGGGCGCTTAAGCCGTCACGCCCCGAGTTGGACGATGACCATGCTTTTCAAGGCCACGCGCTCTGCTTCTGCCTTTGCCGCTGGAGCTCAAAGATGCAAAGCTGCACCGCCATGAGCCCATCTTGCTCCGGGCTGCTGTCTCGTCTCGCGCGAGGAGTGCGATGATGGGCTATAGCACGTCTGAGGGCTCCGCGTTTCAAATCCTCGCTCTCTCGCTCTCTCTGACTCTCTCTCTCTCTCTCTCTCTCTCTCTCTCTCTCTCTCACAAACCCACACTCTGGCTTTTTATCGCTTTTATGTATTTTTTCCCATCTCGCCCGACCGCGACTGCTTTTTACTCATGCAACCACTTGGTCGTGGTGGCAGTGGCAAGAAACGCAGCCCATGCATATTGGGTTTTGTCGCATGTGGATTGGCGCCTAAGACTTTGGTAGGATATAGGGAACGCGCAAGGCTGTATTTTACATTACATGCGCAGTCATGGGTTTATGGCACCTAAGCAATGTGGAATTTCTGTCTGTTCCTTGGGGGCTCAAAAAGCTGGTTTGCATGATAAGAAGGGCCTGCCTGATACAAGGCGGAGAGGGGGTATGGGTACATGTAAGGTGCTGTAGAAGAGAGATACCAACAGACTCGATAATAGCGACTTCCATGGTGTGATCTTATTACCTTGCCGTCGAAGTAAAGCAGTTTTGGCCAGGTCCTTTGCCGTTTGCCTCCCCCCTTTTGCGTACCTAACAGACTGGAGTCATTCATCGTTACCGACCTAGGTACCTAGAGCAAGCCACCGCAAGGACGGCCATGCGTCTCTTCCAGGTTCTCAGTATCGACAGCTCACAAATTACGTCGTCTGTGGCACCATCCCAATGCAGCCTGGCGCGATCTGGTGGAGATCTATGGCTAACATCGGCAGGCGTGATCGAACGTCCACTGCACGTGGTTGCCTCATTCTACCTACCTAGTACCTTACCTACCTTACCTTATGTTCTCTTCTTCCCTTTGCTTGCACAAAGCAACACCACCAGGTGTCAGATATCACCGCCTCAACTGGGACTTTTCCTCTCTTCATCTCAATCCTGCTACGTCTTGTTACTGACTAGGTTCGGCACGCAACTGCCCCAAAGGTACGTGGAATTCTTCATACCAAGTGCTCTAGGTGCCAAAAGATATCGACACACGCACACTGGGTCACCACACCTTCCCTCCTCGCTGCTATTTCAAGATGCCTCTCCATTTGCCCATTGCCCCATCATTGCGCCATGTGGAATTTCTTTGTTGTTGTCCTGTCAATGATTTATTCTGAAGGCGACACTGTGCCGCCATGGTTGGAAGAAGATTCACATCTCAACTTTTGCAGTCTGTCAGACAACAACGCCACCTGCAGCCCGTGCGTCTCGGCCCAGTGGCAGGGCGTCGTGGCATTGATCTTGGCCTCAAAGCCTGGGCTTACTGCAGTTTTGCATCGCGCTGTACAAGCACATTGTCCCAGTCCCACCGCGGCTACTCTCAATGCGCAACTGCTCGCATTGAAGTCCCTGGTGCTTCGTGTTACACACGGCAGACGGCTATTTGCTGGCACCTACATACCATGCATTGGTCTGTCTGCCGACATACTCGAGGCATGGGATCATGATGTTGGGATGACGCTGCCCGCTGCTGTCGCCCTCCTGGCCATAAGATGGACCTTGTCAAGTATTGGCGTGGTCCGGCATGGCATGTCTCCCGTGTTCTTCGTTGGTTCATCTCCCCTTCTATTTGACGTTTTGGTGTTACTGGCTCAGGCTTTCGCATTCTCACACTGTCTCATCGGCCCATGCTAGGCGCAAAGCATCATCATATATGACAGCTCCTCACAAGTGGCTCTTGCAGATACTGCCTTCTACAGCGGCCCGCTTCGACCTGCAGCTCTCTCACATCAGACCAGCTGTCTGCAAGCATGCCTCCGAAGCTTACTCCAACACACTTCCTCTGCATACCCCTCACAGGGGCGCAGCTGGCTGCAGCTCTTGCGGCGTTCCGGGCTGATGTAACGAGCGCCATGAGCTTTGGTCTGCCCGAGGATGCAGTGCGGCCTTTGGGGACACTGCACTTGACACTGGGCGTCATGGCTTTGAAGAGGGACGGTGTAGAGCAGGCAGTGGATATACTCAAGGGTCTGAGGCTGAGAGATATACTCGCGGAGACGAGGTTGGCCAAGAATGCGAATACGTCCCCCTCAGTATTGGCATTGTCGGGCGGCAGCAGTGTCAATAGTCAGTCATCGACAGCTGATGGCCTCGCCTTGACAATACGAGGGCTTCATTCAATCCAACCACCAGCCAAAGCAGCCGTTCTATACGCATCTCCTTCGGACCCAGAGGGCATTTTGTATGATTTCTGCAAGCGGCTGCAGAGACCATTTCAAGAATCTGGGTTGATGATTGACGAGAACCGCCCCTTGCTACTTCACGCTACCATCATCAACACCATATATGTCAAGAACAATGGCGGCGGCGGCGGAGGAAGAGGGAAGAGGAGGGAAAGGCTGACGATTGATGCCCGCAGTCTCCTGAGTAGGTATGATGACTACCTGTGGGCCGAGAAGATGCCCGTCACTCGCGTGGCGCTGTGCAGGATGGGCGCCAAGCCGATTCCAGGGACCGACGATGCGGCGTACGAAGTTGAGGCGGAGGTTGAGTTTGAGCCTTGATACAGTTCGCCGTTAGCAATGACTGCACAGAGAAGTGCGCGGAATTGGCAGTTCGATCTATCACCGGCTCCCGAGATCAAGTCTGCAACATTGATATCCACAGCTTTGAAGTCACATCCTCTCACGTGTTTCCGCCACACTCTTCTCCCTCTTGCTTTGACCCGATTCCTGTATCTGCAATACAGGAGTGATCATGCCAACTTAGCAGTTATTCAAGTCTGTTGAAAGCACGGCGCATGGGTATCCGACCTTTCGTGTCCCGCTATCGAGCTTATATAGGTACCTTGTTGCTGTGCAAGCCATATACCAGACCCATTGGTGGCTTGGTGCTTCCAACAGAGAAAGGCGCTTCGTCAATCAATTTTTCAACTAACATGATTTCCTACTTTAAGCAATTTACGTCTACAGATTCTTCAATCACGAATCGAAACAACCTCGATATAACCAGTGGCTAGTGAACTGCATCGTCCGTCGAAATTGAAGCAATATCCGGAGCTTTAACAAGCTCCCCCGCGCCGTCTCGGAATCGCCTCCCGGAATCACCCCCGGCATGTTATTCCCAGCCCCTCCACCTGGACCACGCTTGTATTATAGTATTACCGAAGGAATTGCGGAGAGCTGATTCGTTACAATAGAGCCAATCCGGCAGATTCACGGCACTGCTTGTCCCAGCTGCAATTACTACTCCGTACCCTCGCATCTCACGGGCTTCCAGGCAGCCATCAAAGAAACAACCCAGCACTTCCTGCCCCGAGCTTTTCGCTTTTGCTTGGAGAGGGGGGCAAACCAGGGAGAAGGGACCGGGCCATTGCAATTTCTCGACACTTGGCGAGGGCAGGAGGCAGACGGAAGCTGCCAGAGGGGGGTGCTGCTGGACGCATCAGCCACCATGCCGAGCCATCGTCGTCTGGCCCTCCACCTCGGCATCACCTCAGCGACTTGAAACGAAAGACGATTGATTCTACACGACTACTTATTGTGCCGCGAAAATTCGATCCGGATCTCGACTTCAGGAAGAAAGATGAATACACCTGAAAAGCGCCGCAGCGGCGGCGGCGGCGGTCGCAGCAATAGCACTGGGCCCGCCTGGCGAACGGGACACGCCACGCATACGAGTCGGCATGGCAGCAGTGCGGCTGGAGGTGGAGGAGGGGGAGGAGGTACGAACACAGCAAGCAGCGGTGCAGGAGGCAGCAACTCGGACAACTTGCCCGTGATGCCTCCCCGCGCAGCCATGGCCAGTACGAGCTCGACGGGCGGTGACGATTCTCACAATGCGGGGGGAACGCTCTTGGAGCGAAAACGCAAAGAAAAAGGGGGTCGAGACAAGGACGGCGTGGCCGGCAGCAGTAACAGCAACAACAGCAGCTCCAGCACGGCCAGGGGCTCCAGTCCTCATGGCAGCAACCCCAGCGGCAGCCCCGTCTCCAAGCAGCAGCAGCAGCAGCAGCAGCATCGCCGCCAGCAACACTCCGAGGCCGCCGCCGCCGCCACCGCGACCGCGACCGCCCACGTGCTCCGCGAAAAGGACGAGCGGATAGCCTACCTCGAGAAGGAAATGGCCATCATGGAGCGCGAGTTCCACCAGGAGCTCGACAAGCTGAGCCAGGCGGAGAGCGAGACGGCGACGTTTTGGCAGGGCAAGCACAGCGCGCTCAACCAGCAGTTCCTCCGGACGGACACGGAGCTGCGGCTGCTGCGGGCCGAGGTGGACGTGCGCGAGGCGGAGCGCGAGGAGCTGCGGCAGGGCGTCGAGGTGCTCCGGCGCGAGCTGCAGGACAGGGACGACGAGATCCGGCGGCTGAGGGGCCAGGTCCGGGGCCTCAAGGACTTTGTCAGCACCAGCACGCGGACCGACGACCAGACGAGCGACGAGGTCTTTGGCGACGGCATGACCAAGCTGGGCAACGGGCTGCAGAACTGGGTCATTACCAATTTCCGCAAGGCAAAGCTGGGTGAGTTGCAACTGATGGGGAGGAGCCAGATGAAGGTTGGGTTTGAAGGCATGGTTCGGTTTAGACTGACAGCGGCTAGACCTGTCCAAGGCCAGCGACGACACACTCGCAGAGCTCAGCCGGCTCGTGCCCATGTACGAGGAGCTCGTCCACACGTCCAAAGTTCACCTCCTCCAGTCCATCGTGTCGAGCATCCTCGTCGACATGGTCTTCAACGCCTACTACGTCGGCCTATCCGAGCAGGAGACTCAGCACATTCAACAAATGGAGCGGCTCCTCTCCTCTCTCTGCTGTGCGTACATTGACATCCCTTGCCAACCCCCCTTCCTCTAGCCTATTGGAATATAGAAGACAGAGGGAGAGAATCGTCTTGTCAGCCCAGGACTAACAACGAGAGCAGCCTCCACCGACGTCGTCAACCAATGGCGCTCCTCCACCCTCGCCCTCCTACGCCGCGAGGCGCACCACCTCCACGACAACACAGACGCCTTTGCCGAGGCCGTCATGGCCCGCATCACTCACCTCCTCGATAGCATCATCACTACTTCTCCCTCAACATCGTCATCATCATCATCAACAACAACAACATCCCCATCGTCGTCATCAACGTCAGCCGCCACAAGCGCAAACTCCCAACAAACCACGGCCCGAGACTCAGCCCTCCGCGTGCTCGTCAAGAACTCGATTGAGCTCGCGCGCCTGCTCGTCGTGCAAAAGGCCCGGCTGCGGGTCTACATGCCCTCCATCCTGCCGCACCAGCAGGTCCTCTTTGAGCCCGACACCATGGAGGACATGGGCGGGGAGGAGGACGAGGACGATAACCTGGCCAGCCGCGAGATCGGTTGCGTCGTTTTCCCGGGCGTCATCAAGCACGGAGACGAGAACGGGGGCCACATGCAGTACCGCAACGTCATTGTCAAGGCGAGGGTCCTGTGTAGCCCGGAAGAGTAGACCGGAAGGAGAAGAAGAAGAAGAAGAAGAAGAAAAGGGAGAAGGGGAAGATAGGTTCCACGCAGCTGGCCTGTTGGGGGTCCCTAGGTTCCTACAAGTTACATTCGGCGAAATACCTAGGTAGTAGTATGGCGCTTGGGGTGTCCGGGGGTGATGGACAAACTCCATGATAGACGATAGACGAAAATAGGATGCCGGTGTTTCTTTGCGTTTCCTGCACCATTACGTCGTTCAAGCTCAAGGCCTCACCTCCCTTCGTGTCGCCGCCGCGTAGCCTTACGGAGTGGCTACCACAGGAACTAGGCGACAGCCGGGAGACGGGCCGCCACGCCGTTTGACGCCGACCCGCAACCATCTTTGTGGCCCTCCACCATCCACAGGCTCACCAACCTCACGCCATCCGAGTAATACGCGGAACCCTCCAACCGCCAGTCATAGGCACGTCTCTGTCTCTCTCGGACTGGCGCCGCGTTGTCTTGATGCCCAATATTCCCCCGTCCCCGATTCCAAATATGCATCCGGGTTAGTGTGTCTCCGTTGACAGGGGAAGAGGCGGAAAAGGTGAGGGACGTGTGGGATGTTCCAACCATAGACAAGACTCAAGTTCCCTAGTCACGGAAGCCTTGAGCGATGCGAGCAATTGTACCCGCCCAGAAATATTCCGCGACGTCACCTTAAAATGGGCCGGTAGCACAACCTTCTTCTCGTTTGCGCCTCGCCGGATCGCCTGACCCATGTCCCTTCCCTAGTTCCTCTGTTGTCCGTTGTCTTCTTTTCGCCACCCCCAAACTCCAAAACTCCCATCAATCTATATCTCGTGGTCACGGGGAACATGATTGCAAATCTGAAATGTCATCCGACACTGGAAAAGGCGTCATATAGCAGCCAATTGTGCCGGGGCCCATGAGAATTGGCTGATTGATGAGAGACTATAATGCCGGAATCCTTGTGCGGGAATGACGGTGCGTCTCAGCTCTCAGTGCCTCAACAGCAGCACAACCGACATGGCTGCTACCCCGTACTTCATCTCACTGGGTCGTGTAGATGGAGGTGCGCAGGGTGCCAAAGAGGAAGAATACACTGCAACTATACCACGTGTAAGCCCCCCTTAGCTGCCTTTGCCGCGGCAGTCATCTCGTGATTGCCAAATGCGTGTCACCGGAAAGGCACCAGGTCCAGGCTCGAAGCAAAGACAAAGGGCTCGAGCATCCTGATAGCTAGCCTCAAAGCAGACCGATCAGCAACTTCAGGCCTCGACACAGGAGGGCCTATCCTCCGTGGGGACCCCGAAGATGCTCCGTGGCCTTCGGAGACAGACCACGGCGCATGTTGCTGCTTTTCGTAATCGCTGCCGTTCTTCTCATCCCACCACATCTCGCAGCTCCAGTCTGGATTGGCGGGGTCTGGTAGCACGACGGCGGGGTTCTCCACCAGGGCCAAAGAGCCGCAAGAACATTCGAGCTGAGCTCTCCCCGCTGTTTGTCTGTCTTCCCGTTCCTCTCTTCTGACGGCAGAGCTCCTGGCACGGTCGAGCAACTGGAGGATGCCGTTACCCAGGGTCCACACCTTCACGCCGCGACACCATGCCGGCATCACGACAACCGTGAGAGGGGGCCAAGATGCAAGCCCACGGCCATTGTGTGCTCCCGGTCTCGTCCATTAGTATGCCTGTCAGAACAAGGCGGCATATTGGCTCGAATGCCAAGGGGCCAGTGTACTGCAGTTCGCCGGCCACAAGATGTTTCGTACACAGGTTTTGATAGAAAGTCATGGTTGCTTAGCTGGCATCAAACCCATATCGGTGAAAAGCTACCACATCATTCGTCAAAGGCCTATGACGCGGCCCTTGTTAGACGCCACAGCTCGGCCTTCGTCTATCTGAAGACGGCCAAGAGGAAGTGACAGGAGTAAGGGCGATCTTGGCCCGGACATGTCATAATGCTATGTAAGCCGGACGGCTTGTCACGGTTCCCGGAGGCCCATCGTTGGCCTTTTGTTCTCTGGTGGCAGCATGTAAGTAACGTTGATGCTGATTGCTTAGATCCACCATGTCGGCGAGCATTGCTTTCGGGGGGGTGTATGCAAGCCGAATTCAGCTGACCGTAGTACATGTTCGTATACCGTCACTATCGCATGAATGGCGGATATCATACACTCTCTCAGACCGTTTTCCGTGTGCACCCATCTTGGTCTTGCCGTCGAATAATATCTCTCGAAAGCTCTGTGTTCGTGCCCAACAGGCGGTTGTCCTGTTACATTTTAGTATCATCTCATCACCTACATACCTGGTGGAGGTGGAGTCTAGTCAGATATGCGCATCTGCTCTTTCAAGTCCAACTGAGAGCCCAACCCAACTCGTATGTCTTTCTGTCTCTTCTTATTTATTCAAACAAGGAGACAGACGCAGTGAGGTGAGAGGGAAAAGAGGACAACTTTTTTCCTAGCCATCTGACCTTCCTTCAACTCTTTTGTGCCTTCTTCGCGAGCTGGCAGAACTACTGCCGTTATTGTGCCCGAAACGCATCCGCATCAACCCTTGTTGGCTCCATCTGCATAAGCATCGACTCCCCGTGCTCATCTCTTGGGGAGGACCCGACAAAAGTTCAGTTGCCGCACTCAACGTCCAGGCGGTCGAGTGCGAAGCTTGCAGCCGTCGAGATCCCATCGAACGTTCCATTCAACATCCAACGCATACACTCCAAGGCGGCCCAACAGGCCCAGGCTGAACGACTTCGAAGACGGACCAAGAACCCTTCGGATGGCGGCACCACGGCAAGAGCCCTTGGCGGAGGACATATATGGATTCTTGCAGGGGCATCAAGAGAAAAGGGCCCGGTCCACGGCGACAGGAAGCTCCGAGTACACTCACTTAGATGTCCTTCCGAAACCGCCCCGGCACGCCTTCACATTGTCTGAAGATTCCCGCAGCCATCCCTCAGAGACGCACGTTTCTTCGGTTGCCAGTGGAGAAAGTCGGCGGTCCTCCGTCTTTGACGCGCCCGGATATTCCTCGTCCGCATCATCGGTACCACCAGGGTATGTCCTCATTGCGTTTTGGCATTGTTGCTTTTCTGGGTCACATTAGCTGACGAGTTTCTTCTCTGTATGATCGTCTAGTCGACAACGGCGGCTCCCTTGCGAGTTCTTCTGGTATGGCAATTGCGATGAGATTTTCGACATCCACGACATCGACGGCTGGATACACCACGTAGCGGTCCACCACCTGAATATGGTGTTGCCAGCAAAGTGCAAATGCTGGTTCTGCGATGACTGGGTGTTCATCGCCGAACCAGACAGCTTCCAACAACGCGAGCTTTGCTATACGGCTCGGATGCAACACATTGCGGACCACTATCGTGGTGGCGCGAGGACGATCGACGTTCGGCCAGACTTTGACTTTCTCGACCATCTGTGGGAAAACGACTTGATCAGCAGAAGAGACTTCCAATACATGAAAAACTATCATGAAGCGCCTCAGCCAAGGAATGGCATCAACCCTATACCCACAGCACCAAGTGCACGCTCACCAGCGGCAGTGGCAGTGGCGGTAGAGGTGAGACCACGCCACCGAGGCCGCCGCGAGTCTCGCCGGAGCTACTACTCATGAGCTCACGTTGCAAGGCCATGATGTTTCTTTGGAGAGTCGTGGTCAGGCAAGCAGAAGTGGCAGTCGTCTTGTTTGACATGAACGTCTGCCAACTCTGCCTGTCGTCTGAAGTCTGGGTCAAGTAGTGCGACACTGGATGGAGTTGTCCCTGCAGAGCCCGGGACTTGTGTTGTAATAGCGATACGACCAGCAGGCTGATCGTCGTTACCCCCTTTATGTTTTTCTGATGGGCTAGCCATCGATACATGGTGGAGGTACCATTGTATGTCTTCAAGTTTCACCCTACTCCATCAACGTTAATCTCCTCTTCTGCTTGTTTGTCCGGTTTTCTCCTTATTTGCTGTTTGTGGCTTCTGTGTGGATGCGGCAGACGTACCGTTGACCAGTGTCTTGTTTCTTGTTATTGGATGTCGGCTTCGGGATATACATATGGTTATCGTTCAGATGCGCGTTGGAACTGGTATCGGCTTTCGATGGAGAGGGAGCAGGCGTCTTGTCTTTGATACCATGCGAATGCAAATATCGATCGTACACGTTTTCACGAGGTTCGGATAAGTGAAGGCCAAGTCCACGTTGAATGAATGATGAGATTCTGATGAAAGAAGTGAGGGTGGGAAATAAAGGAGGAGGAGAGGTTCTTGCCACCGTGATTGTCGCCTTCCACGCGTCGTCGTCGTGTCCCATCTTTCGGAAGGCGGCAGCCAGTGAAAGTGGGCGACGCCTTCCAGTAAATTTCCGTACAAACGTCGAAAGGGAAGTCACGCTGGGTATCGTGCCTGACTCGTCTTTCTTTATCGACGAATGCCTATTTGAGTAATCGAAGTCCTTGATGTCCAATAGGTGCAAAGATCATGGTGGTACATGTGCGTGACTGACCACAACAACCACCTCGAGCACCTTGACTACCGATTCGCAGAGGTTTCTGTCTCCTGTTTTTGTCTCTTGATACTTTTAATAACGAAGTTTGCCCCTGCATAAAGCTTTATATTTCGTATTCATCGTCATGTTTAGGTAGCAACGTGTGCCCAACCACGATAGCGGCTGTTGAAAAATTTCAGGTCAAATCATGCCATGGCTGGGCTGGCTGATGTCGTCTCGAGTCTCCTAGTATGAGAAGCCCATAAAGTCAACGGCTCGTCGGAGAGAAGTGATGACATGCATGATATAAAGTATGCTGCGTTGCCCTGTTAGTGAGCATGAGTAAGTTGCGCAAATAGCTTTTGTCGTATGTAAGTGCTACAAAGTAAGGGTGGACGTGTGTTGAGGGAGGCTGTGCTGCGTATCCCCATAACGTGGCAAAGGAGGGCCTATCAAAAGGAGGGCTTTGATGAATCGATTTAAGTAGGCTTAATCCTTGATTACAGGCCTCTGTAGATATCTGTAGTCACGCGGATTCATCGGTCTCCGAATGTGTAATACTAATACGATATGATGCGTAAGATGTGATTCACTGTATCTATATCCATAAGTGGGCTGCTAAACAAAAGTGCCCCAGATTGATTGGGTCTTTATTGCAGCTGCGTTTCGCTTTGAAAGGCGATGGGGGGGCCGCATCAGATGCCACTGCCGATGCGGCAGGACTCTGATCTATCATTGGTAGGCCGGGGCTTTTCATGTGCCGGAAGTGTGTCTCGTTTGGCTCGTCCGCGATCGCTTGGCCAGCATGATGCTCTGCTTTCTGACTGGGGGGCTGAGATGACCCAAGAGCGACATTTTGCTCTGCTTCTTCTTGCTCGACGCGAGCAAGGTCACGTCTATATTCTTATATCTCGCCTCATACTTCACCCATCGTTCCAGGCCGGGAACCTGGATGCCCAATGTCGGCAGCGCCAGTAGGGTCAGGACAGGTTCCGCGTCGTGATCCTGAGCATGCTCTTCCACGCTGTACAGGCCCGGCAAAGAATACCGCACTTTCCCGGGGGCATAGTGCTTGAGGATCTTCTCCAGGTTGGCGCGCTCTCGCGGGGGCAGGGCCATGCGGAACGGCTTCGCGGAGGATGGGAGAAAGGGAAGCACCTGGAACTTTGCGGCAACACAGGCGCTGACTCGTATCCAGAAGCGTCCATCCCAGAGTTTGGCGGTTTTCCATCCGCGCCAGTGACGGTGGCGACTGGGCTGGTCGCCATCGCCGTCCATCTTGAATATGCCTGCTCGATAATTCAGATACCCGGGCAGTTTTTGCTCAGGCAACGGCTGCCTCGAGGAATATGGTGCCCTGGATAAGAGCCACGAGGCCGCATTCCGCTTTGGCACGGGCTCGAAGAGAACACCTGCGATCGAAAAGGCCTTTGGCTGGGCTGCCGGTACTGTGCCGATTGCCCCTGACAGCTCTGGAAACAACCGATCAACGGCATTTTCCAGGTTACCCAGAGGCGGCAGATGGAGCTCGGGGGTTACAAAGGCAATGAGCTTGCGGAGTGCTATGGCAGCCAACAGCCTACGAGAGCGTCTGCGTGCTTCCTCCCGGGCCTGGGAGAAAGGACGTCTCATTTGCGAGGACGATGCGCGCCAAAGCGTTGAGACGTCAATGAGCAGAGTGCCTGCGTTTGGATCAAAGTCCTTGATGACCCTTTCGCGCACGAGCAGTCGATGGGCTTCGGCCTCTTCCAGTCTAACCCTCCGTTTCGACCGCTGAGCAAGTGCTAGGATAGACGGCTTCTGCAGCGCCTTGGGCAGCGTGTGCGCCCGAGTGAGCTGCCGGATAGCGTTGCGGGTAGTGAGGGTTGGATCGGTGTTTGTGCTATCCTCGAACCATCGAACACCGTTGGCCTCGCACGTAGCAATGAGCCTGGCCTTGCCAAACTCCACAAGTGGCCGGTAGATGGTAACGCCGCCATCCTCGCTCTGTAGAGGGGTCAGATATGGTACACTGGGGTCAAAATCCCGGGAGAAATGGCTGGAAAAGCTCATGGGCTTGTCACTTGAGCTCAGATACGACCTGATTTGATCCCACGGCTCTGCGTCTTTGTCGTCCCTTAGGATATGACGCAGCCGCTTCATCTCCCGCGACGGCGGCTTGAAGCTCAAAAAGGGGCGCTTCTGCATCTGGTCATCGAGAAGACCGCTCTTGTAGACGCTGTGCATCTCATAGCACTCGGGAATGGCATTGGCCTCCCGTATGCCCTGAAGTCCGCGGTACCCATGGCCGGCGAGCAGCCTCATCAGGACCGTTTCGTACTGGTCGTCCTGGTGGTGGGCAAAGAAGAGGCTTGAGGATTGCAGGTATTTGCAAGTCGACCCCAAGGCCTGGTAGCGCATGGTGCGAGCAACGCTCTCAATGTTGGGCATGGTGGCTGGTTCAATGCCTTGCCACTTGAGCTCCCTCCAGTTGAGGGTCTTGATGATGGCCTTGAGGCCGAGCCGCTTGAGCTCCTGGGTGACGCGGGATGCTTCCTGGGTGCTCTCCTCTCGCAGCTTGTGGTCGACTACAACGCCAAAGGCAGTTTCGGCAGGGTTGTCGGCTATCTTGATGCCCCTGTACATCCTGAGGAGGCGGGAAAAGAGATATGCCATGGCCATGGAGTCCACGCCTCCGCTGATGGCCAGGGCTGCGCAGTGACACCGAGGTTAGCCGTTGCAATGTCACGTTGAGGATCTCGTGGGCGTCTAAGGCTTGCCTATTCGCTGTGGCCGGGCGTAGTACGCCGTAGGGAAGCGCGGCCGAGACACTGAGAGGACGGCATCACGGAACTCTTGGACGGAGATGGGCTTGGAGGCATGATGAAAGGCCAGCGCCTGCGCGCTCATTCCACCCGGGGCTGCAGCGGCAGCTTTTGCGACGCCACGGTAGCACGAGCCGAGACCATGCAGGGGTGAGTGACTTTGATTCAAAGCAGCTGTCGGGCTTGGTTATGTGAACAGTGAAGGAACAAGCAGCAATAAAAGAAGCTTCAATATAATTTGTTGGAGTAGCTTAAAATTCAAGGTCCCATGTTGCATTGGTGGAACAGGGGTCACGACCCGATTAGTTGCTGCAGGCTGGGAGCTCCAGTGGAGGGCTCGAGGTCCTTATCAGCGCCACAAAGAGCCGCTGTTGTGCCGGCGAGTGGCGCTGAAAATGCCCTGGAGAGCCAGCTGGAGAGTACCTACCTTAGTAGTGAAGCTCAATGCATTCAGGGCACATGCACTGGAGCTGCGATGCCTCAGGCGAGGCCGTCACAACTTGAAGCATTGAGTCGCTGCATCGAACCGGGCCACTGTCTAGGCACAGGTTTCTTGTTGAGAGAACCTGCTATTAACAGAGCGAAGAGGCTGGTGGGATAACATCCGCTCTCAGACTGTCTCGTCTAATCATCAACAATACTGGAGACGCGTCCCTGGCGAGCTGCCTCCCAAGACCCCTGGAAGATCCAGTCGCTCGTCATCCATCACCGCCTTCGATACGATACGATTCGACGTTCACGCTTCATCTTTACTTACTTCACATGCCAGCCACTTGAACAGCGTCCACCAAAACCACCCCCCCTGTCTGATCCATCCAGTGCGTCTGGGGCCGCTGCAGCCCGTCGCCACCCGACTCACAGGCCACCGGTTTTAGCGGTTTGAAGCCTGCATTGCATGCAGTGGGCGAGGCTAACTGCAGCCCTTAGAGGAGGTTGAGCTTCGTTCGATCCAGTCTCACCAGTTGGTTGGCCGTGGCCCACCGAGTCTGCCTTCAGCTTGCATCAACTTGTTTCCTCAGTTTCTGCCCTTTTTCTTTTCCTTTTTTTTTTCTTCCTTCCTGTCTTCTTTTCCCTCTCTCCGTGACTGCCGCTCTCTTGCTCGGGTTGTTCTTCACGTCTCGCGCAGGAATCGCAGAGTCCCCCAGTCTCTCTCTATCTGTGTCTCTGTCTCTGTCTATCGAGGAATTGCCTCTCTCTCTATCTTCCCCCACCCACCACCACCACCACCACCACCAACTCTGCAGCATTATAACACAAGGCCCTGGCTGGCTGGCTCGCCTTTTCCCTTGCTCTCATGCAGCTGCGCCGGTTGCCGCCAATCCAAGCTGACTCGCAAGACTCGGCTTGAGACGAGACGAAAAAACACAAAACAAAAAAGGACCAGCCAAAACAAAAAGCTGAGCCAAAACAACTCGCAAACGAAACGAAACCGCCATCAACCCCCGACACTTCCTCTCTCTCTCTCTCACCGTCCGCGTCCTCGCCCTCGCCCTCACCCTCACCCTCATCCTCATGGTCTCTCAACCAGAACCCCCTCCGTCTCTCGCAATCCGCGGCACCTCGTCCCTCGTCTCCCGGCCGTCCGCCCGCAGCAAGCGCTACAACCGCTCCCACGTCGGCGGCACCAGCTCCTATCTGCCGCAGAATGAATTCCCCGTCTTCTCCCACAGCGGCGACGTCGAGATCCTCATCCGCGCCGGGCCCGTCGAGAACCGCTACCTGCTGCACCGGCACACGCTGACGCGATGCAGCGGCTTCTTCGAGGCCAGCACCTCGTCCGAGTGGTCGCGCGCCCAGCCGATGCTGCCAAGCGGCCACGAGCTGTCGAGGATCGGTGAGGACGGTCCGGCGTCGTCTGTCGCTGATGGAGATGCCGGGCAGGGCGGCAGCACGACGGCGCCGACGCGGAAATGGCGATACGAGCTGGACTCGGGCTCGGGCAACAACGACATCCCCATGCTGGTGCAGCGGGAGGAGCCTCGAGCCGACGCGCAGTCGCTCGGGTCGTCGCTCTTCGGGCCCGGCCCCAAGACGACGTCGTCATCGTCGCGCTCGTCGCACTCGCAGTCGCACCACCACAAGAGCAGCAGCAGCAGCAGCAGCAGCTACTCACACCCGTCCAAGCGTGACTACTCCCGCTCCGTCATGAGCCTCGGCGCCCAGCCCCAGACCCTGTCGCAGGCCGACGAGGACCTGCTGCGCGACTACGACAACATGTTCCGCATCTTCTACAACTACCCGCCCATCCTAGACAACATCAACGTGGCCGATGCCTACGTGCAGTGCAAGAGCCTTCTGACGCTGGCCGACCAGTACGACGCCCTGCCCGTCATCGGCCCGCGCGTCGACCACCACCTGCTGCAGTTCCAGTCGCGCCTGTGGAAGCAGATTGCAAAGTACCCCATCTCGTACCTGCGCCTGGGCTACCTGGCCCGCAGCAAGGTCATCTTCCAGGAGGCCCTGATCCACGTCGTCGGCCAGTGGCCCGCCGGCGAGCGCAGCCTGCGCGCCACCATGCCCGACATCGTGCTGGACATCATCGAGGACAAGGTCGACGAGCTGGAGGAGACGGTCAGCCGCGTCGAGGGCCGCCTGTTCCGCCTCAACCTGACCACGTCGCGCGGTGACCGCGTCGGCCCCAACAACGGCTACCTGGACTGGCTGGCCACCAGCCTCTTCCGCCAGTGGCTCGCCGACAACACCACGCCCCAGCCGCCGCCCGAGTTCCACCACCGCCGCCCCGGCTCCCGAGACGCCCGGGCCGCGGATCCACCGCCGGCTCCTCCAGCTCCTCCTCCTCCTCCTCCCCCGGCCCCGCCCCTGGGCTCCGTCGGCCGCGCCTACCGCATGCTCGGCTCCGGCAACCCGGACACGTTCCTCGGCCACGACGAGTGTAAGAAGTTCCTCAAGCTGACGCCCGAGTTCTACAGCCGCGAGAACCTGCGGCGCTTCGAGAAGCGCATGGACGAGCTCAAGGCCATGGCCCGCTCCGTCGTCCGGCCCCTCATGAACAGCGGCCTCGAGCTCGACCTGAGCGGCTCCAGCCGCGTCGCCGACAGCATCGGGTACCTGACGTGCACCGAGGTTGGCAACAGAGATCTGCCCTGGACGGTGGACGAATGATTTTACGAAGCAGATGTAATGAAGAAGAAAGAAGAAACGAAACGAAGGGAACAAACCAGTTGCTTTATATACAGCAGAGACAAACGCACACATGACATGACATGCATGATAATGTATGTTTGATATCAAGTGTCTTTGTCGACTGGGCAGATCTTGACATATACTCGTGCATAAGACACGCAACAAACGCATATGAAGAGCAAAAGATGAACTGATGAGAGTAATGTTATGTTGATACGACGACGACATGTTCTGATGGGACAAAGGAATGACGGGGGCGATTTGACTGGATTACACGAACTGAATGGGTTGCGAACTGAATGGGTTGGTTATCTTTTACTTGTCTTTGTTTGTTTGTTGTTTGTTCGATTTGTCTCTTTTTTTTTCCGTTTATAATACGTTCAACCGATACCCTTTACCGTACTTGTCGTTCAGTCAGAAAAAGAAAAGATGAGCAACATGTCCTTATAATTTCTATCTCTTGAGGTTTCTTAATATGAGAAGCATACACGAGAGAGCATCCAGTTTGTATATACATGGCTGAAATAAGGGGGTACTCTAATGTCATGCGAGGCATGGCGGTCCTTGCAATAATCAATCGACTTGACAGCTAAATATACCTACAAAATTTCAAATCATCCCGAATATCTCATTTATTGTGCAGCCTCTAACAAGATGGATAGAAAAGGTGGCTTTGTGTGATAGACAAGAAGGTTTCAAGCTCAAGGGAGGGAAAAGCCAGCTAAAGGATATAATAATAGACAAACAACATAGTATGTTTCCATATACAAAATGTGGTCATGCAAATGTTACCATGACAAAGAGCGTATCCTAGAAAGAAACACCGCGAAACTTGCGCTCATAATCATATATCATCCAACGAAACCAGAAGTCATATGCCCACGCTCTTTCAAGCCAATTCCACCCAACTCTTGCTCATTACATCCCTTTGCTCTCCGTTAATAGCCCTTTCGATATATCAGAAAGTCTCCATCATAGCCTTTTAAAACCTCTTCCTCGTGGTATCATGTGCTTATTTCAGTCATGGCTCAAACATTCCCAAAGACAAGCACTTCACGGCCAGACATGGAGTCGACAGTCAGGCTCGACTTTCCATCACCCTTGGTCCCCTCGATCCGTTTGACAATGCCCTTGCCCCGCTTGTAGTCAAGGCCGTCTCCTCGAACGTCCTGCGAGCCAGACAAGGTCGTCATGGCAAACTCGCCCTCCCACGAAGAGGGATAGTTGAGCCTAAAGTCGCCGCTGACAGATGCGTGGTGAGACTTGAGGTTGACCAACCCGTGCCTCTTGTCTTCGCCAGTGACAGCCATGCCAGGTTTCAAATCCATGTACGGCGGCGAGGGAAGTCTCCTTGGCTGCTCGTCGGGGTGGATGATGATCCAAGGCTCACCGTGATCCTCGTCATCTCCGTCGCGGGTGGGCGGTGCTAATGGGTCATAGTGGCCGATACTGGCGGCGGAGTTCTTCCACAAAGGCTCGGCGACGGTCAAGGTAATTTGTCCACTCTTGGTGTCGGTCGACAGGAAGGGTTCCGAGGAGCCAGAGCCAAATACTGGCAACAGCCTCAACTTTTGATCTCCAGACACTGTCTCGAATTTGGCCGTCGACGTAAAAGCAAGTTCGGCCTGGATGTCGCCAGAGGCAGAGGAGATGCCAACGACATAATCGCGCGGCGGAAACTTGTCGTCACGTTTACTATCTGGACCATAGCCCACAGGCTCCGTCACCTTGATGTCGCCTGAAATAGAGTCGATGTTGAGCACAGCTTGTTCAGGCTTCTTGTCAGAGGATGGCTTCGGAGTGATGTCGGTCTTGATGTCTCCGGAGACGGTATGGATCTTGAGAAGGTCGTATAGGGGAAACCAGCCTTCAACGTCGCCACTAACAGTCTCGATGATGATGCTTCGCGAGGCCAGGGTGTACGGCGCCACATCTCCCGACAGGCGGCCAGTGTTGACGTCGCCCACAACGGTCTTGATCTGGGCGTCAGTGGCAGAACTGAGGATGATACCATCTTTGACGGTGACGTCGAGATGGATGGAATCGACAAGGACCGACTCGAGCTGAGCTTCACGGGGGATGAACACCGTGATCCGAATTTGGACGCATGGTTGCCAGTTTGGCTCACTCCATTCAACCAGACGAGGGATGGTGACTTTGAAACGTTGTTCTCGCTTGTCGAACTCAACGCCGACGTGCAGATTTTGGTCATTTGTCATGATCTCGAGCTCAACGTTGCCGGTGGAAGAGGTGTCAACCGGTTGCAAGATGATCTCGCCATACACACGTGGCTGGAGCCCGCGACGCTTTCCGCTATCTCGCTCCATTGTCTCAATGATGCTGAGCTTCTTGTTGCTGCCGAAACTGATGACTTCGTTGATCTTGGAAGACCTGAAGGGTTCGCCCAAGCAGTCCCTGCTGTTTCTAGGGGGCCACGACATGTTGGGGGGAGGATTGTTAGACGGAGGAGCCTTTACTGGAGACTTGTCGATGATGCCAGGCTTCTGCATGATGTTGTTAGACAATCATATATATCACCCGCCTCGCAGTGCCTTTTCATTAATGACTGTCATAAGTGAATGGAAGGATGTACTCACCTTGCCGCTGTGCACGCTAATCGTGCTTCCAAATAAGGCAACGATGATGGAGATGATCAAGAGGACACCGAGGGCTGTCCGGACCTTCTTCCTGGTGATGGATGAGCTGATTCTGTCTTTGAGCCTTTGCCACAGAGGTTCTCGAGATCCGTTTACGGCTCCGCCCATGGACTCGGGCTGTCGTGGAAGCAGTGTCTGGCTCTCCTCAGGCACGCCCATGGTTTCAGACTGCGTACCGGCCTGTGGAGGCCCAAACGTCTGATAGCCAGAGGCCAGTGGCGGGGAGGAAGCGGAGGGGGAGTAGGCAGGAGGTGCGTCAGACGGCGGTGGCCGAGGAATGGTATACTGATTCAGCGCCGGGCCTGCAGCACCTGTAGGCTGAAAGGACGATATCTCCTCGTCAATGCTCCGTCTGTGATAGTGGCCAGAGGAGGGAGGAGATGACGAAGATGCCGATGCTGAAGCTGAGTGATGATGGGGGTATGTGGCAACGTGAGGGCGAGACTGGTAGGAGGAGTGAGAAGAGTAAGGAGGGTGAGAGGGATGATACAAGCCAGCTTGCCCCTGAGGAAAGGGCACGGTCTGGCGATGAGGCTGGCTATCACCAAGAGGCGACGACTGGCCAGCAGAGGGACTATTTATCAACCTCTCCTCCTCCGCCTCTCTCGCCTTTGCGGCGGCACGATCCTCCTGCAGCGTCGGGTCCTCCACCATGACATTGGGCACAAAGGGCACGCTGGCCGATTGGCGCTGCTGGCGCACGGGAGGGGAGGGTGATGACGTTGCGGCCTCTTCTAGCCCGGACGAGGACGCGTGGAAGTAGCCGTCAGTGGGCGACAGTGCGTCGTTGTGCTCCTGTTCCTCGCCCCAGGGGTTGTCGTCCCCGGAGTAGAGGTCGTCCGAGTACGGGGCCGGCATTGCTCCAGGCCCAGCGGGCAGATGCGGCCGGATGCGACAGGATGGAGAGGGTGGAACAGAGCGCAGAGACGGCTGACGAACGCCTGTCTGTAATAAGTATGTAGCAGTTTGTCTGCGTGGCTCTCGGATGAGGGCAACGGAGATGCAGAATGGGTTGCACCACGAATAGACGAGCTTTGAGTGCCGAGCTGGAGGCCAGACAGACGCGCGTTAGCTGATGAGGCCAATGGCTCGTCTTTGTCCTCTGCCGGACGTCTTAATCAGGAAGAAGGCAGAGGGGAGGAGGAGATGAGGGCAGAAATGGAGAGGCTGAAGGAGAGAGAGAAGAGGCAAAAGGTTGGTGGTGAGTTGATGAAGAGCCGGACAAGCTACCTTGCAGGTACAAGCATGCAAGCAGCAGTCGTTCTGTGTCCCCGAAGCTACCAGTGCTCTACCAGCTGCTGGCGTGTCTGATCAGCTTGTCGTCAAAGTCCATGCGAGGCATTACTTGTACTGCCCATGTCCTGGCCTTCCTTCCTTCCTTCCTGGCTCGTCTCCTCTCCGCCTCTCCACACCTCCATACCCCAGCTGCTCCTTCCGATCCGCTCACCCACGATACCTACGATAAGAAGCGAGCTGCTGACCAAGAAAATCTAGCCTTTAGTACTTTGTATTCCCAAAACATTACAACAACTTCTACGCAAGTGACAATTAATTATTGTTCATCTTGATCATGCAATTGAAGAGTCATCCTTTCAATCATCAGCCCAAGCAACAGAGACAGAAAGAGTAAGAAAAAAAACAAACCACAAGCCAAAAAAGGTGACTCAAAAGGCGCAACATGCCCAGCCCATCCACTAAGATAGTGCCCTTGCAAAAGTCCCCCTTGGATCCCGTCCGCCACCAAAAGCACAAAAACAACCACACTGCAACCTGCAGCTCACCCCCAGACTAGGTATGTATTGTCCAACCAAACCAAACGCCATGTCAAGAAGCAGAAAAGCCAAAAAGTTGGTAAAGCTGTAGTACATACCAGTCATCAAGCCATAAGCTCGCTACGGCCCGAAGAGGGAGCAACAACTCTGCACGTGCTACTGTACCCCAACCTTCTGTCCAGCATCGCTACCTACCTTACTATACCTAGATCTACACTACTCTTGACCTTGGGTACAAATACCTACCTCAGTAGGTCGCTTTGCAAGGGGGGGCTGGCGTAAGCGAGCACGTAACCCGGGGACGAAGCGTTCGTCATTTGCACCAACATCGAACATGATCTGATAACGACGCTGACCAACCGGCCAGCAGTTGATCTGCCACTCCCACTCCATGCCTTGTCACAAACAGGGTAAAATCCTCCATCGTCAGCCTTTGCAGCTGAGCTCAAGTCCAGGTAAACAAAAGCAGCCAAGCCTCGGCCAAGACATCCGGCTCCAGCAACTGCCCCGGCCCTTGCCACCGGTCACGGAGTCTAGCTCTCCACTTTTCCGGGTACCGACCCCGAGCCAGAACCTCACATATTGGCGTCTTGTTCTCTCATCTCTCTCTCTGTGTGTGTGAATGGCTCTGTCGTTCGATCAAATGCGTTCCTTGTTGAGTCTTACAGGTTTCTATACATGGTCGTAGCTAGATTGCAGACACTGACTCGTGTCGTATCATCTCCTCGTTATGATCCTCGGCTTCCCAAGAAGCATCGGTTCCAACCAGCTCCCCTCCTCGAGATATCCTTCGTTTATATATCCTTCCCCGCCCAAGGCGTTAAAATGATGTGCAAGAATGGACCATTGCAGTCCAACACATCCAAGCCCTTGAAATCGAGTGCGTGGCCGTCGGTCAATGCCGCCGCACGACCCGCCTAGAACACGAAAATACTGATAGGGCCTCCTCCCGTGCTAAGACGCACGTTGCAAGGGGGCCGTCCAAATGCGAATGAAGCTCGCTACCAACCAACCAACCGATATGTCCGACAAATGAGATGGCAAATGCTAATGCAATAAACGATGCGCGCGTGGTATCATCATATCCTTTCTATACTCCGCTGAGTCGATGCGTGATTGAGTGAAGCAGATCAATCAGTTCAATGCGAGGAGGCGTTTTGCGTTTTCGTACACGACCCACGTTATGCTCAACGCAGGGGCGACCTTGAGAAGATTGGGCGTCAGGCCCTTGTAGAGGCCTCGGACTCCCTCGTGCTGGATCGTCTTCCGCGTGACGTCCCAGATGCCCGTGTAGGTCTGGGGGTGCATCGCGGTGCCCTGCGTTTGCAGTCGTGTGCGAACCACGTTGAGAGGGTAGACGACCGACGCTCCAAAGGCTCCGGACGTTGCGCCGATGATGCCCGTCGCAATGTTGCCGGGCTGAGCGTCGTCTTCATGGCAGCCCGCGTATTTCGCGTACCGTATCCGGTACGTCTTCTTGAGAAACTCAAACATGCCCATGTCGATGGCGCTGTAGGGGAACATGCCAATCAGTCCCATGGTGACACCGCGATAGCAGGCTCGCAGACCGCCATCCGCATACATCTTCACGGCCGTCTGTCGAACGAGGGCACTACCCTTGAGACCATCCTTAACAGTCTCGCATTGAAGGCGGAACTTGAGGGTATCGAGGGGGTAGACGCAGAACCTTTGAATGCCCAACTTGATTAGCAAACCGGAACAAGGCCGCACTTCTTCCTTGTATGTCGACAGTCAGCCATGACTTACTGGGCAATCATTCCTGCCAAACCGCCAGCGATGAATTTCGAATACGAGTTGATGTTTTTGGGATCTCCATGGCCCTCGAAGTTTGCCAGCGCGCGCTTAGCCGCTTCGTACGATCCGAATTTGATGGCCGTCTCCGGCATGATCTTGACGACATTCAATCCATTGCCTTTGCATGAGTGTTAGTTCAACCTTTTGCTGCTATATAGGACGTATTGGATGGGGGTTGGAAGAGAAGGGCGTTGTTATCAAGGGGCTAAACTTACCCGCAAAGAAGCTGCGCAGACCGCCTGATCGGTACAGGTCCTTCACGGCTTCACTAAAGGGCCGCGACGCATTCCTAAGCGCATCAATGACACGGCCTTTCTTCAGCGCTCCCACGGCCGTCTCGGCACCGCTGTTGGTATTGACGAGCAGATAGACCTTGAGACGGTCGAGAGGAGCCGTGGCCGTCCGCGACACTCCACCGGCGATGGCACCCGCAAGGAAGTAACCTGGATGGGGAGCAAAGTCTGTCAGTTTGAACTTCTTCAGCGTCGGTGCAGCTCCGGTAGAGGACTCTTCACGGTGCTCGACTGAGGTGCCATCGCCGTCGGAGTATGCAACAGCATCCGCCGCTGCCCTTGCCCCTGCCCCTGACGGGCCCTGCTCGACTTCTGAAATCCCGCGAGAAGACGCATGCGCCGCTGCGTCGACAAAGCTTCCTCTTGCATGTTTGACCGGCACTTGGAGCGCCGCTTCAACCGTCCCAGCAACTTGCGCGGGAGATGGCGGCGAAGGTGGTGGGAGTGGAAGCTCTTGAGGCGGCTTCGAATAGGACGAAGGAAAGGCGACTCGGAGAAGAGAGCCGAAGAGGATTTGAAGAAAAGAGCTAGAGGAGCCGGCCCTACCTAAGCCTTCCAGTGTTTCTCCACTCACGAGAGAGTCTCCCTCTGGCGTGACATCAACCACCGAGTAGTAAAAAGACAGCACCGCGTGGAGATGGGACGCATCCTGGTTGCCGGGCATGAAAAGGAGGAAGTCTCTGTGGTTGTTCGGTCAGCTGTCAAGTGTCTTCTGCAGCTCGCTCCGCGAGCGTTGTTTTGCGCGAGGGGTACATCCCCCCCAAGGGGCAAATCGGGCACATGCTGGCGGATTCGAGGGGAAAACTGGTCTTGTGTGTTGCTGAACGTGCTCACTCATCCGACTCAAGATCGAGGCACATGACCCCTAACGAGTGCGCGCCTGACAGCGATCCAGCCCAGATCGAGATGGAACACGGCCCCAACAATGTCATATGTAGAAGAGGGAAAGAAAAAGAAAAAAAAGAATTATCCCTCTGATTCACTTACCGCCATTCGTCAAAGGTAACGTATCCGTCATTGTTCTGGTCCATATCGCCGAAGAAATCGTGCAGCCTGCGGTTTGAGACAGTCAACCCCGCAGCCTTGAATGCCGTCTGGAGCTCCGCCTTGTCGAGCTTCCCATTGCCGTCTCGATCGATGGACTTGAATAGGTCGAAGAGCTGGGCTTCGGCTTTCTGTACAAAGATTCGAAATTCTGAGAAATTGAAGCAAAATCCCGTCAGTAGCCGCACCAGATAGCGCGGGAAGCGCAGGGTTGGCCTGCTCAGCTGGCATAGGCACAGGCACAGCGGTCGAAGCCTCGGGCCATGCGCCAGGGCAGCTGAACTGCGCGTAACATACCTTCATATTGAATCTTGCCATCGCGATTCGTGTCGACCTCGGTCATGATCTTCTTCAGCATGACATCCGCATTCTTCAGAGCTGTTTGCGCAAGGCGAGAGAGAAGAAAAAATCCGTCAACATCTTGACCACCAGAAAATGCGGGGCGGGATGCGCAAAGCTGCGACCCCGAGAACAAAGGAGATAAACAAAGGCAACGGGGGGGAATCCTCACGGTGGTCAATCTTGCGGAAGCCCTTCTGCAGGCCCTTGAGGTCCAGCTCGCCGTTGGCATTGGGGCCCAGCTGCGCCCAGAGGCTCTCGACGCGATCAGGGTTCTTCTGACGCTGCTCCAGCTCGCGAGGCCCTCCAGCTTTCTGCACCTCGGTAGCCGGGCTTGACGGAGTCATTGTCATGGCTGTGGCATGGCATGTCTCAGAGGGCGACGGTCGAGGCGGGCAGTTTTGCGATGCCGAGGGAAAGGGAGGCAGAGGGGGGTTGCGGTTGGCGGTTGGCGGTTGTGCGGGCGCGGGCGTCTCGATCAAGGTGGGAAATTGTCGTTCGGATGCTATCTCAGCCTCATCGTCGAGAGACCTTTGCAGGGTTGCGGTCTGGCAGGGCGTTGGATGCCAATTGAGCTCGAGGAAAAGATTGCGGGCCTTTGCCAGCTGCTGACGTCGTGGGAGCTTTTCGGGCCAGCAGGATTGGACAGATGCGGATCTTGGGGAGAGGCTCAATGCCTGCGCTCCAGCGATTTGGGGGGGGCAGCCGGCCACTACGTAATGGCCCTTCCAGGCGCTGCTAGGGGGGTTACAGCGCTGAGCAATAGGGGCCCCCGATAAGGCTCTCAGCCGAGATCAGCCCTGGAGGCTCTTGTCGCTTATCGCCCCGCAGCCTCCAGTAGCCCGACAGCTGCCGCGCTTCCAGGCTGCTTCCAGGTCACTACAACAATACCCGACGTCCATTGAATGCAACCTCCACAATTGTCAGCCTTGGACGACAGTGAGAACAAACCATCGTCCATCAGCCTAATCAACTGAAAACCTCATCAACCTCATCATCTTCACAGCATACAACCTCACAAGGTACCCTTCAGTGGCCTCAAATCAGGCGCCCTCGCGGCTCCGGGCTCCTCGGCCATGTCCGCCAACTACTGGGAGTCGACGCAGAGGCGGCACTGGCTCTTCACCAAGGAAGAGCTCGCCTCGATGCGCCAGAAGCTGGAGGAGGAGAATGCCGACCTTGTCCGCATGTTTCCCCTTCCGCAGCCGAGGCACATGGCCATCTACTTCAACCAACGTGAGTCTCAAGCTGATCCTCTTTCGGTATCTCATTGATGACACCTGCTAATCCGTTTGACCAGAGCTACTGAGGCTGGGGAAGCGCCTCACCATCCGCCAGCAGGCCATGGCCACCGCGCAGGTCTACCTGAAGCGCTTCTACAGCAAAGTCGAGATCCGCCGCACCAATCCGTATCTCGTCATCACCACGGCCATCTACCTGGCCTGCAAGATGGAAGAAGCGCCGCAGCACATCCGCCTCATCGTCACCGAGGCGAGGCAGCTCTGGCAGGACTTCATCGGCCTGGACACGTCCAAGATTGGAGAATGCGAGTTCATGCTCATCAGCGAGATGAACTCGCAGCTCATCGTGCATCAACCCTACCGGAGCCTGCTGGCCCTGCGGCCCGAGCTGTTGCTGGTGGACGAGGACGTGCAGCTCGCCAAATCCATCATCAACGACCACTACATGACGGACCTGCCGTTCCTCTGCCCGCCGCACATCGTCGCGCTGGTGGCAATCCTCCTGGCTCTCGTCCTCCGCCCCAACTCGTCGGTGCCGGGGCAGGCCTCGGGTTCCGCCGCAGCGGCCGGCCTCGCGGCCGCCCAAGCCGCCCTGAGCCAGGCACACACCGCTCGATCGGGCCAGGGCGGGATCCTGTCCGACATCCCGTCGATGCCCGAGGTCAAGGAACGCGTGCAGGAGGCCAGAATCACCCGCGTACAGAATTTCGCCGCGTGGCTGGCGGAGAGCGACGTCGACATTGCCGCCATGGTGGACGCGACACAGGAGATTATCTCCTTTTACGAATGCTACGAGCAGTACAACGACAAGCTTACCAAGGAGCAAATCAACCGATTCGTCAAAGCTCGGAATCTTGACAAGTAGGCCAAGTCGGGGAAGCAGCTTGATGGATTCGCGCTCAAACCCGTACAACCGCCTCCTCCTCTTCCTACTCTTGGGGGAGTTGCACCGCAACCGATCAACCCGCTGTGGCAGCCGCCTATACAGTCATGGCCGCAAACAATCGATCCACGGCTATTGCACAATGTTCCATGGCAACAGGGGCTCCCACCATTGCAGCCCACTGCTCCGCAGGCAACCCAGCCATGGCAACAACCGGGAGCCCAGCCATTGCAGCCGATAATCCAACTACGGCAACCAGATGAAGAGCCATGGCAGCCGGCAGTCCAGATATGGCCGCCGAGAACCGAACCACCGCAGCCAGACAACCAAACATGGAATCTAGCGAATGGATCATGGCAACCGGGAAATGGGCCATGGCAACCAGGTTACAGACCATGGTAATCGGAAATCAGCACAGGGATATCACCCCTGCCACTAAGCCGTGAAGCTGGATAGCCAAGCTATGCACACGCAGACTCGAAGAGAAAGAGACTTCTACCTAATGTTCTCCCCAGTATTGGCGGAGCTTCCGCAATTCAGGCGCTATCGAATCACTACCGACTAATACGTAATGAGAGACGCAAGGGCGAGTTCAAGGCGTTGGTGGGTGATCTTTGATTCATTCCTTTTGGCGTTTATACCCATCATGGGAATTGGGTATTCTATATCAGGTTATAATTCAGGAGTATGAGTTCAAGGGGGGGCTTGTTTAATGGCCATTTCAGGGCAGGGGGGATGTTTTCGGATACAGGATATTCACGCCCAACTTATCGCATCAGTGTTCCGTTTTCCTAGATACATATAGATACCTCAATCTTCTAATATCAGACTCTGCTTTCCCACTTCTGACATCAACTTAAACTCTCAACTTCTAGTTTCTATATCTATTCCTCTTAGACCTCGTCCCACTGCCACTCCCACTCCCGCTCTCACTTGCGCTCTCACTCCCTCTGCTCTTTGACGCTTTCCCACCACCCAGCCGGCAGCTCTTCCACGATGAAATGGCAACATTGGCAACATTGGCAACCTCCTTGCCCTTTGAAATGGCAATCTCGTGACCCCCGGGAAGCACACGCACATCCACGCCATCCTCGCCCAGAACCGCCCTCGTGTCCTCGATCCACTCGTCCTTGACAACGAGCGTGTCCCGATCGCCCAGCACAACGCACACCCGCTGCAAGCCCTGGCCGAGCTCCCTGTTCGCGGCGAGCGTCTCACCCAAGACGGCCCACACCTTGTCGTGCTGCCCGTAGATGGGCGCGTAGCGAATGGTGCTCATGTATGCGTCGACAAAGGCCGGGTTGGCATCCAGCTGCCAGCGCACCACGTCCCCGACCCGGACGACGACGTTACTGCTCCTATCGACGGAGATTGGGACGTCGTCAAAGTTGACGTCTGCCTGGCCCCCTTCGTCTTCGCCGTCGCCGCCGCCATTGGGCACGTCCGCGCTCTGTCCGTGCTGCGGCTCGATGCGTGACCGCACCCAGCGCCGGAGGAGCCACTCGGGCAGCAGGTTATGAGAGTACATGAGGCGGCTCCTCCAGCCGAGGTGCGACTCGCGCACGAGCCCCCCCGGGCAGACGACGGTGAGAGAGCGCAGCATGTGAGAGTGGTATGCTGCAAAGGCGGCGGCGAGGGCACCCCCTAGCGAGTAGCCAACAAGGTGGAAGGAAGACGCGCCGGTCCAGGGCAACGACGAAGATGCCAGGACGAGGAGAATCTGAGTGGTGTAAAGACACTCGTCGTAAGCCACGTTGGACGGGCCGTCAGAGTAGCCTCTCCCGAAAAGATCTGCGTGCGGCCCGCGGTGTAAGCAGTAATAAGCAAAGGAGTTGTTTGTTCGTCACAAACTTTCCACCCCCTGACGAATGCAAAACACCCGCCCAATACGAGGTGAGGAACAGACAGAGACAGGCTCAACGTACCAAAGAGCATCACCCTGTACCCCTTCCGCACAAGCTCCCGGGCCATGCTGCCCAGCGCAATGCACGGCGTGCCGATGCCATGCACCAGAAGCACCTTGTCGCCGTCCTCGGGCCCCCACTCAAACACCCGGACGGTGCCGTACACCGTCTCGACGTCTCTCCCGCCCGGGAACAGATCCGGGGGATACGGCGCCGGCTTCTCCGGATCAGCCGGATCGATCCCCGAGCGGCTTCTCACGCGCACAATGTCTGTCTTGGGCGACTTGGTCCGGGGTGACAGCGTTGGCCTGATGAGCAGGTAGAGCGACAGGCACGCCGCCGCCGCCAGGACAGCGGAGCCCCTCCTTGTGAGCTGATCCGGACGGAGCTGGAGCCCGTGCGGAATCATGGCCATGGCGGTGTTTCTTGCTTTGGAGGCCGTCTCGGACCAAGGAGGCAGAAAGGGGGCTCTAGCTGTGCCGGGCAACGCGGTGTGCATGAGCAGAGAGCCAGTAGGGACGGAGTTCGGTCAATACCGGCCGGAGGGCGTTGTCGTCAAGGGGGATAATCCGCCCCCGGTCCGCCTCCGAGTGTCACCCCCGCCAAGTGGCCGAGGATGCTGTGTCCTTCGCCTCGTATGTAACATGTATGTACTTGACCGCGGTCTACAAAGCGGGAGACGGCATGGCTTGTCGAGTCGTCTTCTCATAATACAAGCCAGGCCAGGCCCAGGGCTGAGACCCCAACATTCTCGAGTGTTTGTCATCGGTCATGGCGAGTTGCGTGTGCGTCATCACACAAAAGTTACAGAGTACACTCTGAGATGCTGCCTGGTGCTTCAGACCACGTTGCGATCTCCGACTCGGAAACTCCTATCCACTCAAGGTAACCCGGAGTCACCTTATGGGGGTTGTTGACGACCTCTGAACTGTATTCTGAATTGCATCTCATGAAGCAAACTCAGCCTCGCCCGGTAACCTGGCTAAGGCGATGCGCTATGATGAAGCCATTGGTCGAACCACCTGGGGAGGAAGCAGGTCATTGTTGAGCCGTCTCTGCGTGACAAACTTGACATTTTCTCGTTTGCATCCTACGTCACCCCACGAAACCCTTGCCTGCCCGTATGTAAGGGCAGAGGATGAAAAGGCAAGCGTGAGTCAATTTGGCATCTTGGGCCTGAGAGTGGAGAGATGAAGTGAGATCCGGGACGTGGGATGGAGAGATTCCAGAACTGTCCGGCTGCAGTGGTTGGGTCTCTGCATACCACATGATTGGCATCGCATCTCAACAGTCGGCCAGCCCGTGTGATAGCCCAAAGGAGCAGCTCTCCCAGAAGCGCTAGGTAGGTATCTTCATCCGTGCTGTACTCGTACAAAGTACACCCGTACAAGAGGCCTGAGGTATGGAGAAGCGGAAGACCCGGTGCCACGCAGCCACTTGTTGAGGCCAATCTCTGTGGCTGGGCTGTGCTGGTGGCTGATACTGTACATGGGATTGATGGAGCTTCTTCTCGCTGCGCCCACCGGTGGTGCCTCCAGATACACTTGGCCGATCCCAAGGTACCTCTCGCCGAACCTCAAGTCACGTCTGAAGAGAGTCGAAGTCTCTCCCCTCCCACATGCGGGCATCGACTCCACGGCACCAAACAGGGATTCTCCATCTGGCGAGTCTCAAGGCAGCCAACAGGAACCAAGTCTCGACATCAGCGGACAAGGACTGGACCAATGAAGACGGGCAATCATATTCTATTCCCTGCCGCCACACCGCTCTTTCCAGGGGTTTCGACCAGGGGTGTAATCAGGGTTGCACCCAGGATAGGCACAGGACCTGAAGGTGCTGCTCTGATTTTGACCACGGTACGACGGACCAAGGACTGTACTGGAATACAGGGGAGGCCATACTCGCACCCAGTTCGTGTGGCATACACTCAGGAACTCCGTACGAGGCAGATAGGTCGTCCCCGTAGACCCTCTGCGGAGAGTTGGACACTCACCGGATCCAGGGTGGAATCCTTGCAGAAGGCCAAATGGAAGGAATAGAGAATGGGCATCCAGAGAGGAGCCAATAAGCTGACGATCGATCGTGCCAGGAACTAGGTACGTATGTACTAGTAGGAGCACATACATACCCACAGGCACAGGCACAGCCGAAGCCGCGCAACGTGAGTTTGAATGAGCCGTAGCCCGAGGGAAGAATCCGAACGTCGAGCACGGGGTGCAGATGCCAACAATGCTGAGATGCCGGGCGCAAGCAACAGCCACGAGGCGAAAGATGGAGCAGCCAACCGAGCCGGAAACAACGGGCGACCCTGGGACACTCCAGACGGTCCTGAGGATGGATGGTCTGCCACTCATGGCTCGCTGCTCGACTCGTCTTGATCCTGGCCAACTCCCCCCTCATCTCATCTCCCTGCTTGTCTGCAGACACACACACACACACACACACACACACAGAAATAAACGGCATGTCTCGGAGCATTGCCGGATATGGTCCCCGGCCTGCCCTCATGTCTGCACACTCCAGAGCGCGAGCGCGAGCAAGCAACCCCAGCGAAAAGCATGAACTACCCCGTACTCTCGTCTCGTACAAGGCAGGCTCTCCAACCAGGAGCCGGGCCACTCATCCATCCATCTCCTCGTCGGAGCCGACCCGGCGTTTACCTGAGGCACGGCTGAGTGGTTGTCGTGCGCGAAGGGCGGCGCTTGTGGCTAGACGATGCCTCCTTTAGCGCCCTCGCCATGGCAGTGTTTGATAGTTAGAAGGCGTCGCGATTGATCAAGTGGAAGCTTGCATCTGCAGCACGGTGCATCGCTACCGGCTCAACCGTAGGGAGGGTGCAGGAGCACAATGCACACTCGTACGGCCGGGCAATAGCTCAGCTCGTGCTTGTCCTGCATGCATACAAAAGGAGACGGGCATCATGACCAGCGGCTATGGCGCTACTACTGCGAGTCTCACTGAAGCAGACCACCACCGCAGAGCGATGGGCAGACAGGGTAGCAGTGGTGGTGATGACGGCATCCCCTTCGCGCCATGGCCAAAACACATGGCACGACTTGACTGCCGACTTCAAGAATAGCTGACGGGCGCTGCGAATGCTACCTCCACGGCTTCGGCCGCTTGTTTGGTGCCCTCGCGGGATAGATTAGATTGGCCAGAACCAAGCCTCGTTGCATTGGTGAGTTCGAATCAGCTACGCATGGGGGAGGCGAAGCAGCTCTCTGCAGATCGATGCCGCAGTGTAATAACAGCTTCGGCCGGGCTCAATCCAGTGCAGCCGTGAAACCCGTATGCAATGTAATACTGCGCTTTGTTGCAACCTTGGGCCAGCCGTGGTCAGGCGGGTTAGGCATCCTCAGGTTGTCTCTGGCAATAGAACATCATGCAAGATGTGTTTTCTTCATTCAACTGCTTAGAGGCTGTTGTCGATATCTGGGCAGCCTGTCGAAACAATGAACGGGCACTGCAATGTCCTGAACGGCCGCAGTCCATTTGCGGCAGCAACCCAGAGGCGGGATCTGCAGTAATACCGGGAAAGGATTTCCATCCACCAGATTGCATTTGGTCGCTTTGCCGCCACATTCTGGCAGCAACCCGGCTGGCTGCCGACGGTGGCGTTCATTCGACCTGTCATTTGATGGAGCAGAAAACCTGGCAGCTTGTGGCGCTTGCGTCTGCATCCTTTTGAGCATCGTCATTCCACCTGAAGACACCCACCCCAACTAGGGCACAGTGCACTCATGTGCATACTTCCACGGAAGTGGATGTCTGTGCAGCAAGCCGGCTTACTAGAAGCCGCCACCCCTTTGCCCCAAGAGTTAGGATCGTGGTGAGAGGTTTTGGTGTGCAAAGTGTGAGTGGATTGATAGCACCCACATTCACACAATATGGGCGTGAAAATGACCTGCAAGCTGCTTCAACAGAGTTTGGAGCCGGCCGGGCCGCTTGCAAGGGTGTCTCGTTTCTTCCATATCGGGATCGGGAGAGGAAAAGAAGTAGTTCATTGTATATGCAGTACTCGAGAATCGGTTCCTGTGCTGTATCACCGTGTGAAAGGGGCCACTTCGCGAAAAGGGACACAGTTGATTGTGACCCGTCAAGGCTCAAGGCAGACACAGAACTGCACACAAAAGAGAAACAAGCTGTGAAGCTGCACCATCATCGTGCATCGGCGGGTCATTGGTGAGGAACCAGGGGTGTCGACGGCTCCTCTTCTCCCTGCCAGGGGCTGCGTGAGTTTCACTAGCCCTGAAGGTCGCTGGTGCAGGTACGAAGAATGAGGGCGGATGACAAGGCGAGAAACGGAATGCGTCCCTCAGCCTGTCCCTAGCGAATGCGGATATTGGGGCGTGCAATTTCCAGTGTGCTGTGCCAGGTCAGAAATGCGACACACACAATACTCTCAACCCTGCAAGAGGACCGTGGTGATTATCGAGTGGTAGTACTGTAGCGGCTCTGTCCATTCAGCAAATGTCTCGGCACGCGCATGCAATGTCTTCAGACTGAAAAAAAATAAACATGTAACAGGTAAGCCATCAAAACACACACGCGGCAGAAAGAAAGACAAAAATAAACATGGAGTAAGGTGTTAGAAGCTGACTGACAACTGGAGCCAGCATGTCGGTAGCAGCCGTCCATGCAGATGCGGGCCAGCAGGGTCAGAGATCGGAACCCGAGGTAATAACTTACCTCACCACCCTCAGCACGGAGGCATGATACATTGCCATGGAACGGCAACTTCAGGGTACTCGTAGGCAGCCCGTTGATGGCGTCGCCAGAGGGTAATGAATGAAGCCTGTCTTTGAGATTGCTCCATGTTGCTTCATATGATGGCACGGCGCGGGAACCAATACCGAGAGGACGAGTATGCCCAACCGCAATCCTCCAGGCCTGCCAGTCCAGGAATTACTCCTCAGGGACGAGGCGGCCGGGATTGCCCCAATTTCCGGCCTGGCAATTGCGAAATTCCCTGGATCTCGATGAAGCGACGGCTCCAAGCGCGCACACTGACAAGCTGCCCGGTGTTATTAGTCGAGGCACTATGTTTTGGCAGCAGAAGAGCCCAAAGCAACATGTTCAATCTTACTGTCCAGCGATCCCAACTTACTGTACCCGTCATCTTCACGCCTGGCCATCCGTGCCGTCCTTCGCCAGGTTCCTCCGTGCGAAGAGCGTCCCGCACGCACGCGGACTCGGGTGCCGAATGCGCGGCGGCATCGCTTGCAGGATTGGCACCTGGTAGGTCAGCAGAGGCCACAGAGATCGGAAGAGCTATTAGCAGGTCTCACGTATCGTATGTACCGTCGGCGCACTAGGCGCGAGAGCGAGGCAGTCAAGTGATCGCGCTGTTTGTTGGCGAGCTGGAATGGACCCAATCGCCAATAACCACGAGGGGTCTTAGTCGGGGCCAGGCGGGCAGATCCTGGGTCCCAACACCAACAAGTTTCTGCTGGTCTCTGCACTGTCTGTTCGCGCGAAGGACAGCGGCAGACATACAGTGCAGATGTTGGACTGGTCGATGGGTTGATGTTTGATGGGGGGTCAAGTTCGGATGGATGAGGGTGGAAAGATCCTGGCGAAGCAAGTGGATGGAGCCTATTCCTCTCAGCAGCACAGTGTGTAATATCCGCACGGTGCAATGTTTGGCTGTGCGATCCAGGAAAGAGCACAGTGCAGAGCGTGGCTCGATTACCTGCGTCCGAGCGACTTTGTTTGCCACGCAGCAGGCCACGCAACCTGCTGGTACCGGCCAGCACACGTTGTGGTGGATTGAAGTCTCCAGTATGTAGAGACGATGGGGCGCTGATAACAAGTTATGATGACTTCGTCGGCATGAGAGAAAGCGCAGCTTCAGTCCATTGAACGTACGATACCGGTCACGCAGGGGCAGATCCTGTTCCAGTTGTGTGTTGAGAGTTATTATGGCGCCCTGGCGACGCACTGTACCGGGGTTCGGCGAACGCGGGCACTGTGTGAGCGTCTAAGTCTCCCAGTGCTCCGTGCTACTGTAGGTCTTGGATGCGCGCGGTTTGGGCTCAGGCTGTTGGTGTTTGGTCTGAAAGCTGCATCACGCCGCCGTGTCTCAGGCAGCCGGTCAGTCAGATCCTAGAGGTGCGCATGTATCATTACTATGTGGTGTTTTCTAAGGTGGTTTGTATGTTAAGACGAGCAGCGAGTTGCTGCATTCGCGCAGATGCATGCGGGCGAGAATCTGGGGGTTATTGCCATGGGTGAGACCTGGGTCTGCAGTACATGCGCATACAGTATGAGGTGTCTCTCTCTCTCTCACTCATTGCAAGCGGACAAGGACAAGAGTGCCACTTGAACCAGCTCAGCACTGTGCGCTATCCGGGACGCCGGAGGGGGGCAGTGGGCGCGGAACGCCGTGTGCTCTCACTGTGACTGCCGCTGACCTGACACAGTCCAAGTCCCACCGCCAGGAGCCAGGAGCAGCAGCCCTCACCAAAGTGTACAGGCGTCCACGTCCACGTATACAGTATGAACACGACACTCGCCAGGACCCTCTCGCCATACCTATCGTGCGCTGGCGCCATCACAATGCCACAGTGCGCAAGCTGCTGCCACCGCATCGCATGACTGCATCGCCAGGACTGCAACTCGACACCTGAAAGGTCCCGGCTTCAATATTGGTCGTCATTGTACTAATAGGTACCATCTACTGCGTATCTATGTAATACTTTGCACCTGGCTCGTAATGTCTCGCTCTCCCCCCCATACCAGGCCCCAGCTCCCCCAAATGCGACCCCGACAGCACCCAGTGCGTGCCTCCTGCACGACAGGCGCCCCAGTCCAGAGGCCCAGAGCCCAGAGCCCAGAGCCCACATGCACCCACCACAGTGCCGCTTACTGTCTGCCCAGCCCACTGCACCCGCACCCCCCCAAAACCAGCGACCCTGGGCCCGACCGGGATCAGAGCCAGTGGCCAGTAGCGCTGCTGCACGCCAGCCCAATCGCTAGCCGGTGGCGAAGACGGCCTATCCTGGCTCGCCGGAATCTTATTCGACAGGCTGTGCCCAAGCCGCCGCTCGCGTCTCCTCAGGTCTTTGTCGGGTCCTCCTCAGCGCCCCTCAACCAAACAAAAAGGCCGCTCTTCTGCCCTGCTCCCGTTCTCTTGCCTCCCACCCTTCCGCCTTCCTGTCCCCTTCAGTTCTTTGTACCACCCGCCCCCCAACCCGAACCCGTCCTCACTACCAAACTTGACCTTCGACACCACAAAACGTAAAAAAAATCGAAAACCCGCACCACCGAGATAAACCTCTGCAATTCTCCAGCTCTTTTAGACTCCTATATACAACCGACTCACCTCGACAACCAGCGGCAAACTCGACTTCTTTGTTTACTTTTGCCGTCTCTTCCTTTCCTAATCTACTACTACTGCCCTACCACGACGGCTTCTCCGCGACCGCCTTCCGACGCACACACACGCACACGCACACACGCACCCACACAAACCACACACTGCAATTACAGCCTCGGCTTTCAGCTCCAACAAACATCCCCTGCGCTGGATCATTACTAGCTACATCACCACAGACTTGCCACCATGTCTTCATACTACGGATTCAATGCGCCTGCAGCGCACGCTGCCCCCGTCTCGCACCACCACACCAGCAGCCGCAACCGCAGAACCCCTCGCCAAAACGTCTCGCAGCCGCAGCGCCAGTTCCGCGGCGTGCGCAGCATGAGGGAGCTCACCGACACGGCGGCCCTGTCGGCGTTCCGCACCCGGTTCGAGGCCGGCCGGTCGTTTGACCTCGAGGACGACCTTGAGTTCTGCCCCGGCCTGCTGACCGAAAGCGACGTGAGTAGTCCTCCGAGTCCGGTGGATTCATCCCCTTCTCGCAGCCTGTACCGGTCTGACTCGCCGCTGCAACAGTTGGTCTCCATCTCTGCCTCTGAGCGCTCGTCGCTGGCCAGCAACTCTCCCGAGGCCTCTCCCACCCAGCAGCCTCAGACCGTCGCTCCCGCCTTCTCCCTCAACTCGTCGTCGCCCCCCTTTATCCCTCCCCCCGCTGTCCAGCCTCTGAACGTGGCCTTCCGCCTGGCCCAGCCCACCGCTACTCGCGGCCGCAATGCCATCCCCATTGTCAACCCCGCCACGGGTGCGTCCATGCCCAGCCCTCCTCCGTCAATGTCGCCTGGCCGACTGCAGCAGCAGCCCATCCGCCGGTGGTAAATCTGCTTCTCGGGTCGTCTTATGCCTCCCCTTTACCGGGTTGGCTTACCACAGCATGATGCCGTGGGGACGATCCGGAGCACTTGCTGTCGGGTGCTGTGCATAAGTCGGAAGAAGAAGAAAGCATCGAAACTGCGTCGCATGTCCGCACTCGGCTTTCCTTTCTCTTTCTTGGCGGGCGCGAGCGAAATCGACGACAAAAAACCAAAAGTGGCATCGCTCTCTTCTCTTGCGGGCTGGGTTCCTCGAGGATGTTGACTCCCTTTCTTATCTACACATTCGGGATGGTCGGATACGGCTCTTGATTTCGACCATGTGCTGTCGGCTCTCTCACCAACCGACCAACCTGATCCTCTCCATCACCACACTCATACAACTTCTACCTCATTCCTACTCCTATGTATAAGCACTTTAATCGCCATACACCGATTTGTTTCGACAGGATTTTCTTACGAGGATATTACCGGCGCGACTTGAGAAAGATCGATACCATTTTTCTTGCTTTTTTGCATTGTCGTTTCCCTTGCGACCTCGCCTTGCGGACCAAGGGCTGCTGGGCACATACGGCGTTATGTCTCTTGTTTTCTTCCTCTTCCTTGTCTCACGGCGGATTCTCTTGCAGTTATCTTTAATTGTGTTGCATCGGTAACCGACAGCGGAGTTGTGGGATTTGGTTCTTTTTCTTTTTTCTTTTTTACGATCATCCGGCGTCTCATCATCTTGGAAGCGGAATGCTGTTCCTGCTTTTGAAAAACCAACATAAAATGCCTCCTCCCTTTGTTGCGGTTGTACGGGTTTACGAAGTCATCAAGACAACAAAAAAAAGAGGAAAGATATAGAAGCGATATCTTACGAAAGTGTCGGGGGCACGGCTGTTCTTGTCTAGTCACATATGGGAAATACCTTGGGCTGGCGGGGTTCTGGAAAGATGAGCGGTTCTTGTTTGCGCATCATACTGGAAACGGTTTCTTTGTTTTTTTACCACTTTTTCTTTATATCACCGGGAACCATGGGGAGTTGGGCTGAGTCGATTTCTTGGGGAGTTTGATGCGGCGCCGCAGTGTGCGATCGAATCGTGGGAAGCGGCTTGCTCTTCTGTTTCTGTTTTGCTCTTTTCCATCTTCTCTTTTTTATTTACAAGCCTATTTGCTCTCCTCCTTGGAAGGAGGCAGCGCGTGGATTTCGTCCTGTCTGGTTCTTCTCTTCGCTGCTCTGACTACACAATGAGCCCTATGTGTTACTGGATATTCTCGTCTGGGATGAAGAGAAGACAACTTTGTGCTTGCTCATTCCCATGTTTCATTATACTTGTTTACTCTTTCTTTCTCCTCTCTTGCGAAGCATCTTTGGGAGTGCGGTTGGGAGGGAAGCGATACGATCAAACGAATCTGGTTTTGCGCGGGTTCGGGGTTTGTCGGGCCCTTGAATTTTCAGGTATCTTGAACGCGGCCCCGGGTGTTGCAATTTCATGGGAAATTAAAGAGTGTGTCCGGGTTTGATTACGGCGCATGTGTGGTTTAGATACCGCGGCTTGAGAGGCCGACAGGACGAGAATATACGAATGTTTAAACAACTAAAGCTGGCTTGGTGCTGTCTTATGTGAAGTGAACGAGGCATTTGGGGTCGTTAGGTATGTAATGTGGCGAGACTGGAGGGGTGAATGAGTGAGGAGAGCCGACCTCCTGGGGTTGATCCCAAGAGCGATGCATCTCCCGATCGAGAAATTAAGCATATCGACGATTAATCGAGTTTAATCGCCGTTTAGTACTAAGGTATGCCGTTTATTCAATGTTCTTTGTTCGTGCCTTGATCCAATTAATGTCGAGGTAATTCAAATTCCTCGTCCAAGTGTTCACTAACGTAATCAGTTCGGCTCGTCCTTTTCCCCGGCCAATCCCCAGCATGCTGCAATGGTGACGTCACAGTGCCCGCCCTTGGACCTCGGACGTGCTCTTTCTCTCTCTCTCGCTCAAGCCTGAGGAGAGGTAGCCTCAACCGCGGGAGTGACTTGGAGATGTGCGGAAACAGTGACGTTGCGATGCGTATCGGCGAGGTGGAGAGTGACATGACGTTTTGCATTTTCCAGCTTTTACCTTTACTTAGCACCTTAAGTAGAGTGCCAATAAATAGTCACCTCTCCATCTTGCATTGAAGCTTTCTTCCTTTCAATCATCTCCCCTTTGATAATTCACGACGACCTCAATTGATCAATTACTCGACGGATTCCTCTCTCTCTCTCTCTACACGTTCTTCCTTATCACAAGACACGTTCTATTTTTCACTCGCAGTCAAAATGATGTCCATTCGAAGCCTTCGACTCGCCAGAGCTGTGCGAGCAGTCACCACACAGCCAAGCATCATCCCCAGCCGCACCTTTGCCTTTTCAACAACCCAGAGACTGGGCCTGAAGGAATCATCAAACCGTAAGTTGCGCCCCTCAATCTTCTTAAGACCTAGGAGAAGAAAAACAAGAAAAAAAAATAAAAGGAAAGGACATGGCTGATGCATTTTTGTGTGTGTTTCGGCCAGAAACCGACGTCGACTACGACCGCCACAAAAAGGACTCCCTCGAGAAGCAGAAGAAGGGCTCCGGCCACTGGAAGCCCGAGCTCGCGTCCGACAGCGAAGAGGCCGTCAGGGCGGACCGGGCGTCGCGCGAGCACACGCCCGAGCAGCTGAGGGAGCTGCAGGAGAGGACTAAGAAGGCTGCGGAGGAGACGACCAAGGCGGGGACCAGCATGAGGGACGGGCTGTGAGTTGTAATGTGAGGAATGGTTGATTGGAAGTCCGGGTGTAATTGTGAATATCCATCGAACCTGTGGAAGCTTGGGCAATCTGTCGTCGTGGGAACTTGTTAATGTAGACGACTACGGAAAAGATTGCTGTTTGCAGGAATGAACCAAGTCTGTCATGGCATTTATATAGAATGCTGAAATGCAAGATTCCTCACAAACTCTTTGCTCTATATCTTTCCTCCATGGGTGGTTAAATCATAACAGTGATATTCACCTAGTCTTGTATGTTAGATGCTACCGTGAAGCACACAGAACCCGCCACCCTATCGCATCCACGCTCCATTCATCGAACAAGGCCAATTGAATCAAAATCTCTGATCTAGTCGCATTGCTAACTTACACATGGCTATAATATTAATGCAACAAACAATATCAAACCAACCCAAAACAGCTGTTCCGCTGTTTTTTCTTCAGGGTAGCCAAGTTTCCCAGCAACGCCTTGGAAGAGCTCGCATCTCCGACCGGTTATCGATAACCCGCCAATTCGACCCAAAAAAAGAGTCACTTCCAATATATTACACACACACACACACCAACCACCATTCCTCTCTCTCTCTCACGGCTCTCTCAATCAACCTCAAACCAAAGAGCCTCCCCTCTCTCACAAGGTCGGGCCTTTGCAGCCCCTCCTTTTCAATCTTCCCACGCCCATATCCCCCCTTTTCTCTCAACTCCCTCTCATATATATCACATATCTAAAATGGCCTCTCCCCCCTCGCCATCCTTCCAATCCGCCCTCCTCGCCGGCGCCCTCGCAGGCGCAACCGTCGACCTCTCCCTCTTCCCCCTCGACACGCTAAAGACGCGCCTCCAGTCCTCGGCCGGCTTCTTCCCCTCGGGCGGCTTCTCAGGCATATACCGCGGCATCGGCTCCGCCCTCGTCGGCTCCGCGCCCGGCGCCGCCTTCTTCTTCTGCACCTACGAGACGACAAAGAGCTTCCTCAGCAGCCGCCTTCGCAGCAGCAGCAGCAGTCATTCTTCCTCCTCCGATGGCAATGCGGCGACGACGACAACATCGTGGGTGCCGGCGGATATCCTGACGCACATGCTCGCCTCCTCGCTCGGCGAAATCGCCGCCTGCTCCGTCCGCGTGCCCACAGAGGTCGTCAAGCAGCGCGCCCAGGCCGGCCACCACGGCGGCTCCTCCGCCCGCGCCCTCGCCCACATCCTCCGCTCCGGCTCCGCATCGAGCGGCCAGCGGAGCCTGATTGCCGTCTGGCGCGAGCTGTACCGCGGCTGGGGCATCACCGTCTTCCGCGAGGTGCCCTTTACCGTCATCCAGTTCCCGCTGTGGGAGGCCATGAAGGCTTGGGGCCGGAGGAGGCGCGGCGGCGGCGGTGCTGGTGGTGGTGGTGATGTTTCCGCGGGAGAGAGCGCGCTGTATGGGAGTTTGGCGGGAGGCGTGGCGGCGGCGGCGACGACGCCGTTGGACGTGCTCAAGACGAGGGTCATGTTGTCCAAGGAAAGGGTCTCGGTGGCGGATGTGTTTCGGCGCATGGCGAGGGAAGAAGGCGTCAGGCCTTTCTTTGCGGGCATCGCGCCGCGGGTGACGTGGATATCCATCGGCGGTGCGATATTTCTCGGGAGTTACCAGTGGGTGATCAATACCATGAACAGCATACAGGTAGCCTCATGATGGAAGGGGGGGGGGAGACGTCACGGTGTTTTGAGAGTAGACATTGGGGATACATAACATAAAGGGTTTACGAGATCAAAATGGGAATATATAGATGGGCGCTGGGACGTCGTGGATATATATATTGTATATACATGTATATCCACCTGGCTGTATAACAGGAGGACATTCGGAGGCTCTTTGTAAGAATAGACCAGCGTATTAATACTGCATTCCCCTCATACATGATGAAACTGCTGTATGGAAACGACGCAGGGGGAATATATGACCGTGATAAAGGCTCCGCACTAGCAACACGCCTCCGAGCATGGATGATAATGGGCCATTTCAGAAGAGAAGAGGTCAGAAACACAAACACTCTGTTCAAGAGGTAACACAACGCTGTCAGAAAACCAGAGCCAAAAACACAGAAGCCAACAACGCAAGGAAACAAAGAATAAGACGTAGCCATCATTGCGTGCCTCCACGGCTAGGCGCCGTTGACGACTCCAACCGCCTCTCCTGCGGGCTGCACCGAGACTGCCGTCCCTGACGCGCCCGGTTCCGCTGGCTGCGTGTTGGTAGCAGAGGGTAAAGGCAGAATCTCCTTGCGGCCGTTGGCTTTGTAGTAGAGCATAATATCGTTTCCGCCTTTCCAGACGTGGGTCCGGAGTGTAGCGAGGTTCATTGTTGGGTGAAGCAGCTGTAGCAACATTCATCATTAGACACTAATTCTTTTCTCATGCTACACGCGTCGGTGAAAGTTCGACTTACCTGGTCATTGCAGTACAGCTCAAGATACTCTTCTGGTTTGAGCGCGTTTGGATCCTCCTCTTGCTCCGGCTCGATCCTCTCGGAAATGTAAGCCAGAATCTTCTTCACCCGCAGCATCCGGTTGGCATTCAGTCGGCTGTTCCCATCCGTGGCAATGGGGGGCAGGTTATCCATGGGCTGCAGGATGAACGATATCTTGACGGGATCCTTCATAGGTATGATGTTCTGCAGCAACACATCGCCGAGCCACATTGGCGCCTTCTGCTCAATAATGTCGGCATCTCGTCCCAGGTGCTCCACAGTCCCTTGGTAGAGATTTGCACTGCCACCCGACGTTTCCTCCTGGATGATGACCTTGGTTCCGGGAGGCAGCTTCAACACCGGCGTATCTGCCGGCAAGCTGGGCGTCACTCGAGTCTCGACAATCTTATTGGGCGACTCGGCGAGTTGCCTGTCGTATTCGTTTCGAATCTTCTGGATAACGCCAAAGAAGCTGTCGTCAACCTCCTTTTCGTGGTTCGAAGATGACTCGGACTCTTCGGCCTTGTCGTCCACAACGACGGGCTTCTCCTGAGTCGCCTGAGATGCCGATCGCCCGATTCTCTTGGAGCTGAAGGACATGCGGAACTTTCTGCTAAATGGCGATTTGCTGCTGTCGGCGGCCTTGTCCTTGTCTTTCCCCTTGTCGTTACTGTTGTCTGTAGACGTCTTTGGCTCCGAGGTTTCTGCCGCGGGAGCGCTGGGCGCACCGCCGGCTGATACCACACCAGCGGTGAAGTAATCATTCTCAGCCGACGGACGAGATCCTTCCCGTTCAAGGGGGCTAGCAACAGCTTCCTCCGGCACACCCTGAAGCGTCATTACAGCACCAGGCGACGCCAGCCCTATGGCCAGGCCAGGGGTAGTCACCTGGAGATGAGGCAGGTTGGCGCGCGGCGTCAACATCTGATCGCCGATGGAGAGGCCAGGGCTAGGCAGAGTAATCGATGAAGGCGCTTCAGCTCGGCCGGCAGCAGCTTGTCTTTCCCTCACGCCCTCGTTGAGCTTCTGACGATGCAACTCGTCGCGCCGGATCTCTTCGTCAATCAGGTTGGCAAACAAGTACCGTAGAATCCATTTGCCAAGGCTCACTGGAGCAGCCGGTTAGTCTGCGTGAACATGAAGTTTGCCAAAGAGGGCTCGCCGCCTACCTCTCTGATCATCTCTAAACTCAATGGGCTCGTCCAAGTCGAGCTCGTCGGCGTATACTTCGGCATCGAAACAATTGAAAGGCTCCAACACGACGGTGAGGTTGCCAGAGCTCAAGTCGACCGAGCACCAGGGCGCCACTGCTTCTCGTGTGTTGACCTGCCTCTCGACGTCTTCGAGATGCTGTTTTCCAAAACTCTGAATAGGTTTACACTATGCAGCTGTGAGCGGTGGACGTCTCGAAAGCGGACGATATGATGGATGACATACCTTTATCAAATCCCATAGCAATACGTCACCGGCTGTATCCAAAGTCAAGACCCTTCTCCTATCGTTGAGCAACTTGTGCTTCAAAAGGCCGAATTGACCTTCTATCGTCTCCACTGGCAAGCTGTGCACGGGTTTGATCTCCGGCTCGGGCTGCTCGACGGCGACTTCTGAGCCCTTTCTTGACAAGCCGTCATTGTTGGGGTTCGGTTCTGAGTCTACAGGCGTGCGAGACGGGAAAGTCGCTGTGTTGGATATTCTCAAGATCGATTCGGGAGGAATCTCCTTCGTGGGCGACCCGTTCGTCTGTGGCTGAGCCGTTGCTATCGACTGCCGTGTCCGGGTAGACGTGGCCGACATTGCGCGCTGGCGGCGGTACATCTCAGGGAGTGGCAGATCTGCTCCTGTGTCCACGTCTTCCCACCGGTTGATGGATGATCGGTTCGTGGCTGTCCATATGTAGCCGCCCGCAGCCACGACCTTGGAGACGCCAAAATGCTCCTGGGCAACGGCGAGGCTCAGCCCATCATCAATGTCCTCGAAGCTGCCCCGTACGTCGGTCTTGGCGACGAGACCCGACCTGTCGCTGCTGTAGAAGATGCCGAGACGAGGATCATCCGAGTACAGAGACCAGATGCTCTCGTCGTGCATTGTGAATGTGTACATGCAGCGACCGCCTTTGACGCTCCACATCTTGATCGTTTTGTCGGCACTGGCGCTCAGAATAGTGTCGCCGACATCGTCGATGAGGATGGCGCGAATGTTGTCCACGTGGCCGACGAGGTTGGAGACTTTGGAACCGGTGCGAGGGTCGTAGAGCTTGACCGTCTTCTCCGGCCCGCCGCTGGCCATGATGTTGCGGCCAACGGCAAGAGCATAGACGGACCCCTTCTCGGTGACCTCCTCGCCGTTGACGTTGACCTCGAGCGTCTTGCCCCCACCGTTGAGATCCCAGAGACAGATCTTGCGATCGAGGCCTGCCGAGGCCACCCAGCTGGCACCCATGTCACTTGGCGGCGTCGCGACGCATTTGATGTAGTCGTCGTGCTCTCCGATCTTTTGAGCTCGCGCGCCGTCTTCCTGGGAGTGTGGCCGCCACACCTTGACGGTCAGATCCGAGGACGCCGATACCAAGGCGGTGTTGTGCTGCGCCAGAGTGATGTCGTTGATCCAGTGCATATGCGCCTGTGTCTGGGCTCGGAACGTCGTGGTCGACTTGGGCGGCTCCGCGGATGCATCGTCGGCAACGTCGTTTCGGCGGCGCAGGTCGAGGTTCAGGTCCCAGGCGCAAATCATGCCATCTCGACCGCCGGAGTATCTGTGGGAGAGAAAGAGAGAGAGAGAGCGCGAATATCAGCAAAGGTATGAACTGCGGCTGAGGTATAGCAAGGTGCCGTGTAGCTGCGGGTTGCAGATGGGTAGATGCAGATGGCTTACAGGATGGCATTGTCCGTATCGACGGCCAGGCCATTGACGCCGAGGCGATGGCCGCCTGCCGAGGATTTGGCATTTTCGAGAACTAGACAGCGGCAGTCAGCAGTCTGCCACAGAGGCAAGGCCGTCTCGAGAGCGCTGCCATGCAGGGCCGTCTCCCAGCACAAGACACACAATGGACGAGAGCCGTCTTGGTGGTTCGTCTGATCGGGGCGGTCGCGTGCGGGGTGGCCATTAACATGCATGTGTGCTGTGCGAGGAGCCGGAAGCGCAGCCGGGGAGATGCTCACCATAGCTGATTCTTTGACGCGCCTTCTTGGCCATGGCAAAGCAGAATCACAGACAGCAGAAGCAGCTTGACTGGGCTCACGGGAGCGACTCTGGCTGGCGGCGAATTGGCGATGTCTCGGCGAGATGGCGGCGCTGGAGAAGTTGCGGATGCTACGCTGGGGAGATCGCAGGACGGCGGGAGCGGCTGGATTGGCGCAGGCCGAGCTCCCCTGTAGGCCCTGCCGAGGAGCGGCTTTTAGCGCCTGGCTGGCGTGCTGCCACGTGTGGCTCAGTGGCCTCAGCGGCCTGCGGAGGGCGGAGTTGGTGGAGGCTAGCGCCTGTGGTGCGCTATGCGACAGTTGGGTCGTCCTAATGCGTCTGCGGGTCGGGAACCTTAGCGAGCTCGAGGCGCCGGGCAGACGTTGAGCGCGTCCACGGCTGGGGTCAGCAAGGGCTCAACCTCGTCAGGCCATGCCATGCAGGCACTGGCTTTAGCCGGCAAGCTTTCCCCAGGCGGGGTCTCGCAGGATCAGCAACCTGCGTTCTGGTGCATCCTTGTTGAGCCCAAGCTTGTTGGTCTTGATGATGGGCCGCGCAAACAGAGGAGGGAGTAATACAGAAAGGGACCGTGGAGTGAGTGTCTGTGAGTGGGTGCATGTACTGTGTTACTGGCATCTATGTGCCTGCATGCCCATCAACAATGTATGCTGTTGGGTCACAGCATAAAGATGTTCGGAGTCGCAATGGCTGTCATATCAATACGAGCATGCGTGGATGAACTACAGTACTACGAGTTTGATAGTAGATACTAGGTAGGTAGGTATGTGTCCTTGATCAGGAAGAGACGCAGATGACACGGTATCGATCGCTTTATATTAAGTATGAATGACATATCCGCCATGATATCGAAATTGCAAAACAGACCATCCTCAGCGCATCAAAAATCGATAAGCTGGAGAAGAGAAAACGCTGTGGAAATAGAGAAACCGTATCCAGAACCCCATCGCTCTCCCTCTCGTGCAGCCAAACTCGAGCAATCAATCGTTCACCTCGTCATGCATAGCGCGTGTGTGATACAAATCGGCTTT